CCCTCTGAGTCAGTCTCTCTCTCCTTTGAGCATGGTTCTTAACAGAAGTGCACAATGACCTTGGACATAAGGGAGTATATTCAACCCATGCCTGCCTTCTCCTATGTTTCTGGTGGCCTATGATTACTGACAATGTCAAATGGTACAATAGGACATGTCATGAATGCCAGATTAGGCAAACATGCAAACTGCACATTCCCCCAACCATACCCATCCCAGGCGGCATATTCAGGAAGGCGCATATAGATAGTATGATGATGCCCAAAGCAGGCAGATTCGACCATCTAGTCCATGTGTGGTGTGCACTAACTGGATACCCAGAATGGCATATGCTACGCAAAGAGAACACCAAGTCTCTAGGTGCATTCATATTCAGGGAGCTCCTTTGCAGGTGGGGACCTATCACTGAAATTGTTACTGACAATGGACCCGCATTCCAGGCAGCGGTCGATGATTTAGCAGTGTGCTATGGGATTCATCTGATTCGCATCTCACCATACAACTCCCAAGCTAATGGTATTATTGAATGGCATCACTATGATGTCCAGGAGGCCATCGTGAAAAGTTGCGAGGGGGATGAGTCATGCTGGTACCAATCCGCACATGCTGTCCTATGGGCCAAGCACATTATGGTACACCAAGCAACAGGTCTAATGCCCTATTTTATGGTCCATGGTGTAGAGCCTATATTCCCATTTGATCTTGCTGAAGGAACATTTCTAGTAGTGCTCCTGGACCAAGATACATTCTCGACCATGGACCTTGTTGCCTGGCGCATGCGCCAATTGCAGAAGCGACAAGAAGATCTCCAAACCATCAAAGAAAGAGTCCAGAATGCCCAGTACCAGTCCATCCGCAAATTTGAGCAGCACTTCCAGCGCTTGATTACAGATTATGATTTCGAGCCTGGCACCTTTGTTCTAGTATGCAACAGCAAAGTCGAGTACAAGCTAAGTTGAAAGACAAAGCCACACTATCTTGGACCTATGATTGTTATCCATTGCATGAGGGGCAGGTCATATATCTTGTTGGAACTAGATGGATCTGTGTCTAGGCTTCATTTTGTGGCCTTTCACTTGATTCCTTACCTTCTGCACAGTGAAACTAAAATCTTCATTACTAGTATTACAGGCCTGGACAATGAAGCATTGGACAACCTGGTAGGAGAAGACGTAGAAGAACCAGACGATGAAGTGCTTGATTTTGACCTGGAGGCACAGCCACACCTCCATGCACAACACCCACCCCTATACCCACATACCCGCATCAGACCTCAGCCTATATCCACATAAAAACCAGAAAAACACAAAAACATACCATCCTCATATGATAGCCTCAGTTTTACCCTGGGTTTTGTCCAGTGCCTCAGTTTCATTTCCCTTCTTTCCTACCCAATTCCAATTGCTCAGTAACTTACATATGATATGCACTACCTGCACATAGACTCTAATCACGCACAGACATTGCCGAAGGACTAGATTATATGCGCACTCAATGATTACAGTACAAATTCTCTTTGAACATGTAGGCAGCACACCATGCACATTGATACATACCAAGGATTCGACCACACCGCTGCACAGCAGGGATAGAGGATGAAAGTGCAATGAGGAAGATAAGCTGGGCGGAAACCCACAAGTGACATGTATCTTTCCACTTCTTCCGCAGCACATGCGCATGCTCATTTTACCTTACTTATCTCTTAGGCACCCAGTGGAGTAGGACCGGAACATAGGACATGGACATGGGATATGGATACCAGACACTTAGGACTCAAGGCACACACCCAAGGATTCCAACCGGTCAAAACACTTCCATTTGGCACTATCCAAGGGTATTCTAATGTACATGTGTGTTGATTCAAGTCAAAAAGGAAACTATCTACAGGAACTGCCTTCTCTTCTTGTAGTGGATCACGATAATGTCCAACTCATTCATCACCTCCAGCATCATCCCATGCATAATGGAAACCCTAGCATAGAGGGCACACACCTGACCCTCCATAAGCAAGTCTTCATCACTCACATTCACATCGACAAGCAGGTCGAAGTCTTCCAGATCTTCACCCTCAGGCAGCTTGCACTTTTCAATGTGCACAGGAGAATTGGGTTCCTCATCCTCAGAGACCATAACGGGGGTTTGGGTGATGAGACTGGGCAGCACATAAGGTTGCAGATATCCTTAGAGGAACCGGTGGTAGGGCTGGAACCAGAAGTCGAAGGTGCCTTGCATGCAGCCTTGAGGCTAGGCTTGGCCACAGCCTGGAGCTAGGCTTGACACACTAAGAAAAGAAAGGTTAGATAGAGAAGAAAGACCTAAGGGAAAAACTTACCACTGCACTGATGCGTAGCATGCTTGCAGCCATGCTTGGCTACCTGGCAGGTGAAGCACCCCATACTGGGCATACTTTGGCAAGGGATATTGTGCTTAAGGCACCAGTCGCACTTGTCCTTATGCAAGACATGGGCCTTGGGAACACTCATACGTCCTACCATCTAGCAAGCAAGTTCAGCAAAAACAACTGAAAGAGAAGACAGAGAGTACTCACGCATTTCACCTTACTAAGGACAGGCACTATGGCCTTAGAGTCCTTATGAATCCCAGCACATGCAGGGCGCTTGGGAGTCTCTGGTCCCTCTTCCTCCTCATCAGCCTCTCCTGCAGTGTCTTCACCAGCCTCTTCCTGGCCATCCTCCATCACAAAGTCTTCTCCAGTGGCCTCCTTCTCCTTTCCCTTGCCTTTTTCCTTCAACTGCCTCTCCTCTTCTAAACACATGCATTCCTTGGCCTGGCATTTGGCCTCAATCTTAAAAGCGTGTATTTGCTCATGGAAGTGAACATGCACCTCTTCAGCCTTACAACCTTTCACACTCTCCTCAGGAGTGAGGGCAAGGCTCAAATTATGGGTCTTGCCATCCATCAAGCACCTTTCTAAGTCAGCCTGAAAGACTGTTAGAAAGGGCAGTAAGTGTGCAAAGGTACAAAAAGCACTCACCAATAGCTTGACCCAATCGTGGTACCACTCTTCCTTGCAAGCCATCAGATCAGGTCGATCTTCAGGCATAAGGTTGGCCAAGTTGACCATGTGGGTGCGTAACTCAGCAAACATGTGCTGGATTCTGTCAGCAGCGGGGTCAACAACATTGGAAAAATCAAAAGTAAAGGTAGACATGTTATCAATGGTAGAGATGGGAGATAGGAAAAGAAGTAGAGGAACTTATAGGGAAGCACAATCGCATCCACTGTGTGTCCACACTTCTTCCATTGCCCATGCAAAAATCACTGAACTCCACACTCCACATCTCTATTCAATCCGGAACTGGTCCACAAACTCTACCATACCCAGAATTCCACAGTCACATGCCCTCATCGATGCAAAAATTCTGCCAAGTCCAAGTCCCAATGTGCAACTGACTGAGGACAGTCAGTATTTGAGTGTCCTGCAGATGTGACGATCATACCAGCACTAGGCACATATGATCAATAGGATGGTTCTTCTCACCTTCAGAAAAGGAGATAAAGTGCAGATCATTAAATCCATATATATTGACCCATCCGCTCTTACTCCAGTCTGGTCCTAGGAATCTGCCCTCCCATGTCCTATCCATGTCCACCTATCTCCACTGGTGTGTTATTTTTCCCAAATGTCATTGCTAAACGAGCTGCAGGTCTTATTACATGACTACTCATGTTCCACAGCACATGATGTTTTATTACCTATAGACTCATTGCACACTCACTAACTATGCTACAATTCTCACCTACATATTCCAGACATTCACGCGCTATGATATAAATGACCACAGTACATATGATTGAGTAGTTTTCCTTTCCCCCAGACTCAGCTCTATAGGAGAACCGTTCTCACATTATTTTTGTAGACCTTGCACAATCCATCTATTTTGCTCTTTCTTGACAATCCTGTGCAATTCAACTGCTCTGAAGTTCCATACTGCTAGGATCTTACCCTTAAAGCTCTTGCAAGAATACCTGACCCATGACCGGTAGTTTAGCACTGTTCTTCACTTGTGCTATATCCCTTGCAACTGGCTGCTCCATAGAGGTGCGGTTGATTTTGTGTGCATTACATCTGCCACACCAGCATCTGACATCCAATACATTCACACATATCTTCCAATGGTTCATCTCGCTCCTGTGATACTAACATCAGTCAATTCTTGCCTGCACTCACGGTCAATTCTTTGGTATAGAAATTCAGAGGTATACATATGGTCCACATTCAAGTTTCTTAGGCTGAAATAGGTTATAACTCCTTCACTCACTTACTTCCCTCACACATAATTGAAGGAAGTGCTTCAATAGCAGTCCTCTTGGGCTGATCAATTAAACTCATGCCTCTTAGGATAAGTAGTGCTAGTTGCTAACCGCCTAGTCCCTATTACTTCTTCACAGTGTTCTTCTGAACAGGAGTCAACAGTGCAATAGTAGAAGGCACATATATCTTGCAAACACATGGAGTCAAGTGCTTGCAAAGAATCTAGTACATAATGCTGAATTGGAGTGAGCACCTTGAGGAAGTTGTCTTGACAATAAATGAGTGATTGCATGCAGAGAACATCACATATAGTGTTGACTCGCAGTGGCAATGGCAACAAATCACTAGCCAGGTCCTGATTGAGACCCTGGGGTAAGAAAACGATGATGGCTAAAGCACAATGACCATCCTCTCCAAGATTCTGGACTGATGGCAAGCTAAGCGACAGCTGCATTGTATCTGACAAGCTTTGCAGCTTCCCCTTGCCAGCATCAAGCACCTTACTGTGCTGATCATTCCATCTCTTGAGCAGCATGGCTGGAGACCAGCTATTTTGTTGCACAGCATTTGTGAGTATGTTGATGGAAAGGGGGTGAAAACCTAATTTCTTCAGCAGGCCTCCTATGTCTTCTTCAGCTTTGCTATGACTGGCATACTGATAAATTTGAAAGAATGCTGCTTGAGCAGAGCTCAAGTCCAGTGGCAGAATATCCTTGGTAATCCATCACACATTTGGTGCATTCCTTCTACTGCATGATGTGAGAACCAGAATGATGCCAGGGATATTCACTATTTCAGCAATGGCCAGTGGTATGTTTCTAAGGACCAATAATGCACTAGCCTCTTCGAAGGTCTCAGCATTATCCAGAATGAGGGCACTGGCAGAACAAAAAAAGGTAGATATCTGGTGCAAGGGATCAGTGCCAGAGATCTCTATGCCTAGGGCTCTCGCAAAACATGCCATGAAAGTTTTGAAAGTGATGGTCGAAGGGTCCAGCCCATCATTGTAAGCCACAAAGAAGTGCCTATAAGCAAATTTGTCCATGATGAGTGGCTCATTGATGATGGCTTGGGCCAAAGAACTTTTTCCCATGCCCCTAGGACCAATTAACACCAAATGCTCATCACTGACAACAAGGTTTGTTAACTCTGCCACAAGATTGTCATGACCAAACAGCATGGCAGGCCATGATGGAGGCTCAATCTGGCAATTCCTGATTGCATTTAAAGGACATGCATAAACCACCAGAAATAACAATGTACTTTGAGACATTCATACCAGGAACATTACCTACAAGTTCCAAAGCCTTCTTGACAGACTTCATGTCAATTGCCATGCCAGCAACTGCTTCAGACTTAGGACACCATTCAGCAGCAAATTCAAGAGAAAGTTACACAGACATACATTGAAGAATCTGAGGATGCAATCCAAGTCTTTTTCCCATGCAGTGATCTCATCATGATCAATCATGACAGCAAAGAGCCTCCTCCAAAATCCTTGCTCCTGCTTTGACTCTATGTTGCTATTGATGCAATTTACTGATCTGGACAGTGTCATCAGATTCTGGCAATGGCAACATTGGTTCAGCTCACATGTTGAGCTGAGATAATGCATCCTTCAAGTATCCTGGCAGATCATCATCAGTAGCACCCTTGGTCACTCTTTCAAGGATTTTCCTGATGGCCTTGCACTGGCTGGCTATCGCTTGGAAATCAGACTTGTTCTTGATCACTGACTGTATAAATGTAGGTCTTTACCAATCTGTCTGAGAGTTAGGCCAACCCACCTGTGCAATAGTCAAAATGTTTGCAACTGTTCCAAGGATGCCTTGCACTAGCACAATAGGAACAAGAACTTTTGTAACATTGATGGCAGCTATAGTAACATCTAGCAGCTGGCCCACACTATCATCTTTGGACTGTTTGATTTCAGAAGAGGGTTGTTTAGCATGCGGACCATTCTATTATGTTAGATCAGATATATGAAATGTAGATGTGTGCCTTCTTGCCTTCAGTTGTCTGGACCTTCCAGCTTTTGGCATTTTGGATGACATCACCTGGGTTCATGTGGTGGTTCAGATTGTAGTGTGTTTCAGTCACCAAACAAGTGCCTCTGTCTATCTCAAGGTGGAGGGTGAGAAATTGCACTGCTTAACTGCATAGCCTAGTGACTACATACCAGATGTCTTATCATATCAAGTTCAAGCCAGAACCCAAGGCAGATTTGGGAAGGGATGTTTGCATCTGACAAGACCCCTCCCAGTAATCATAAGAGAAGGGGATTCCACATGCAACAGCTCCCCAAGTTCTTCTAGTCCCTACCTTTGCACTCTCCCTTGGGACACCTCTCTCCTTTCAGCTCCTCCAATTGAGCCTTGACAGCAAGCTCTTCCTCCCTGCTTGCCTGAGTGCAAGGTGTCATCAGGGTGCTTGTCTGTGGATGCCATGTCTTGAAGACACCCTTAGCTCTATTTGACAAAAACAGCCCTGGAGGACAGACACTCATACCTTGTACCTTCAATAAAGCTACAGAGTCTTAAATAGAGGTGTGAGGAAAGATTGGAAAGGGAAATGTAACAGAGTGGAATCGAGTTGCAGTTGTATTCTAGAACACCAGGCACAAACAAAGAAGCTGACTGGAATCAGAATCAGATGGCTCAGCGCTCAGCGGTCTAGATAGACTGGTCACGAGTCTATAGCGGTGTCGAGAAAATCTTATCAAGCTACGAGACAATCAAAGTTATTACGTTTTCGGAGCCTCCCAAAGTTTAATATTGTAATTAACCACCCCTACCTCATCTAGAATAGCCTTTGATATTATTCCTTGTTCGACCCGATCCAACTAGCCAAAATCAAAAGCATTTCCCTCAAGCACTTCAGTTTCGCTGGTGCTCTGAGCTTTTTTTCAACTCTTCGAGAGCCGCAAATTTTGCGGCAATGTCGTCGGGCGAGATAACCTCTGGACCTGCAAGATGGTCATCTGCATCAAGACGCTCAGTCGAGAGCTGAGGTGCCTACACAAAGGATGCTTCAAGATCCTGCAATCTCGACAGTAATGCCGACCTCTTCACGAGTGTGTACTATGTGAGCATGTTGACGACTGGGTGGACTTTCCAGCCTCTCTGGATTTTATGGCACTGTGGTTTTCAAGGTTTGCATTAATTTTTCCTGAGTGTTTCGAATGTGTTGACTAAGAGATTACACCTGTCACGCAGATTATTTTGCGCCGAGATCAGGGAATGTGCGCTCTGTTTTGCCTGCATGCCTCACAATTGAGGGCATCATTGTAGCAAAGACTTTGAGTGGGTGAATTTCGGAATGGTTCTTCTAATATGAAGGGCCGTATAATGTTTGGCCACTAACAACATCTCATGCTGACCAGAAACTCCAGAAGGACACTGATAGAGACCTACAGACTTACACACAGGCTCAGTCTGTACAGACCTCAAACAGACTGCCCAAACCCTAAACTTTCTGATATTCACGGTGCTTCTGGCCAGAAGTTTGCACCTAAACTTTCATAGCTCAGTGTACACAAGCAAGTACTCTCTCCAAATATTTGCAATCGTCACAAGTTTCCTTCACACATTTTTTGAAAGGTCGTACAAAAGTTATTCATCTGAGGTCAACGTCAGACTATAACTGGATACAAAACCCCTAGTCTGTACCTCGAACCTTGTATGTACAGTGACTAATACCCTGGCTTGGACCCCTGACCGCAGGGTACAGTGCATAAGTTAATGGACAAAAGCACCCTCAATGCCGAGCCTACCTCACCAAGATGGAGTCCTTCCTGAAAATACCACTCATTCTCTCGTCCCCACTTACCTGGCATGCATCTGGTATACCTCCCATGCCCCCACGAATAACGATGTTGTTCACTGAAATTCCATTGAATGGTTCCTCATCCAAGATCTCAAATATGGACTCCCGTTCGCAACGATACCCCAAGGCACTGTTGCTTTTGTAGAAGTCGCTATCATTGCCTCTCGCGTGTTAGACCCCACCCGTCTTCCCAGCGGGATGCAAAATACAGCCGCCCTACTTCAAACAATTCAAGACGTACCCATTACCAATTTACAATTCCTTTCCGGCACCGCATTCATGGTTGCAGGGTGATTACTCCGCCGGTGGTGTTTCCGCACTCTCAATCGTTTTTTTTCACATTCCACCTTAGTGTTCGCAATGAGCACACGCTTGTCACGACTGGACCATACTCGGTCGTCTGCCATCCATCCTATCTGGGAGCGCTTTCGCAGTCCATCGGGAATCGGGAAGTTTGTCTTGCACGGATCGTCGTCATCATTGTTTAGTTGCTCAGGCGTTTTAAATATCCTTGGGGTGAAAGTGATTATGTTGGCAGTGTTGGTGGGGAGAATGATTGCTATAATGGTCCTCATGCTTAGAATCAAAAATGAGGATGAAATGATGAAGTCCATCGCCAAAGACAAGTAGGTGAACTGGACTAAGTCAAATACCGGCTCACACCTGGCATCTACTAAAGTATGTGATGTACTACATAAAGTTGCTACCGAACTTTGAATTTTGATGCACATCTTGATCTGCATTAGATCGGCGTTTACCATGACTTTTTATCCAGCCCCTAGGTCGTAGTCATCGTGGTAGATGTTGTACCCCTCCCTCTGATGTCTATAAATCCCGCCCTTGCGAAAACTCAGCAAGGGTAGCATAACTGTTGACACAACAGTAACCACAGCTTCCGGGAATATGATGCCTCGAACAGCGAAATGCAAGTCAGTTTTCGCAGGGCGCCAAGACGTTGAACAGCGATGCTGTGGTGAGGACAACCTTTCATGAGCTACATGGTCGTTTAGCTCATGTACCAAAGGTCCATGATTATAAACCTTTGACCTGAAAAGCCTCATGAGCAATCCATCTGGTCCTAGGCGGCGTTTTAGGTGAAATTATCACAGGAGGATCTAAACGTATAGATATTTCGAGTCGCCTATTGCCAGTGGATTTAGTCGGGACCACGACAACACACAAGAAGATGCATGCACTTCGTCCAACTGCCTCGCAACAACATGCTTTCAAATTTTTGAGTGACCGAGTCCCTTGAAGGCAAATATATTAGACAATCGAGAAATGTACGAGATGCTAACGTATCAGATTCCATGAACATATGATTGCTTGACTTCAACCCAGCGTCTGTCTATCCGATAACTCTTTAAATGCACGGCAGGCCTCAGAACGAGCAGAGAATAGGTGCCGTATAAGCCGCCTTGTGGGAATCGGTGGACCTTGTGCACCAGGGTCCGCGTTGTCGGCATTCCGCACAGATGATTGTGTCACTGTGTGGGTTGCCTCACCAACGAGAGCACTGCTACTTCTGGGAGGGTCCTCAACGACGTGTCGCTTGATATACGGGTTCTCTACGGGAAGTGGTAAAGTTGAATACGCTAGAAGTTGATCAGCTGGTAGATCAAAAGATGGAGGGAGCAGGAGGCCCGTGAAAACCCTGAAGGCAGTCAGAAAGCGCTTCCATCTGTATGAATGTCAGATTCATGACTACGGTCTCAACTCAGATCACCTACTGCCTATAGTTCACTATTCGCAAAAATGAGCATCATAAATGATTTAAAGCTTTGATCACTTGCCATACACAAGGGCGTTGTGCCACTTCCAAAGGGACCAAGTCATCCCAACTGCCATAGCGAGAGTACCGAGCGCTCTATTCAATAGTCCCTGTCTTCCAGCAAGGCAGTCGCACAGCGCCGATAATCGTAAAACCTTGTTGTTGAAAACAGCAATACCTCCCTTGCGAATTGGGAAGAGGACCGGGTCGGTGAACTTCACGGCGGACTTCACGCATGCTCGCGTGAGCAGGCCATAGGATATGGCAAATCCCAGACCGCCAAATATAGCCTTAAACTGAGCCTTGGTCTCTTCCTCGTTCGGTATCGTCAACATCCGTGCAGCGAACCAGCCAGTGATATACCCTGGAATGTGAACCACGAATACTGGGAAGAAGAGAAGGGCACGAGGGTGAAACATGGTGGTGCATAGTTGGAACAGGAGTGTCACACCAGTGCGGATACGAGATGGCCAAAGGAGGGGTCGCATAAGAAAGTCTTCACTGTGATCGACGAATGGGTAGAGGACTTCCAGAGCTGAATGAGAAGTGCCGGTGAAGTGCAGAAGCGCAAGGTATCTATTCAAAATGGTCTTCCGTGTTTCCATTTCATCGCTTCTTGGCAACAATGCATCGACAAACCTTACAATCGTCAAAACTTCGGGAGACTGAGAAGTACAAGATACATCAAACTCACTTTTGAGAGATACCGACAAATCTGTCAAGCGGGATGCGATCCTCGTTCTTCCAAAACACCCTTCTTGCTGCGCAAGCCGCACGGAGTGTTTTCCTGAATCACGCAAAATGATGGAACAGTCAGCTTTCGTGATAGAGGGGTACGCACCAGTCAGGAGCGTTCACAGTCATGTGCTTGAGCTGAGAATCGATCGCCGCAGTGATCTCTTTAACCACAAAACGCGTGCTCTCAGCACTCTCCGGATCCAGTCTTGCTGCATATTCGCCGACCCCTATTGGTTTGCCATATCTAAGCAGTTAGCAGATCCTACTCAGTTGTGCTACTCAACGATAGACAGAGGTAACTACCTGACACAGACCTACGGCTCACATGCGGTCAGATTAAACATTAAATGCTTGAAAAACTTACTCTGCTCTGATACTTGGACTTGTCAGTATAGACTACCGCTGCGGGGACAATGACCAACTCCTTGCCTTCCTTCCCGGACAAATTCATGGCTTTAGCATACTCCTACCGCAGCCCACGCTGCACCGTCCTTCACTTGCACGATTCTGGGCTCCGTGTACGACGTTCCCTCGGGGAATACACCGATAACCTTGCCAGCTGCAAGAGCGGCGGAGGTATGGCGAAATAAGTTTGCTTGCAAGCTGTTGCTATTCGACGGAAACGGCGATGAAGAGCTGTTGGGGTTACGGTAAACGGGGATGCTTCCTGAGGAAGTGAGCAGAGCGCCGGATATGGGGTTCTTGAAAAGAGACGATTTTGCCCAGTAACATACTCTACGACGATACGATATCGTCGCGGCTGCGACATCGGTTGTTTAAATTATCCAAGTTGTAAAAAGAGAACTCGTTGAGGAGCTCACATAGCGCCGCAATGTCGATAATTTCATTATGATGAGTCGCAGCACTGAACGACTCATGATGATAAGTTTGCTACAAGAATGAACGGGAAACGTACATGATCACAGGTCCGTCCCGCGGCACGTTCTCGCCTCCTGTGATGCAGACCTCGGAATAGAAACCAGACAAAGTCCAGTCCGAGATCTTGCGCAAAAATCTATACACGATCATGAGTTCCATTGCTGGCTGCTCCTCCCATTCAGCGACTTCAGGCCGGGAATGTACAGTATTGTGGTATGTTGGCGGTATGCACAGGAAGTAAGTAAATAGGAAGAAGAAATATTACATAAAGCGCAAGGTTTCAAACACCTGGTCAATTTCACGTGTTTTTCATACTCATCACGCGTTGATGCGAAGCACAAAGATGTTGACAGCACAATACTAGAGACACAAACAGGTGAACGACCGCGGGGCAGGCAAAAACCTGATGCGCGTCGAACGGCGACATATCATTTGTAACTCCAATTACATGCATAGCAATTTTTGGCTCTTCGAGAATCTCATAGTAATAACACGAAGATGAAGATCACAGACGACGACCACGACGACCACCCTATCAGAAAATTAATAACAAAGTTTCCTCAAAACAGGTGAGAGCGCATACCTTGCGCCTGGTGGAGTCAGTAGGAACAGGCGTAACGTCCTCAATACGCCCAATGCGCATGCCAGCGCGAGCAAGAGCACGGAGGGCGCTTTGTGCACCGGGGCCAGGGGTCTTAGTGCCAGTACCGCCAGTTGCACGGAGCTTGATGTGGAGGGCAGTGATGCCGACTTCGCGGCAGCGCGTGGCAACATCCTGAGCAGCTAACATAGCGGCATAAGGGGACGACTCGTCACGATCAGCCTTCACTTTCATGCCACCTATTCACAATCATCATGTAGTTAAATATCTTTGCCAAGATAGCGAGTCACGCGTACCAGTGACACGGGAGATGGTCTCCTTGCCGGAAAGATCGGTGACATGGACGAAGGTGTCGTTGAAAGAGGCGTAAATGTGTGCAACACCGAAGACAAGCTCTCCCTCAGCAACCTGAGGACCGAGCGAAACAGTGTTCTCTTCTTTGGCAACCTTGGTTTTCTTCGGAGCCTAGCATCCAAAAGTCAGCTTGCAATCCATCTCAACAACACGCCAAAATTGCAAAACAATGCTCAAATTAATGGCGTGCAATACCACAGGACGGTGTACAGAACCATATACGCACCATTTTGATGGGCTTGAGGTATATTCAGCGATATGGGCCTTGGAGTCGAGGAATCTGAAGCAAGGTTTTGCGGCTATGGGGAACTGTGCAAACATGAACAAATAATAACATTAGTACTATGCGAAATTCAAATTACATCGCATACATCCTAGCTAATAGCTGGCAACCTGCTGCAGACAGGATCGTGTTATGCAACCAAGTCCCTTGAAAGCTCCTTCATGCTATTCACCTCAAACTTGCCATAAATCAAATGGCTACATGAGTATCAAGCTTCCTCCAAATTCATAGCGAAGCGGCCGCTTCGAAGATGAGAGGTTAGAACAGTCGATGGCTGCTATTCATCAACGTGTATGTGCTATGATCTCAATATTCGTGCACATCGCTTTTACTAGTTGCTCCTATCACGGCTCCGAGGCCGTCTGCATGCTCACAGAAACATACTCGAAAATCGCGATAGACTGCGTCAATTTTACGTGTAGTTGGACCCTGCTTAATACAGCTAGCAGAATCATGAAATATCTCCTATTGCTATCTCCTTTCCAAACATGTCTGTTGTTTCTCTAAATTGTAAGTGGACAGCATGCGCTTCTTCAGTCCAGCACATCATGATCAAATCCTGCATATATAGACGCCTTATCAGATAATCTTCTCGGCAGGGTCACCCGGTCACCTGCCGCAGCAAATCCCTAATACGGCGTCCAATGGTCCATCATGGATCAATCAGTTGACCTGTCACATATATAAACCCATCAAACAGATCAAATACATCAGGGTCTCTTATCCTGCAACTTGTATCTAATCATCCCATATCTACCTCAACCCATTCACCATGACCGTCTGCCAGGCCTTCTCCAGCGCCCTCGCCAACAAGGGTACGCATGTCCTTGTACATATTCGATCACTACAATAACATTGTGACCCTCGATCAGGCATGAGCGCACAGCAGCTCGCTGTCGTCACTCAGAGTGACCAAGCCCGCATGTCCCAAAGTACGCTTAGACACTGTCGTTACTCAATCTGACTGATGATGCACAGTTTGCGCGGGCACTGCAACCCCCACTAGTGAGGAATACAACAAGATTGCATCTGCGTTGGGTCTGGGCAGCGTAAGCGTTGGTTCGGTTTGTTTTGTGCGCTTCTTCTAATCGTGTCCATTCCCCGTGTCAGGCCCCCGCTACTCACCCTTCGCGTTGAACCTTTTTGCTGTATAGCATTCAATTAACTTTGTAGTCTTTGTATCAATAAACTATGATATGATATGCTGGATGATTCGGACCTGATATTTGCTACTCATGATATGAGCTGGTTGCTGGCGGTGATTGCGATACGACCAGCACGGCGACTTCATGTCCCAATTGAGCACGTCCTATACCCTATCATGTTATCATTCACTGGCAACGGCCGAATATATTCGATACACAGCAACTGATAGAAGCGGACTCACGGTATTGATTAGTCTACCCTAGCCAGCCTATCGAAAGAAGACAGTCGCTTCCTCGTATTAGGGATATTGATGATCACTGGTCCCAAGGTCCAACAAGAACACTCACTAGACACTATCACTCGAAGGAGTCGAAAAATATCGACGGCTCCTGTGTATGTTCATTGGACGCAGTGTGCAGGGCTCAATTCAATCAGGCTGATCGACGATCGATGAGTCCGAAAGGAAAATCGCTCGCCACTGAACGGATCGTATCAGTCAATTTACGTCAAACCTCAAAAGGTCCCCTATCATCCGCACCATCCAGCAACCGCGTTTTAGGGCCAAATATCATTCACGTCACAAACCAAATTCATGCTCAGCTACACACGCACGATACGCGGCGGAGCGGAGAATGATAACGCTTAGAGCGCTGGAGGAAATAAAGAAAGAAGGATCCTGTCCTGCAGTGAGCGAAGGTTCACCTACCCTTCTACAAAACGCATGTGTTTGCAACGTTGCAACTCTCCATTTTGAGTTACGCTTACCTGGAAAATCCCTCGCGTAATATCCGACGAGAAAATCAGCAGAAATAATAGGCCTTGTGTAAGGTCATGCGCAGTTAGGCCGATGATGCGCAGGCCTCGTAGCCTCGTTTCATCGGCGCTGTACCTGTTCGGGAAGGCAGCGTGTTTTACACGCTGCAAGAATTCAGGGACTCGAAAATGACTCGAAAACAAATGCCCGTGCGCTGGAATGGTGCAGAAGTTGTGAATACTATTCGTGGGGTGATAAGCATGAAGAACGTTTAACTCACGAAAGCTCACGGAGCAGACAAAGTAAAGTTTGTCAATGGTGAAGTAAGTAGAGCCTGAGATAAGCGGTGTCCGCATCTTCAATCGCTGAACCAATAGCATGTGATTATAGCCATGGACTTGTAGACCCCTGCACAAGCCCAAGTTTACGTTGACGCTTAACATTTTGAAACACTGAATCCGCGCCAGCGTTCAGGTAACCAGTTTCTCGAACCACTTATCCGCGGAGAGCACTTGAATGTTCGAAACAGTTGAAGCGTTTTAAGTTTCATATCCAATTCGATCGAACTTTGTCACAAATCTTTAACGACAATATGCAATTGCAATATGAAATCAACGACGGCAGTGTGAATGAGAACGCTAGAGTTATCATCCACCTACTAGGTAAAAATCATGTACTACTGTGTAAGTACTGAGAATCATCGAAACGCGTAAGGGAGTCCGCGGAAACTAAAATCCGCAAACCCATCGTAAGAAGCAAGTAACTGATAGCAAGACGGTATATCTGAAAGCTCGGCGGCTAGGAATGGCAGGGGAGGAAGGGGGATACGGAGGAGGATGAATATAGATTCAACGGATAAGTTCTGGAATCAAGGGGAAATCGATGCAGGAGCGGATGAAGTGGAAGCGGGACGGAGGATGGAGAGGGCTGAAAAGGGATAAGCGAGAGCAAGGAACGCTAGTGACAGTGAAAGCAGGAAAGAGGAAACGACGCAGTGCTACAGGAAGTATGTGCTGTGCAATCAAACGCACATAAAAACGCGCTCCTTATTAAGGGGTGAAATGTTCAAAGGAAATAAGTAACAGGAACGAATACGGGAATGGCTGAGAAATCCTGCCAAAGCCAATGGTGTCAAGAAAGCAAAATGGATAGGTTACAGAGAAATAAAGCATTAGTGTAAGGAGCAGCGCGAATGATGAGATGCAGATGAGAAAGATGCGAGAGAAACGAAAAGAGATGAGACAGATGGATACGAGAACTAGGCGACAGATAGCAATATGAGACAAGTAGAGTAGTAGTCCTGGGACCGCTAGACTGAAACCAAGCAACGACAAATCCAAGAGGAAAATTTTAAGCAGCGTTTGTTGAGAACGAGGAGCGGGCACGGCCGGGAGCTGGGGACGAACCAAAGTAGGGTGGATAGTTGATAGTTTTGCCTGTCGGCGGGCTGTATGCCACGTTTGGTGACGGCATCCAACGTTCGTGAATCCGTTCTCGTTCCCTCTCCTGCTCATCGGAGTGCGAACGAGTTATTTTTTGGGGCGACGTTGCGGAGATGGAGATGGTCCGCGGTCTTGAGGGGGGGATTGGGGACGTAGCACGTAAGCGAGACGACAGCACCGATGCTTGTGTTGGGGTCTCAGACCTAATTGATGGTGCCGTCATGCGTGCGGGGGTCGTTGGTCGCGACCCTCCTGACACAGATGCGGAGGCACTTTCGAGAATGAGTAGCTGCAAAGCGCGAGAGCATGGATGGCATAGCTGGTACGTTGTACGTGGATGCTGCTGATGAAGAAACTGATTGACGCCGCTCGCTTAATCCAGTTGGAGCGGCGGTGCTGGGGCGGGCAGGCGAGGTTGCAGCCTGAGAGGAAGCGGACTTAAGAGTATAACGGCTAAGCTCTGCTCGAAGAGCTTGGCATTCTTGGACTTTTTGGTTATGGAGGGCTTGCTATAACAAAAGAAAACAAGGTGAGCGGCGTGCACAACGTTCCCCAAGCTATAACGTACTTGTCTAGAAGAACGGTCAGCCAAGCAAAATGTATAGATCGAAGATTACGTACTGCTTTAAATCGGCTTCTAGCTTAGTGATTGTTAATTCCGCGTCGTCTAGCTTCCCTTTTAGGGTGGCCTCGACTCCCTTTGCCATTTTCGTAGCTTCCGAATGAGCGAAGTGATTCATCAAAATTGCCCTGAGCAGCGCAGCACTCAAGGATAAAGAAGAGTTCAACTGCACTCAAGTTAGCGGAACCGCAAACATTGAAACAAGAAAAGAAAATTACCTGGTCATTAGATTTTTCATCATGAGTCAACCAGTCTTGTAGCTCGTTGTGTAGAGTCGAAACCTCTTCCACTGAGCATTTTTTAGCGGCTACTTTTGCCACTTTATCCTCCAGCCTGCGGGCTTCTGCGCGAGTACGCGAGGAGCCCGGCTCGACGAAGGGAAAACGATCTTCCCGTCGTGGTGTGGAGCGGTCAGCAATGTCAAGAGCCTCAGTGAGACCACCTCGCCGCCGAGAAGTGGCCCATCCGCTTGCTGAAAAGTCGATGCGGATCAAACGCACATCCTCGCTGGTAAAATGATCCCGACAGAATGGACAGACGGGCTGGAGACGGGGTAATGTCTTTTCTACGATTTTATGGCAGCAACTAGAGCAGAGGACGTGACCTACGGGATAGAAAGTTTTATGACTCGAGTTAAAAAAAATTCCCACATCATGAAAAGATTGCGAGCTCACCGCACGGAATGGAGTGAGGAACACAGTGCGGACCGTACTCTTCTGCGCACACATCGCAGACCGAACCAGGACTAAGCGTAAGCATGAGGTCAAGACGATGAAACCCTTGCCAGGTTTGCTAGTTAGAAAGCTATTGACAAGGGGTATCGCTTGACCTGGTGGTGGATAAATAGCATGAAGTGAAAAATCTGAATGACGGCAAGTCACCAAAAGTAGCCAAACAATGCACTGCACGCATGGCTTGACGCCAAACAAATCATATTTCTTCTGTCAATCACATAACACGCCATCTTCATAATATGTTCATTTCATCTATGAGTTGCCATCTGTAGGTACCATGACATTTTCTGGAGAGCCCCCTCATGTTCCAGGTATTTCTTTCAGGATCACAAATCGGATGAATAATAGAGTTCATGGTTATGCAATGTACAAGTTCTAATTTAGGGTTAGGGCTTAGGGTATTTCGCCCTTTGTCCTGGCGGCTTTCAAAGCATGACTCGACCAAAAGGCCAGCCAAGGCTATCGTACGAATCTTGCCGACGGGACTAACAGCTTTTCTGTGTCAACGGCGCCTAGGTATTGGCAAAAATACCAGTCGGAGCCGTTTATGTCTCACACTTTTTGCCCATTTCAGGTCATATAACATGACCGGTGTGCGAAACACGTGTTCCCGCCACGGCGGGATTCACCCGCTCATGACTGATCCATATTCTCCTGCGTTCCGCCGCAGCGCAAATACCCACAATCAAGCCTCCCCTTCACTAACGGACATAGGGTCAAACATGCCTAATTAGGCGGTGCACTTCGCTGTGCTTGGTGGAACGCTCTTCCACAACAGGAATCCACCATAGTGGCCGTCAGGCCTCAGACGGAGCAACACAACGTCCAAACTGCCAAAGGCGTCCACATTTGGTCATCTCACGAGTTGTTCACGAGGCTATCCTCCGTCATCGGAAGTCGGAAGATATCTCTCAGACGGTATACGTTTGACACGCCGGATCCACAGGTTTGTCGCACAATTTGGAATAAAGCATCAAAGGCCAAAATTTGCACCAATAAGCAGCATGCAATAACCCTCTGCACATGTTTTACTTGCATTATGTTTCCTTTCTTGCCGACCATCGATTATCGGATTCGGATTATAGATAGCGGGCTCTTCTTCGAACACGCCCTAGGCCATGCTGTCATTTTCTGAAGCGTCTTTTAAAGTTATCACAATCTCATCATGGAGCTGTAACGGGATGCAAGACGTGAAATCCGTTGGTCAATAGCCATAAGACGGGACCATCTTCCACGGTCCGGCGTTGTCAAGAAGATATATCTCGAAGCTGAAACACAAGATCTCGTTGTTGCACAGCTCTGACTTGGTCCAGGCACACTGATCCGATATCGATTCGGGGGATCTGTTGGCAACTGCGTACCCGCACACTGATTGCCCGGAATGCTTGCAATGCTCTGCAGTCTTCCGCAGTACCTGGCGAATCCAGCGGATGCTGCATCGACTAGTTTTTCTGACAAAGCACCATCGCCGCAGCCCGATCATCGCTGCCGTAGACTGGCGCACACTAACAACAAGACTTTACGAATGTACGCAGGATCGCACGCCACGGAGTTTGCTCTACCCTCCGATTAGTACGTCTCCTGATAGCTCCCGATTAAGGTATGGGAGATGGGAGTCCCTCTCTTAATTCACACTTTCTTTGAAGTCAACTGAACACGATGCAATGAGCTGAACAGTCACCACTCTTCGCGTCTTCAATTAAGGAGATCTAGCGACCTATCGGCGGGTCGCACGTTTTATATCAAGGCTGACCTCTTTCGCCAACACCGTACCGGGGCATCGTTTGACCCCCCTGGCGAGCGTCTATCGCAGATTGATAGGCTGAAGTTAACTTTATGTTCATCCCAGGTCCAGGTGCGACCTAATTTCGCAACAAGGTGGGGCAGCATCATTATGGACAACTACGTACTTACCACACGATGAAACCTAATATCTTACCCCACTCATGCTTCATCTCCGGACCGTGATCTGTATCACAGGGATAGTGATTCATCATATGACCAGTACTGTAGAATGTTATGTATAGACTCATGCTACTGTACATGAGTGTATGTACTTGCAAAATATTATACGTGGTGAACAAATAGATGGGTGAGTGGGTGGAAGGATCCCTGAAAGCCTCATCGCAAGCTCGTGGCATCCATGATGCGTTCTATCTGAAGTTGTATGAGTACGCGTCCTTTCCACAGGGGTTCAACTACCGACAAGCTTCCCTACAACTCCACCAATGCCTGTTGTTGCGCCCTCGTAAAGCAACTGCCCACTGATTATTCCAAATGAACTTCGCTTCCATGTCTCCGTCTTCAGTAGCTACGGAGTTTAGGAGTGAGAGCCTGGGAAGCACCCAATTGGAAAAAGAAATAGAAGGACCCGCGCGGCTACTGCCGTCTCCAGTCGTCTCCAGTAATCTTCCATCCTCAATCATCCTCGTGAAGTACGTCCAGAAACACGGCAACTGGAATATCTTATCCAATAACTGCAGTACAAGCGCAGCTAGAATCAGCAAATAAACACGCGTCATCACAGACACGCGCATAACATGATCAGATAAAGTCTCTCTGTGGCCATTATTAGTCCGGTATCCTATCGCTTGGTGCGCTTCTTGTCGCTTCAAGCAGTACTGCCTGAATCCGTGGACGGAACCACTGACGGCGCGGGCCACCCACCGGACCGCCGCACAAACTTCGCCGCGAAGAATATATCCGGCAAACCTTCCAGCGTGCCCAGTAATCTCGCGGCGACCATGGCCAGGGGTAAGTATAACGCTTCATTTTTCGGCGGTGAACTTTGTTTCGGCTTGAAGGTGGATGGGTTTCGCTAGCGAGGATAGAGTGGCACAATAAATGCATAAATGTCTAGAGGAAGCTGTTCTTTGTTTTTTATTTTTGGAAAGACGATAAAATTGTGTGGCAACTGACAACTGGTCGGGTCCCTACGATTTACGGTATACTTAGCAAGGCTCTCAACACTCGTTCTGGGAAAAGGAAGTCCGACAAATGATATCTATGATTTGTTGGACTGCAAACTTTAATCCGAGGTAACGGATTAATAGCGGAAATGAACTTACCATTCACATGACGGATCGTTGTCGTTCCTCGATTTTTGGTGTTATCTGTCGGCGAATGACGCTTCATTGGGATTTGAGTTGCTTTCCCCTCCTGACCATTGACCTGAAAAAACCAGATCAGGCATTAGTATCGCATTGTGCCGTTAGAAGCAGCAGCAGCTTCACCTGGCAAGTTTCACGGGCGTCCGTTCACCTCTGTTATATTGAAGCGAAAAACAATGACGGCGGTTTCCGAAATCCGTAGCTTTGCTGGTCGTCACATTGTTACCGGATCCTGTCTTGGGATCATGACACTAGCATTTTGTAAATAATTTCAACCGAAGGAGTGCCGACCCGACGCGTCCAATACATTCCCGCTTGACTCGAAAATTTGCGGTGGATGAGCTGCGCCTTCCTGGTCCTCAGGCACATGTTGAGTACCCGTGACTCATTGGGCGCAATAGGATATCGGATGCTGAGCACTGAGTAGTAAAAATACTTTGGTGACGCTGTACCGTCTACTCCATGGGGTAACTCGGCTTCAGATGGCAACAGCTCGGTAGTATCCGCACTATTGTCGACAGCCTGACGTCAGAGGGTAGGAGGGGTCTTGCAGCCATCGGTGCACAGACTCGGTGCAGAAGTATTTCTAAAGGTGAATGAACACATAACCTTCCTGTAGGGATGAGCTGTTGCGGGTAGAAGCTAAGAAAACGCACTGACAATTGACAAGGACGCACCATGACCGATATGCACATGATAAGTGACTAGAGCGGTGGGGATAGACAACGTCTTCTTGGCGATGCCCTCAGCAATGCCAACGATTCGATAATACAATCATGGTGGTTTACTTTCCTGTTGCAAGTTAGCACACAATATGACACAAATCCCTAGAGATATCGTTCAATGCAGGTTCTGACAAGGTATGAATGAAAACGTGTTAGATTCGATATCTCTGTTCTCGAAACGCATGCGACTACATTATGATATCACGTCCATCGTGCCATGAACGCAATTCATGTCCCCCACTCGTGCGATATCAACGTGATCCTCTTGTACTCCGCACCACGATGCTGCGGCTCTGGTAAAAGAGCGCCAAAGGGCTGTTCAAGGCGAACGAGCAACCTCAGCTCAGCCTCTGCCGTATGAGGCGGCTGGGCCTTCCACAATTGGTCCGAATCAGCAGTCTAAACCTAGCCGTGGGCTTGAGATATCATACTGGAGAACAAAGAAAAAAAAAAGGATGAGACTAGATGGTGCACAAGGAACAACTATCTTCAAATGTGTCCTCTGCTAGGGTACTGATTGCTTAACTCAGCTTGCAGGGAAGAGCATCTATGTTAAAATTGTCAACAGAATTTTCCCACTGATGTCAGAACCTGCGAGGAATCTTGCAGCCTTCAGTTCTTGAGCTCGCAGTAGAGCTAATTCCGAAGCTGACATGAGTATTTGCAAAGATGACTTGTGGGGGTTGGGAATGACAGGGACAAGGACCAAGCCACTTAGTAGAGACAAACAAACGCCAAACAACGCCTCGGTGTCTCATGTGATCAATGATCATACAATCTTAATCGTCGTTATCGTACGTATATAGATGTTCGTTCTTTGAAATCCATGTACTGGCTACAATATCTCCAGCGTTCTGATGTCCATGCCATGAACAGCAGCCATGTCCTTGACCCGTGCCATAATATTGTGATCCGAAGCGATCCTCTTGTACTCCCCACCACGCTGCTGCGCTAGCAAAAGTGCGCCAAAAGCCTGCCCAAGACGAACCATCAACCGTAACGCTCGTGAGGGCAACTCCGAATCAACACTTTCTTCATACTCGTCAAGAGAGCCGCTCACTGAACGATCTGACATAGACCAGGGCATAGACATTGTTTTGATGGACTTATCGTCCTCAAAGTCAAGCAGCCCGGGGTCATAACGATTCCACGGGCGGACGAGCAGGAATGTCTGCTGAATGGGCCTTGCCCGCGAGAATTGGATCAATCTATCCTCTGTGGTGATCACAAGGTCTTGAAGCCCATCTGCCTTGACAAAATAAGTGAAACATGTCTCCTGATCTTGGCCGCCCCTCCGTCTGACTTCTGTAACAGGAAATGTGATGCAAGGTAATTGCAGTCTGGAGTTCGCGAAACGAGGAGCGCTGAGGTTATCGAGGAGGGTATAAAGCGTTAAAGCTGACTCCACAGCGACAACATTTTGCAGCCTGGAGACGGACATCTGCATCTCATCTTCGGGTAAAGATGATGATATGCATGGTGGGGCTTTATACGAGGTAATGTCAGCTGGGAGACAGCTGTTGAATCGAGATGATTTCCCAATCCAGTCCAGAGCTGTAATGTCGCCCGACCGGGCGACAATCTCCTGTAAGAGCCGCCCGAGCGCATTTTGTTTCGTCTCGCCGTAGATGACGGGCAGGTGGATGCCGAAGATGCCGAACAATGAGTACGCGATGTCTTCCTGCAACGTAGTGACACGGTTCGATGCCCACTGGAGTTTCTCCCGCGCGCCTTTCATGCCCGGACGGAAGGTGACGAGGGACGATGCATCTATGCCTGTTGAATCCTGCAGCTCATGCATGATAGTGGCAGACATCTTGTGGTTGGAAGAGCGGTCGTCAAGATATGGGGTCCAGTCTGCTCGGTAGAAGAGGATAATTGTGGGAGCCAAGAATTCCTGAATAGTCCATCCTCGCGTGTTCCAAGCACTCTTTGCCAGCGCGCCAGAGTTCGCTGAGGGCGAGACGTCCGACAAGTAGACGATCGTAAGAGCTGACTGGCGATACCAAACAAACATAGAGTTCACCGATCGTTGGAGCTCAACATTGTTATTCTGGTCGATGCAGCAGGTATCACTCCAGGCCCAGCGATACCCCGCATCACGAGCAGTTTTGCAGAATGTCTGCAGCTTGACCATGGTTCCGACGGGATTTAAATCGTACACGACCTCGTCCTGGATATCGTGCAGCAGTGGCTCCTTCTGTTCCCACCTGTGTGATAACATGACCCGACTGAAGTACTCTGCGACTGCTTCTGTGATGAGCTCCGTTTTGGGGGGCGCATGGATCATCGATAGATATAAAAGTTGCTTGTACTCTGTGCTTTCCAAGAAGGTGTGTATCTGCGTCTCTCGATTGCATAAACGCCCAGTGGAGGTGTTGAGTAGACGAAGTGGAGCATTTTCCAGTTGAGCGTGAACGGCCCGTCGAATAGTGTCCTCTGCTTCAGATGGACTGGTATATTGCTGATGCAGCTCTGGAAAATGGGTTAATGATCTTCCTGTTGACATGTCATTAATGAGGGGCTTGCTTTGTTTCTGGGCATCGGGACCGTGGTCCAACTTGGAGAACATGATGTTAAAGGCCTCGATCGCTTCATCATAACGTTGGGCCTTGTGGAGTGCGACATGTTTCACTTCGTAACCAAGGTATGACGAAGGGTTGAGTTCAATGACCTGCACATCGGCGGCATCAGCACAATCGCTAAAAAATGATGCATATCATCCGCACCTTTTCCGCATCGTGAAGCGCCTCTGCATAAAGCTTTCGTTCTAAATTTACCTTACTGCGGTGCGCAAATAGGGACTCGTTCGAGGGATCCAGCCCAATCGCAGCCGAATACAATGCCACAGCCATCTCATAGTTGCTCGCAACAACAGCCTCAAGTGCCTTCGTGACACAGTGCACAGTACAGTCTTGTTTGAAGGTTAGTCGGTACTACTATGAGTGTCGATGTTCGATTCGTTTTACCTTAAACACTTACTGGTAGACCATTCGATGCACATGACCTTCCCAGCTTCGTGAATCATGCTCATCATGTATTGAAAAGATTCGACTGCTTCGATCACCCGGCCAGCGAGGAGGAACGCGTCGCACCGTCTTTGGTTGATGGTTTCCCATAACGAATCTAAATTCCAACCGAAGAGCTGCATAGCGCACAATGATCAATCAAAAGTGTCCTCGACAGCTTCGTAGCGACGCACCACCGTGAATATCTTCAATCTAGGTTCCAAAAGTGTCGTGTGTAAGAACAACCCAGTAATACTGGCCGTGAGTTGATCAGCAGCTTCGCTGTATTGCCCATTCTCGAAATCAATCATCGCAAGCTGCGCACGTAGATACGACTGAGGAGGTTTTCAAAGTGAGAAAATTTGTAAGGTTGAACATCAAACCCACATTGATAACACTGCACGGAAATCTATGTGGGCGTTGATAAGTAGTGGCCAGGTCTTGAACTCGCCGCATTGCTTCATTATGACGACTGGCATTGAAAAGTGAAACAGCCTGTACAAAATGCCATCAAAGTCTTAGTACGGCAAGAAGACTATGGAAACAGCGACGAAAATACCTTGATCAATAGTAATAGATCTACGATAATCGGATTATGATTGTAGAATATGAAAGCGAGATCGAAAGCTTCCATCGCGTCCCAGAGCTGCCCGTTGCCACAGAGGGCGATGCCCTTAGAAATATACCCCAATAAGGAGGGCTGGATTGCAATTGACTATGAGATAAAGCTGAGTCAACCTGTCGTCAGCGGCTTCATGATAAGCAGAGTGCCTAACCTTGGTTGCATCTTGAAGCGCATTCTCCCACTCGGCATGTCGTGCCCTTACAACTGAGCGATTGGCATAGGATTCGTAGTCGTCATCTGCGTCAATCTCTTGGGTCAGCAGCTCTTCAGCGGCATGCAGGATGTCAATAATGGATCCATTGTGGAGCGTCGCCGGTATAGTGAGAATCTGTATGAAGCAAGTTCATATTTCGTCATGAGTGAGCACATAGAAGGCGAGCAGCTCACGTCAAATAATGAGTGTTCGTCATCGATGCCAGAGGCTTCGTCAATTTCCGAGGGATATTTACTTGGACTACCGTGATTGCCAAGAAACTTTTCGTTGTTCTCGTAACTGCGCAACTATTTATCACCACACCAAATGGTAATGGATGAATAGACGAGCGAAACAATAATGGGTATGAGCATACCTGAGTCTCACTGAATGGGGGCCGTCGTTGCTGTGCTTCTTCATCTTCTAATATCCCTTCCTCTGCATTGTGTTGCTCGAGTATGTTCTTAATAGAACAGAGCAGCACCTTCCCTTCACCATCTCCACTCACGAGCAGCTCTCCGTTGGGAGAAATTGCGACACAGCGAACCAAAGCAGCGTGTTCGAGTACCTGTCCCATCAACTTGTGTGTCTTTGTGCACCACAGCCGCAAAGTGCTGTCGTCCGAGGCAGTGGCAATGAAAGAGCCATTAGAAGAGATGGCGAGCGAGTGGTAAGTGTCACTAGTGCAAGGTTGACCGATCTGAGCTCCGGTGTCTGAGCTCCAAAATTTGACTGTTTTGTCGAACGACGCAGAGACAAGTTGGTGGCTGTCAGGGGACCACACGACGCTTCGAACCCAATGTTGGTGAGCGTCGATTTCGAGAAGAAGCTCGGCATTATCGGAGCGCCAAATCCGGATTGAATGATCCGCTGATCCGGAGGCTAGTTTGAGCCCATCTGGGCTGAATGCAACACTCCAGACCGAATTATTATGCCTGTCGAGTGTTGCAAGGACACCGCCAGTCTCTGCATCCCATATGACAACCGTTTTATCGTGCGATCCACTGGCGAGCCTCTTTCCATCAGGTGAGAAACACACTGACAGCACCCAGCCTGTATGCTTCTCCAGTGGATCGAATATCATCCGTTCGCTCTCAACGTCCCAGATGATTACGACTTTATCATCTCCACTGCTCGCAATCCGCCTGTCGTCTGGAGATACGGCGATTGATCGTACATAGTCCTTGTGACCCTCGAATGGCCCTCCTACCAATGATCTTCTCTGCATATCACAAATCCGCAGGGTTTTGTCGTGTGAAGCGCTGACAACTCGTCGACCGTCCTTGAAGAACGAGACTGCCAACAATGAGTCAGTGTGACTTCGCATCATCTGCGTTGGGGCAGGTCGCCCTTGCATCATGCGCGGGGATCCACTTGCTGTGGGGTGCGCTTCTTGAAGCACCCCTAGTAACATGATGTCGCGTTGACCTATACAGAGACCCAGATGGTCAGTAGCATTTCAAGCCGACGAGAGCAGCGTACTTTGTGGATGTAGTTACGGCGTGGATCTTGTATGTGGTGAGTGGTTCTCAACTCATGTAGCTTATACTACAAGGTTCTTGTTGGCTCAGTACATGCTACTACGGCGCGGATCTCATTTCGCTTCTTCCATATCGCCGGCCCCATAGTAAGTACTTAAAGTATGCGATCGTGTTGCTGATTCGACGTCGGCGGTTTGAGCAATTTCCCCTCAGGCAGGATTTCACTCTATAGCAACGGACTGAAGCTTCGCGTCGATACGAACGATGTAGATTGAGCTCGTCTCAGTCGTTATGCATGTGTATTCGATATCAGTCCTACCGCCATGGATCTCCGCACCTTTCACGCGTGTCGTGTCCTGAGTCCACCTAATAATAGCAGCGGAGTTTGGTTGGTCGACATCTATCGTTCTCCCGTTGTAGTCCCCCTATCTCAATCTAACATCTCTTCGCCTCGCTGCCCTCGTCAGCCATTTGTAATTGTCGGTTCACATATATCACTTCGTTCTCATGAAAAAAAAAATCAGTCTCGCTATTTCATCCAGGACAGTCTCGATGACCGTGACAGGCTGGGGGCTAACCCGTCGCAACCGGACTTTCAGCAAAACGGAAAGGTCAGCACGGTAATGGCCTTACGAGATATTCTGCTTGAGTCAGCGTCTGTCGCAGGGGGTTGTGATCAACTCGAAATCTTCAGATAATACCCTTGCAGCTGTCCAACTTAGACTCGACAGTATTAACCAGTCCACACAACATGTCGCGGCGCGACTAGGTAAGCTATTAGGTAAATTTGATGGGAAGTCCGACAGGGTTTGGTCGAGTTGTTATGCGCACAGTGCATTTTGTAACTGCCGTCATATGTATTTTGATGATTTTCTCTTCCTGCTATTTTATCTACCACCAATAAACCTGGCAAGAGTTCCATCGACTTAACCTCATGCTCACACTTGGTCCTGGTTCTGTCTGCGATGTGTGCGCAGAAGAGTATAGTCCATATCGTGTTCCTCATTCTCTTCCGTGTGGTAAGTGAGCTCTCAAAACTTTGAACTTCGGATCATGACACCTCTGTCTTTGAGGTCATGTCCTGTCCTGGGGTTGCTGCTATAAAATTGTAGAAAAGACATTGCCTCGTCTCCAAGCTGCCTGTCCTTTCTGTCCCGATCATTTCACTAGTGACGATATGCGTTCAATCCGCATCGGATTTTCAAACAGTGGACGGGTCACTTCTCGGCGGCGAGGCCGCCTCTCCCCATCACGAAGGGAAGGCCGATTCCCCCTCATCGAGCCGGATGTCCCACATACACGTGCAGAGACCCGTAGACTGGAGGACAAAGTGGCCAGGGTGGCCACTAGAAAATGCTCAGTGGAGGAGGTTTCGACTCTACACAACGAGCTACAAGACTGGTTGACTCATGACGAAAAATCTCACAACCAGGTAAGTTTCTTTACTGTTGAATGTTTGTCATTCTTTTAACTCGGAATGCAGCCTTCTTCTTTATCCTTGTGTGCTGCGCTGCTCAGGGTGATTTTGATGAGTCACATCGCTCATTCGGAAGCTACGAGAATGGCAAAGGGAGTTGAGGCCACCCTAAGAGAGAAGCTAGACAACATGGAATTGAATGTCAGCAAGCTAGAAGCCAACTTAAGACAGTGCGTAACATACGGTCCATACACTTGGGTTTGCAAGCTGACAACTCTTGCAGACAAGTACGTTATAACTTATAGCTCGAGGAACGTCGTGTACGCCGCTCATCTTGTTTATTTTGTTACTTGTAGCAAACCCTTTATACCCAAAAAGTACAAGAATGTCAGGCTCTTCGAGCAGAGCTTGGCCGTTATACTCTGAAGTCTGCTTCTGCTCAGGCTGCAGCGTCACCTCCCCGATCCAGCACCGCCGCTCCAACTGGATTAAGCGAGCGGCTCCAATCAGTTTCATCAGCAGCAGCATCCACATACAACGTACCAGTTGTGCCATCCATGCTCTCGCGCTTTGCAGCTATTCATTCTCGAAGTGCCTCCGCATCTGTGTCAGGAGGGTCGAGACCAACGACCCCCGCACGCACGACGGCACCATCGATTAGGTCAGAGACCCCAACGCAACTTAGAACGACGAATTCTAGTACCCATGTGCATGCGCCGTTGCAGAGAAACTCCACTGCAGGTCAATCAGTGACTCCTACACCTGGTCCCGAAGAGGGATACCCGGCTATGGTTGTGCCAAAGATGCTGGTCCATGCTAGCAGTGTTGCAATGCAGCAGGAGAAGGAGAGGCGGGAGAGGGACAGACAACGAGAGCAGGAATGTGAGCGAATGGAGCGTGAACGGGGTCGTGATCTTGATCCAGGTTCTAAGAGTGACAGCACCTCAAGTTTAAGCGTCACTGACTTTTGTCCGATTTTACTTTCTACGTCCCCCATCCCCCCCTCAAGACCGCGGACTATTTCCATCTCCGCAACGTCGCCTCAAAAAATAACTCGTTCGCACTCTGATGAGCAGGAGAGGGAACGAGAGCGGATTCACGAACGTTGGATGCCGTCACCAAACATGGCATACATCCCGCCGACAGGCAAAACTATCAACTATCCACCCTACTTTGGTTCGTCCCCAGCTCCTGGCCGTTACCGCTCCTCGTTCTCAACAAACGTTGCTGGTTCGTCCTCAGCAAAATAACTCGCTTGCACTCCGATGAAGAGGAGAGGGAGTGAGAAGTTTGCCGTCGCCAAACGTGGCATATACCAGGCCAGCAGGCAAACCCGTCGACGCTCCCGGCCGTACTCGCTATCTAGACCATGTCTAATTCGTCAGTCAACACCAGAGCAAAGAGTCAAGGAACTACACTTGGTCCTCCCACGAGGCCATCTTTCGTCCTCAGAAGTCGGATTCCGGGTAGACATTTGACATCCCAGATCCACACGTTTGTGGCGCAATTCAAAAGACGCGTCTTCCACGGCCCCGCGTTGTGAAGAAGTCCTGAGGCTGAAACAAATGATCCCTTTCTTTGAAAACGCGGTCCCGGGCGCACTGATCCGATATTGATTGAAGATTCAGAGAATCTGGAGGTAAAAATGTGTACCTGCACACTGATTGCCCGGAACGCTTGCGATGCTCTGGAATGCTTGGCGAATCCAGGGTATACTGGACTGGTGACTTGTCCGTACTACGAGGTGAAGAAACTGGTCACAAGTCTAGTCTCGACTAATTTCTCGATAAAGTATCATTGGTACACCCCGACCATCGTTGGTGTGTGCACTTATCACAGGGCTCTATACCAATGCAATATATAGGCTGATGCTATTGTACATGAATGTATGTGCTTCCAAAATATTATACGTGGTGAACGAATAGATGGGTGATTGGGTGGAAAGATCCCTGAAAGCCTCATCGCAAGCTCGTAGCATCCATGATGCGTTCTATCTGAAGTTGTACACGTACACGTGCAGCCTTTCCCTCAGGGGTTTGACCACCGACCAGCTTTCCTGGAACTCCGCCGATACCTGTCGTTGCGCCCTCGTAAAGCAACTCCAGCATCTTTACCCACTGATTACCCCAAATTAACTTCGCTTCTATGCCTCCAACGTCAAGTGCAGCTACGAAGTCTAGGAGTGAGAGCTGGGAAGCACCCAATTGCAAAAAAACGCACCTTGAAGTATCTGTGCGGCTACTGCCGTCTCAAGTAATCTCTCATCCCCAATCATCCTCGCGAAATACGTCCAGAAACGTGGTAACTGGAACATTTTATCCAGTGGCTGCGGCACGGGCACAACTAGAATCAGGAAATAGACACGCATTATCCCAGACACGCGCATAACATGATCAGACAAGGTCTCTCTCTGGTTATCATTCGTCCGGTATCCCATCGCCTTGGTGCGCTCCAGTTCGTTCCACGCAGTACCGTCTGAATCCGTGGAAGGAATTACTGACGGTACAGGCCACCCTCCGGACCGCTGCACGAGCTTCGCGAAGAAAATATCCGGAAAGCCTTCCAGCGTGCCTAGCAGTCCTGCGGCGACCATGGCCAGCGGTATAGCGCTTCGTTTTTCGGCTGTGACTTCTGTTTCGGCTTGAAGAAGAATGGCTTTTGCTAGCGAGGATAGAGCAGCCAAGTAAATATCTGGAGGAAGTCGTTCTGACGGGCGAATGATATCTATGAGTTGTTGGGTCTATAAACTTTAACTTGAGATGATGGAATAATAGCGGAAATAGACTTACTATTCGCGCGACAGAATCGATGTCTTGTGTTAGTTGTCCGATCTTTGGTGTTATCTGTCGGCGAATGGCGCTCCATTGGGATTTGAGTGGCTTGTTCCCCTTGACTGTCTTCATTGGCCCGGCTTTAAGATTCTGAATTAGGCATTAGCATCTCGATACGCGATCAGAAGCAGCAGGTTCACCTTGAGAGTTTCACGAGCGTGCACCCAATCCTCTTCGGCCAATGACATTCCCAGTTGTGCCCTGCCCTGTTCCTCGGCGTCCAGCTTCTCCCTGCGTAAACGCTCTTTCTCTTCTTCTTGGTGTTTTGCAGCCGCTTCTGCCTCCCGCTGCCTTTGTGCCTGTTCCTCTTCTTTCCGCTTCACCTCTTCCTCCACTTTGCGTCTCTCTTCTTCCTCCTTCCGTTTTTTCTCCACCTCTTCCCGCGCTTTGCGCTCAGCTTCGAGTTTGGCACGTAATCTCTCCTCTTCCACGCGAATAACGCCCTCTATCCTACCATGAAATGTCTTATCTTGCTCCTGCCAACTACTTACGAGTCTATTAACTTCCGCTTGTTGCCGCACCTGCAATGCTGCGAGCTGCTTCTGCACTTCTGCGAGCTGCGCTGCGTGCATATTTGCTAATAATTGCAGCTCCTGCGTGTTACGCTGGGTACGCCGATTTTGGGTCTCTAAACGCGTCTGAACTTGTGCTTTGCGCGCTGTGTGCTATTTGAGAGGTTGTCAGGGGGTAAACTGCGTAGAAAGAACCGATAGCTACGCACGAATGCATCCTTGCGCGTTTGTTTCTCCCATTCTTCATAGGGATCATGGTATCGTGTGCGTAAGCGGATAGCAGCCACTGTGTCCTCTGCATGACGCTGTTCAGCTGAACTGCGTGGCTCGCGCTTTGGGCGGCTGCAAAAGTGACGTAAGTGAGTGTGAACACAAATATGATAGTGATTATGATACACGCACGGAAGTGGTGGCGGGACTTGTGATTCAGACTCATAGCAAAACGAGTCTGATGAAAGGGAGCTTGGGGAGGATAATTCTGAGTCTGAATCTGTCGGTGGCTCTTCGAAGTCGCTTTCGGTATCAGATGGGAGACCGAAAGTGGAGGTGCGTCTGCGAGATCTGACGGATACTGAGTCAGTCTGAGTCGCTGGCGCATGCACTGTGGACATACCTCCGTTCAGGAGATGGTGAAGTTGAGCGTGGCAATCCGTAACGCATAAGTGACGGCCAAATTCTGTATCAGACGTAGAGTACTGTTGGCTGCTGCAAATTTTCATGAAAGCACGGTCAGATGGCTATCGAATGCACCTACATCTGGGGCTCGAGTCAAGTTTAACCGGTGCAAGCAGATGTGGCACCCTACAGTAATCGCAATTTCCTCGTTTACATTCCATTTTGAGAGAAATTTCCACATAATAATATAAATAGCGTGTCAAAACGCAACTCCTCCACTGCCCACGATTATGTCCGTAGGGACCGCCAGCGCATCATCGATCATCTTTGTGTGTTGCACAGCTCACTGCAAGAATTGTCATCAGAACTGGCCCTCAGTGGCGATCCCAAGTATCGTACCAAGGCTAATGATTCAACTATTCCACCGTACAATCAATGTTTTTCTGGCAGCGCCTACCTATCAGGAGGACTCACAACAAACCAGAACTCTAGTGACACTGATCATGAAGGATGTGAAATGGAGAACTGTGGTTAGCGAATGTACCATCATCGCGATCCGGAATCTTGTTGATCGTATGCATTCTCCCCAGACAAAAACAAACTAAATCAAAGAGCTGCGTGATTTCCCTTCATCGCCATATCTTTCATCTCAAGACTTCGTGTTGAATTCGACTTGCTGGTGAGGATGAATCCATTGCAGACTCTTTGGATGGCGGCATTGTCTCCTGCCGCCTGGAGCCAGTGGTGAGAGATGTGGTGAGAGGCACCCGCCATTTCTCAGGTTGTGCTTTGTGAATGCCACTCAGCGTCAGACTTCATGCCATCTTATTGACACGTAACTTCTGATTGAAGGTCGTTCTCACAAATGATCCTTGATGAAGTCGCTCAGATAGGATTTTGATAATGAGCTGTGACATCAGGTAGCCTTGTGAGGAACGCCATCGTTCTTACGGTATTTCACAGGCGTGATAGTGACGGCTGACTGCTATACGACAGGATCAAGTCTGCTCGATTCGCGCAACGCTGTTCAAAGCTTTCATTTTTTACCCTCTGATAAACTAAAACTTCGGCATATGAAAAGAGCTGTTTTCTCTCATGTCGCATACCTGATTACAGCTGGGTTCTGCCGGACCCAATGTTGAGGGGCGTTAGGAAGAGCCTATATATCCTACCAGGATCAGTAAAATGATGCTGGACCAGTCGGTTTAGACTTCTGGTAGTGTCGAACTTGACGGTCCTGCGTGCCCGAGAGCAGCGGGCGGGCTAGTGGTGATGGGCGGGCTGTGAAGGGCCAAGACTCATTCGCTCGATGAATATTAGTAAGTGCCAGGCTACCTATGACTGAGACCGTGGGATCAAGCGCCACCATTTGACAGGTATAAGGATGCAGACACAAGGAGCTGAACGTTTCATTAAGCTTATGAATCTGCTGATTACTATCGGTTACGGTCTACTCGTGATCATCATAAATAGACCGTAACCGATGCCGAACGCTGTCAAATTCTAGAATCTCGCTGTCTTCTCCCGGGGCCTATTTGCTCACATGTAATTTGCACAGTAAGCAAACTCGGTTGTCGATGAAGTTCGTAATAATATAACGTGAACCAGCAGGTAGATCTCAGTCAGCAACTGACTCATTCACCAAGCTACCGGGACATTATGATTGACCTCTGACTAGCCTGATAGTTAGTAAGATCCTTTCCCGCACAAAAACCCTCCCTGATTACGAATAACTCTAGCAGCATCCAGTATCAGCCCACCAGGAAGTAATACGACGACAAATGGGTCTAAAGCTCTTGTATATAAACCCGAGCATTCCTTTGTTAAAGTGCTATTACTCAGACCATCATGTCCGAACAGCTGACTTTGTACCTCTACAAGGTGAGCAACGATGGTGAGTATAAGTGGACAACTTGTCTGACCCACAAGCCTATAGCTCTCGCCCTTCAGCCAAAAGGTGAAATAATTGCTAACACTATCTCATGAGTCTGACGCCAATTGACAGATCGAACTGGCTCTTGCTGAAGCCAATGCACCCCACGTAACCTACGAAGTTGACCTCTTTAATAAACCAGAGTGGTTCGCCAGTAAAGTGAACCCCGTTGGCAAGGTATCTGTGATGATATTCTGTGTCTATTGCAGACGAATGTGACACTAATTATAGGTGCCCGCTGTGACATATGGGGGACCCAATGTCGACCCCGACGATCCTTCGCCTCTGTCCGCTAAAATCGCGGAATCGAATGTCATCCTTGAGTTCTTGGCAGACCTTTATCCAGATTCTGGGCTCCTGCCAAAGGATCCTGTTTTGCGCGCCAAAGTCCGTTTTTTCATCGATGCGACTACTAAACACATCGAGGGACCGTTTTTTGCCTTCATCCGAGGGAGCGAGTCATATGACAATATCCTGAAGGGAATTGAATTTATTCAAGAACTTCTTGAGGAGGGTAGAGATTTCGCGGCTGGAGATCACTACACTATCGCGGATGCGTGCATCTCTCCGCATCTCGCAAGGCTCAAGATTGTCATCGAAACTGACTTAGGTAGAGCACCCGCTGGCGCCTTTCCCCGAGAAGTTGAATCTGATTAATTGGAAACAGGCAAATTCCCTGTCGGGATGGGGTATAAGTTAGGCGAGGAGTTAAAAGGACCTAAATTTGCCAAATTCATGAAGTACGGTCAGCGAATGCTGGGACCGTCCAAGCCTTGAAGCAAACCCACTGATGAGGTATACAGTCCATCAACGCGAACGACTCAACACTTACTCTTTACTGTCTTTAGGAGCCTGTGATCAGATTCTTCAGGACGAGATTCAGTGAGCGCGTACAATGAAGATATACCTGGTAACAGATAGTTAGTTTCGTATGACAATAATGTCTAGCTGTCGGAAATTGCAGGGTATTCATGTGAATATTAGGCGATGAACCATCTACAAGAAAGGCGTATGATAAACGTAAAATTTCGATGTATCTTGATGAGTTATCACTGCCTTCAGCACCCTTCGCAACATCAGTTGGAAGCTTGGATCGCAATATATGAATTGCAGATGATGAGGGTTTCGAACTATGGTTCCCTTGCGTAGCGCGAACTCTAATTTCACCGAGTCTTTTTGTGCTCGACTCCCCAATTACGAGCCACCAATTTACGATTTGTTTTGCCGGGTCGGAAGGTGCAGCAACATGTTGGTCACCAGGGTCCTCGTCTGCATCGCAAGCAAGAGCGGCCGAATGATAATGGGACTAGCAGTATACTTTCCTTTGTCAAGATTGAAGGACACGCCAAGGGTTGGGTATGAGGTGACAAACATCGCTACATCACGCCTAGCCATGCTGTCAATAACTTTGAAGTAGATACACACAGAAGATCTCCTATTTGACGAACTATCTATTTAGAAGGTTCGTTGCGTTGTCAACTTCTATCTTCAATTAATGATGCCTAATATCTTCAGGTTTTGGATGCCCCTTAGCTCGATTAGATCAATACGGCTACATCTGTTCAAGTTTATCATCACAGATCCATATACTACGAGCAGAGACAGTACCTACTACTTAGTCTTATGTGCATATTCGGTGCGCGTGTTCGAACACAAATACGCACCGACTCTTTATCAAAAGCCGGAGGGTTTCACACTACCTATTTTCCTCGAGCTTTACCCACAGGATAATATGGTATACCGAAAACTGTCACCGCGGTAGACTCAGATGAATTCACCACATTGATGTGTCCTGTTTTGTAGTAATTGCAATGTGTAATGAATTGGATATGGCGCTAGACTGGGCGATGATGGAAGAAGCGACGTGAGATCCATGCTGTAGCAGCGTGGTATGGACCCACCAAGAACCCTACATAAGCACCTAGGATATGAGCTGCGATTCAGAAAATCATCAATTCACTACACACAGGAACGATATCCAAAACGTACGCTCCCTGTCAACTTGAATTTATTCTAAATGACCGTCTATTTCTTTGTCTAGGTCGCACGACATGTCAGGGGTACCTGATACAGCAAGAGGTACTTTGAAAGTGCAGCCGGCGCCAACGCAGGCAGTGCGACGGTGCAAGAACAAAGTGTGGGCAGTGGCATTCTTCAAAGACGGCCGACGGGTTGTCACTGCTTCGCATGATAAAACCCTGCGTATTTTAGACGTGCGGCAGACAGGAGAAATGGTGGGAGGGCCATTCAAAGGGCACACGGACCGGGTGCGATCAGTCGCCATATCTCCAGACGAAAAGCGAATTGCGAGTGGTGGAGATGATGCCACCGTCATCATCTGGGACACAGAGAGCAAGCAGATGGTACTCAATCCGCTGGTGAAGCATACAGAGAAGGTGAACTCTGTGTGCTTCTCCCCGGATGGAAAGAGAGTCGCGAGCGGTTCACATGATTCGACGGTTGTTGTATGGGATGCGGAGACTGGCGCAGTCCTTGCAACACTCGACAGTCAACATCGTTATAAAACAGTACACGTGTGGAGTGTGTCATTCAGCCCGGATGGGCTAAAATTAGCATCCGGATCATCTGACCATACCATCCGGGTGTGGCGCACCGTTAACGCCGAATGTCTACTCAAGATCAACGCTGGCCAATGGTCAGTTCGAAGTGTTGTGTGGTCGCCTGACGGCAACCAGCTTGTTTCTGGATCATCTGACAACACAGCCAAGTTCTGGAATTCGTCTAATGGAGAAAAGATCGGTCAACCGTGCATCGGTCACACTCGCTGGATCACCTGTCTTGCCATCTCTTCAGATAACTCCTTCATCGCCACAGCATCGGACGACAGCACTGTGCGGTTGTGGTGCACAAAGACGCACAAGCAGATAGGACATGTGCTTGAACACGCCAAAAAAGTTCACTCTGTCGCAATTTCTCCCAATGCAGAACTGCTCGTGAGTGGAACCGATGGTGGGAATCTTCAGCTTTGGTCTGTTAGGGATATACTGGAGCAAGGCAAAGTGGAGGAAAGCGCACTAGAGGACGAAGAAGCACAGGGAGGGCAACTTCGTTATTGCAGCAGCAAAACACAGGTGTGTTCTTACTCGTCATTGTTCTGCCTTGCTATTCATCAATAACATTTTTTTGCGTGCTGATTCACAGGGTAGTTGCGACAGCGACAATGAGCATACCAACGACAACGGAGGTCACAAGGAGCCCTCTGTCGATCAGGACAGTACAAGTGACTCATCTGGCAGTGACGACCAAGACTCATTATTTGACGTGAGCTATTTGTCTTCGTTCACTTTTGACCAAACATAAACTTGCTTTATATAGACCTTCGCTATAAAGATGGCGGTCCGGAATTCTGGGGACCTTCATATCATAGAAGACCTTCTGACCCATGAGATTGATTTTGACGAAGATGACAACAGGCGCGACACGTACGCTAATCGCTCAATCGTAAGGGCACGGAAGTCCGAGTGGGACGATGCGCTTCAAGACGCAGTCAAGGTCAGACATTCTACCTCTCATGATGCCGTCGACGACAAGTAACTCAATTTTGTTGCATAGTCCATTGCTATTCAGCCCTCGTTATTGGGCTACATTTCCAAGGGCGTCGCTCTCTGCGGCAACAAGCAGCTCTGGGACGCGATGGAAGCTTTCGATTTCGCTTTTGTATATTCCAATAATGATCCGAATATCATCAATCTTTTACTATTGATCAAGGTACTGTCGTCACTTTTTATAACAGTCAGTTTGTCACACCAAGACTTCGATGTCATTTTGTTCAGGCTATTGCACTTTTCGATGCCGGCCGCCACGATGAGGCAGTGCGGCGAGTTCAAGACCTCACGACCGCTTCTCAACACTCAGATCCAATTTCGTGCAGCGTTGTGAATGTGAGCTTTGTATTAGACCTCAGAGTTTTCTCACTCTCGACGAAACTCGTTAGTCGTATCTACGCGTGCAGCTTGCAATGATTGCTTTCCGGGATGGACGGTATAACGAAGCCGCCGATCAACTCGACTGCAGTATCCCCAGTATAACCGACTTGTTATCGAGCAGGGCACTTTTTGAACCTAGATTGAAGATATTCACGGTGGTGCGTCACGAGGTCACAGAGTACATTCTGATTGATGATATGCCGCACAGCTCTTCGGGTGGGACTTGGATTGGTCATGGCAAACCGTCAACCAAATACGGTGCGAAGCATGCCTGTGTGCTGATCGAGTGATCGAAGCTATCGAATCCCACCAACACATGATGTCCATGATCGACGAGGATGTGAAGGACAGCGGCCTCGAATGGTCTACTGGTAGGTGCTTTTGGGTCTTAAGACGACTTGAACATCGACACTTACTCTGGTGTTGTTTAGCCTTCAAGAAGGATTGCACTGCGCGCTGTGTCGCAAAGGGAGACGAGGCTGTTGCTGCAAAAAATTATGAAACGGCTATTGAACTGTATTCAGCAGGAATCGAGCTGGACTCTTCATGCGAGCCACTCTTTGTACACCGCAGTAAAGCAAATTTGGAACGCAACCTCTTCGCAGCAGCTCTTCAAGACGCGAACAGGGTGAGGATGATAGTTATCATTTCTCTAGTAGTTGTACTTATCCTACTAATTGCGTAGGTCATCAAACTCAATCCTTCTTCTTACCTAGGGTACCAATTAAGGACTGCAGCGCTTCACGGTGCTGTGCGCTGTAATGAAGCAGACGAGGTCCTCCAAACCAGGTTCTCCAAATCGGATGATACCCAAGATGCACAGATACGACGTAAGCCCCGAAGAACTGATCTGTCAATTCGAAGATGATGACCTTTTCTTCAGAGCCTCAGCACTGTGCCAATGTGTCAGACATAGATGATGGTATTCGACGAGTCATTCACACTCAGCCAGAAAGTGCCTCGCTTCGTTTACCCATTCCTAACTCTCCCCCACTATCTATTTTTGTCGATGCTTCTACTTCATTTGGCATCGGTTTCCTCGCTGATTCCCGCTGGCTCGCTTGGGAATTGTTGGACGGTTGGAGAGCAGATGGTCGGGACATCGGATGGGCAGAAATGGTAGCGATCGACCTCGGTCTTCGCGCCCTTGTCTGCTCGGGTCTTCGTGACGTGCACGTGCGGTTCCGTTCTGACAACCAGGGTTGTGTTCAAGCCCTTAAAGCTGGTCGCTCTCGCAACGTTGTCCAGAATGACATTCTGCAACGTCTCTCTTCCTTTGCTTTCGAACACGGCATCCGGATCTCTGTTGAATGGGTAAGGTCTTGCAACAACTTGGCAGATGACATCTCTCGCGGCGTTTTTCCCACTTCCCACTCTCGTTTCAGTTCTCCTCCTCCCTTGCCTGCTTACCTCAAACCCTTTGTCCGCTTGGTGTAGTTTGGTAGGTTCCCCGCAAGGTCCCTTACGGCTGTACGCCGTTCTATGTAATGGCTGTTCTAGGAACTTTTGATATCAGAAACCTTTAAGACGGACAAATTTTGTACGCTGACCTATCTTGTAATTCCTCAACTCCAAAAAATTATGATATTATATACTGAGGTTCACTACTGTAACATATATATGCAATACCTATCCTGTCACCAACGGGGGACCACAGTACCACTCCTGACAGGACGGCGGAGCATCTCCCCATGAATACTAACCTCCCTCGCGACCGAAAACAATGGCTCAATGACATCCACATCAACTTCGCCCAACGGTATGGTTGTCTGAAAGTCTACCACCTGTACGTCGCATGATGCAATTTCCAGCGCTGTCATAATACAAGAAACTTCCGATTCTTCCGGATCCGCCACAAGCGTCAATTTGCGCAACATGGGAAGACAAAGTTCGCCAAATATTTTGAGAACTTCGCGTTGTTGAAAAGGATCTGAGGGGATGGGGATAGTGATCGATTCGAGGCAAAGGATGGGTGGTTGAAATATGTGGATGGCCAATATCCGATTTGATTGCATCCACCTTGATGGACTCCATACGAGGGAACATGAGGAAAGTGGAGCGTATGACGCGGGCAGAAGCACTCTCCACCCAGAGATGACGCACATTGTGACAGGTGGGAGTATGTCTGAATCGCATGGTAAGAGACCAGCGATAAGCGATATGTAGGTGGGTGAGGTTTGGTGCATTGAAACTGCTGAGTTCTGACCAGCAACACTGCAAGGATCTCAATTGGGGTGTATCGAAGTCACGATTCCAGTCATCTGCGGACACCAGAGCCACAGTTCCCCAACGCTTGCTCTCAGAAAGAAGGATTCCGAGCAGTTGAGAATCTGCCTGTGAGGGTTCGTGGCACGACTGTCGTGTGCAGCGGCGTGTGGTGCGTACGGGAAGCTCTCCGGATAAGATGCGGAGGGTGAGGGGTTGATCACCAGAGCGTGCAAGCCACGACTGGAGGAAAGATGGAAGAAACGGTGTCAAGGGTTCGACTCGTCCCGGAAGGGAGACCTGCATACGCGACCAGACTGCTGTCGTTGAATGTGCAACGACTCGCCAAAAACGGCACACATAGGTGAAGACTAGGGGAGGGCTGCCAACATTGGCAGAGATGGTGGTATCTCCATAGGCGAAGACACCAGGACAGTCTGGAACGTCATTGACGACGAGCAAGAAAACCTGCTGTAGAAGTTCCACTGGCAGCATATGAATGTGGACAGCTGGCCAGTTCACGTTGACGGGAGAGTACTCGTGTGAGTGAGTGAAACCGAGATCAAAGGCTGTCATCGTTCAAACGTTCAGGTGAAACCACACCGTCTGAGGGATGAAACTTGTCAAGCCTTTTATGTGATTTTAACGAACACGTGTGCACACTGCAGAGGTATTCTGCCGTACAAGACCCTGCAATGAACAGGGTTGATCAAATCAGTAAATCAATTGCTCAAGGACTCAGTTGACGTTACTGTATCCGACATAAGTAAAAATGCAGTACATACATAAAAGTTACCGATGCTTGGCAGTCTCACGTAGCTATGCAATCACCATTCCTGACCAAATCCAAGTCTCTGAGGGTCACTGGAAGGGACTTAGTTACTTGAGGAAGTTTCCACTGAAGACTGGAGGTAAAACCTGAGGGTCGCAAAACGAATACCAGGGTGAACGGTCACTCGGATAATGATGGCCCAGGAGTGACCCACTTTCAAAGTGCGATATATTAGCCTTCAAAGCTACTGGGCGTGATGGTGCGATGAAACGGACCACGAACGCCACGAAGCCTATCTACTACATGCTATGAGCTGGTTAGGTAGAATGAGTGAGAGATTCTTGCAAATATTACATAATCTTGTAAAACGGATATCTTAACACAGCTATGATGACTCAACGGCGTTAAGCCTCACCGAGTACATGCTGAGTCATCATAGCAGTGTATTGCACGTTGACACCGCCCTCATGGACATGTGCTAGACAACTTTTGTTATGAGCTAGGTATGCTTGTCGTTCATCCCGCAAGTTGTTGTGACGTCTGCCTCGATCTCTACTCTATCTCTTCAGAACCCGCCAATTCTCCACATGCAATCGCTTGTGGTCATATCTTCTGTCTCACGTGCGTTCATACTCCCGGCCAGCTTGCGGCCACCAATATTCATGTCTCTCCTCTCTTATCCGACTCTTCAATCCTAGGTGCCTTCGCTCCTTATCACCAAGTGCATGTCCACTTTGCCGTAAACCTTTCCAGTCAGATCGTATCAAGAAACTTCACCTTGCGAATCCACCCGAACTAGATAATGCTGAACAGAATGCTCTCGATGCTCAAGCCAGTCTCCTCCTCCAGCGCATAGCTCTAGTCTCAGGTGAAGACACTCCCGAGACAGATGTCGTTGAAGTAGTCACCGAAGTGCAGGAATGGCTGCAGTCTCAACCGGATGACCCTAATTCTGTGAGTCCCTTTAATCACTGCAAATAGCTGTCCTTGCTGTCAACTCAATGCTTCTCCAATTTCTCACATACGGGATTTTTAGCATATGGCTCTTCGAGCTGCCGTGACTTCCCTTCAGCGATACAAAGCTCTTCAAGATCAGAGTGAGCGTGAAAAGGCAGAATATCGTCGCCTCCGAAGCCAACTTCGGAACAACAAGCGAAATGCGGACCACGACTCCAAAACATCTCGCGCAGTGGAAGAAAGTCTACTTTCCAGAATCCAAGAAATAGAGAATGAGCATGCTTTGTGAGTCATCAATCATAAGTTAACGAATATTTTCTAAATAACCTCTCTATGTAGAGAGGTGATTATTTGGTTCAGCGGTATTTGCATTGGACTTACCTCATGTCCTCGTAGCTATCTCAATTACATTCTGAGCTAGAAAACCTTAGAAATCCGCAACCCCGATATCGTAACACTAGCAATCCCCTCCCTCCACCTCCAGAGCCCTTGCCAATCGGTCGATTCCCGACCTTTGCAAGGCCTGGCGGAGGTCCCGACCCTCTCCTAGGTGGCGCTGTTCCATACCCCGCACCACCTCCACGGGATAACACCACCCACGTTAATGGCGATGCTCACGCCTCAGGATCTAAGGGGACAAGCTCATCCCACAAGCCAGTTCCTCATCCGCCCAAGCCCCTACCCATATCCAATACCAGACCTCCCGAGGTTCCTCGGGTAGAAGAACACTGGACAGACAACACGCGGCCCCGTGCACCTGAGTCTCAGCCGAAAATAAATATCACGACCCGCGGAGTACACATCCCTCCCAGCGCTGGCCGTATAAATCCTTCTCCCACCTGGGCAGCGCGTCCCCTCGTCGTCGAGGATCGGCGATCTGACGACGAGAGAGAGTTAAGACGCAAAGAGAGGAGCAGTACTAATGTCAGCGCAGACGTAGCGAATAATCTGTCCACGCGACTAGCCTCCGCCGCAGCTTACGTCTCAGGCTATGGCTCAGGGTATGAATCAGGCTACCAGCTAATCAGTGCTCCGTACATGTCGTCGACTGGTGGCAATGAAAGGGCCTTTCCGTTGTTAGAAACGCAATCACCAGAACAAGTCACGGATATTCTGGGCTTGATCGACTCGTCGGGGGACGATCATATGACGCCTGTGCCTCGAGCGCGACCCGTTCCCAGACGGGCTGTGACTGAAACCGCTCGAGCGGATAATGTTTCTAGGGGTTATCCAGACGTACCTTCGCTTGGTTCACTACCATCTGAGAATGGGATGCGACGTCGGGCGACGGTGCAAACCGTTGTTCAGGCGGCCCGAGTGGAGAATGTTTCCAGGGGTCTTTCGGATGTGCCTCTGCTTGGTACGCCACCGCCTGATAATGGTGTGGGACGTCGAGCGGCAGTGCAGAGTGTTGGCCAGGTTCTTGGTTTCGATATTGGGTTATCGATGTCGAATGGGAATGCAGCAGTAGGATCGGCGCGTTTGAATGACAACGCAGCCGGCTCTGCTCGTGTCAACGACGGCGCACCGTCCCGTCCCACCGACGCACAGATCCGCATGCCCAGACCCCGAGCACTTATCCCTCCACTGGATCCAACACCAGACGCGGAAAGCCCAAGAAGCGCCAGCACATGGGGAACCATATCCACCTCACGAGCAGGCAGCATGGATCACCTCGGGCTCTTAGGGCTGCACAATGGGGGCGTGCGTGGGCAGGGGAGCGTTGCCGGCGAGTCTATAATAGGTCGCCTAGAGTCAGACGAAGATACAACAGATGAGGACGGCGAAGATATCAGCGTGACACCTGTTATACCCATACCTACCGCTGAACCAGATGCATTGGGTCTTATTCTTGAAGATGGAGGGCATGCGGATTATGCGGTGCGCGATGAGGGGTGGAGGTATCGTGCACAGCCTTCGCATACTGCTAGTCGTACTTCTTTTCCACCCAGTCCCACCTCACGTCCACCAAATCACACCTCTCATCCTCCAAATCACACCTCTCGCCCTCCAAATCGCCTCTCTCATGTCCAATCCTCTCGCACCCAGCGCACTTACCACCGTCGACATACATCGCAACCGAGGGGATACGAAGAAGGGACGACAACGCATGTTCCCAGTGGCAGTTCTTCATATACAAATAGCAACGCACTATCACTCCATTTTGATGCTTCGCTTTCAATCCATGATCATGCTGCGCGTCCTTTGACAGGCGCCGGGGGTGGTTCCTTTACAAGTACCGGGCATGGTCCGTCTACAAACACCGGGCATGGTTCTTTCACAAGTGGGGAGCATGGTCCTTTTTCAAATACAGGGAATGTCGATGGCCCACAGATCATCGCTCCTACTCCAGTCGTTGGCGGGCCTAATATCGTGCATATGTGGGCTAGTCGCACATAACTGGCGCTTCTGATGTATACATATGGTTCTTTTTATCTGGAATCTGGATTATCCTCCTTTTCCCCGTTTGTTTTTCATCGCTGAGTTTTTGTTCTCACCACACTCATTTTACTTGACATAAACATGATATAGACACTGGTTTGTTGTTACCTGTCATCCGTTCGTTGTTGTGCTATCTATCTCCTTTGTTAGGGTTGTTTGTATTATTAAATGTTTCCGTCACTCAGTGTGCGTGGTGATCTATCGTAACTGACATTCAACTGCTGCATTGCCGTTGACTTCATGAGATGATGAGCAGGTCGAATTCGGCTTTGACGGGTTTGATACTATGACACTGGGGTTTGAGGTCATCGATCTGCATGACATGAGACGATAAGCTCTTTTATTATGCTAGCTGTGGGTGGATCAAGTGGGTATCGGACAAACAACGTTGCAGCGGCGGTGGTCACTTAATATTGACCGGTGGGCATGAGGCTCTCGCGATGTGTGTGTATAGTGTGCAGCGACAGAAATTGATCATCCTTGACATAGACTCTAGATTACGCCCTGATGTGCCTGCACGGAACCTTCCGTCAACGATACAACTGATATTAATTGCTGAGATAGCGTCCCTTCCATTCCCTTCTAATGGTCCCCGTACTTTATACTGCGGATCAACTGAAACTGTAACGGCGATGTTAATTTGACTATATAGTGAAATCGCGAGGCTTCCGGCGCGTGTGATGTGCATGGCCAAAGATGTGCGATGAGCGCAAGCTAAAGAACATCGTGCACCAAGCTTATTTTCCCCACGCGGACCAAATAGCAAGAAGCCTAACATGTCATAGCGTACGTGTACGTTGCATGTACGCCATTTGTCGTAAACTGTTATCATCAAGCATCAGGTCTTTGCCGTCAATTTTATCAGAAGCGACGGGTGGAATTCGGAGTTGCGAGTTTGATTGTCAGACTTTTTTTTTATAGCGCTAGTGTTTTGCGTTCAAGTTGGTCACGGTGGCGCGGATCTTCGATCAACAGCGGTAACATTGTTTCATTGTTGGCTCAACTGGCACGAGGCACCCTGACACATGTATGGTGCGCAGCTAAAGACGCTGGTCATTCCTAGCTTCAGAGATCCTAGACAGACAACTACGTACGCCTGGTCTGAATCACGCCGTATCAGCACTCCATGGAAACTTCCCCAATCACTAGCATTAATCTTGACAGTGATAGCACACCTTCCAACAGTTCCCTATCGGGTTGTACTGACTGATTTATCTCGAAGATAATTGAAATTAAAAGATGCTATATCAGAACAGCAGTGCAGCCATCTGCGTCCAGACTCCAGAGGTATCCAGCTGTATCCAGTTGGTGCAATCAACTGATAGACGCATTTGCGTCCATCGGTGTTGAATGACGTCCGTGCCGGGCTCCGAAGTCATCGCAGTGCGTCCCACTCGGATGCTTGGAATAGGTCTGGAGTTGGAGTGCTAGCGATCTGGAGCTGATCCAAGTCGAGAATACGCAGAGCGATGTTAAGCCGAGAATGCAGAGCCATACCAAGGAGAGAGAAAATGAACAATTGAACCCAGATGGCCGCGATGGGCGATGTGCCTATCGATAGTGCAGATCGATATACTTTCGAAGTATAATGTAAGGGGTGTGTTGTTGACTCCGAAACATTCTTGCCATCTTGGGAGCGAAGCATTGACTCAGGGGCTGCAGATAGTCCGGGAGTTTGGCACGTCCTTAGGGGAGGGAGATGGTATGAACGTGGGGCCGAACCGTGCAAGTTGCTGTAGTCGAGAAAGGATTCGGTAATGTTATGGCTGCCGAGACGGTGTGAGAAGATAGAATACTGGCCTGTGCGCTTGGAAAGGCAGACAAAGAACATCCCGTGCAGGACGAGGAGCCGATACAGATATGTCAGGTGTCCAAATGAAGGGCACACCGGAGAAAAAAACATACCCATCAGACAAATTAGGACCGATGAGGTGGCGAAGGGTACAGTCATTTCTGAGGTGACAACCCAAGGTAATGGTTAGTTTCAGAATCAAGGGGATCCCCAAAGACTAGAGTAGGGTGCAATGGAGCATCATGCATCATGGTTGATGTCAAGGGCATTGGTGCGCGTCAGCGAGGTATCGTTCTCTACAGGATGACTTCTCAGGTTGGAAAATAGAGCTGCCTTGAGGCAAAGAGGATCTAATCCAGTATATCTTTGGCAAGAACCTGTGGATAGTATATACGTATAAATACGTGTTCAAAATCGAGCGCCCTTTGAAAGTGTGGCAGACGCCCATGTCGCTTCGACATCGTAACACCATGTCGCCGTTAAGCACCCCAGTACATCACCCTTAACCTCGAGCGACACTACCGAATTGATGACAGAATCTTATGCTCCAGAATGATTTGAGATTATCGGATGTGAAATGTTCCCGTCATCCATCCGCAACTCCCCGTGATGAATAGGACTCACGGTAATCCAGAAGAAGTTGGAACTTAGCAGTATTCCAGAAGGAACGTAGCGGTAATCCAGAAGAACAAGAGAGTGCCCAAGGTCAGAACTAGCCTTGCAAAATATGTTCAAGAGCCAGGTTTAATTCTGGTATTTGCTGTACTAATGATCAAGGCATGACATACAACTTTATGTTGACACGTGCTCAGTCCACTACCGACGGCAAAGGTGTTTTTTTTTTGTTCAGTGCTACTTATCACGAGCGAAGTCACGCATATAACGAAACGATCCGGACAAAATACGTTGAGCTGTACGTTCTTTGCGGCACCTCTTGACGAAACGTTTAAACAGCGACTTATTATGCAACGCTGAAACCACGAGGACTATCCGTGTCGGGCCGGTTCCATGAGACCAGCGGAACGAACTGATTGTTCGTAGACACCCCTTCTCCATGCCAGGCAGCCGAAATTGAACGTGCGCTAAGGGGGGTTGTTCACTGCTTTATCCATGCGCAGTTTTCCATGAATCTACTTCTGCCGATTCGGTGCAAACTCTCAATCCCGGCAAGTGGTATTGATTTCCTTCAGGGTTTCCTGCCAAACTTCATTAAAGGTAAGACTCGGGTCACACTGTTCTTATCGTAGCCGTTCGAACTCAGATTGGAAGCTCCATCCAGGTGATTGATCGTGCCAACTTAGTATGTGATCATTTCACTGAGATTTGTCTAAGGCCCTCAAGGAAGTGGCGAAGTTCTATCTCACGTCGCTTAGCTGCCTCGTGTCTTCTTATAATCTCTTCAACGTTATGAATGTTCGCTCCTCCCCTGCATACCATTACACCACCCACCCCGCCACGCACGTTAGGTCTGGCACTTAAGCCTTTGCTGGCTTAAATCCCTTCCTTCCCCCATATACCCGAGTGGGTCCTTAACAAGTCCCTAACTTCCTTCCTTCTTTCCTGCGCGGTGTCTCCTCGCTAGAGTAGGCGATCAAGCTGCTGTAGGCTTAGTTCGCTCCTTTTCCTGATCCTCAAGGGAGTCTCTCCATCGTCTTCCAACCATGCTGGTGCTCAGCAAATCCTCTACCTGTGATGTCTGTATGGAAGGCTATATGGCTGGCGGGAATTCGCCACACTCGATCTCTTGTGGGCACGTATTCTGCCAAAAGTAAGTATTCGTTCTATCGATCGTGCGTTGTTTTCACGTAACCTGACAATCTGAAGGTGTCTCGATCATCTTTTGCGCCACATATGTCCCCTTTGTCGGACTCGATTTTCCCCTCAGGACGTCCGCAGGCTTCACATTGATATGCAGTCGCCTGCGATAACGACCGCTTCCATAGAAGAAGTCCCTGAAAACCCTGAATCTTCTCCACCTCCTGATGACGAAGCCCGTACCCTCCAGAACGATATCGCGCGTGTTGTCAAAGAAGGCGCCAAGCTTCCTGAACTCCGCCGAGTAATCGAGAAATGTCGAACGTACTACAAGTCACAATCAGCTGACCAGGTATGTTCTTGATGCCGTTATGTTACGACGGTCCTAATTCCATCTGATTCTTTCGTGATCAGCAAAATCCTGTGAAAGTGAGCGCGCTGCTTCTTTGGAACCTCGCCGAGTCTCAACGTCATCTCGCGGAAATGAGAAAAGACAAGGCGGCTGAGGTTGAGAAGACCCGGGTGGTGGAAATTGCTCTTGAAGAAATGAGACTGGAGAAGGTGGCTGAGGCTGAAAGGGCCTGTGAGGCAAAAATTGTTCTTGAGGAAGTACGCTCGCGTCTTACGGCAGAGATCGTGAATTTGCAAATGAAGTACGAGGAGCTGCAACGTATTCGACAGGATGAGAAAGATACTGCTCTTGCCGTAGAGAAAAGTTTGAGAGAACACTACGATGAATTGAATGCACATTGGAGAAGGTGAGCCCATCGTATTCCGGTCCATTTATTTCATGGACTCATCGGTACCATTTAGCAAAGTCAGTATCTCGTAGTTTCCTGCGAGTGTTGTTTGACTGACGGACACAGTTTGAAGCCACGATGCGTGAGAACAAGGTTCTCCGGGAGGAGCTCATGCGCGCTAGAATTGCGTTTAACCCGCTACCTGACTTCCAACGGCCGGTTGAGGTCCGGTATCTTCATGCAACGGAGCAGAAGCATCCTGAGAAGTTGATCGAGGACGATCCTTTGAACATCAAAGCACGAGCGAGGGCCAAAGCGAAAGCGAAAGCCATCGAGGACGAGGAGTTCCACTTGTCTCCTCTCGCCCAAGTAATCGGAACTTGGCCTTCCGCAATCCAGTCGTTTCGCGCTCTGGTGGATGAAGATGAGACTGACGACTTAAAGAAGACCTGCAGCAGAAAGGAATCGGAACTGAAGTCTAACGCAGACGAGGATCAAACAATGGGTGATGCTACGTCTCAACTTGTTCCCATTCCTCGGTCCTCGTTATCTCGTCAGGTGACCGACTCCTCCGTCTCTTCGTCTATCTCCACGGCCAACCCGGATAACTGGTCCGGATTATCACGATCGCCTCGTGATGACATTCATGTCGAGTCGTGATGGATCTACTTCACGTCGTCACTCCACTGAGCGTTCAATCACTTTGGCACGCAGTGGTACTCATTCACCATCTCGCAGACTGTCACGGGAACAGTCCACGCCGTATATGTCCAGCCGCACTTCCTCCCCCTCACGCCGCTACTCCTCGGATCGCTTGCATGGACCTCGGTTGAAAGACACTCATTCGCGAGATTCATTTGATGGTGGTAGCAGGGATTACGAGATGCGCGCAGGAGATACGTACGAACCAAAGGTGAAAGACCAGCCTGCACCGCGTCAGATTATGGCGGCCGACGACTTTCGGGACAAGGATCGCGAACGCCTGCGCGCTCAGCTCTATGATATCCTTGACAGCCCTATGGCATCATCCTCCCTCAAGATCCCGATGTCTTATAGCGATGAGTCGCCGATGCCCCCACCATATCCACCACCGCCATCGTCCAATACGATCCCTAGGCCGTCGAATTCTAGTACACATGTGCATACCCCGTTGCGGAGAAACTCCACTGCGAGTCAATCGGTGACTCCTACACCTGGTCCTGAAGAAGGATACCCGGCTACGGTTGTGCCAAAGACGCTGGTGCATGCTAGTAGTGTTGCAATGCAGCAGGAGAAGGAGAGGCGAGAGAGGGAAAGACAACGAGAGCAAGAACGTGAGCGAATAGAGCATGAACGGGGTCGTGATCGTGAGCGGGAGCGGGAGCAAGAGTGGCATCGCCTTAAGGATGCCACCAATGTGCCACCCGATGTTTATCCCTACCATCGCGATCGACGTATAGGCAGGACCAAGTTGTCCAACCCGGTCACCGCTGGAGCAGACTGATGAATCATATGACCTCCCGATTTATTAACCAACTGTCACTTTTGGATTCTTCATTCCCCATTGCTGCCGATGGGTCCTTTTGCGGACTATGCACGAGAGACTATTTATACGAGCGAGTCCGAGCGGACTCTCCACTCACCAATATGTAGCTAATATTGTGTTTATAATAGTTTTGTGGTGTTGTACTGACCGAGGCGTACGCTGTAACTAGTTAGCGTCTCGAGCTATGCCAAACTTGTATTGTACTTATTATGCATATGCGGTTAGTAGAATCTTTACGGACGTTTTACGTAGGTTCTAGCTTCCTGAAGAAGGAAAATAAAACGGCTTCGATGTTTCGATCCCCACTCACTATATGTAGATTGTAGTACTGATCCACTTGCGTTATCTTATCTCCATCATCTCTAGACGTGTAAAAATTTGCAGGCAAGCAACCTTTGCGAGGATCCTGTCAAGGTGTTATATATGTCGGGTCTGAAGTGTCTAAATATAACAACGTTGTTTGAGGCCAATATGAGTGTCAATAAGTCTAGGGAGTACATATGGATATTATGTGGTACAATAAATAAGTAATCCGGACACTCAAGGCTGTGCGCCACACTGCAGGCCAGCCCCACAGAACTGAGCCACAATGATATACAAAAATAGTAGCGCAACCAAAACGCTTAATGCCAATATTTTGCTATTCTTCCACCACATCTGCCGTCTCACTGTCCTGGCCCCGCGCCGGAATGCGGTGGCCTGCGTGGCCATATTGTCCGTCTTGTCTACGAGAAGCTCAATACGCTCCCCGCGGCTGAGGATTTGCTCGACATTTTGGACCATAATGTCCTTGACCTGGTTCAGCTCCGCTTGAGCACGGGCGACTTCATCCGTTGGAGGAGAAGTGTTGTACGTGTGCATGAGAGAGGCGATAGTGGGAGAGAAGGTGCCTTGAAGTCCGTATGCAGGGGTAGAGCTTAGTACAGCGGATGAAGAGGATGGGAGCTCGATGAACTTGCGATATGGATCAGAATAAGGGGGTAGATTGTGCTGTGGCAACGTACTTTGCGCTGCAGGTCCGCTAGGAAAGCGAATGGCATCTTCCTACGGTAATACTCAACCAAAATAAACAGATGAACGTTCTTCAGAAGGCTCACCTTCCTACAGAGTCATCTGCCATGACCAGAAAAGTGAAGCCTCCCTCGGAGATGTAATGAAACAGGTATTGTTCCCACACATATGTTAACTTGCTATTGTTTGGCGGGATCTTGGAAAGAATTGTCTGCGTAGCTATGTATGCCACTACGTCAAGAAGCGCATGATGAGACAGAAAACAATGCACCATGCGAGAAGTCTCGCTGCCCCGGAGCTTGGTGTTCAGCAAGAATTGTGGATCCTCGGGAAACGATGGCATTTATCTAGAGTGATAGTTACGTCTATGTGCATTATCTATACTCATAGGATTGGAACTTACCAGTGACATGCTAGAAGTCGGGCAGAGCACGAGGGAAGATTGGACCAAAGTCAGTGACGCTCAGGTGACGCTTGAGTGGAGGTAGTAATGGATTAGGAAAGACCTTAAGAATTTTCCCACGAACTTGCACTTCATTTCCTCCACCAACGTGTCTTTAGTCTTCAAAGCTCACCGTCAACATCATGGTGCGTAACAAGCAACCTAGCTGTTTTATTTTGATACTCACCTGTTACTCGCTTAGTCTGATTCTGAAAGCTCAAGCCATGCCGTTAGCCCCAAGGTCGGTACTGTTGCAAGACCGCCAGGTGCACAAGTTCGGTATGTCTTATAGTCTGTTCGTGGTCTACACACATTGCTGACTGAAACTTGTCAAAGGCGGAGGGCTGCAAACACGCAGGTAAAACCGAATTCAACGCGTGCAGCAGGAGCTGGCGGCTCTTCAGGGACAATGCTGAAACTTTACACTGACGACTCACCAGGGTTGCGAGTGTACGTGTCACGTTGCCATAAATGTAACATTCAATTGAGCTGATTTTGTTCCCATGTCAGAGACCCATATGTCGTCCTGATTCTCTCGTTGGCGTTCATTGGATCTATCTTCTTTTTGCACATTTCCGCTAAAATAATCCGGTCTTTCACCAAGTGATAGCTTCGTAATGGACTCTTTTATGCACTCTTGACTATATCTCCCATTGCGGAACATGTGCACTCAGCGCTTGCGTCGTATGACATGCTGTATGAAAACTTATCGCACAGTGAGGCGTTGCGTACCCTCTCGTCATCCAATTCCCTGGACTGTCTTGGCAACACTTTACCGCTTTCCACTATCTGCTGATTAGTTCGACATTCCACAAAAAACATTGCACAGTGAGGCGCTGTATATCCTCTCGTCATCCAATTATCTGGTGGGATGGTGTGGACTATCTTGACGAGATCTCATCGCTTTCTAATATCTGCTGCTTAGTTCTGTATCCTGAGGAAGTTGCAGACCGGGAGACCTGTCTCGATTGAGTTGAGTGGGGCCAGTTCTTTCTTTCTAACGACACCCCTGAGTTCATTAACATTGTCATCTGCACGTCTTCACTCGCTATCATTGTCAGTGGTCAGTAGTAGGCGATTGAAATCGGCCGAAATTCCCATGATGCGGTGGTCTAATTTTCGGTCTTTCAGATATTTCCTACATGGGACCCAAAAAGCACAACGAAAATGAATTCGCCCCCTCGTCAATGTTCCTCCATGGAATGGATCTTCTCAAGCGCATTCGATTTCTTGTCCCCCTTTGCTCTCACTTCGACAACAGCACTGGTGGTTATCTGCTTATTGTTGCCGTCTCTGTCATTGACACGTAGCTCTTATTCAAACCTAGCCGGATCGTTTAGTGCCTCTTAGTGCTAACTCAGCGTGATACAATTTAATTCTCTTACTACTCGAGGTCAAAGGCTGGGTGTAAGTCTGGCCGGTTCTTGCCCACTATTGATCCTTGCGCCCCAAAAGCAGATCTCAGACGAAGGAAAGCAGTCATCCCTTCATTCAGTCCCCCTTCCCATTTTACGCATCGTAGTGAGCCGTGTCGTTTGTCGACATCTTACCTTTAACCGGCCTTGCAACCTTCAGAAGCGTCTTGTGGACAAACCTGTTCGGCAAGGCAGTACGTTCTTCCAGGGGGATCTGAATCCGTAGTTTAGCGCACCTGATCTTGGCTCAATGACGGTATGTTAATCGAATTTCAAGTCCAATTGACTGAACTTATGCTCCACTCGGCATAAACAAATGGCATAGTCATTGAAGGCATTATAGACGTGTTCTCGCTCTGCGTATTCAGTGGCATGCCTACTTGCTTGATTTACGTTCCTGAGACGAGGCTCGTGGACTGGAGCTTCTTGCACTGAACGAAATTGGAGACTCGTGGCCAAGGCTGCAGACAAAAACGTGATCCTAATTGACCACAACGGAGCCCCGGTGCAATGGTTGTACTCGTACTTGAGCTATTCTTTGTGGATTCTTCAAGTACCTACGTCTGGACTCTGCACTCCACTCGCTAGTAGCTTATATATAGTACTAGTGCCATTATATGCCGCCATTCCGTCCGAGTCGTGCTTATATGATTACTAGAATAGTGCTTAGTGCTTATCTTGCTTGAAAAAAGCTGTACATGATAATATAGTAAGTTGTCCGTCGCGGGTTGGCCCGGTGGTCTACTTTCTTATTAGGTAAGTCCCGCCTGTACTTTGATGCGGCCTGCTTTCCAACGCCGATATCATGGCGATCTCCGTAGTATGCCAGACTCTTTCTTGTCTTTCAGTTTCAATTCGCGACCCTTTCCGCTTTCTCGACTTCAGTCCTTCATAATATGTCCTGGCAAGGTAAGTCTGAGCTGCATCACCAGGCAAGCTCTTGGTCTCATGCATCTACAGCATACGTAGATTCCAACCTCGTCGGCACCGGGAGAGTGAAGCAGGCCGCCATCTTGGGAAAAGCTGGAGGTATATGGGCTAAATCCGCAGAGATCAAGGTAACTTATTGACAGTAGTAATATTTGTGCAACTCTGACGGGATCTTGCATAGATATCACCAGAAGAGCAGAAGGCGATCACTGCTGCGTTCACGAACAAAGCTGCAGTTCAGGCCTCTGGCTTCCGTGTCGCTGATAAGAAATATTTTTTCCTATCGTCGGATACCTACGGAGATGATCCGAATCTTATTGTAGTTCAGGGCAAGAAAGAAGTAGGTCTCCATGATGTCTTTCTATGATGCATGCTCACAGCCATCAGGCCGACGGTGCTGTACTAGCACAAACGAAACAAGCTATCCTCGTCGCTACATACGCTTTCCTCAGACAGCTCAAGATGCAGGCATATTAGTTACTGGTCTTGGATCATACCTCGCTAGCCTGAATTACTAGGGTCCGTTAGGGGACGATCGCAGAGGATAAAGAAGATCAAAGGTGTGCTATCATGTAATCGTACAGTTTATAGATCCAATGCATTTCACTGGAGTCATTCCAAAGTTCAATACATTGATCGTCACATATTTGTATTTGCTATCAGGTCCGATCGTATTGAGCAAGAGCGATCGGTGTCGCGTGTGTGGTCTACGGCCAGTTTATGAATGCGCGATCTTGGAATGTTTGCAGTTGACATTGTCCTCCACCGTTTAGCAGATCCTGCTTGCATTTGCTGTATCAAGATCCTCGTCAGCGTCTCACAGCACTCGTCATTTGGTGCAGAAGTGCTTCAATGGGCCATGCTAAAATTAGCCTCCGGACCGTGCGATGCGTGCACCACAATATTTGCACGAGTATGTACTTTCGGGTCCTTACAGACTTAGAGCAATGACGACTTTTATATAGGTCACTCAAAATGCCTTGTTCCCTGATAACAGTCCTGCCAGTGGTGTCGATTAAGGATATGGGAGGGGGAAACTGTCAGTACGCAATCTGGCGCCAACGCAACTGATGTCAATCTGCAGTATGGAAACTTGCCCGGAAGACACAGACCATTATCATGCAGGAAAGTCAGCGTCTACCAGTCATGTGCATTATTTTTCGCTCGACACAGACACGTCTCATGTAATACCTATCGATATCACTCTAGGCCTTTCCGATCTCGTGGCGAAGCATTTCAAAGGATAGTGAACGACGAGATGAAAAATCTGATTGCAGGGATGACTGGTGCATGATAGCACTAGACGATTGTCCTTTCGACATGGGTCGATACATGCTGCATCAACAAGAACAACAATGTCGAGCTCCAAGAACTGGTCAACTCCATGTTCATCTGGTATCACTACTCAGCACTCACCATCGTCTATCTATCGGATGTTCCGCCTTCGTCACAGTCTGACGCACTCGCAATTAGCATGTAGAACACCCGGGGATGGACTCGGACTGTTCAGGTCTCTTACCCAGTAGACTGGACCCCATACGTCAACGTCCGCTTATCCAATTACAAGGGGTCTGTCACTATCATGCAAGTTGGAAGATTCAACTGGCATAAATGCACAGGCGCTCGCTGCCTTCCGCCCGGGGATGAGAGGTGCCCGAGAGAAACACCAACGGGTGTCGATGCGTGTCACCACGTTGCAAGAAGATATCGTGTTTAGAATCTCTAGCGTCCACATCCCTATAATCTACGATGAGGGTGGACAAAACGTACTCGGACGACTCGTGCAGGAGATTGGCTCAACATTCGGGATTCATAAGGAGCAACGATACTCATGTCGAAGACTTGGAAGTGACGAAATTTCTATCCTGAGCTAACGGGCCCCGGGCGAGACCGAGGTGGCGTCCAACTTTGAATTATCTCCCTCTCCATTTCATCATCGTCTGACTCTCAGGTCCGTCATTCGATTGAGTCCCACCGTCAGTCTCCTCTCGCCAATCCACGATCCTACTCATCATCCACACTTGTCCAACAAAACCAGTCCATGTAATTACCCAAACTCTCGTGCAAGTGACTACTACTAGGACCGGCCATCCGGCACCCAACCCCAGTCCGAAGTCCTTCATATCAACTCCAGTTCCCTCTTGATACGCAAACAAATCGTACCTCAGCTCCTCTAACGAGACAACTTATCCACGGCACCAACAGTCCACATAAGCCTTCGCATCTACAGGAGGGTGCAAGTTCTCCCTACATCTACCCGCAGGGTCTCACCACAAGTGGCCCACGCCCACGCCCGCATACGCATGGAATAAACCCAACTCCGTAGTAACTACTAGTTAGCAAACATGGGCCAACCCAGTTCGTGCTGCTCAGCCAACACCTGTCGCTATCAGCTCAACAACAGGCATCTTCGTGCTGGTCTTCCTCATCAGATGCGTCAGCGCCCGTGGCTAGGGACACGGGCACGCCAGGCGGCGGCGGAGGGTTATACTTACCTGCTGCTTCCGCTGTTATAACGTGATCACTGCCGAAGGGACGGCAGAGGAAAAATTGCGATGTGGATTTGGAGCATTATTTCGGATGATGCCAACAGCTGGCATGTCTCCCCGCCACACACCTTTTTCATTCTCTGCCCCCGTATTCATCTCGTAAGGTAGACCTGACCGTCCCTCCACATCCGGCTTGTGAAGGCAGTCACAGGATATTTCAGCGTGGCGCGACTGCGAATCGATACGCTGACTGCAAATAGCTGTCAATTCCTTGTCAGTACGACTCGATCCTGTTGAAAGATCGTAAATTTATTCATGTCTTGAATTGCACACTGGGATGTTGACACTCAGTGATGGACCCCTTCCGTCGGCCGCAGCAAGCTCTTGCACGTAGGATTCAGTGATCAGACAGGCACGTGTTTCCTTATTGTCCTCTTAGATGCTCTCATATGTTTACAAGACACGAAAAGGTCACAGCAATAACAAGGTCCCACTGAAGACCATAACATAAGTGACATCCAGCGCTTGAAATTTCTCCTTGAACCTGATGCAGACATCTCGTAAGTTGGTTACTCCTTGTTCCACAATTGCGTCATCTCTCAGTCCCTCGAAAAGATGCTTTTAGGCTCTAGAGTATGGTGCATGCGGTCAACAAACCCATCGTTTAGTAAAACTGAGAATGATGGGGTTCTAACCGTGGGCGCTGGGATGCACAGAGCGCACATGTTCAGCGTATGAGAATTAGGATATGCGCTATTGGCTTCATAATCCCGAGGCATAATAACCTGCACCATCCTTCAAAGGACGAAAACTTTGAAGGTGCGTCCGCTATCGATTTCGAAGGCTATTAACCTGCCAACAGCCCAGTCTTAGGCATTAGCTGCTGTCACTGACGTTGTCATGGACGTTCCATGCGTCTAAATGGAATGTGTTCCTGAAATGACAATAAACTAGATTTCTTTTCAAAAGAATTGTCGCAAGCTGTGGAACTTTTGATACTTTGATTTTTAGTAGACAATAATTCATGGATGGCTTCGGGATAGTTCCCCTGGAAAGGCCTTTATTTTTGAGGTCCTTGCCAGTCATGGATGCAAAATCAATGCACTATTGAGTTCATAGCTTAGAACAATTCATGGAGGAAGATAATACACACCTTTCCAAGGGCTTGCTGTGGCTCGCCACCTTCCTTCTCCACCGATGCCTCTACATCTCCTCCTATCCCTTTAATATCACCAATGTCATAATTTATCAGAAAATGGATCCATTGCTGCCTGCTCTGATGCGAGATTGGTCGCCGTGTAGATTAGCGGGGCGTAGTACCGTGAGCTTCCTTTTTGAAATTAAATTCCCGCTACCTAGAAGCAACAACACAGGATGACGTGGTGGACAACATCATGATCGCCGGGGGTATGCGTTGACGCCGTGTCAGGGGTCGCGGCAGTTGCCGCGCCAGGAGTCGCAGTATTTTTAGAATCAGTGACAATCGGACATATGACACGTGACGAGCCAATTGAATTGAGTTGTACTAGTACGATGTTATAACCAGAGTCATATTATTATTTTTTAATTTCCTTCATGTACGAGTACGTGACTATGCAAGTTACCCTCAAGTACGGCGGGGCTAAGGGTGGGCGACTGATATCCGGGATGACGAGTAAAACCAAGGCTCTTCACGACCTTCTAGCAGATCTCAGTATTCTCAGAGCACCTCGTCCAAAAGGTGAAAATATCCGTCAGCAAGGTGCTGTGTTCTTCTTGTCATGGCCTCAACCCATTCAGACGTCAATACCTCTAGTTGAGGTATGTCCTAAGTATTGTCTTGCACTGTGGACTACGGTTGATCTGCTCTTAGGGCACTCTGTACAAACGATGGGTGGCCATTTCCAAGGGGAGTCTAGAGCTGAATGTGGTCAAAAGAGAGCTCTCTATGTAAGCACCTCACAGAAATACGTGTACGCGAATAAAACTCAGGCACGACCACATTTGTGAAGCGAATTGGTGACTGTTAAAATGTGAGGGCATCCACATACAAACGACGTCTACTGAAGGTCTATTTTTTTAGGCTACCGTCCTCCTGGTCTACAGGAACGCCTGGAACAATTCTGTCACCATTGGGACCAAAACATACAATAGAGCTGCCGCGGACAGAAGGAATGAGTCCGCCCGCAGAAAAATTTCCATTATCTTCTACGTCAGACCATTCTGATTTACAGAAGCTAGTGTTTACCTCGGAAGTAGTTCAGGGGAAGAGACCTCGAAGCGATGTGGGTGCTGTGATCTATTTACCGTTCCTATAAATTAATGCTTCAAAGTCCATCGATGAGCAAAGTGTTCTATCACCGCCTTTTGGGCTAGATGGTAATAATGAGCCCTCGACTCCTTTGTTGAAAAGAATTCGAACCGAACAGCACCTCTCCATTCAGAACAGTACAGCAGAAGGGAAGCATACTCTTGACAACCTTTCAGCTGGAGAACACCGAACCACTCAAGTAGGCGACAAAATTCCTCTTTCCAGATACCCGATATCCCGGGTGCCACTTACGACCACCCCTCAACAGCCATTACTCAATCCTCCACATCACACCAAACCCTTTCCAGAATTACCCAAACCCCTTCCAGGATCACCCGGCATGAGCAATAGCCCCACCCCTACTGGCCCCCGCCCACCAGGAGATAGAGGGACTATCAACAAACTATCGTTCGAGCTATCAAAGGTCCGCAGTCAGCTGACTGCCTTGAAACATTGTGAGAAAGGGATGTCAGAAGAGCTTATTCGTCTTGGTGTTCCCCAGCCGAAGAGTAACGAAACAGCACCCTCTCCGCATGGTCTCGTACATCAGCAGTTCAATATGCACGTAACTGACCCATCTGACTTCCTGTAGATATGGAGGCGCGACTGATACTGCTTGAAATCGAGTTGCAGCAGGAAAGGACACAACGTCTCCATGCTGAACGTTTGCTCAGTGAAGTAGAGAGGGAGTGCAAGATTCCGTTTGTGGTGCCAGCGTTGTTCCAGGCGTTCTGCAGAATATCGGAGCTTGGGCACCATGAATAATCCAAGGTAAGTGCGCTGTACGATCAAGACACTTGTCTAACTCGTTGGCAAAGTGACAAGTGCTTTTTTTGCATACGTGCATATCCAGAGTCATCGCCCGAGTTCAGGTTCTGTGCTCAACCGGCTCTCGAAACCCTTTTGCGTCATTTCCAAATCACCATTTCTAGTGGGTGGTAAAGTGCACACAAGGCGCTCACCTTGGATATTTCAAACTAATTAGGTATATTATCGGTTAGATTTTATGTATGTTCACAGCTGAGGATGGCAGAAGGCTCCTTTCAGCTATGTTTTGAGGGTACAAGGACTCCAATATAAACTCGTATCGGGTATCCTCGGCCACAAATATGTTTGGAGAACGTTGATACATTTTTGAGTCAAAGCGTATCAACGTCCTCCAGGGCGTTTGAGCTGATAGGCCCCGTGAGTGTGACATCAAACAAAGAGGACCACAAAGTGCGTAAACGATTTCTAGTTCGAGTGTCGTGCTCATCAGACTACCATGATCATGTTGTCTAGCACTTTCTGATGAGGAAAGCGAGAGAAATCGATATTCAATCGCCGTGATCAAAGTGAACAATTTCACACAGACGGGCCGCCGGGTAGCAGCCAGCGGCATCTGCGGCCGGCTAACTGCGAGATGCCGTTGTGCAAATGAAGGGCCATCGACCTAAAGGCGTGTTGTTAGTGCAGGGCGATCGTGATGGTGTGTGGAACCCGAGGGGGAGATCACATCATCCAGAGGGGTGCTCGCGAACGTGGCGCAGTCTATACCAGGTCTCGAAAATATTTGATCCTTCAGGTCTTAATCCCTGGGCGCTGTTAGTTCGTCCTAGCTCTGAAAGTCTCCGTTAGATATTTCATGAGATCCAAAGGTTACCCGTGATGCATTGTATGATGGAATGTATTGCCTAGACCTTCGCCATATTGAGATGTGCACGTGATCTGTGGGATGTCGCGAAGTACGCCCCCAGAAACCTGACAGAAACTTTACCACCGTAATTCAAGAATATCACGCACTACGCCAGGATCTTCCGAGATAGTATAGGATGGAAGCAAAAGGTATGAACAGATGGATTTGAGCAATTTCATTTCGAACTTATAAGGTGACTTGACAGATTCTTCCACTCCTGTGCTGGGCTTGTCATCCACACCAACACCCCCTTCAATGGCTCCTACTATATTTGAGATCCCAACAGAAATAGTACCGGGTCCTTCCTCATCCACCTCTCCAGCCGTACTTCAGAAGTGCACTCGCTGTGCCTACATGGGCCCTGTCGACTCATACCCACCCCGACGTACTGGTACGGGTCACCTCAAAGTATGCATCGGCTGTATGGACAAACAAGTAGCACGGAAGTCCGCTGCCACTGTCGACTCATCCGGCTGTGGGCAGATTGCCACCGCGGCGATGAGCTTGGATGACTTCTTGAAACTCGTCACATTGAACAAAGGTCGACCATTCGACTTTGATACCATGGTGAATCTACCAGCAGGCATGTTCGCAGCTGGGGAACATTTGTATAATCGGACGAACAAGATTAGAGATTTTCTGGCGGAAGCATCAGAGTATCACTGGAAGTGCGTTGTCTGCCGTCATGCACTGGAGCAGTTCTTACAAGACATCTTTTATACAGCCAAAAGAAAACAAAGCGCGGTGGAAAATCGACGGTCGTCACATACTTCTGTGCCCAGCTTGAAGGAGAGCAATCAAAGTCACGAAACCAAGATGCCGATCGCGCCAAGTCACGTTCTCGCATCACCCGTTATCACTGTGGAGGCTGGCTACGTATAACAACGATGGATGATAATGAGCTTCTTCTTCGCATTCGTATGACGCATGCTGAAGCGCACCCAAGTTTCCCTGCATCGTTTCGCAAGTCGCAGTCGGGAGAATTCAAGATGGAAACTACACCAAAACCAGTTCCGAAACAACCTTTGTTTACAACGGCGCCGATGACAGTATCTGTTGGAGTTACTGAAGTGCCTCAAATAATACCAAGGGACGAGGTGGGCCCAGAAGAAGATGGCATGGGTCCCATTTTAGAGCAGCCACAGGGGAACGGAGGACCACCTCCAAGCATCGTACGTCAAGAAAGATTTTGGCGGGCATTTTCTAATGATTCACTTCTACTATAGCCTGAGGTTTATTTTTCGCCAGATCAGCTTGCTGGACTAAGGCGAAAATTTGATGCTATGATGAGCATAGCATCTGGCCCTTGTCATCCTGACCTAGCTCACGCTTTAGGGTCCGTATTCGACCACTTGGATCGTACGGTGGGCGACATAGAGGTTGGGAGATTTGCGAAGAGGCAGAGGATTTCATAAACTTTCCCTCGCTTGGTCAATTACCAATTGATCCCACTGGAGACCTGCTTTGGGCCAATGGCCCATATGGGTCTCCGAGTCTGTCCCTTGAGGCAGAGCTGAGGGTTCTTGCCGACCCGTGATGCAGCGAATGGTACGACATCACCTAATGTCAGATTAATTTGAACAACCATGGACTGCAAAATTGGGGGCAATATGAATTTAGGAGGCATTTTATCTGTCATACGTCATGCACAGCTGCAATCCTAATCTTTCGTTGTGGGTTGCCAGTCACAAGCCAGTGATGCGGAAATCACACCGGACAAAGAGCATTACCAGCTCCTGACTAATCAGTGACGAATACGTCAAACACCACGATGGTATGTCAAAAATTCTTATGATTTTTTCAAGAATTTCACAGCATATACGCGACCTATTCTTTGCACCACGGTCGAAGAGTAGGTGGCTCACATTTAGCTACTCCATCAATTGAAGTAGTCATCACGCACGCATACAGTTAGCGTGCTCGTGAGTCAGTTTCCAATGGTATGCGAAAGGGGCTCATTTTTCCTGACATATGTTGAGCATGGTCCGTAAATTTCAGTTCCTGATAGTCTCCCCTAGTCAGATCATGAAGGAAGACAGTCGTTCATAAGTTCCTCGTATATAAGGAGAAAATGAGGGTGGATATCAGGTTCACGATAATGTGCCGTTTAGCTTCCTCAATCGAGACCAAAAAAAAGAATCAAGTACATTAAACATACTCATCTACATCCTGTATTCATGACATTTATACACAGTTGTGTTGTTCGTCGGTTCATAGGTTCACGTCCCGTATTACGTCCTGCCATTCATCAAGATGCTTCAACATCATCATGCATTTGTTCCTGACATCTCTCTCTGCATCCTCTCCCAAGACGAGATACAACGGCCACTCCCTCCCAGCCGCAATGCCTTCTCCTCTTACGACGTCTACGACGAATTTCATCGCCTTCATGGGGTCTCCTGGTTGCTTGCCAGGGATAGCCTCATACCTCGCCGCTGTCTCAGCTCGTGTTTCATCATAATCAGGTATAGGATTCGTCCACGTGTCAAATTTATTGCTATATATGTTTTCGGTGCGGAAGGCGCCAGGCTCGACGATCAGAACGCGTATGTTGAATGGTGCGAGTTCTACGGCAAGTGTTTCGCTCATTACTGCAGGATTTTTCAGTTGATGGACGATATAATGTATATGTATTCAACGCGACTTACCTTGCACAGCTGCCTTAGACGACCCATAGGCGCCTGCCAGTCGTACCATTGGTCATCCACGGAAGAACTTGAAAGGCGTCACTCACCAAGTCCCTGAAACAGGCGTCGTTCAACCACTATCAACCATAGATAACGCTACTCACCATAATTTCAGGCCTCCAGGCGCTACGGCTCCCGATAATAACTATTGTACCACACTTCCCTGCAGAGCTCAAAGCGTGTGTTACGTGCACATCTCCGAAAACTTACTTTCACGCATGTATGGTAATGCTGCATTCGTGACGTCCAGCACACCGAAGACATTAGAGTGGAATTGTCTTATCATCCTGTCTACCCTGAAACCGATAATATGCATTAGGCACGAGAAAAAAAATATGTCTGCGTCCTACCCGCATTCCTCCAGGATTCCTAGCAGCCCAACACCCGCATTATTCACCAACACGTCAATTCTGCCCCATACCTTAGCCGCCTCATCTACCCGTTCCTTGATGACAGTCGTTCCTGAAGTCACATCGAGCTCTAGGAGGTGTAGGTTCGGAGATTGGGGGAAATCTTGGATTTTCTGCAGAGATCGGGCCGTCGCGACTACACGATCACCGCGTTCTAGAACGATTGATACTAGACGGCGACCAAAGCCTGATGATGTACCTAAATGATCGGTGTAAGCCACTACTATCTCTGGAATTTGATACGCCCCACAGGAAATGAAGATACTCACCTGTGATTAGCCATACTTTAGAGTCAGACATAAGTACAACGAGTCACGATGCGCAGTGAATAGACGTTTGGTAAGACCTTATTCTCCTGCGGCCTTGGTAATCAATACGTAGCTTGTGAACTAGTTGACCGGCGGGCTTTGATCGATAACGGCGGAATCACAAAAATAATGCATCGCGGTATCAGTGAAATGATATCGATGAGTCCTTGATATTATGGCCGTGAGAGCTGTAGGATTTAATTCTGCTCCTGATATTGCCTCTCCCGGGCCGCTGCAAACCCGCAGCCACAGATACGTTGGGTATCTCCCAATGATCAAAACACTTATACTTTATCACCCTCCGGTAGGTGACCCAACATAAGATATGACAGATGATGATACTGTGGTCAATTTGAGCGGGATATGCCAATACGAGAAAGGGACAGAACACATCAAGACAGCACTCAAGCGCTACTTTCCGCCCTTCTTGGCAGCTTTACGCTCCCTCCTCTTTCTACCGATAACTGCACCGATACTCTGACCATCATTAGCATGTTCTTCTCTCACAGGCTTCGCTGGTGTTTCATCAGCCGCAACGCGTCGTTTCTTGATAGGCGGTTCTTGAGATGTTTCACCGTGGCTTTTTGTGACGCGTGTCTAAATCTAAGTCAGAAATAGTGATCATAGAAGTAAATCATACATACAAATGCTGTCGGTTTTTCCTTGTTCTGGTTCGCTCTTCGCTGGACGACCTGCACGTTTTCTATGGAGAATTCCACAATAAGCGTACCCTTAGGTGTTTTCACCTGGCCTTCTAGCTCATCTTTCATCCGTTTCAGTCTAGCTTCATCAGGATCCCCCTTTCCCTTCTCGAGCTTGATCAGGTCTCCGAGCTCTTCTTTCCACCAGGTGCTCAGAAGTGGCGCGACAGCAGGGTTGTTGTTGGCCCACCGAAGAACGCGTAGCGCATCCGCATGCCGCGGCATCTCGATAAATCCGTAACCTTTGCTGCGGCCTTTTCCTGTGACAGGATCTACCCGTTCATGTTGACGCACGATTTTGGTTTGCTTGACACCTTTGGATTTGCTTCCCTGCGATCGTTTCCCGACCTTCGGTTTCATGCTGGAGTCGCCTGGCTCATCGGATTCCCTGGTAGCCTCTTCCAGCTCTTCGGGGGTCAGACCGTCGCGTTCACCCTTTTGGACTTCATCTTTGAATGCGCGAAGAGCGTGGAGGGCGAGGCGTTTGAGAGTCCGCTCAGTAACGAATAGGGGTATCTGGCGAACGCTGAGTCGAGTCTTTGATACGTATAAGGAAGGATTTGTTCGCAACATCGTGCGGCGGGCAGTGAATGAATTAGTCCGCTTCTCCAGTTCAATAGGTGGTATGGTGCTGGCAGCTGGCGTATTGGGCAAGATGACTGGAGAATTCTGGTTTACAAAGATAACAGGGATGACAATAAAGTCAACCTTACCTCCCTCTCGCAACAAGTAAAGATTTCTCTTATCTGCCTTCTCTCGTCTTCTCTCGCCTTCATCCTTCAGCTTACCTGCTTGATCCCGCGTGACAGCTCTCACGACGTCTAAAGTGCGACCATGAAGTACAAGGCTTTTAGCCACGCCTGAAGATGGATCAGGTGTTAAGATGGACGGCAGGGTAAATGGGTTTTTTGTTGGCTGAAAGATGTCAGAGACACATCGCACATTGGGGAGTGAGACGTACTTGCTGCGAGCCCATGGTTTCGGCGCGCAAAATCTCGCTTTGCTCGATCACCTTGTCGGCGACCTCTTTATTCCAGAAGCAAACGAAACCGGTACCTCGCGAACGTTCGGTGCCTGGTTCGACGGTGATTCGAGCATACCGTAGAGCCCCAAATGTGCGGAATCTACACCATGAAGTATTAGCGCACATGGGTAGTGGGGGAAGGTACACGTACAGTGCCCGTAGTTCGTCCTCTGTAGCAATGAAAGGGATATTGCGGATGAAGAGTGTGGTACCTGTGTCCGTTTGAGGTAGCTGAGGTTTCATGGGACGTCGATGATGTTCAATACTTATGGCTTCTTGCTCGTCGTCATCTTCGATGTCTTCGTCCTCGTCCTCGTCGCTGTGCTCGTCTTCATGAAGACCCAACTGCTCATCTTCGTCTTCAGCACCACTCAGCTCAGCTTCACTATCTTCAACATTGTCCATCCCGACATCACCCTCTTCAACGTTACCTGATTCGGCGTCACTCGCATTGACATCTTCAAGCTCCACCTTTTCCTCCTGCTTTTGTACTTCCTGCTCGCGTTTTTTTGCCTCCTGCTTTATCACTTTCTGCTTTATCGCCTTTTGCTTTATCACCTCTTGATTTTTCGCCTCCCCCTTCTTCTCCTTTGCGACGTGCTCCTTCGGGCTTCTAAATTTGTCCTTTTCAACGCGCTCCTTCGAGCTTTCAAATTTGTCCTTATCCTACACCACACCCATAAGAAACCCGTCCACGGATAAACGACAACAAAACCCACCATCTTCTTATCCGCCCACTTGACCCTCAACTTTCTCCTATTGATCTCGATCCCCTCAGTCGATACGGTATCGAAAGCAGTTTGCGCATCCTCCTTAATAGAAAAGGATACATAACCAAAACCTTTGGATTCCCCAGATCCTTTCTTGGATACAACAAAGGCGTAGCGCACGGGTGCTAGGTCTGAGAATGTTGTTTGTAGGTCGGTGGATGTTGCGTCATAAGGGAGGTTGGATACAAATAGTGTGGACCTGATGAAGTGCGATGTTATGTTGTGCGGTTTTGGTGTTTGATGTGCAAGTATTGACTTACCCGTGTGGTAGTGATGAGGGTTGTGCGTCTTCTTCTCTTTGCCTGCGTTTCCCGAGTGACGTCGCCATTTAGATTTAGCGCACCTGGTAAGATCCCTACTTACAATTTTGAAGGCGTTGTTTGTATATGTTAGGATGAGAGGCCTTTGCCAATCAGGGCCAAACTCATGTTAGGTCAACCAAAGTCAACCATCTCGTCAACACTAGCACTATGCATCTGTCGTGATTGGCCGGGGTTTTGAGTGGCCTGGAGCTCGAAACTTTCACAAACCATAACAGATACATCACAAGAGGAGTCTGATTGTTGCCTCCCAGTGAGTTATGACCTCGCTTTCTATCATCCAACCAAGACCCTCAGATTGCTTCCGTTCTCAGTCTATGCGATCACCGATCAGTGTGCATGCAACTGCTTCCCGTCATTTCGCCACGGCCTGAAACGCCAATATTGTTGAACCTTCCTTACTACTATCAAGTCCACCGAATATTGGTTGTGATTGTCTAATACTGTCCTGCCAAGTTCACAATCCGTGGCGTATTTACAACGATTCGCATTTCTTTTTACCACGTGCAAAGTTCAAGTGTCGTCTGATACCGATCTTGATATGAAATCATCGCCCAACATTGCATTGCAACCTCTATAGTGGGAGGTTGTGGCTCTCCCTTGACCTGCGCCAGACCACCCTGGTACATCGCTCCTGCTTGAAGCTTCTCGTGTCCTTTTTTGTTTATAGGTTGTATTTTATTTGACGGGCTTGCCGTCGTGATCACCCTGTCTCACTCTCGTTGTCTCATTTCGAGAGTGCCCGTTATCGTCAATGCAACATCATCCGCGTGCTGTCCGTTGGCTCACACCAAGACTCATTTCTTGCAGTTATTGCATTGTCCTCCCCCTTGGATTTAAGTCAGTGCGCAAGTGATCGAGAGTAAATTGGATACTGTTCGCTTCCACTTTGTTCTGGTGCGTCTCGTCCATCTCGGGCCTTTTAATTCTCCGACACACTTTGTTCAAGCTATTACTACCCACTTCGTTAAGTCGCGTGCTATACTTCTGCCCAGACCATTCCCCGGTATCTTGGATGAATTAGCGCGTCCCTCCCCCTTCCTGTTGGATGTCCTCGCCAGTTGCTCCCGCTGCTGTGGAATCAAACTTCTCACTATGATGAACCAAAATAATAATCACGGAAACGGGTCTCGGCACAAAGATCAAGGTCGATGATGGTGGTGTCGCGCTTCATGCGAGTCCATTTGAAGCGTGATAGTGTAAGCTTACCTGAGTTCCCATAATCAGTACATCTACTGTCGCTGATGCTGAAAGCTAAGCTTTCAGTATTTCACCTTTTGGTGTAACGGTTATGCGGGCGGCAGTCTGACCATGTTACAGATAGACGGAGTACTGCACCGGCTTTTGGGACGCGCGGACGCAGACGGATTCGTGTATCTTGCTGGGGTACTGCAATGTGGTCTGAGCTTGATAGTCAAGTGGGAATGTCGTTAAGAACGAAGTTTTCTAGTTTGTGTTATGGGTAAACGCGTAGATATCCTTCAAGGCTACTATCTGCGATACATTCAAATCTGGGTCTTTGACGGCTAATCTTAAGTCCTCCCAAGTTGGAGGCACTATGTGCCACAGCATTGCCTTCTGAGCACACTGTACCCCGACTGCTATCGAGAATGATGTTCAGGGCGTCATGCAGCCAACGCGCATCGTCTTTGGTGAGCTGCGAACGGACATCCAGCACGAATTGTTGTAGACTCTTCGGCTTCCCTGCGACAACTCCTTGACTCCCCAGCCAAAGCTTATTTATAGGGAAACCGTAGCGATTGCCTAGAAGATTACGCCTGCCATCGGGTACCACACGACAATGCAGAGCGTGCAGCATGGTGGAATGTTGGAATAAAAATCAATAGAAAATACATGGTATTGAAATTGAATATTTACGCGCTACTGGGTGGTGGACACACCTTCGTTTGAAGCCTCAACGTCTTTTATCCAACATACCTGTTCAGTCCTTGAAGCTTTGATATAAATGACCTTAAAGCCTCAAGGACTGAACAGGTATGTATCAGGAATTTGTGGGGTAATTCAATGAGCAAGCTGGGATAAAAGACCGTTGTTTGTATATGTTAGGATGAGAGGCCTTTGCCAATCAGGGTCAAACTCATACGGTCAACCAAAGTCATTGTCAACCATCTAGTGTGACTGCCAGTGATCAAACTCGAAACTTTCACAAATCATAACAGATATATCACAAAAGGGAGATAGAAGAGGCTGATTGGCGTCTCCCAGTGAGTCATAACCTCACTTTCTCTCATCTAACAAAGACTCTTAGATTGGCCACCGTTCTCCTAAATTTAATTCTCAATCCATAGGATCACTCGATCAGCGTGCATGCGACTGCTTCCCGTCATGACACCGTAGTATAATTGCCAATATTGCTGAACCTTCCTTACTACCATCAAGCGCACCGAATATTGATTGCGATCGTCTAATACTGTTCTGCCGAGTTCACAATCCGTGGCGTATACACAACGATCCGCCCGCCTTCTCACCACGTGCAAACCTCAAGTACCATCTGATATGAAACCATCACCCAACTTTAGAAGCCCATCATCATCAATTCTAGAATCACGATCGCGGTGAACTGCAACGTTGCACGCTAGGAGAACCCATTATACATACGAGGCTGAGTCCCCGATGCCCATCGAGGCGTCTCTTTCACATAAACGGCGAGTCGATCCCGACGCACGATGGCAACACATCCGCATCGCGAAGAGAACTCTGATCCAAATCCTATTATATTATTAGAAGAAGGCGCGATCAGCCATGTGCGCATGCAAGTATGAAATCGATAATAGCACAAAGATGCGGCAAGCTCGGGCGCCCTCCTCATAGCGATGTCGCGTTTCCTATCTTGTCTCACAGGATCATGCGTCATGGATATAGATGACCGCTTCATCATTGGTAAGCTGATCAACGCGCCCCGAAACGATGGTACACGCAGGACTGTTTCAAAGACGGGGCCCTTCGTGAGTAGTTGTTCGCCTACCTGTCTGAGCGAGCTGACTACTGCCCTTGTTCCGCATGTTTCGGTGGGAGCGGTGTCGTGTGATTGTGACAATGCACATGCACGTGGGCGTTTCCGTTTCTTGGGAACATGCGGAACGGAGAAGATGATGGCTTGGGAGAGCTTCTTGTGTTATTATCGAAGTACATAGGTGAGCCATCAATATCAGTATTCAACGAATCACTGGATATGCATCGTGATGATGATTCCTCTGCTATTATCAAGCTCAATTAGATTTCGTGCGCGAAGGCGGGATATCGACATTGGAAGCTAATTAATTACATTCCTTAGGTGAACCCAGCCAAGTGTATAGGACGGCATCTGCAATAGATCTGAAAGGCTATTTGGATAAGTAGTCCATTACTTACACTTGTGTATCGTGCATCTAAACCTGGCCAGGTACAGGGACCAAAACTTGGAAGAAACTTACGGCGATGGATGCCCAGGACTTATTCGAAGCCAGGCAATGTTATCCTTGGTAGGTGACTGCGTTTGTTCCATGTGTCGGTGTGCAGGTGGAGTGCTGCGATGCGTGTGATTGTGATAATGCACATTGCACATGGGCGTGGATGTTTCTCGGGCATGCCGAATAGGGGAGGCGATCCGATAACATGGGCTGCGAATTAGTATTGAAGTGTAGGCCAACAGTCAGCGATCAAGAGAGCGATTAAATTGGATATACATCAAGGTGATCCCTCGAGGCCTCAAGTTCAATTAGATTTCGTGCGTGAAGGCGGGATAGTCAACAAGTACTAGCGAAGCTCATTAATTCCATTCCTTATGTTATCCCAGCCTTGCATATAGGACGGCAGTCCGCAGTTGATCTGAAAGGCTAACAGTTAGACCTAATACTTGGATATACCGTGTCCAAACCTGACTAGGTACTACATAAGACCTTCCCGAAGCACAGGCACTTATAGAAGAAACCTCAATTGTTGCGACGCACAAGGACCAAGAAGGATGTCCCAGTCAGGGTGGGTCATGTTCAGGTGGCTATGTGTTCAGGTGCCGTGTATTTCGGTGAGCGTATGACGACGATGCACATGTGTGTTCGCCTGAGCCCGTGGAATGAGGAGGCCATCAAAACAGGGTCCGACAACCCAGGCTGCTAAAATTTCCTATATTAGTATCGAAGTGCAAAGTCAGCAATCAATGAAAACGAAAACGGGGCGGCTGAATTGAACATTCGTATTCGTCGAGACGATCCCCTGTTATCCTCGAGCTCAATTAGATTTCGTGCGCATTTATATTAGATGTTGTGCGCGAAGGCGGGATATCGACGCTGGCACTAAAGATAATGAATTCCTTTAGCGAGCGCAGTCCCGTAGGACAATGTCCGCATTAGATCTGAAAGGCTATCAGGATAAACGTTAACGCATAGATATCGTACAGCCCAACCTGACTAGGCACGAACCTTGAGCCTGATCTTCGCCCGAACCTTAGGCACCAATGGAAGAAGACCCATTGTAATTGCGATGCACGAAGGTGGAGAAGGATGTTCCGGTCTTCCAGAGCGGGTTATCGAAGGCCAAGTACCAGGTACCAAGTACCCATACCAAGCCCGAGAGTCCAGTCCATCCAAATGAGGTTCTTCGGCTAGAAGACGCTCGATGATTAATACCAGTACATCGATCTTGGGAAGGAATCACAATCACATGACCGAGCTCGAGATGAGTGCTTCGATGCATAAGACGTCTTGACGATGCGTACGTAGGTGGTCGCGAAGATCGTTGATCGTCTTACTCGGTATAGCGTAATTGTAATTCAGTCATAATGAACGTACCCCGCCATCGCGTCGTAAGCCCATCTCGCAAGACGTTTCATTTGAGAGTATGGCCTGCCGATGGCCATGGATACATCTCGACATCGACTTCGTAACTTCCGATCAAACGGTTTATTTGATGATGCTGTCGGGAACTGCCTTTTGGGTGGGGCTTGGAGGGACAGAGACGGACTCGGAAGTGTACGGGATTGGAGTTGTTCCGGAATGAAGATCAAAGGGCCAAACGGGGGTGTTATCATCAATATTACAATCATTGCAGCACTGGATAGCTAAATTGCATTCCGAAGTTGTTCAAATTGTTTTTGTCGAATTGGTGGAATGCGTACGTGACCAGAATCTTCAAATCTGGTATTTCAAACCTCCAATTTGACCAAATGACATATGTCGGCGGCAGCATGGTCACGGATGATAGGTGGAAAAAAAATTCTTGAGCGAAGATGGTATCCGCCACGAAGGACTTCTTCTTCAATCAGAAGCTTCTCCGCACTGTGTTGACCGATTTGTTGGAGATTGTTGGGTAGCCGTGACGTTGCCCATGATGCAGGTGTGATGCCAAACGTGGAGAGAGGTGCATCGTCCGGGAGGAGGAGGCGCGGTGCAAAATGAGGTAAGGGAAACCCCTTATGCGTCGGTTAGCATCACATGAATGATTATACATACTTGAGTAGATTGGGGCCTGGCCTCTAGGACGAGTGGGTTTAAGCCGGAAGAGAATACATAGCCACAAGGCCTCGAGGCACAGAATTTCACAGCGTCGAATGTTCCTTGCAGAGATGTAGCGCGCTGCGCACGAGTACGAAATCCAAGAATTTTATTTTTGTGGGTCCGTGGATGTAAGATATTGCGCAATTTGATACGGCAGGTTAGATACAACTTGAAACACATGTGTAGACTTGGGAAAGTGATCTTGAACTTTTGTGTGTTCATTTTGCTTGGCATTGACTCGCCCGTGCGATAAGGGATTCCCGTCTTTTGGGGTTTTCCTGTGTTTCCCGAGTGATGTCGCCATATGACCGTATATGTAGACCGCCTGGGTGGGAATAGAACTTTGAAGGCGCTGTTTGTATCTGTTAGGATGAGAGGCTTCTGCCAATCAAGGCCAAACTTCAGTTGAACCAGCTGTGCTGGGTTCTCTGAGAACACCATCTGGTCCAAGACTATCTTGATCATCGCATTTGTTGCGATGTGAGGATATACACTAAGGTACCCTGAGTATTTATCCTCATATCGAAACATAAGATGCCACAAAAGGGAGACTGATTGATACCCTCTTCTTTCGCAGGATTACACACGACTTGAATCCGGATATTGACCGTGACTGGTTGGAACTGGCGCGGATGTGGCGACCAACTCACAGTCTCGTTGTCTACCATATCAGATCACCTGCTGTCCTCCCAAACTCTTGGTCCGTGGTTCCTGACATGAAACGATCACCAAAGTTTTCAAGTTCTTACTTCAAGACTCAAATCTCAAGTACATCGAATGTCAGAGTCCGTCTACTGGCTTCTCAAGCTCGCGATCTGTCGACTCACAGTATTCACCCATCTTAGAGTCTTACTACTCTGCGCCCGAGGCTTGGCAGCCAAGCCATGGTAGCGTGATTGATGCCGATATCGATAAGTACTAGTACTGATATGATACCACTACCTTCATGGCATCATTTAGGCTCGCGAATACGAACACGGCAAGTTTAACTAGTGGGTAGTAGCCTCGGCCATACCCGTACTCATACCCGTGAACACTAGTACCGATCCCCATCGAAGCATCCACCAACGAGCGACTAGACGCACGATAGCAATATCCACTCGTATCTAGAATGCAAACAAGAACATGGACGTGACGTTGCAAATCACTATTATTAGACTTGGAGCTTAATGGAAGGGAAGGTGCAATCTGTATCGGCATAGCTTTTACTAAACGTATGACTCCGAGTTTAGTTTCGGGATGCAATTATGGTGACACCATCCGGGAATGAATCGGTAAGCTCGAGCGAGTGGTTGTGTTTCCTATCTCGAGGCGGTGCGTCGTGGATAGGGGTGGGGATGACGGTTTCACTAATGGTAAGTGATCAACGCCTGTTTCAAGTATACTTTGATTTGGACTTGATATATCCCCGGGTGGATGATTGTCGTGTTTTGTGTTGTGTGCGAGCACACTAAGTGGAGAAGTCCTTGCGGTGAGTGAAGAGTCCATCAGTGAACATGTTAGGGGCCCCGGTTATACATATGATACGAAGACTGGTACCAGTGCTATTATCAGTTCCACAAACGACCAATATATATTCGATCCATATCGCATCCGCAGCGAAGAGAACCCATGTATCTAAATCTAAATCTAAATCCTATCGGTATTATTAGACTCGGCGCGATCACCTATGCATAGTACTGATCATAGCAATAGCAGAAAGAGTGATTGCGGACTCGGACTCGGGCATCTCTTCCCTTCTTTTACCGGTGACGTCACTCTTGGTGAGCATTTCTGTTTCCTATCATGATGTTGGTGAGATGATCCAGTTGGAACGTGCTCTGAAACGATCATGATGGAACAGAGACGGAGGGATGGAAGGGGCCCTTCGTGAGTAGAGTCGTTCGTCTACCCGCGGTTTACGTTTGGTTTGGATCGTTCCATGCGTTTCGGTGTGTTCAGGGTTGCGTGTGATTGTAGGGGTTCTTGGGAACGTCATAATGCGGAGCGGGGATGCACAGGTCCCGACGGCTTGGCTGTAGGGACTTGTTGCGTTAGTAGCATGCGGCTCATCAACTTGGATGAATGACTGATTGTTGTTATAATCAAGCACAGCTCCTGTTGCCATTGGTTTAATATCATCATGAAGGGTAGGTCATCAACTTGGGTGAACAGATTGTTGTTATAATCAAGCACAGCTACTATTGCTATTATGATCAAAGTGCGGCTCGAATGAACGACTGATTGTTGTTATCATCAGGCACAGCTGGTATTAGATTGCTTGCGTGAAGGCGGGATATCGACATCAGTATGTACATATTGGAAGGTAATTAATGATATTCTCTTGTGACTTGTTGAACGTTGATCTTGGCACGAAGTATTAGCGCTTGAACTTTGAAGAAACCCACTGACGAAGGCGGAGAATGGAGGGATGAATCCAGGGCCTTCGTGTGACTATGTTGTTTCGGCGAGTGGTGGTTGCACATGGGCGTTTTTTTGGGAGCGGAACCAAGACCTAGACCCGACAACTTGGTTAGGCTGGAACGTCAACCTTGTATTAGGATCGAAGTAGTAGGGATGAATGAGAATAGTTCAAGCTCTATTAGATCTCGTGCGCATGAAGAGCTCAGATTCTGTGCGCAAAGGCGGGATATCGAGGCAGTGGTACTGATGAAGCTAATGAATTCCTGATAGATCTGAAAGGTTATCAGAGGTAAACGTCAAGGGATGACCATATGCATTAGATGGAGATGGTGTATCCGAACAGAGAGACCTGATCTTCGCGGAAGGGAGGGCGGGTTGCGATGATCATTGTCAAGTGTCAGCGTACCCCGCGCTAGGTGGATCTTCGGGCTTTGTGACCGATTTGCTGTGGTTAATTATTGGATGACCGGATGGACCGGAGAGAGAAGAGGCGGTACTCCCTTTGACGATCTGTGGATTTAAATCGGAATGTACGTCCGGAATGAGATTATACCGTAACACGTTTTAGGAACGTCAGGTCACGTGTGACCGAGGCACTAGATTCAATTCCTTGTGTCGTCTCTAGTAACTCGGCACGTTTAAACCTTTTCTTTTATATTATTATTATTAAACCCAACACGCTCGTTTTCTTGTACTGGTACTTCCATCACCCCACACGCAATGGCCGGTTTCTTGCGCAAGTTTAGGAAGACTGCTGATGTTGAACATCCGGCATCGTCAAAACCCGTTGAATTCGATTCACCTCCTTCACTACCACCTCTCTTTGCTAGATTCGCGACATCCACTCTCGAATCTTCTCTCCTAGAATCCTGCATCATGCCAGTCGCAAAATCACAAGTCGAGGATGAATGGGATCCTTGGAAAGCACTCGCACCAGAGCCAAAGAAGGATCCCATACCGGAACCTCCTCGTCAGACTTTGCCTTCCCGTGTACAGCCACCATTATTGCCTGTTACCCGTCGCAAGTATACGGGACCGGGTTTAACACCTCAAGTGAAACCCGCTGGTATGTCCCTTTCTTTAATCATACCTTCATGTTTTCATACCTCGAACAGACCCCGACGCGCACCAAATCCGTGCTGTTTCCACACGACAGGATCACCTTTCCCCTATGACACCCCAACACCCCTCAAAAATATCAACCCACCCCCCTCCTACCGGTTCCAGTTCAAGCAGCAGCAGTAATCACACAGATGCGACTCGCTTCACACATTCCGGTTCCTCTTCAAGCGCGTTTACGTCCACCAGTTCAATCGCCCCGGCTATCAAGGTAAGCTGTCTTTTTGTTTTTAGCCGTACACGTTCTGGGGAGGTCTATGCATTCATCTCATGCCGCCGTCGCACGATGCGCTCGTTTATTGCTCCCGCCTTGTGAAATCTACTTCATCTCCGTCCTTCGAATGCCGTTGACATGTTTGACTTCTTTAGCACCTTGACGTCACTTTCCCTCAAGGTCGATCGCCATCTACTTCGGCTCAACCACAAAGATTGGCGGCAAACCCTACTAACCCGGTTAGTCCTCCTTCTAGATTCCCTGGTAGCTCCAATTATACTTTTATCTTTATTTTTCATTGGTGCTAGTGACTAACCTTTTTCTCTAGAACGTTACCTCGCAACCCGCTGTTTCTCCTATTAGTACCGCCCGAACTCAGGCTTTGACTCAGACTCGTCCCTTGTCTGTTGTCCCAGCACCTCCTCCATCTGCACGTCCGCCTGTGCTGGCCGACAAAAATCTTCAACGAAATTTAATGCCGACTACGACTCTTATGACAAAGACTGCTACCCGATCGCCTAGTGCTCGCTCCACAACGACGGCGGTCGCGCCGCCTTCTAGCGCCGCTCGTTTGTCAGTGGTGTCATCTTCTACTGCCGCTCCGGCTCGTTCACCTTCTACCGCTCGTACTACTCCCCATCGCGCGCCCCCAAGTACTCGCACGTACGCGATACCTCCTCGCCCGAACACCCAACCCCTCCAACTCAACTTGAACCACTCAACTTCGATAGAACTCAGCGCCGCTCCCATCCGGAAAGGACCGTTGATTTTGCTGCTATGGCTATCGGTCAGGACCAAGTTGCATCTATCGGGCAACAAGAAAATCTATCGCCCAATCAAAATCCAAACCCATCGACCAACCAACGCACATCCATTATACACCAAAACGCCCTCGCTGGCAGCCAGCGCCGTCAAGCACCCATGATCATCAAGCACCAACAAGCACCCACACCCATCAGCCCACATGACAACTCTGTGAACACTACGTGCATATCCGCACCATCAGCGCGACGTGTCGTAGATCATGATCATGGGACGCTTAGTTACCCGTCTCCTCCCGCGGAACATAAAAGTCTAGAGCGTGCTGGTGGAAGGGGTGTTAATGTGCCTTCTGTGCCTTCCACGGAGCGCACGCCTGTGCCTTTGTCAGCTGCTTCGACGAGTGTTCCTTTCAGTTCGGAGCGTATTGGATTGGCGCGCGGGGGGTCGGAGCGTATCACTTCTTCTGCACAGGGACAGGGACAGGGACAGGGACGTATTTTGGCTTCGGGCCCGGTTGGGCGTAGTCCGTTTGCTTTTGAAGCTGGATCTGAAGCTGGAAGACGTATCTCTTTGGACGTAGGACCTGGGCGTTCATCAGACGCACCAACAGGGCGATCCGACGCAGGTCCCCCACCAAGCCGTATCAGGGTCTCATCAGACGCAAGTGCACGCATGCCCCCGCCCCCACCCGCCCCCATGCGCAAACTCAGCCGAGCGACAAGCAAAGAAAGCCTCAAGCCTCGTGTGTTGACGAAATCGCGGCCTCCTACTCCTTCATCCTCCACTTCCACTCCATCTATGCCTGCCAAGTTGGTACTTAAGAAAGTATCGACAGAGGCGTTGTTCTCGGAGGATACGTTGTTTTTGGAAGAGGACCCGTTCAAGAAGGCTGAGGGGGTGCAGGTTGTTAAGATGCATGGAAGTGAGGAGGGGGCTGCGAGGCCGGTGACGCCTTCAAGACCCAAATCTCCTATGCCGCCGAGGCCCAAGTCGCCTTTAACCCCTGACTCCCCCGAAGGCTATAAATCCGCACGGACCCAGCGTCGAGGACAATGGCTCGAGAAGACGCGTCCTCCCCTTGTCGCTGACACGATCGCTCAGCAGGAAGTGATGACCAAGGAAGCTGAGCTTCTTCAAGAGGAGGAAGATGTCCGTCTTAGGAAAGCGGAGGAGGTGCGACAAAAGGAAGAAGAGGCACGCCAAAAAGCGGAAGAGGAACGCATGGAGAAGGAGGCAGAAGAAAAGCGATTGAGGGAAGAAGCTGAAGAGAAGCAACGATTGGAAGAAGAGCTCGCGAGGAAGCCTCCCACGTTCTACCCTATCGTTTCGCATCTCGCTGATGCGCTGCTCCTCCCGCATCTCCTCGCGTATCTGACATTTGGTGATTGGTGTGCACTGTATGCTGCGAACAAGGAGGTGAGGGTTCTGTTTGAGAGTCGAGTGTTGAGGGAGTATGTGCTTGAGCATTTCTTGGGGACTGTTGGGTATAACAAGTGGAGCTTTGAGTGGGCGGAGCCGCTTGCCCTGTCTCTCAAGGTTAGTCCTCCCTCCTGTATGATGCGATGCGATGTATTAACGCAAAGCTAAAGGACCTAAATGACTACATGCGAGGCGTCTCGATGCCCACGCACCAATACGGTCAACTAGCAGAGGCTTATCTCCAGCCCCGTATCCCCAACCCCGCAACTCCAGGAGAACGTCCCAAAGTCGTGATCCCGGATATTCTGTCGCTCGCTATGACCACTCGTGCATATACAAGAGTCGTGCTGCGGTTGAGGGCGCAAGCTGAGAGCGATGCGCGGGCGTTTGCGAGGTCGCATATTACTAGTCCTGTATCGTCGAGGCCTGCTACGCGTGACGGGCAAGTGGTGCGGTCTTTCTCGAGTCGTACGCCATCTCCGACATCGTTGTATTCCCATGGCAAGTCGTCCTCGGTCTCTGCTTCGACTAGGGGGGCGTTCCGATCTCCCTTGGTCCGACTCCACCGTGCGCCGCTCTTGCGGGTGTTCGTTCCTTCACCTGAAGGGGAGTGGTTATCTGATTCGAGTGTGGTGGAGTGTGAAGCTGAGCTGAAGAGGGCTGGTGTGTTGAAGTTGTTGAGGGTTGGTGATGTGGTGTGGGATGTTGCTGTGGGTGATGAGGGGAATTCGGGGAGAATGGTTTGGGATGGGAGTTATCTCGTGGTGAGTCCTCTTTGATCATTATGTGGGATGTGGTTGGCTCATGGTGTGCGTTTTAGGACCTTGATTACAAGTACTCGCCGATGGGCGAGCTGTCTCCTTATTTCCACAGTCTCGCGTTCTCTCCGTCGTATTTCCATCGCGTCATTCGGACGGGTGTTAATGCTGCTTTGAACCCGACGGGTAATCCTATTGTTTATTTGGATGTTAGTCCTTGGGGCCAGGAGCTTGCTGCGAACTTGCAGTTGTTGCAGGATAGAGCTACGACAGCGACGTGAGCCCTCTTTCTACTAGTCTATCAAAAAAAAAGTATGCTAAACATTGATTTGAATAGCCCTCACGGAACGCTTCACAGCGTCGTCCACTGGCTACACCGTTCCTCATTCACGATCCGACCCCCCGTCTCGCCGCACCACCCACACGCCTATTCACATAGCCAAAATTTACGCCTCCCGATCCCAAATGTTGCCGGCTTTTTCATTGATCCTGGCTGGTACGGGACTGTGATCGTCGAAGCCGAAGGCACGAACGAGGGTCTTTCAGATTTCCAAGCGCGATGCGGACCTGGTGCGTTCCCTCCCCGCGCGGATAATGTTACGTCGAAAATGAGGAATGAGAAGGAGAAGGGGAGTAGACGCGTTTATAGGGTCTTGAGGGAGAAGAGGTGAGTTTTTGGTTTTTTTTTCGTGTTTTTCGTCGGGGGCTTACATGATTTGGTAGTCGTCCTGGTGAGATCTGGATTCGGGCAGTTCGGGAGAAAGAACGAGTGATGTGATGTGACTCTTGATTATCGTTTTCACAAGTTGTGATTTTTTCCTCTTACGCATTTTTTTTAATGATGGCTGTGCCGGTACCTCTTCTGAACATTTCTTCATGTTCTCGTTCTCGTTCTCGTTTTCGTTTTCGTTTTCGTTTCTGTTTTCTCGTCTCGTCGGGCACCTGGTCGGAACCATTTTACAAACATCGCGAATAATTTTTTTTATCGCGCACCTATTCAGAAAATTTTCTCTTCTTTCTCATCGCGCCCCTCGCTCATTCATTTCTGGATACCGCGGCGTGTTTTCTTTCATAGAGATACATGTACAAGCATAGTTATTCCCTGGATTATGTTTTAGGCTTTACATTTTCCGACTAGGATCGATAGTTTACTTACTCATTAGCATAAAAATCAAGGCACGTGATCGTGACGCGTTCCGTTCTCGTTGTGTTCGTTCATATCTGTCTGCGGGAACTTTCATTCATTCTTTCGCCGCGCCGCCAGTGATCAGCAGGTCTGTCATATCGTCCATACCAGGTTCAGATTCCATCAGCGGTCACCAAAATGTTCCACGGCGTGCTTCAACTCATGACACTCCTCACGCTCAAGCTAGTCTCCGCGTCCTTGTACCCCATCCAGCCTATCCAGAACACCGTGTATTACTCTGGACAGAGTGCTCTAACGAAATGGATAGATGATGGGACGTATCCACTGCTTACCGATATGGGGGGGATTACCATAGAGCTTTATTGTGATTCTGACGTGCGTTATTCTTCCCCTTTGGACTTGACGGATCGTCACGGTGATTTTAATTTTTTTTGTGTGTAGACATACCTCGCGACGCTCGCTAGGAACGTCACCCCTGGAGCTATGTCCTGTCAGTTGGATATACCTAGGAGTGTTGTATATGATGGCTCGAATTTGTACGTGATTTAATTTAACCAGGTGCAACGCTCACGCTCACCCTTGACTCGGACACACAGCACTCTGCGTTATATCACGAATACCCCATACGATATGATCATCTACAGCGCGGACTTTAGGATCGCGGTCCAAGGCGACTCTCTTCCAACCGCGACACACCTGAATGCGAGTTCTGTGACGAGCTCTAGTAGTACTACAAGCGAAAATCTATTTTTTCAGGCAACCACCACGCCTTCCTCGTCTTCCGGTTCAACGCCATCGCCATCTCTAACAAACCTCGCGATACCCCCCCTCCGTCCAGGCGACGTCGGGAACATCGATCAACCCTCTAGGAGCAGACTCGGAAACGCAGCTGGCCGAATCGATATTGAAAAACTCAAGTTTCGGGTGGTGTTTATCCTTTGGCCTGCCTTGTTGGGCGTTACTATGGCTCTTTGATCATTGTGTTTGTGTCTTTTTTTGTCTTTTTCTTTAATTTTCGATTTTCGATTTTGTGTTTTCATGTCATGTAATGGGGTGACGGATAGGAGTACGATAATGAGAATGAAAGAAGGGACGTTGTATTTGGTCTACCAATTTAAACGGCCCGGGGAGAAGCACATTGCATATATACGCCTTTGTAAAATGTGTGTGAGTGCGATAAGCTGGCTTGTTCATGTGATGAACGCCCCAGGTTCGAAGCCGCAGTTGCGGAGTTACAGCTATGCCGCATCTGCTTCTAGCCTGACCCAGTCGGATCTTTTGCCAGTGTGACGATGACATCGATGGCATATGATCAAGCTTGCAAGCGCTCGTCGACATGGTTAAATAATGATAGAAGTTGGGATCTACTATCATAGACCTCTTCGTTTGAAATCCTACATCCACTGTTATCATGCCTGCACCATCGAGGGACACCAACAATATTTCTACAAGGACAGAGAAGGATTTTCCGAGGGGTATACCGCCTCCTCAGACCTTCTCTGACCCATTCGAACAACGAGCTTTCTTGAAATTTCGCCTGGCTCAAGCGTATCGTATCTTTGGTGAGCTCGTTGTTTTATCGTAACAGGAAGTGCTCGTTTTTATTATGCAATGCAGCAAAGTATGGCTATGATGAAGGCGTCGCTGGACATATTACTGTTCGGGTAAGAGTGATACTGATAACATGGTATGCGTGACATTCTAATTGCTTTATCGAAAGGACCCTATCAGATCAGATTGTTACTGGGTCAACCCCTGGGTAATCAATTATCGTGCCAAGATAAAATCATGATATTTACCATGAGTTAATACAGGGTGTTCACTTCAAGCTCATCCAGCCCGAGCTCCTCCTTCTTGTAGACCACGAAGGGAAAATACAGGAAAAGGAATCTGGGCCCTCCCGGTACCTCAATCGGGCGGCATATATGATCCATTCAGCGGTTCATGAAGCTCGCCCTGATATTCTCTGTGCTGCGCATTCGCACACTATACATGCTAAGGCGTTCAGCGCTCTTGGGGTGCCCCTTGATCCTATTACTCAGGACAGCTGTGCATTTTATAAGGTATCTCGGCTCATCATTCTCGAGGAGATGTCCCGTTCAATGAATCCATAGGATCATTCCCTATATAGCGAGTTTCGTGGCATCGTCGAGGACCATGAGGAAGGTCTGGCTATAGCAAATGCTCTGGGTCCAAACAAGGTCTGTTGCTGCACCGATTTGCATACTTGTGTCGATACTCACGAGATTCCAGGCTGTTATCCTCCAGGTATATTTGAGAGCTCGGTCGAACGTTCTCACCTGCTTATCATGTCTCTCCATATAGAACCACGGGATCCTTGTCGCCACCAAATCGATTGAATCAACCGTCTTCTTTTTCATCTCTTTGGAAAAGTGCTGCCAGGTTCAAATGCTAGCGGACCAGGCCGCCGCTGCTCGTGGACTGAAACCAAGCGTTATTGATCCAGAAAATGCGGCTGACACGCATAAACATCTTGGATCTGAGATGGGAGGCTGGTTCAACGCGATTCCCGAGTTTCAGCTCTTGGAACACGAGGAAGGAAAGAAATTCGAGTACTTGCCTGCACAGAAGGAGAATATGTAGCTGACCTATTTACCAATTCGGAGTCCCTAAGCACCTAGCAATATCCCTGTCAGTTCTTTGATCTACTAAAACATGGCTAGGTAATGCAAAATGAATGCTAAGTTATCATTTCCTCTAGTACTAAAACATACAGGCCGTGCGCGGATTCCACGCGGAGCATCTCTGTAAGGTCTAAGACAGGCCGGTCACCAGAGTATATGGAAGCGAAACCGTGAAATCTAGAGGGCTGTTCATCGAGAGGGATGAATGGTACTAAGGTGCCTTGCGAAAGACAGGGTAGCGAAGGGAAATGTGTATCAGGCCCGGGGTTCCCTTTATGTACTTAAATTCATAAGCGGAAGCGTTGTATAAGTAAACTTTGACTAGGCAGATTCCATCCTGCCTCAGGTGTTATCAATATCTATCATCTCAGACACGCCAACATCGTTCCTTATCATATCACATTCGTTTTCGATTATCTAACGTTACAACGCACCTACATCCTACAAGAGGTCTCCACACTGTAAGGCTGAGTGTGAGTTGGTTGGGGAATGGTTTCGAGACGAGTGGATAGAAACTTGAGAAAAGACTTAGGTATAAGACACGTTATTCTTCTGTTGGCTTCGGGGTTGAAACGCGCTCGATTCCACGACGATCACATGAGTACGGGCGGCTTTCATAAGTACGAGTTTGAAGGTGTAAGGCTGACCATGAGTTCGAAGGGGAAAGCCTTGAACGAGATGTTGACGAAATAAGACGTATAGTTAGATAGCGCGAAAATGACAAGACGAGTCGTTTGTGAGACTGAGACTTTCGTTGGAGTGTGCTTTGGAGCGGGGAATCAGCGCATGAGATTCTGCTGGTGCCATGAGTGTCCATGAGCTGTATATGTACGTTTTCGAACATTTGGTTAGACCACAACGAGCAGGGTAAGCATATGGTGATAATGAACTGAAGGGCGAAAGCAAGGGAATCGTGGAAAGTGAGCACGAGGTAAGATGATGAAGGAAAATGGAGAGGGTTGTATCTGCGTGGCTCGGATGCGAAGAGTTGTGCCCCTCGCATCAGTGAGTCACGTGGACTGCTTCGAGCCGGTTCGAGCGCCTTTGTTTTGGAGCGTGGTCAGGGCGTAAAGGATATACTATCCTTACAAAGGGGAGAAATAGCTCGTGCCCTGTAGAGTACAAGGTAAGTAACATAAAAGGAAATAAGGATATCCGCATATCTCGGATGCGAAGAGTAAAGCTCTTCGGCATCGGTGAGACATGGACTGTGTTTGTGTTCGCTTCAGGTGCTGGTCGGTGCGTAGAGAACACGGGGTCCTTACAACACCCCTTCGCACTCGCAGACCCTAGGTTCTTATCTAGGTTCTTACATGCCTCACCTTACGCACGAGAGCAGAAAGAGCCCAGACACTCAGGCTGCTCACCCCCACTTGCGTTGTCGCTCGTTTGAAGGTGTGTGTATCGCACAATTTATTAGGGTTCACTTTGGAGCGTCATACAGTTGCGGAGTTACAGTTATGCTTCTAGCCCGACCAAGTCGGACCTTCAATGAGCTTTTGTGATGATGGGATCCATAACGTATGATCAAGCTTGCAGCGTTCGCTGACACGGTTAAATCGCAATAGAAGTTCAAGTTAGGGTCTATCTCGTCTGGAATCCCACATCCACTAGTACTATTATCATGACCGCACTATCGAGGGATGCCAACAACATTTCTACAAGGATAGAGAAGGATTATCCGAACGATATACCTCCTCCTCCGATCTTCTCTGACCCACTCGAACATCGATCGTTCCTGAAATTTCGCTTGGCTCAAGCGTATCGTATCTTTGGTGAGTTAATAGTTATCGTAATAGGGAGCGCCCCTCGTTATCATGCAACGCAGCAAAGTACGGCTATGATGAAGGCGTCGCTGGACATATTACTGTCCGAGTAAGAGTTGACAGTGATAACATGGTGTATGTGACATTCTAATTGATTCGTCGAAAGGACCCTATCAGACCAGACTGCTACTGGGTCAACCCCTGGGTGATTGATATCCTGCCAAGATAAAATCATGATATTTACCATGAGTTGCCACAGGGTGTTCACTTCAAGCTCATCCAGCCCGAGCTCCTCCTTCTTGTAGACCACGAGGGAGAAATACAAGAAAAGGAATCTGGGCCCTCCCGGTACCTCAACCGGGCGGCATACATGATCCATTCAGCGGTTCATGAGGCTCGCCCAGATATTATCTGTGCTGCGCATTCGCACACTAAATATGCTAAGGCGTTCAGCACTCTTGGGGTGCTCCTTGATCCCATTACTCAGGACAGCTGTGCATTTTATGAGGTATCTCATGCTCATCGTTCTCAAAGAGATATCTTATTCAATGAATACATAGGATCATTCTCTATATAGCGAATTTCGTGGCATCGTCGAGGACCGCGAGGAAGGTCTTGCTATAGCGACTGCTCTGGGTCCAAACAAGGTCTGTTGGTGCGCCGATTTGCATACTTGTGTCGATACTCACAAGATTTCAGGCTGTTATCCTTCAGGTATATTTAAGAGCTCGGTTGAACGTTCTCACCTGATTATCATAACCCTCCGTGTAGAACCACGGAATCCTTGTCGCCACCAAGTCGATTGAATCAACCATCTTCTTTTTCATCTCTATGGAAAAGTGCTGCAAGGTTCAAATGCTAGCGGACCGGGCCGCTGCCGCTCGTGGACTGAAACCCCGTCTTATTGACCCAGAAAATGCGGCTGACACGCATAAACAACTTGGATCAGATATGGGGGGTTGGTTCGACGGGCTTCCCGAGTTTCAGCTCTTGGAGCACGAAGAAGGAAAGAGATTCGAGTACATACCTGTAAAGAAGGAGAATATGTAGCTAACCTGTGTACCAATACGGAGTCTTGAATCACCCAGCAATGTCCCTCCCAGTCTTTGATCCACTTAAGAATAGCTAGGTGATGTGTCATCATTTCCTCCACAGAAACATTGTAGTGGGGTGGTCTAGCGCAGGCCCTCAGAAGTGCCAGGGGTCCTGGCTCGTAGTCGGAATACAAAGAAGAGATTCGAGTGCTTACCTCAGCTGCACAGAAGGAGAATATGTAGCTCAAGAGGTGGGTAAAATAAGAGTTCATGACATATACCTGATGTAACTTCGGACGGGTCCCCCCCCACCGTGACAGCGTTACAGTCACCGTAATTTAGCCATATATAGTAACTATCTCGATCACAAATGAGAGGTCTGGGAGCAACAACATCGACTGAAAGCGAGTGATACACAAGCACACAGTGATAACTACAATGCAGAAAGACAACTAAACAACCAACAAACTAAGCTGGAGGGATGTACGTGCTCGTTTGGAGGCCTGGGGGAGAGACCCAGCAGACTCAAGGGCAGGACATTTAGGACGAGATCCTGATGCTACAGGTACGTTCTCCTTGTCCTGCTCAGATGAATCTCCATATGAGGGCTGCCAGCGATCCTTCGGGATGTGCGAAGCGCCCTGCTCAAGATCCGTAAGTTTCATCACCCTCCAAACACTTACTGGCAATGGGACCCCCGCCTCTCTATGTCCAGGGATAGCATACTCCTTGTGCTGGTCCAGGATGTGTGCTGTCATATTGTAGTGCCACACAGCTTCGATGGGGAGAATGGGTACTTTTCATGTGGTCTTGCCGGGTTGAGGAGGGAGCACAGGGTGACAAAGTCCGCATTTGAGGGGTAAGTTGTGATAGGGCTTGTTTTTCGATCCAGAATCGACAGATCCATACCTGAATGTGTGCTTGTACTTGCACCCCATTTCCCAGGTAGGCGCCCTGCTACTTGGAACCGTGATTCTGATGGTACACTCAGGCACTCCAGAACAACTGCAGAATCCACACGGGCTTGTAAGACCAACCTGGTTACGATAAGTTAGTAAAGGAAGATAATAGATATAGAAAAAAACTCACCTCTTGCTTCAAAGGTAGCTCCTCAGGAGTGTTGGTCATTGTGTGTAGTATATGGCAACCTATGTGATCCCGCATGTCAAGGACCTTGGCGTCGCAAAGTGGACACATTATGATGCATTCCCCTTTGGATGCTGTGAGTTGGCTGCTGGCCTCAACAGAAATGACTGCTGGAGTGCCTGACAATATAAACTTATGGTTAGAAAACAAAGCACAAACCACAAACACAAAACATACTGTCTGCTAGTCGGTAAGGGAACATATTTGGATCTGATGACATGACAGCCGCGATAGACTTCAGGTTGACCTTCAATTTGTTGGCTTTGGCCCAGAGGAGTTTGCAAGCTGCTTGCATTGCGTCCTGAGAGATCTTCCAAGTACTTTGGCCACCATTCACTTGAGTGAACTTGTCAGTATTGATGTTGTCCTTCAAGCAAATGAAAGTAGCCTCAGGGTTGACTGGTTCAACGAGGGAACCAGGAACGGTGACCATAATGACACGTTCTGTATACTCCGATGTTCCTTGAATGATGGAACGTGCTTTGATGTATCCGCCATCCCATAAAAATGATTGAGAGCTGTCAGAAGAAGGGTTAGTTGCCACAAGACTGAGTAGTTGACCAGTTATCTTAGCCATAGTTCGCAATGCCTTCATCATTGTCATGTTGATTGACATGCAGGAGATGTTGTTGAGGCTGGCAGTGGTAGAATGAAGTATGCCAATTGAAAGAGTGCGACCGGAATGAAGGACAGTGAGAAAAATGTCCCCAACGAGAAAGAGATTGTGATCAGTGATACAACCCACAGATACATCAACACGTTTGTTAACTTTAGTATAACCTCCACGGACATGCTCAAGTCGATTAAGGGACTTGGAAATAAAATCCTTGTTGATCACAAGACGGCATATCATCTGCTTGTGGATCCACCGTCCTTTGTATAGGAGGTAATCTTCAGGGTGTATTCCAGGCCCTTGTGGCAAAGCAGGGGTCGAAGGGTCATGAGAGATGTGCTGAGAAGATGAGGAGGGAGCAGGGACATCAGTGAAGGATTCGTCAATCAATGACTCTTGGAACATGAGCATCATTTCTTCATCGTCATCGCCTCCTGCCAAGACCCCAAGATCAGCAACTGCATGGTTAGTGTGGTCGTGATCCTTGTCTACTAAGACTGTCTCTAGACACTGAGAGGGAGGGGCGATCACAACAGGAGGAGGAATATTAGGAACTTCACTGGTATCCTCAAGGTCATCGTCCATGGTTATTCCAAGGTACCTGTTCTGTCCAAATGGACAAAGCATATCGACACCAGGTACACTGAAAAGCTCCCTGAACGAATAATGAGTTGGCTGGAGCTGGGACATGGTGAGGATGGAAAGGGCTGCGTCATGACCATTGTGCCATGCCAATGGCAGATCACACCAGCCAGAGATAATATCGCCCTTCCAGACCTCACGATTGATATGATCAATGCCTTCCTGACATGTAAGTTTGAGGCGCCAGTGGCCTGGGTCAAGTTCTGGGTGATGCCTGAAGACAGCATCAATATCCTTCGCAGCTCCTAAATGATCAAGAGCCTGAGCATATGAAGATGCAGAATTATGGCCCCCAATCATGCGTGTGCGCACGAAAAGAATCTCGAGGGGATCATCCCCAACATCCCCAAGGAAAAAAGGAGCGTGTGGGTCCAGTGCTTGTTGCTTAGTGAGGCAGAATGCAGAATTCTTTACCATCATCTGTAGGTCATAATATAATTGATAGGACATGAATGACCGTTGATGCGTGTGGAAGAAGGCGAAAGCAAGATGAGAGTACCGACTGAGCAGCATGAATTGTTCGGATAGGGAGAGAGAAAGATTGGTAAAAGGCAGGAGGATGGACTCTAGAAGAGCACTAAGAAGAGCGATTGATTGGAGATCTGTGTGAGTGTCGATATTGGTCGAAAATGAGTCGTTGACAATGGCATGCCGAGATTTGGAGAACTCGATAATGGCAAGCATGAGCTCGACTGCACAAGGGACATCTTGAGGATCATCTGGGTAGAGAAGTTTGGTGACAGCTGCTTCGTCAAAGGCAGGTAGCCACACGAGATACCATGCAAGCATCATTGAGTTAATGATGCGACCATTATTGAGCACGACACCCGCAGGAGATTGAAGGAGAGTGCATATGCCTGTGTTTAAGCTGATTATTAAGCATTCAATGTAAGCAAAAGCAGTGACTTATGCTTGAATATGTGTTTGAAGTCGAAATCAAGCATCACCTCATTATCGCCTGTGAACAGATTCAATCCCAGCATGTTGATGAGTGTACCATACAAATCCGAACTCTCAGAGAGCGGACTCTTGACGAACAGCCTATGGCCAGCAGTGTGGTGAGTAGCATCGCCATCAGTGGCAACTGACCAGACTGGTCCAACCTGTGCCGCTGCCCCAGTGGTGTTCCATCGATCAATGGCTTTAGTGAGGATCTGCTCCATGTCATTGGCATTCTCGCTCTTGCAAGTGGGAGCAGCTAAGATGGGGAATATTTCGTCCCGGCCAAAACATGAGGCCCCCATAACAGTTAGTTCCTTGCCCAGATGGACATGACTGTCATGGATCTTCTGAGCAATGTTGACTGCAGATTCGTAAGTGCAGAGAACAGGGTTGACAAGGTGTGAGTGTTTCCAACATAGACCACCAACCTTGTTGTACTTGCTGAAATGGACGGCCATCTCCTTGAGTGTGGAGTGTGCAAAGGGAAGGGATAGCAAGTTTCTGGTTCAGTGCGAAGAGAAGTTGATGACCACCAAGCCTGTAGATAAGGGTGGCAATATCCAGGTCAGTCGCATCATACCCCCGAGGATGGTATGCGCCCTCAAGGGCATCCTCTAGTTTATTGACTATCTGACGGATACTGGCACCGTTGCGTAAAGCAATGTTGATAATCTGTTGAAGGTGAGGAATGTCTCGTTCGGATACAGCCATGAGCAGTCGATTGTAGTCATCGAGCTGCGTGAGCGCACTCATATACTTGCGCAAATCATTCAGCTGCTAATCAGAGTTAGTATGTACACAAAAAATAAATAAAGCAGATGTACCTGCAGCTTCAACTGCTTGATTTGTTCTGCGTAAGTCCTTGCAACATCCTGCACATGTGCAAGACCTAAAAATTTGTAGTTAGTGTGTGCTTTTGGAGTGTGTGCAATGTCTGCCAGACATTCGACGTGAAGAGGGATCTCAGTGCATTCATCACAGGGAGTACCATATGACAAGCAGTGCTTAGACTGGAGGCGAAGAGCACTAGGATTTCGAGTGTCTATGAAGAAGGGTAGGGCGTCTGGGCCATTGTGATAGTGCTCCCAAGGAAAGAGCATAATGAAAGGGTGGAGGTCCTCTGGCCAGACGACAGGAACTCCAGTGCAGACACTATTAAGAGCAGGTGCAGGTGAGAGAGCACGACGAGGTCTGCAGGCATATGATGTAAGTACGTATTAAAGCCAAAACGAAACATACCTGTGATCAGACGTAAGACTCAGGGAACGAGACAAAGGTGCATCAGACACGGTCCAATCAAGCACAGGTTTGTTTTTGTCAGTTGATGCCTTGATGCACTTGCGGCTGCCTCAATGGCTGCTCAACAAGCTGAACTGCCCAGGATATCAGAGAGGAAGTTGGGATGATATGCTCATTTAGACCCATTCTTGGCAGTCAGGGCAGAGCAGCCTCCATCGTTGTTGGGTACCGATGGTTACCGGTAGTACCTTAGCCATGTACACATTGTAGAGCGAGTCTGGCGTGTTTATTAATAGTTGTTCCTCAATATTAATCTCGGAATCAGGGACCAAGAGAGAAGATGAGCCTTGCGAGTCTGAATCTGATTGGCCCCAGTACGAGCTGGGACCTCAAGAAGGAGGCAATAAGTTAGGGAAATCTTGCGAGTATGCCATGGTATCTTCCGATAATTGTATGTTGAAGTCTATGCCTGGGCTATTAGAATGCCCAGACGCTGATGAATCTGTATTGGGGTCTGATCCGATGAAGACCGTTGTTTGATGCGAGGTGGCTATATGCGCCTCATTTCTGATGGGAGCCGAGTTTTCGTAATGTGCTGAGAAATTGGACTGAGTGTGTGCATGCAACATAGAATACATAATGAATGAGAGTATGCAAAAATGAACAAGTTGTTACTGATGATGGTGTGAGGGAGAGAGATGAGGCGCGTCAATACATGTATGAGGTGCGTCATATCAATATTGACACATCGCATTATATTGGTCACATGTTCTCAATTTTTACAACTGGAAACATTGATTTGGCTAGTAGCGTCATTGCACACTTTGATCTCATCAATCTGACTATCTATATGTGTTCTTAAGTAGCAAAAATGGGGGCCTTACAGTGTTCAGTTAAAGAATTTATTAAGATCCTAGACCGCTGTCGAGGAACTCAGAACACTGCTCTCGAAACTTCAAGTGGCTGTATATTAAGGTTTTGTAGATTATATAACAACGAGCCCCATGTTGGGAATTAAGGTTTCACTCACCTCTTGATGTAGCTGACCTATTCATCAATACAGAGTCTTGAAGCACCTCACAATATCCATACCAGTCCTTGATCCACTAAAATATGGCTAAGTAATGTAAAATGACTGTTGTCATTTCCTCTACAGAAACATTGTAGTAGGGTCTATGCGTTGCTGTTAGTTTTCGTGGTGAGTCACAGGAGATCAGCTCTTTATTTATAGTAAATAATTGCTGATCATACAAATAGTAGCAATGATACATTTGAAGCTATTTGGGCTTGAACCCGAAGGGTTCATGACCCGAAACACCATTTCGAACCTGGAGGAAAGACCATGATGAGCCATGATTCCCAACAAGCCCAAAGGAGCCCTGCGACGCGTCAGGTGCAGCATGGACTCCTACCTCACAAGGAGAAGGGTGAGGCAAAAAGGAGATAGAGACGTACTGATTAGTGCGCTGGAGGCATTGTATATCTGGTGAATCCTTCGAGCACTGGTGACTCTTGAAGATATGGTGCTAATATTAGCACATGTTTGCGCAGATATATGGTGAAAGCTTCACTGGACCATCTTCCTATTGATTTCACCACGTCGAAGGGGATTCCGTGAAGTAAATATTCCAGTGTCCCGCCTATGCGCAAGCCATGTCCCTTGAGATTCCCTAGACCAGCTCTTTTCACAATGCTGCTAATCTGCTTCAAGAATTCGTTCCGCGTCAATGGCCTTGGTCCTTTGGCATGCTTCCATGTAAAAAGGTGATCATTGATTTGGGGATCATTTATTGCGAAGTGATGGAGCAGCGCATCTTTAGGATCCATCTGATTGTCTTGTTGTGCCCAGTGAACGCTTTCCCCCACTGTGGACACCTTGGTGTGTGGTAGAAATATCTTGGTAGCGTGGAAATGATGCCTGTCCTCAACATCAAATTCTACGTCTGCATGTTTAACGTGCTTCTCTGGATCAAAACCTTTTATGGTCTTCGTGGTGAGTTCTCCTAGTTGACATAATGCATAGAATGCTGTTGTTAAACATGTGTATATTGCAGCGTCGAGCAGAGTTCCTAGGTCAAGGTGTGAACGGATCTCAAGGATGAGCTTCACTGTAAACAGTTCTCTCCTGGTGCGTTTAGATGAGGGAGGGGTAACTTTCATTGCGCCATCTAACGACACATTCAGCTGATCCTGATTGACATTCCAAGCTTGGCCATGCAATGTGTGCCATGCTTTGATGGCATAAACATAGTTGGTGAGTGTTTTTCCTGAGTACGAGCCAGCGCAGCTTGATACAAAGTTCAGGACTGTCTGCGTGTCAACAGGACAATGTTGCTCTTCCGGGACCAATCTTTCATCACAGAAGACGTGAAAAACAAGAAGACCCACGCTGTGGCATTCTCTTGTGCCTTCCGCCCATGATAGATTCATGACAGTGAGTACTCTCTCTAAGTCTTCCTCCGTTATTGAAAGAAAGTTCTTGTCTGAACCTGCAGCCATCCTCGTCTTCACTGGATACCAAAGCTTTAACCGTTCGTGTGCTAAACAGTGAGGTCGCAACTGTGAAGCTGCTGGAACTAACCCTTTCTTGTAGGGTTGTGGTTTGGCTGTGAGTTCTGTTGGGAGTGTGGCTTTAAAACGAGAGTTATTGCTCATGGCGCTGCTGTTCCTGCCTGATGAGGAAGAGCAAATCAGAGCTGGAGCAGAAGTCGTTGCTGTGACCCTCGTTGGAATGGTGGCTAACAACATTCTCAGGGATGACTGCACTATGGTTCAAGGAGTCTGTGGGTGTGATGAACGGGTCAAAGATGAAAGATTGAAGTTCGAGCAGGATGGGAATGTAGGGGAGGAGGAATTCTGTGCTGCTATAGATTCCTCATGAAGGTTCACCTGCTGGATTGCACTTGCTCATGATATAGGCTGGATGGAACGAGTAAGGTGTGTCGGAATCGTAGATAAGATTAAAAATTTGTTTGAAGACTGAATTGACGGCCTTGCTCCTGCTGTGTCCATTTCACCAACCTTCAATGATGCCCTGGTTGTCTCCATAGACCCGAAAATTCCTCTCTGATCCTCCCATTCCAATGATGTGGATAGTGAGAAGCTCGAATCCAACTGCTTCTGCCCAGCCAATATCTTTTTGACTGTTGAGTGTTTGCCAACCTTTGTGTAGATGCCATGCTCACCATCTATTACCAATGATGATAGCAATTCCAATGCCCGAGCTGGCATCTGAGTATGCTGCTGGGTCATACAGGGTGAGTGGCTTGGGTATTGAACAGCCAACAAAAGATGACTGTAATAACGCGGTCCACCAACAAAGATCTGCTTCGAGAGTTTTGACTGGTCGTCGTGGGAGAAACGGATTAATGAAGGCAAGATGAAGCATAGCCTCAAGCGATGTGAGATATGCACGTCCTTTTGGGATAACAAGCGTTGTATGTAACAACTTGCCATACAGTTGTTGTATGTCAAGAAGAACATGTGTGTCACATTGTTGCCAGGCTCAGATTGCTGAGAGATACTTATGCTTCTTTTCTTCTGTGAGATACACCTTGTCGTGTTCCAGGTCCCACATGATACCAATGTAGGGATTAGCATAGGCGAAGGGCTTGTCTTTAAGCTTTTCCCAAGGAATATCGAGATCTTCTGACACACTGTCAATGTCTGACATATTACATGAAAATCGGCCTTCTTCAATGGACCTTGAAGAAGCTCTGGAGAGATCTGTGATAGGGAATCAGCAGTCTTCATCAAACTCTTCCAGTGTGCCACCCTCGAATACATGCCCCCCAAACCAAATTCTACCTCCATCGTGATGCATTCCCCTGTCAGTGATTTCTTTGTGCCATTGCTTTCTCTTGACATTGTACTCTTCAATGAATTCCTTGAGTATCTGAATGAAAAGGTGATCATTAACCCATCTTGAGTTCAGTCCAATGCCTTTTGCCCGAAATAGGTCAAGCCCTGCATCAGCCAGATTCCCATAAGCCCCGGCTGAGGGAGAGAGACCAAAACACATGCAGGTGTCAATACAGAATTGATCTTCAGAAATCCGCACCACTACTCCTGGCCATTGTGACAGGTGGATAGGGACTGTGCGGTATGCCTCTGCCACATCTCTGATAGCAATTTGTGAACCTGGCGGTAAGCAGCTGATAGTGAGCGTGAGCACATGAAATGTTCCCCATGTACTGGGAAAATTATCAGGATTAATGTAAGAGTTGATAGACACATTGGGAAATTTTTGCAAGGGAGTGTGAGGAAATGAATAGTTTTGAATAATGCAATAATGACCGGGACGTCCTGGCTTGGGAATAATAGAGAAAGGAGATGACTGAAAGGGTCCAATGTACCTTCCTTTCTCAAGTTTGGTTTGTACAATAGAAAGAAAATTTTGTTGGTATGTAGCAACAGACTCTTTGTTAGGAGGTGCTTGTGTGATTTTAATATTAGGAATGTCCAGTACAAAGCCCCGATGAAGACCTTCAGGGATATGTGAGTATCTGTCACTGAGTCCCACTGCGACGAGTGCCACTTCCCAAGCGTTGGGATTGTAAGGAGTAAGTGCCTCATGCCTTCTGCGCTTGAGGACATGACTGAGCTCCGTGAGTTGAGAGCCCGCACCCTGAACAAAAGTGCCTGTGGTCGTGAGTGACGTCTGCACAACCGCTGATCCGCTGCCAGTTGCTGCAGACAGGTTTTCCGTCTCGCATGGTGAGTACTCTGCTAACTTGCGCACAGAGAGTGTTGTGAGACTCGTCCCAGAGCTTGACTGCCTTGCACTTGATAATATGGTGGGGGTTTCATCCAAGACACATGGCACAGGCAGAGAGGACTCCCCTGCCTGTGCCTGTGCAAAAATCCTGGCGCGGTCTTTTGGCTCTGTAGCCATGCTCTGGAGAGGCTGAATGCTTGTGCGACTCTTTGAAGTCATGTTGTCTTGATGATGAACTGACATGGCGATCAGTCTGAGACAGAAAGTGAGGCATGAAGCATGTGGCATGTGGCAAGAGGCATGTGGCAAGATGCACATGGCAAAGGTAATCATTTCGATGTGAGTCGAGATGTATAATTTTAAGAGTGAGAAAAGCAAATTTTTGATGAGTGAGTGAACCCAATGATGACGAATCAATAGACACTGACCTTGTAATCACAGGCATTGTCTTTCTTGTGGCAATCCTCCCAATACACCTTGGTCCTAGTCTCCTCAAGAACAACTTCATTGATGACCGAAATGTCATAAGGGCCCACTGGGGACTTGGCAACAACGTGCCAGTGTTTGCATTGTTCCGCTTGGTATACTAACAGAGTTTTCTGTGCTAGCGGATCTCAAAGCGACCGGTACTTGTGGACCTGCAAGTTCCTCCAGAAGAGAGCCATCATTCTCATCCAGTCTTGTGGCCAGTTGGTGTCCTCTAAAGCCTCTAAAAAGCGAGGGCATGCTTGGCAGAATTCTTCGAAGGACAAGTCCTCATCCTTGATGACCAAACACGTGTTGCAAGTTGAAGCAGCAGAGACCCAAGTGTTTGAACCATCAGCCAGAGTCAACAGAATCATGGCATCGTCATCTGTAGTCTTTGAGTTGGATGCCTCATCCAATCCATCGTTCATGAAGTACCATAGCTCTAAGTATTCCCCTTTGTCCAACTTGCGCAGGGCATACAAGCAAGGGGTAACGGACTGATTGTTTGGGATACCTGAGTTCCATAGAATTGGGATATACTTGAACTTGTTCTTCTTGCACTCTTCTTTGCGTGTTTCTTCTTCTTCGTTAATGCATTCTTGATTCAGACGCTCTTGCTTGTCTTTATCCATGCGTTGCTGGTGCTCCTGTTCATCTCTGTTGTCTTCTACTTGCTGCTGCCACAAGCATTTGTCCAGTATGTTGTTAGCCTGCCAGATGTTCCTAAGCAACTGGATTGCTTGCTCCTCAGTCGTAGTATCGTTGACAAATTGTGCTCATGTGTTGGTGAAATCCTCTGAGGCATAGTCAGGACAGATGTTCAGGTTGGGATCATTCCGAATACGAGGCATAATGATTAGAACTGATTTTATCTATAAGATAGAGGCAACAAAACAAGCGTGAAGTTGCAGAGAATGACTTGTGAGTGCTAAGTGATAGTATGAAGCAAGAAGTGTGGGAACGCGAAAAGCCGTATCGCCGCATAGATCTAATTCTATGTACGTTCTCGTATCTCGAACTAACATAGAATACACTCTGGGCCCTTGGTAGTGCCAGGGGTCCTAGTGCAGTAGCAGGAGTCCTGGCTCGTAGTCTTGCAGTGTGTTCACTGTTGACAATGTTACTGTTGTAATTGGTCCTCGATAGATCGAGCCGCAGCCTCCTGCTAGAGGTTTGGCCTTGGGTTTCCCTAGCAGTCCGTGCCCGTTCCATCATACCCATGCATGGATTCCCGCGAAGCATCTCTATGAGGTCTAAGACGGCCGGTCACCAGAATATCTGGAGGCGAAACCGTCAAATATGGAGAGCCATTCATCGGGAGGGATAGAATTATGAATGATAGACTAAGGTATCTCACGAAAGACCGAACTCTCAAGCTTGGATTCGGAGGCGTGATATGGAGTATCAGAGATGATGGTGGTAAGTTGTGCATTTTTGTGAGAGCCTTTGCAAGGCTGGCATACTGTCATATTTATTAATACAAGACCAGGGTTGTAGAGCACGAGTTGTGCATACTTGCCAATAGAATTCTGATATTTTTTCGAGGTGGTAGGACATCATGAGCACCAAACTGGTGATGCCTAACTGACGCGCACCATAGCACATTGTTCTTGTGTATGGGTGCGATAAGCTGGCTTGTGCATGTGATGAACGCCACAGGTTCAAAGCCGCAGTTGTGGAGTTACGCCCACAGTTGTGCCGCATCTGCTTCATTTGGATTGGCCTGGATCTGTAATGGTGGTATCGATGGTATATGATCAAACTTGCAGGCGCTCGTTGATACGGTTAAATAACGATAGAAGTTCAGGCCTATCACAGAACTCTCGTTTACAATCCCACATCCACTGTTATCATGACTGCACCATCGAGGGACACCAGCAACATTTCTACGAGGACAGGGAAGGTTTATCCGCCTCGGAAGAACATACCGCTTCCTCCGACCTTCTCTGACCCACTCGAACATCGAGCGTTCCTGAAATTTCGCCTGGCTCAGGCATACCGTATCTTTGGTGAGCCCATTGTTTTATCGTAACAGGCAGCGCCCGTCATCATGCAACGCAGCAAAGTACGGCTATGATGAAGGCGTCGCTGGACACATTACTGTCCGGGTAAGAGTTGACACTGATAACATGGAGTGCGTGACATTCTAAATTGCTTTGTCGAAAGGACCCTATCAGACCAGATTGCTACTGGGTCAACCCCTGGGTAGTCGATTAATGTCCCAAGATACAATCATGATATTCACCAGTTGCCACAGGGTGTTCACTTCAAGCTCATCCAGCCTGAGCTTCTCCTTCTCGTGAACCACGAAGGGAAAATACAGGAAAAGGAATCTGGACCCTCCCGGTTCCTCAACCGGTCGGCATACATGATCCATTCAGCGGTTCATGAAGCTCGCCCAGATATTCTCTGTGCTGCGCATTCACACACTATACACGCTAAGGCGTTCAGCGCTCTTGGGGTGCCCCTTGATCCCATTACTCAGGACAGCTGTGCATTTTATGAGGTATCTCGCGCTCATCGCTTTCAAAGAGATATCCCACTCAATGAATCTATAGGACCATTCACTGTATAGTGAATTTCGTGGCATCATCGAGGACCGCGAGGAAGGTCTGGCTATAGCGACTGCCCTGGGTCCAAACAAGGTTTGTTGATGTACGGATTTACATGCCTATGTCAATACTCACAACATTGCAGGCTGTTATCCTCCAGGTATATTTGAGAGCTCTGTCAAACGTTCTCACCTGCTTATCATGTCCCTCCATGTAGAACCACGGAATCCTTGTCGCCACTAAGTCGATTGAATCTACCGTCTTCTTTTTCATCTCTATGGAAAAGTGCTGCAAGGTTCAAATGCTAGCGGACCAGGCCGCTGCTGCTCGTGGACTGAGACCACGTCTTATTGACCCAGAAAATGCGGCTCGAACACAGAAACGCCTTGGATCTGATATGGGGGGCTGGTTCAATGCGATTCCCGAGTTTCAACTCTTGGAGCACGAAGAAGGAAAGAGATTCGAGTATTTACCTGCACAGAAGGAGAACATGTAGCTGACCTATTTACCAATACGGAGTCTTAAAACACCCAGCAATATCTCTGCCAATCTTTGATCCACTAAAGCATGACTACCATAGGTATTCATAGGTAATGTAGAATGACCATTGCCAGTCCCTCGACAGAAATACACCCGTGCGCGGATTCCTGCGAAGCATCTCTATGAGGTCTAAGACACCAGAGTATCTGGAAGTGAAACCGTCAAATCTAGAGAGCCATTCATCGAGAGGGATGGATGGTAGACTAAGGCGGCGCCGGCCCAAGGTGTCTTGTGAAAGACCGAGCTCTAAAGCTTGGATTCAGAGGCGTGATAAGGAGTATCGAAGGTGAGTTGTACATTTCTGTGAGAACCTTTGCAGCAGCGCCCATCGACACCCACGAAAACGTCAAGTATAGAGTCAGAGTTCATATGATTGCCTGTTCATAGAAAGCCCCTCACCCGAGAAGCGTATGGAACCACTTCAACGCAGAGACTAGTTCTTGCAATTGCAGATAGCCATCATCGCCCGTACCTGGATGCTTTGTGGTGCTGGTCACAGCAAATTATGACCGGCCGCAAATTGGTGTTGACTGCCGACCACCACTGGACGGCCCGAGTTGATTTGATGAATGCCCATTGAATGGCGTCAAAGTAGTCATCCGGGTAATTCTTCAACGATACGCAAAATAGCGAGTCTAAAAGAGTACTGCCGGTGGCAAAACTCATGATGAGGAGTCACATTACGAACTCGCAAAGAACGCCAGCGAGGTCGCGAACAAAGGGAAGTGGAAGGGGACTTTTCAACGCGAAATCAATCCATTTTTAATATGCTGCATTCGCTTAGGAATGATGATCGGGGTGTGCTCCTGTCACAACGAGACCAAACTGCTGAGTGTCAATACGGGTGTGCAACCAGCAAAGAACCTGACGCACAATTGTGTAAGATATGGGTGGTAGACGCAACAACCTGAAGTATGACATTATCATCCTCACACCATGAAGCACATGACTACGACTTGCTAAATATTTTATTTGGGAATTTTGTTGTTGGCATCAGCTCTGAGCGACTCTGAACTCCACGATCGTTGAATTTGCAAAATCATAAGCTCGGATGAGTGTTAGACTAGTAACGGTCCTGTGAATTATCACTAGTCGATGATCCCCCAACGGATCGAGGTATACTATAAGGAACTTGCCCAATGATCTTCAGTTCGTCCAAGGTTCGTTCTTTGCAATCTAAAGTAAACCACATAGAAAGGTCCATTTGGTACGACCTGTGACTGCCTACCCCCAAGTTCGGTAACATAAGTTCAGGGACCTTGGGGGATCATGGATTCAAAATACCTCAGGCTGCACTCCTAGACTCACGACGCTTAACCCGTTGGCTCCTACGCCAGGTTCTTGCAATGTGTGAAATATCACGCAATCATCTGGTACATGATATTGGCTTTGAAGGAAAAAGATCAGATTGAACCGCAAGACTCACGAATTAGCACTCAGTTGTTGGGTCCCATTGCCTTGCAAATGTTACGAAGGATCTTGGCTGCCTCAGCGTCCGACCACATGTGGATGATGTTCCTCAGCTATATAGTAAGATTATCAAAATATCGGCGAGGAATGCGAACAAATGGGCCCTTACATAGTAGACATCCTTTCCAACAACAGATGTCCTCCAAAAATTTGATTGGCACGAAGTCAACGTGTCCATCAATGAATGTCTCAGGAGAATTTTTCTGCCATGCCCAATCAGATATCAATGATGCGCGTGCCGGAATACTAATGAGCACTGGATGTCTGAGCTCACATTTTGTGCACGTACCATGACTTCTGGGAGATCTTGATCGGTTATCCTGATGTGAAGGAACATTGCAGCCAAAGGGGTGGAAGATGCTCCAATGCCAGATCCGACATCGTGTAGCACTGCAGAAGAGCCCATCATAACACTATGGCCAAGCATGGCTCTGTGAAAATCCTATACATTGGATTCTGTGAGCCATCAACCGAGGATAAATGACCCCGTACACACATCGCATTTCTTTTCCTATGAAGTGTGTCAGGGTAGTGAAGGGGAGTGTGATGGCGAAAACTCACGTTGTCTCGCATCACTTCGTAGTTGTTACCCTTCATACCCCGCTTCTGGAGGCCAAATAGCCGGGGTGCATTGTCAACCTCACGTGATCTTGCAAGTCGATCATAGTATCGTAGAAAACTCGGGCGGCGTTTGAGACACCCTGGGAATGAAGTCGCGTATAATACCCAGTGTTGTTCGATGATTTGAGTATGAGAGATACTCGATTGTTTGCAAAGACGCCTCGCTCGATTGTTTAACGCACAACATATTGCAGAGACGATTGTCAGCAAACAGCATGCGTACTACCTTCTTTAAAGCAGCCCATGAGGGTCAAAGCTCGTAAGACGCGTGCAATTTCGATCTCGTCGAGGTTGACTGCTTCAGCCAGCTTATCCACGCTAAGACCTTCCAGGTGTTGGTCTAGAACATCTGCAACGCGTGCTTCCAAGGAAATCCCTGTGCACGCACAGTTTTAATTCAAACCAAACTAATGAAATCGGCAACAGAGTAGATATCATTCACAGTCGGTACTCACATTCATCATCGTATGTTGGAGGACGCCAGTATTGAGCTCAATTAGTGGTATGCACCTTCGAGTAGCCTCATCGCCTTTTTGAAGGCGAATGTATCTGTCATCAGGTAGAGGGGGTAGAATGCTGTTGCGTCGGCACTGGGGACTTCATGTCTGGTATTCTTGTATTCTGCGATTGCTTGGCGTACATAGTAGTTGATGATATCCAAGACTCAAGAGAGCTTCAAGCTTGGCCTCTGGCTCATCGAAGTCCGTCATCTTTCGGGGTGTGGAGAAACGATGGTTGTGCCATCAAATGTTCAGATTTTATACTCTCGACTAAGCAGATATAAGTGCCGTGCTAAACCGACGACGCATGTAATTGCGATGGTTACGGTACGCGCACTTTGTCATTTGAGTACACGTAGCATCAATGTAGCATCATCTGATTATAATCGCGGATATGAGCAAGCATAACATTCGATTAGTCTCGAACGTTCAAACCAGACAAGTTTGAGTTGAACACACCCGCACTGGCAGAACCCGGCGTTCCAGCGACATAAGACGCACGTCAGACTCACACTGCGTCAGGCCCACCTTGCTTTCTCACGTACCGTCACCCTTTTCATTCTTATTGAGAAACTAGGGGGCGGCATTGCCGTTAGAGCAGGGGTCGGCAGCCGACAAGCTGTGATCATGCTAGCCACGAATATGGTGAAACCTACTTGGTTCATGTGCTGACAAAGCCGTGGAAACTTGAAAGGGTCCTTGGTCACTGGTGCGTAGGTCTTTCTCTTACCTTTGGGAGGTCCACCGTGATCTAGGACCTTGCTTGGTCGGGCTCGGGTAATACTGATAATGAATCGTTGCTACGTTGCAGTTGTGATTATACAAGTACAGCCTCAGGTAAGGTAGGGCTCGTACAAAACCGACCAACCGTGACCTACTGTGACCTAATGTGACTATACTAATTGGCAGCCGGCGGACGGCGTCACGGCAGTGTTCTATGTTTGGCCTGAAGTATGCTACACACATGTACAACATCAAAAACTTCCACTACATCTACTTTATCACAATTATAACTCCTGTGAACTGTGCCAAACAGCTTTCTCAATGATCCACAGGAGTCTGTTTTTTTTCTTTTTCGTGAATCTCTTGAGCCTTTGTCCTTTCTGTAGTTTTGTCACACTTTGTATACTTTGTCACATGATGTTGGTTGGTTTTGTACAAGCCCTACCTTAAGTAGACATGTAGAATTTTTGAGAACTGCTACAGAGTCGACTAACAATCATTTTAGATGACCGCCACTTTTTCCTTCCCCTTCTCGTTCGCGGTTTCATCGACACGAACCTTCTTTGCAAGCGGAAGTTCACGAGGGGGCGGAGTATGATAGGTTATGGTCAGGAATTGGACCAGACCGATGTGTAGATGCGGCTGATGTAGTTGGGCGGCCGATAATTGAAACACCAGGATTTTTTGCGAATACAACGTTGGTTAGTTCGTCTGGAATATCGCCAACCCAGATATCATCAATACAGAGTTTTGTTGACATCGACTCGGACTTCATCAAGACAGGTACTATTACTACAAGAATGTCCGTCGTCTTTATCCACTACTGCGGTCCTCTGTCATATAACAACATCTCATCCACTAGTTTGGTGAGGACGACCTTGATATGGCCTAAGAATCCCGCAGAACCATGTAGAGGGGGGCCATTTGTATGACTCGTATCAGTGATTTCCTTTGTTCATGTGCACATCACATCCGATGTCATGTTGATAGAAAACCCCATTAATTATTGATACAGCCGATCCAGATTTGAGAAGTCTGACTGCTGGTGTATTCCTCCAAAAGTTCACGAGTTTTCTCACTTTAATCCCTGTTTCCATAATCTATCCCAAATCCGAATGGTCTTATTAGTTTCCCCTACCCAGACCAACTGAAGGGAGATAGTCCTGGCGGGGTGTCGGAGCGATCTGACTGGAGATCGTTGCTCCATGCGGCCGTTGGTAAATGAGGAATATGAGATTAAGTAGATAACCTCTCCAGTGGAGATGAAACGCTACCCCTCCAAGTCTCTGACAGGCTCCTTAGGCCCTTAGGCAAGTACTAACTAGCGCAAGTTGGATTCCTGGAAAAGGTATGTTGCGTTTTTCCTCGATCGAGCTAGCGATTTGAAGCGGAATCCTTTGTTACCATCTGCAACGCCAAGGTCTGTTGGGAAATCACATTCTTTGATAATGCCATTTATGTTCCCAAACGTTCAGCTCATGGTGTTATCGATATTCACTTCAATACACGGCCATCTTACTGAAAGTAGTACCCGCTTTTCAGAGGGACAAGACAACAAGGCGTTTAGCTATACATAGAGGGGTTTATATCTGCTGAGTGGTGTACCCTACGCGCGCTCTTCGTCTCACAATGAGCCTGGTATTTACCATCAGAAACCCCTTCCTCGACCTCTTCCCCGACCACGCCCACGGTCCATCCCTCGTCCCCTTCCCCTTTCGCGTCGCTCTTCCTTCTTCCTGCCTTTTGGCTTCGGCGCGTCATCCACTAAGAGGGTATCTAGAGGAAGTGCATCAGGGAGCGCGAAATACCGGATGTTGTTACCACGAATAGATAGGGAGTCGAGGGATGTTGGGTCCCGATTACGGGCTGTCATCTTGACAGTTTTGACGTGGGTGTTCATCTGCATATCGACACCTGCAAATAATTAGAGGGTTGTAAAACTTGAGTAAATGAGACGATTAGACGAACCAGTGATTGTTCCATGGACTAGGGAGCCATTCTTGAGCTCGATGGTCACAGTCTCATTATTGAGTTTCATCAAGAATCTGATGAAAACAACTTGGGGTCAGCGCCCGACCCTTGCAATGCTCGAATAGTGAAAACTTCTGGGGTCAGTTCAATATCATAGAAGTAAGCGCGATATTCACCTTACAAGCTTCATGGTGAATATCAACGTTGATGTTGACCCAGTTGTCAATGTTGTGTGGACGAGTTTAAAGTCGATCACGCAAAAAGCCGAGTCGAAGGAAGCTGTGTTCCAGGAACACAATCAACACAGCTTTTAGACTTAGATAACGACTGGTCTGTAGCATCCTGGAATCATCTCCTTCACCCTCTCTAGCTTTAGGAGCCAGAAACGATATTTCTTTCACTTTCGACCTAATGCATGTCTCTATCCTGGACAAAACGGAAAACATTGTTGGGTTCGTTACTCAATAGCTTGGATGATGATGAAGAAGGCCTTGCCTTGGATCGTATTTTGCATGGTCAGCGGATCATAGGAAGGACTGGTAAGAGCCGGTCGCATTTTGACAGTATTCAACTCACAACCTCCGCTGAAATAGCGAGAACTGCAGAGATAGAATCTCTCCGTTTCTCAGATGGTGACCTTATCGTGCTGGGCACACTGGACCATGGCCAATTCGGAATGGTAAGTGCGTAAAGAACATGTGTTGCGTATACACTGATTTGTCTGTTCAGATTGACGTAGTGACGTGCCAGCTCAATGGTCGTGTATATGTTCGCAAATCTATTGAGAAATATTTTGCCCAGCGGACTCGTGAAGTAACACCTGTTTTACCATCAACGGCTTTTCCATACTGAGAAATTCTGCAGCAATGCTCTCCACAGTTGGAACGGGATATTCTTCTGCGCGCGAAACGTGAGCGCTCTGCGTGGGCTCCGCACTTATTTTGTGCATTCCAGACCTCCACTCACCTCAACATTGTCATGGATTATGCCGAAGGAGGTACATTATGGGATGTACTTGAGTCGAGCCCTGAAGGTAGAGTTCATGAGGCAGACTTACTTTGGTGGGCTCCTCAGGCAGTCTGCGCCATCAACTGGTGTCATTCCCAGGGTTTTGTACATCGGTGAGGGCCACCCTTTAGTATTCCGTACCCATATCAACGCAATGCAGTGACATCAAACCCCAGAACTTCGTTCTTACAGCAAGCAATCACATGCTTCTAATAGATTTCGGCTCTGCTGCGCCTCTTTCACCTCCGGAGCCTGACGGGAGTCAGCCAGTCCCGAAACAATATACCCTTGTTCCTTGTGGTACTTGTGATTACATTTCTCCCGAAGTTCTGCAAGCCCATGAAGATGCCCTCCTTGCGCTGGAGTTATCGGACGACAATGTTTCTCCTCTTTCAGTCTCCAAGGAGGCTGGTTCGTATGGCTCGGAGGTCGATTGGTGGAGCCTCGGCGCAATGTTGTACGAATTGACATATGGAGTGGCCCCTTTCTTCGCTAAAGACATCCGAACTACTTATCTGAGGATTTTGGACTACCAGGTACTGCAGTGTCATAGATCTCGCTTGTACCTACATTGACCCCTCGTTTTGGACAGACGAGCTTGCGCTTCAATGTAGCAATTCCCGTTTCTGAAAAACTACAGGAGTTACTTAGCAGGTCTGTTGTGCAGTTATTCATGCTGCCATCACTCAAACCACATGGATACAGACTTCTCACTGATCGGCATCATCGTCTTGGGAGATGTAGCGTGCTAGAAATAACAGAGCACCAGTTTTTCGGAAACACAGACTGGTCTTGTGTAGATTCGCGTGAGTCTTGGATATCAACAGTTCTCCTTATATCCATTCTTTCTTGCGTAGGCTCTGCACCGTCTGACATCCATGTGCCGCAATTCACATATTCTGCATCAGTAGCACCCGTCTCACCCATAGAGCTCCCGGATCCCACGGATGAAGAAAATTCGGAGCCCTTTGCGTTCTCTGCTTTATTTCATTCTTCCCCAAACACTTCGCTTGGAATATCAATTTTGCGGGACACGCCTCATCATATATCTCCCCGAGCCGAGTCGGCCTTCATCGGATTTTCGTGGGGTCCTACTGAGGACGTATTCCTTCTGCCAACCAATTCATCTCGAAAATACGAGACAGGCAGATTGGCCACCCCTCAGCCTTTACAGGTCACTTCCGGGAAATCTAGTCCTCATCTACCACTCAAAGCTTCCAGCGCTCCCACGCATTTCTCCGCTTTTGCAACACCTATTCGTCCCCATAGTTCTTCAGCATTTCACACCCTTCCCCGCACGGGCACTGTTCGGCGTACAACTCAGCGGCGCGCTGTTTCAGATCGTGAAGCCATGAAGCAACTCGTGGAATGCATCGGTATGAGCGCCAGGAAAAAAGTCCTCGCCAGCGGCCGCAAGCCGCGCTTGATACAGTCCTCTGGCCAAAACTTCTCAAACACCGTCCGAAAAGAGCTGCGTTTTGATGTCCAGCCCATTATTACCAACAAAACCTATGACTCCGATGACTTCCCAGCCGTGGTGGTTGCTTCGGTATCCGAGGAAGCAGAAGAAACCGAGTCGGATGGACCACCAAGTCCCAGCCCAAGTCCACGCCCCGGCTCTGCAATGTCCATACTCAGCCGAAGAAGCGTCACACCCACAATGTCTGGATCCTATTCTGCTCGTTTGTTACACCTCCCCTCTACTACATTTACGGCGAGCAGTAATCTGCAAAGCGACGAGAACATCTTTGAATCGCTGGAAAATAGGCACGCCGCTCTGATGTCTGATTTGACAGCGATTGAAGGGCGCCTGAACCGCATCTCTATGTTGTTATCGGTGGAGACGCCTAAGTCCTCCATTAACATCGGTTAAAAGGGGTATGTTTGCAAGACGTTCATCTTATACAAGCTGACTGTTCAATGACTACTTTTATTTCGTTGCTAGGATATTTCATCGGAGCGATCCGTATCACCGGCCTGCGAAGTGGAGTTGGTGCGTGCTGTCGTGTATGAAATCCACGGTCAAGTTGACGACAGCTGGCACAATTTCAAATTCGAGCGACCGTGCGACCATATATTACAATACTACTATGTGTACGTCGTACAAGGACCACATCCACATGCACGTGTTCTGATGTTATCCGGCTGACGATATCTCATACACCATAATTTCTTTGGAAATCAGCGCGGAAGCTGCCTCTTGTACATCATCTAACACTCTGCCTGTTCACATGCCCTTAGGCAATTGTTGACGTAATTTCCCGAAGTGGTCCTGAACCGTCCACAATGCTACAAGAACCGGAAAAGATCTGTACTGGTATGCGTGGTCATCCTCAGTCCTATTTCCTCTTTGGCGCTCGGACCGCCCATCCGCACCACTTCGTGTCGCTATCCTGTAGGAACAATTCTCCGAGCTGACAGTTATTTCGTAGGTCCCCGAGAAAACCCACCCTGTCGAACGGCTGGCATAGAACAAGATCATTCTTCCCGCCCTATTCAGGACGTGCAGCCGAGCTTCTTTGAACCCTTCCGTACTTTCGCACAGTGCCTCTGATCAAGCTCAAACATCTAATTTTGGTTCTGCTTCTCCTGATCAACAACATTTATTAAGGATATGGGATATGTGCTACAATCTCCCAAATCATGAGCGCCCTTGTTTTTGGACGAGCCATCTCGAAATCTCTGTTGACGCTCCATCTCTTCACGCAGAATGACATTTTGACGACGATCATTCCAACGGTAAATACTAGCGTCTTCCAGTGACTTCCTGTTCTGAGATCATGAATGCAGACACTTTTCGCACTGGTGGCAGCCCCCCTCTGCAGCCCCTATCGGTGTGTTCATGTGGTTTGGTGGATTTGGCTTCACCTCCTCCATTTCAACGTTGCGAATCAAATAATTGATCCAGCAGAAGATGGCAGGAATAAAGCTAGCCGGCCAATACCGGCGGGATACATCAGTTTGCGAGACGTGGTCTATCTACGCTGGTGCCTGGTCCCCACATGCTTGGTATCATCAGCATTCTACAGTGTCCAAGTGCTTAGCGCAAGCCTAGCGATAACTGTGCTCACTCTTTGGTATAATGAATTCAAAGTCCATAGCCATCATTGGTTTTCAAAAAACTTGATGACTGGCTTAGGATACGCTTGCTTCCAGGCCGGGGCCACCCTCATTGCAAGTATGTAGCTGACATCAGATAAGACAACACCTACTGACCGTCGCAACCAGGCAGAGATATGTCGCGGCTAGAGCCTAATGCTCTCTTAGCTGTGTTGCTTAGCATTGCTATGTTTGCCACCACGCTCCAAGCACAGGACTTCAAAGACCAGGAAGGAGATCGCTCCATAGGCAGACGAACACTGCCAATCGCACATCCTTCTCCAGCTCGTGTGTCCATGTTTGTAGGACTTCCGATGTGGTCGATTTGTCTTACTCAGGTCTGGGGGATGGATGCATTCTCCAGCGTCGCATTCGTATTTTATTCTGGACTTGTCGGATTACGGTTCATGGTGTGTAAGACAACTCAAGCGGACCGTCTGTCGTGTAAGCTGTATAGTGTGAGTCATACCATCATCTGTAATTTCGACCTGACTGAATACTTTCCGAAGCTTTGGTTTTCTGTCGCGCATTTACTTCCTGGTTACTGGCGTTATTTCCATGAAGCACGCATGCATATATCATAGTGTTTACTGAGCTAGAGGCTCGATTCAAGGACATTTTACTCTGGACCTGTGGACATCACAATTTGTTACGCCAACCAAACACACCGAATCACTTTTGTTGTACATAATGTAGTCCTTAATGCATGTATTATTTATTGGCATGATTTGTGCCAGCAGCTACCTTCATCACCGCTATAAACCCGATGAACCAGTGGACGAAACGTGAGGTACGTGCATGGAAAACGAGCTGCGAACCCTGAAAGGGGCCCCACACCTAAGGATGAGTTTCATATTCACTGCAATACTATCTGCCATCTATGCCCGTTCTTCTGAATTACATCACACTTGTCACCTGGGGCGAAGATAGGTCGGACACTTGTGGAGCACGTTAGGTTATTCTAGAGCTTGTAGATGGTTGCTTACGGTCTTCTGTGGCATCCATCAAGGATAAATCAGCAACATTGACCCTTGCTGCCGCGGATGCAGCTTTGCGGTTGACCTTGGGCAATAATGGGACAAGACCAGTTCGTTTTATCTCCGGGCCCATTGTACCCAGGTATCTGCAATTTCAATCAAGGTAAGTAATCGTTTGCCCAAACGGAAATTCTCAAAACCTTTGAGTTTCGTAACTCCAACAATGGTTTGCTCGAGCCCATGTTGCCATCCCATCAAGATACTCCTTGACTAGAACATCGGTCAAAGGTCCCCATGAAGGCACTTTCGCAAGACTGTCAGTGAACCTTTTCTCAACTTCAGCGTGATAGCGTGCTGCCCAGGCCATCGCACCGCTTCTGTCGAGGCCGAGTTCCACCATGACAATAGTGATCAAATTATGGTTCGCGTCCCCAGTTGCTTGCTCTCTATTGTACGAGATCATGTCCTGTGAATGTTGTTAGTAGCCGCAGATAACGTCTTTAATGCGAATTTACATTGTCAATCAACATCAACTCTGCAATGCATTCAACCAGTTTGACAATGATGGGATGATAAAATACTTCATCGGGAAGATCCATTCCCATTTCATATATTGCGATGACAGGTTTAGTAGCGCATGTATCCCGCCGGAGCTTGATATAATCACCAATACTACGGCAATGAGCCTCGTCGCGGTCGAGAGCCTCAACAACTACTGCACGAAGGTATGCGGTATAGCTATAAATGAAGTGACGTTGAAAAGGCAGGGTTGTAGTCTGAATCGCACGAGCCCAAAATCTACGCAAAAATTCCTTGAACTTCAGAATGCATGATTAAACAATTTGAAGATACTTGCTGTCGTACGATTTCACCAAGAATACATTCGCCTTCTGGTCGTGTTTTATGAGGATTGTGTAGGGCATCGATGACGATATCCACCATTGCTTCAGCAACTGCTGCATTTTCAACGTCGGTGTACTCATCTACAATGATGAGGACGTTGATAAACTCGCAGGCGATTCGAAGGTGTTCTATGTAGCCAGAATATAATCAGAGGTGTGCAGTTCGCAGGAACCCAAGCTAGGGTCGAAGACGAACCTCTTGATACATTGGGATAACTCAGTGCCGCTAAACGGGCTACAAAAACAGCAGGTATCCACTATCAACCATTAAAGAGTTATGAGCAAGTAAAACAGAGGCCGAACCAGAATCACATTTGTCGAATGCTTCCTGTGATTCAGCACTCAGAGCCTTAAATTCACGGAACGAAGCATCGACTTCAGCTTTCACAACTTCGAAATGAGGATTCATCGCACGAGGCCAGGGCCAGTTGGTCATGGTGTCTGGAAGGTAGATTACCCTTGGACGCGTATCCATTGTACGCTAGAGCCTAGAGACACTTTTCGATGATGAGTGGAACAGGAGAAAGGTTAATACTGGAGTCCAGGACTTGTAGCCTTATAATGGAGTCCCACCTGAAATGACCGGTCAGATTGGTCAAGAATGATCAAAAAGTGGTCTGATACTGAGTTAATATACATATATATGGCCTAACTTCAAGTTGGATACGAAAGCCACAACTATGCCATCATCCCAGCTGGATGTTGTGACGAAGACTGAGCTATTGTGCCGGTTATCAAGAGATTGCAAAGAGAAGAATGCGAGATGGGGAGGTAGTTCGTATATCGGTTGTTTTCGTTGATCAAATTGTGATTGGTTCAGGTCCGGCGCTTATATTCACCCCTAATGTGCCCGCAGTGCTAAACGGATGCTGTGCACATGCCATTGGGTGTCACTGGCACTGAAAGTGTTCACACGAGAATGTTGACTTTTGAGGGATAATAGACCAGTACTTAGGATTCAAACGAAGCGTGAACTGTCTGAACTAAAATGTATCCGGGGAAACAGGATCAACTGTCCTACCAGTAGGTAAAAGCTAGTTTATATACTGTAGGACGTGGAACTAAATAAAACGACAAGGTTAATGAAAGAAAGAAAATGGGGATCTGCGTGATTGCCAACGAATATTGGGAGTTACCACATACTGCGCAATTTTAGAGTACAGTATAGGTTAAACAGTTGTGAACAACGTTAACGTGGGGGTAAGACACCCGCATCAAAACAGGTATGGGATTGCGGACAAAGCCCTTCGTCGTCAATAAACGCTCCGCAGTCCTGCCGAAAACTTCCATATTACATGTAGTTTCGCCCTCGAAGAGCTTGGAGGTCTCGTCACAGTGTTGTGTAGTGTAAGCACGACAGATAGCTGCGAAATCCAGGTAGTATACGAAGACGCGATATGCGCTTTCGATTGACTCGCAGCTAAAGTGACACTAGGTTGGCGAGTCGCATTAACGCCGACGCTGCACCTCTCGTGTGTCAAGCTAGAGTAATCGGGCAGAGTCATGCTATAGTAGCAGTAGCAGTTTGGCTTAACCCCAAAATCAGCATATGCATATGATAAAAACAAAGGGGTGGAAAATACAACATACGAATAAAGAAAATCCCCATGCTATGACACATGCAACTACAATATTTCTAGCGTCCTGACGTTCATCATGTCATCGATGATAGAAGCTATGTTCTTGACCTGCGCAATGATATTGTGATCCGACGCGATTCTCTTGTACTCCAAACCACGCTGCTGTGATAAGAAAAGTGCACCAAAAGGCTGTCCAAGGCGAACGATCAACCTCAACGCTCTCTCGTTTGCTTCCAAATCAACCGGCGCATGGAGGCTATCTGGCGAATCCATTGAAGCACTACGCTCAGGGGACTGGGACCAAGCTGGTGACATGGAATAAACCTCCGAACACTGGTCTGACAGGCCCGGAGACCCTGGTGAGGGTCGTGTTGTTATGGTCTTGTCATTCGCAAAGTCAGGCAGCCTGAGGTTACAACGATTCCACGGACGACAAGCAGGAATGTCTGTTGGGTAGGTCTTACCGACGAGAATTGACTCACTCTGGCTTTTGTGGTCACTTGCAGGTCGTGAAGCCCGTCTGCCTTGACATAGTAGGTAAAAGATGTGTCCTGGCCATGGTCACGGCTCCGTCTGACTTCTGTGACGCGAAATGCGATGCAAGGAAGTTGCAATCTGGAGTTCGCGAAACGGGGGGCGCTGAGGTTGTCAAGGAGGGTATACAGTTTCAAAGCTGACTCCATAGCCACAGTGTTTCTCAGCGTGGAAACAGATGTCTGCATCTCGTCCTCGGACAGAGATGACAACGTGCATGGCGGGGCTTTGTACGACATAATATCGGCTGGGAGACAGCTATTAAATGAGGATGATTTTCCGACCCAGTCAAGGACAACAGTGTCGCCCGACCGAGCGACGATTTCTTGTAAGAGCCGGCCAAGCGCATTTTGCTTCGTTTCACCGTAAAGAATAGGTAGATGAACGCGGAAGATGCCGAACAACGAGCATACAATGTCTTCCTCTAACGTCGTGACACATCACTGCAGAAAAAGGCAGATTATGTCTGGGACGGATGTGGCAAAAACCTCCAGATCTGTAGCAAACTTGTGCAAGATTTTTGTCAGGTCCGTTGTCACTGTAATGTCAAACGATTGGTCGCAATTTTCGTGTATCCGTGTCTCATTTCACGTAGGTTCTTGCGTGACTCGTTCGCTCTATAATCCTCGAGCATGTATGCCAAATATTGATATTATTTATTATATAATAAATTTTGTCCTACTTACCAGTACCCCCAGCTGCCAGCTGCAGCCCGCTATAGCTCACCAATTACTGCTTGTGCTGCGAATCATTGGCCACAGCAACAAGCAGATCATATAGCAGTACTAGTGGTGAATCTCAGATGTAGTTACAAGCACTGTAAGATGTCTGAGTAATGGTACAGTTGAATTCTCCCCCTCATGATGTCTGCGAACCTTGCAAGACTCAATGCCACAATTGTCGCCCATGAACAGCTCAAAACAAAATTTTCGACCTTTAAAGACCAAGCAGAAAAGAAGTTTCAGTTCCTATACAACGAGAACAAGCTTCTCAAAGCCAAAAATTCGCACCTGAAGTTGCAACAGAAAGATGCAGACAAGCGATTGTGACGCATTGAAGCACAGGTTGGCATTGAGTATATTCAAGCTGGTGATGATGCAGATGTCGAGAATGATGAGGGTGAGCAGATAGATGATGGTGGGCAGCAATCTAGCACAAATGTGAAGGCGGAGAAGGATGATCAGCAGCGTGCAAGTGATGATGCACTGAAGAGCAAAATATTCAAAGTACATACCTTTTAGTATGTCATGCAGCAAAAAAAACTGAACCAAACACTGGAATGAAGGACCTAGTAGGTGAAAGCTTCAAAATTCTGCTAGGCCTCCAGAAACTCGATGCACAGCACTTACCTGGCTACCCAATGGGTATCGGAGAAGGGACAGATAAATGGCTGAAAGATCCTGCTACAGGGAAAGACTTGATTTGCTTTGACTGGTGGGTAGGAAAGCACAATGACAGTATCAACACAGCAGGTTTGCAGAGGGTAGTGGATTGGATCCATCTCGTGGGACCACAGATGGGGGATGCAACGAAGGGAATTCTCCTTGCAATCCTTCCTGGCCAAATCGAAAAAAGTGTGTGGTCAAAATATATGTGAATGGTGGGTGAATACAGAAAAGCAGACAAGAAAAGGAAGCGAGTAGATGAAGATGATGACCTGGGGGACGACGTGGAGATTGTTGATGGAGGTTTGGATTGTGTGCACATGAATTCACATGTTCAATCAGTATGTGTTTTCTGTGGTAATGAGATTGTACTTACTGGTCATTCCATCAGAAACTTGATGTGCACAAGAGGAAACACAGATCAAATGAATGTGATGAGAAGTGGCAAGACCCTAAATACGACTCAGCATTCATTTTAAATGTGATGTCAGATGATGAAGATGACCCAGAACAGCATCCAGGTGAAGCACGCACCTTCTTGACAATGGAGCCAGAATGGCGAAGCCTTGAGGTAAGTGCTGTCACTGATGCTGTCAATGCCATAAGCACTTACTGTATTTTGTTAGTTGTCCATGCTCTTCACAGCCATAGATGAGGTAAAAGACCTGTGACCTGACCAAGCCAAGTTAGTGAAGCAGTGGAGAAGAGCAGCTGAACAAAAGACAGGCCCACCACCTCTTGCACAAACCTTGGCCACACATATATGTTCATGGATGGTCAAGACTGTAATCCTTGAGGAAAATGCAGACTGGTTTGACTCTGGGCGTGTTGCTCACAGCGGTGAAGCATGGGGTGAAGAGGAGCCGAGGGAGCTGGTGAAGGATAGGAAAGGAAAGGGGAAGGCTCAGGACTCCAGAACTGCCAAGAAGGTGATTGTGCGCCAATGAAACACTGTCAATGAGGCTAGTATGAGCGTGCTTGAGACTGCGCAGCAAAAGCTTGGCAAAATTCTTGAAGGTATCAATGATATTGATATTTTATTCAACTAAGTTTTAAAAATAGAGTCCTACCTAGCTTGCAATGTCACCATCTTCGTCTGAATCACTGCGCAACCAGTTATCATCAGCTTCAAGCCCAGTCTAGAGGTAAATGAGTTTGGGAATAAGGAAAAATCTTTCGTAGGACTCACCCGGTCAAAGGACTGAACTACCCACAAGGACTTCTCTTCTGCAAGGACATTGGTTGTGATGGGAATGATTGCTACTGCACATGAAAGTTGACTTGATGTGATTATCTCGAGTGGTCCAAAGATATTCTCGTAAATGATGTTCACACCAAGATCAGTTGCGCTAGAGTACAGTTCAAGGAGTTAATAAAATATATGAGTGAATGAAAAATGCTCACAAATGATCCCACAGCATTACAGGAATTTTATTGTCAGATACCATCTTCTGAACAGCAGAGCAGTAGAACACTTGGTCAGGAAGGTGTATTTCAAAATGATATATGATTTTGCAAGGGACACATGTGTCATGCATCAAGACACCTGCAAACTGGTCAGCGTTTGTTTGAGTTGCAGTTGCAGACCTGAATCAGATGCCATCCTTGACAATGAAGGGGAGAACCTTTGCTGACTGACTAGTGAAGAGAACAGTAGTGCCTAGCTCCACTGTCATATCATCAACAACATTGAGGTCAGGAAACTTGTGCTGCGAGAATCCAACAAGCAGTTGATATACCTGCGGATGCTGAAGGCCCCGTAAGCTGGTGAATTTCGTCTTCGAAGTGAGCCATGGAGGCAAGATAGAACTGGCCGTTCTCAACGTTAATAGGATGTTCAAGTTGACTGTTCTGTTGAAACTCACCTGATGTAAATTGAGCAATTTGAGTGTGTAATGTGCCGCGATCAAGACCCTTTTGGTCAATGGCCTGTTGGACAAGTTTATGTTCCTTGTCGGATGCCCCTTCGGGTAAAGAAATAGCCTATTATTTGAAACTATAAGTATTGTTGCAAGGCAAGAACGAACTTACAAGTTCATAAAGTCGATGTTTTTCAACCCAATCATGCGCTAATGAGTATTCCATCTCACCACCTCCATGTCCATTGAGGTTCATGTCCTCTAAGACACCATTGAAGTGTTCGAAGCCAAAGAGCCACGTGGCATATGCAGGTCCATATTGGCGGAAGACAAGGGAGTAATGCATGGCAAGATGACTGTTGATTGTTTGATGGACACCGAGCAACTCGAGACCTTGACAATAGAGTTGTAAGTATGCTTGACCTCAATCTATATCATTGATTGATATTGCTTTGCTAGTGAGGATTCACTCAGACACAGAGAGATGGAGAACGAGTTTGTATATCGTTCGTAAATCACATTTGAAAGTTGGTTGGGGCTTTGCAGATGCAGGTACTGGTGGTGCGGAGGCCTTGATTTCGTCATGATGATCTCGCCAACATAGCCACAGTATGAATGGATATATGCTCGAGAGACGTCGCCATTGATCAGCCTTGGGGAGCCCATGATCATCAGCAAGCTAAGAGTGCAACATCAGCAAAAACGGTCAGGTATACCATATACATCAGCCAAGAGATCACATTTTTGGGAAGGCGTCCAATTCCTGATGGCCAGATAACTGAATTGATGGAGTTTTGAAACAGGTCCCAACCCATGCTATTGAGGAGATGTCCTGCCATAACAATATCAAATAGAAAGCGCTTGACAAGTGCTATGTATGGAAGAAAAGACTTGTCAGCTTACAATTCAAAGCAGAACAAAATACCATAAAAGTTGTGCATAAAGTCGATCGGTGAATGGCGCATTGGTAGCCAACCTGGCAGCTCATTGAGAATGGAGTATCGGACTCCATGCTCATCAAGAATACTCTTGCAAGCAGCTTTAGTTGTAGATAACTTTGAACGATGTGCATGCTCAAGTAGTTTCCAGTCATCCCGCATATGTGTCATATCCCACAATCCGGACCCACATTCCATCATATTCCCACACCTTCCGAGCCTACATCCGGACCCCACTTCATATCCAGCTCATTCCCAGATCCCCTTCCACTGTGCTCCATACCTCAGCAGGATCAACTATGCTCCTGATTTACCCCTGAGCTCCAGACCTCCAGATCCTCACTGCTAGCCTGATCCATACAACCCTATCCTGTCCACCCTATGCGCACTCCATCCAGCAAGACATCCAGACTTCACCTCATCTCGGATTCCAGACTATATCCACCTTCTCGTATTCCGGTCCTGTATCCACCTTGTCTTCCGGATCCCCAGATCTCCGGACCTCCAGATATTAACTCCGGACCTATTTCCACCCTCTGTCCAATATCCTGTGCCTATCCCCATTTAGGCATTCTCTGCCTTCCAGCTTTTGGTTACCTCTTGTTTCATCTTGCTTATTGATCCTTGTATGAGTCCTCATCTCTGAGTTCATTTACTTATGTTCCAACTTACTTACTAATGTGTTTCCACATGCTCGTACATAGCCTTGCTCCTTTGCTTACTGATCCCCTCAGATATTGTTCAGTATATAACCCCTGTAGATACTCCTGTAGTTCCTCAGTTTGAATATCAACTTAGACTTGCCCAATCCTCTCTCGGACTTTGGTCCACCTAAGTCTGTCCTACCCATCAGGCCTAGGGATTGATTCCCTAGGCCAGAGCTCCACCTTTCCGGCACTTTCCCTCTTTCTGGACTTAGGTCCAATCCCTGTCTCTCTGACTCTACCTTAGGGTAGTCCACCTCTGTTTGTTTCTACATCGGACTTCGTCCAATGTAGCCCCTATTCCTTCCAGACCTCCAGATGTCCTGTCCTTCAGATGTTCCGCCCTCCGTACCTTCGGACGTTCTGTCCTCCTAACCCTTGGACATCCTATCCTCCTGTCCTTTGGACATCCTGCCCTCTGTACCTTCGGACATCCTGTCCTTCATACCTCTGGACATCCTGTCCCTCTGTCCTCTGTCATCCTGCCCTCCTGTCCTCCTGTCCTCCTGTCCTCCAGACCTTCAGACCTCCTATCTCTCCATCCTGTTTCCTGTAGAAGTATTACCTTGCAGTGGGAACTCTCCTGAGCACTTCCTGTGTTCCTCCGGAACTCTCCCGCGCTCCTCCGGACATTTCCTGCGCTCCTCCAGAAGTCCTCTAGCGCTCTCCAGTAGAGTAGCCAGCCTCCGGAAGTCCTCTGGACTTCGTCGGACCATCATCGGACCTCATACGAAATGAAGGGCACATACTCGGGTAAGGGGCACAGCGTACGAGCTGAGGCCAAGCCCCTCTGAGTCAGTCTCTCTCTCCTTTGAGCAACATGGTTCTTAACAATATGAAAATCTTGATAAGTTTGAGCAATAACCATAGGCAGTTTTCAGAATTAGAGACTAGACGTACTTGTAATGTCATATGCCACCGAAGAATCAATGTCAATGAGAGAAATGAAGCAAAAATTGCAGGGGTGAGTCTTGTGGCTATGTCCCGCCATTCCGGTCAACTTGCGGGTCGCAGGAATATCCAAATTTTCGCATAGAACAGCTGCATGAACCTCACGGGGGCGCTGAAATCCATACATACACATATAAAGGCCTGACTCATAATTAGAGAATCATGTCAGGTGGAGAAATGAAGGTACCTTTGTATAGACAATGGATATCATCCATAAGGGGCTCAAGACAGTAATTGAGGTTCTTGAGACTTGGTTCCTTGGGTCCTGGGATGACAAGCGCCAGGTGGACATTGTGCATGAGGTATCTTACTGATTGGTGTAAGTTATTGAAGGAAATATACACTGCACCCAAGGAATGAGGTCTACCCTCAGTGATTCCAAACCTTTACAAAGATTCAGATCTATTACTACCATCGTGACATTGAGGGGAATAAGCTTACCAGTCAATGTTGAGTGTCATACTGAGTCCAACGTCACAGCAAACAAGCGGATGCCATGAGCCTGGGGACTCCTTGATATCTGTGATGCTGCCATCAGGTAAACATACCCGCTTGAGACCAACTTCGAGCTTCATCCACTCAGTGCCGTCATGTATATCATGCATCAAGTCATCATCTGAGAGCTCTGTGCAATTGATATCTTGAGAGGTGTCTCGTAGATTGGTGACAAATGTTGACCTCAGAAGGAAGCGCTGTACTGCTTTGATTATGGGGCAATAAATGAGGACCTTTACAGGGATACGCTTGAACTGATCTTCGCCTGTTGCAGGGTCTGTATGTTCATGTTTGGCATGATACACATTCCCTTTGCAACAAGAGACCATGCATATAGGGGTGTCAAGTTTCTGAATGTCATCGAGAGAGTAGCATTTGTAGCATACATCGCATATAGGGATCCTCAAAACATAGTCATCTGTTTGGAGTCCTAAGTGTTTCTTCACGGTGATGATCGAGCATCGAGGAATGGGGAATGTCAGTAATGCACCACAAAGCTCAATAAGATCCAGGCCATCTTGAATCTGATTGGTGGCCTTGGTGACTGTCGAAGATCCGATAATGTGAGCAATCGCTGCCTGCAGGTAAAGTAGTCGAACAGGAGGTGTCTGTTGAAAAGCAGGAATGAGCTCTTGAAGCAGATCCTCGTCATCAGCACCAGAGCCAGCATGGTTCATCGTGGGAGGGACTGGGTTGTCAGCACTGGGATTCATCGGTGCATTATCAACATTTTCGATGAACTCAGGACTGGTGGATTGTGGGTGAGATGGTGGAGACAGAGAGCGAGGGTGATCAAGATCATCATCATAAAAAATGTCGTTGTTACGACTGTTGCCTTCGTCCAATAGAGTCGTGTCATCTTGGTAGTAGTCAAAATCCAGATCTTGAATGTCTGTTATAACGTCATGCGAGTCTTCCACAATGAGGTTTGGTGATGGAGGTAAACTCGAGGAATAGACTGTTGGACTTGTATCCATTGAGTCCAGAAGGTTGTCATAACTGGGATCCTGCTCAGGGACATTGTTTGAGTTTCGGAGACTGGGTCCATTGGTACTAGTAGCAGCGATTGAGTTGTTCTGATGTTTACTGTATTCCTGGGCTGCCCATCATGCATTCAACAGGTCCATGTCTTGTTCTACATGTCTTCTCCGAGTTCGTGGAGTGACCATAGTAAACTGAAGGACAGTCTTCCCGCATTTCGTGCATTGGCAGGGTACAAGTTCCTCCTGATTGAAGGATTTCCTTGGTCAGCGAAGTAGATATCTTCATGGTCCTTACCTTTCTACCCATGGTTCGAAGATTACAAGCAATGGGTGAGACAGCTACACAAGCAAGTCATAGACTTGAGAACTACGACGTCGACGCGACGTGACACGACAGCCTCGTAAACGTCACGCGCTCGAAGATATCAAAAACAAATATGTTTTATATAAATGCTATGTCAAAATATACATGCATGATACCTTAATTAAGCTTGAGCTTATCCTAGGCTCGAGGACAACGCATAGAATGTTGCCAGGATTTGGTCATAATGAGAGGATTAGTATGAAGTTTTAGCGTTGCTATGATGTGAGTAAAATGTGCGACGAATGTGGTGCGAATGTCTAGATTCGTGCCAGATGCGTTCCAGACGTAATCTGCGGTTTTCTGCAGTGCGTGTTGACGCCCACTGCAGTTTCTCTCGTGCATCTGTCATGCCCGGATGGAAAGCAATGAGCGCCTGTGCATGTATGCCTGTCGAATATTCTAACTCCTGCATGATAGCGACAGACTCCTTGTGGTTGGGAGAATGGTCATCGAGATACAGTGACCAATCTGCTTGGTAGAAAAGGACGACTATAGAAGCCAAAAACTCCTGGATAGTCCACCCTCGCGTGTTCCAAGCGCTGTTTGCGAGTGCGCCGGACTTCGAAGAAGGCGGAACATCTGATATGTAAACGATGGTGAGTGCTGAGTGTCGATACCAGACAAACATCGAGTTGACTGATCATTGGACCTCAAAATTGTTATTCTGGTCGATGCAGCATGTATCGCTCCACGCCCAGCGATGCCCAGCATCTCGAGCGACTTTGCAGAACATCTGCAACTTCACAACAGTTCCGACTGGGTCCAAATCATACACGACCTTATCCTGAATATCATGTAGCAGCGGCTCCGTACTTTCCCATCTATGCGACAACATAACCCAGCTGAATAACTTCGCGACTACTTTTTTGATGGCATTCGTACGGAGGGGGGCATGCGTCATTGATACATAAAATGTGATGTTCCTTTCCGGGTGAGTGGCGAACAGAAGGTTGACTATCTCGCCACCATTCTAGGCCGTTCCTAACGTCGATTACATAGCGTAGCCGAGAAGTTTCCCTCGATGCCAGACGCCGATAAGCACGCAGCCAGGGTGGGCTCCGCCCCACCGGACAATAAACAAGGATAAAAAAACGTAGCCAGGGTGGATTAGCATGCATGGATATAGATAAGCATTTTGACGACCGCCCCTGACATGTACGATCGCTCACCTATCAACTTGCCATACTGTCTCATACCAGTTAATATGACAGTGTTGAGATTGGAACGTCCCGTGTATGCTGAAGTTCGAACATAGGCCGGAAGAAACGTGCGGAGAGGAGGGGCAGCGTGCGACGCTGTGGAATGATTGTTAAAGGCACAAACCTAGTCCATATGGAGGAAGATGTACATAGGGCTGGTCGCAGACCTGAGCGCTTCATCTACACAGCAAAGTCATTACTGTGAAGCAAACAAGAGAAAAATCCATGGGACACAGTTTTACAAACGGCATAAACGAACGACTGCCCAACTTCCTCAACTCCCAACCAGACACCCATTGATCTCCGGAAATTGAGCACTGGGCTCTTCTGCAAGGTACTTCCCGTGAGTGATAGTGTAGACAGTTGAAGCTGACGACTTGCTCACCAACGACTTCAGGTACCCACAAAGATTTGACGTATTCTTGAATTTCGCAGCACCTGGATGCCCTATCCATCTTGTGAATAAGGATTGGAACTTGTACGCACACTGTATCATGAGCCATGGCTTGTTTGATTCTGACAAGCATCGGATTGAAAGGAGATAGGCCTCTGGACTCACCAGAAATCATTGCCGTTACCGGATAACCTGGTCTGATTCCAAGATCCAGCAAGGTCAATCGCAGGCTCAGGCATCATACTCGTCATCGCAGACTCAGGCTGCCTCCCCCTCTACGTCTGCGATACCCACTGCTCTTGATGCTCATGCTACCGCGCCAGGTGCAGCAAACGTGCAGCCACGACCCCTTCCGTTGCGGACCCGTTTCGTTCTTTTTCTCTGCTGTGCATCTCTCCCGCATGCAGATGGGCACTAACACTGCAACATCTCGCTCTTTTGTAATTATTGTTGTCGTTTTGTTCACGTCTAGAATGTGTATGTTCGATTTTTCAAGGAACGACGTCCTTGATCTCGGGTTGGTTTCAACATGATGCTATGAAGCTTCAATCATTCTCAAGTACACGCTCGTCTATGGCATTCTCTCTCTCACCAACCCACACAATCTTGCAGGCATGCGAGTGTTTCGGCAACAACAACAACAACAACAATTTTCGCTTAGGCTTTTCGTTCAAGCCTTAATGAAGATTACTTACATCGGAACTCGACTTGGACGTTTCAACCTTGATACATTTCTGACGCCAAGCGATGAGGTCCAAAGTACATCAAGACTTCATCGCCAAAGTTCGTAAGATCAAGAGTGGTATGATAACCATGGTATACACCGTCAGCTGAGACCCGCTCTCTAGGGCAACTGCTGCGAAGCTGATGTACAACTGGGGTAGAACAGCACGTCGACGGAACAAAGCATCCCGTGTCATTGTTCTGGGCTTCCCATATGGACTAACTCGACCGTGATAACACGCAGATGTAGTCTTACAGCGGATAGGTGGTTGCTCTCGGGACATAGCCCCTCGAGTCTGCCAGAAAGGAATCAATGTAGCTACTGATCAGTTCTGCACAGAGACTCAGATGGGGGAGCACGGTGAGAAGTGATCAACCATGATGATTCACCTGCCATTCTAACTTCTGACGCTATAGTCAACAAAAAGTTATTTGAGAGGGTGTCCGCGTCTTATAGCATGCGCCTCGTTCACACTGGGATTGGGCCATATCTGTCGTGTGTACGAACAACAACAAATCAAATCAACCTACTAGTGTCAGAGTATGCGCGACCACCCGAACTGAACTAATAAATGAGTATCAGAAGGCAGAGAATTGGAACTGCTAAGAACCTCCTGACAAGTCTGCTAATCAGATGGATGGCGACGTGTTGCAGAAAATCTGGCAGTTGCCTGTACATGGTGCCAAAATGCGAAGTTCCCTTCTGGGTGAGTGGCGAACAGAAGGTCGACTGACTTGCCACCATCCTAGGCCGTTCTCAACATCGATTATGCAGCGTAGCTGAGAAGTTTCACAGATTCAATACCGGATGTCGACAGGCACCCAGCCAGGGTAGAGGATTGGCATGCATGGATATAGATAAGCATTTGGACGACTACCCTTGACATGTACGATCGCTTATCTATCAACTTGCCACACCGTTTCATACCAGTTAATATGACATTGTTATGATTGGAACGTCCCGTGTGTGCTGAAGTTCGAACATAGGCCGGAAGAACGTGCAGAGTGGAGGAGTGTGGGATGCTGTCGAATGATTGTTAGAGGCATAAATATAGTCCATATGAATAAGAAGTTGCACATAGCGCCGGTCGCAGACCTGAGCGCTGGCGCTATGCAGTAAGTTCATTGCTGTGAAGCGAACACGAGGATGACGCATGGGACACAACTTTAAAAACAGCATGAACGAACGACTGCGCAACTTCCTCAACTTCCTCAACTCCCAACCAGACACCCATTGATCTCTGGAAATTGAGCACTGGGCTCATTTGCAAGGTCCTTCTCGTGAGTAATGTTGTAGGAAGTTAAAGGTGACGATTTTCTTACCCACGACTTCAGATACCCACAAAGATCTCTGGCATATTCTCGAATTTCGTAGCACCTGCATACGTTACTTGTCTTGCGCATAAGGATTGGATCCCGTGAGCATGCTGTGTCGTGAGCCATGGCTTGTGTGATTCTGACAAGTATTGAATTGAAAGAAGATAATCCCCTGGACGCACCAGAAATCATTGCTGCTACCAGATAACCTGGTCTGAGTCCAAGATTCCGGCGGACTTTTCTCGTATACACAGTCCACAATCTGCCATAGTTGAGACTGCAAGCACGGACCATGTCGTCCTCCATCAGTAAGACGCCAGCAATCATGCCACGCCAGACGATGCGAGGCCATACCAACTGGGTAAATGGTGTTGCGCGCTTGCCTGACGGACGACACATCATCACAGGTTCGTCGGACGGCTCACTCCGACTATGGGACCTAGAGAGTGGTGCACAGATAGGCGAGGAATGGCGGGACGAGACTAACACAGTGTGGTCCATGGCATTGTCTCCAAACGGAAAGACAATTGCAAGTGGAAGTGGAGACGGCGATTACAGTTTGAGGTTGTGGGATGTTAAGACGAGGAAGGTCACTTCAAAATGGACAGGACACATCAGTACTGTGTGTGCATTGTGCTGGAGGGCGGATGGTGAGCGAGTAGTGAGTGGATCCTGGGATTGGACAGCAAGAGTCTGGGATGTCGACAGCGGCAAAACTATCCTGACAATCAAAACTGGGCACCAATGGGTGTATGCGGTGATGTACTCACCCGACTCATCAAAACTTGCAACAGGCGGACAGATAGAGGATGCTGTGAAAATCTGGGATGCAGAGACGGGCGAGCTTCTCAACACACTCAAACACGATATCACTGTTTACAGCTTGACATGGACGTCGGACGGGAAGAAACTTATCTCTGGCTCATTAGGCCCGATTAGGATATTCGACACTGCCACTTGGCAGCAGATCGCCATCCTTCGTGGTCACACCGACCAAGTCAACGTGATCTCCTTGTCTCAGGACAACCGCATCCTTGCAAGTGCATCATGGGATAAAACAGCCTGTCTATGGAATCTAGACACCAACCTCCCAGTTGGACCACCCCTCCAGCACGAAGGTGGTTTGCGCTCTGCAGCCCTTTCCCCTGATGGAAAGGTGCTAGTCGTTGGTTGCCAAAATAAAAACGCGTACGCATGGGACGTTCATGCCATTCTCAAAAAAGCTGGCCTTGAAGACCTCATTTCATCTACTACTGATGTAAATCTCATGATTCTCCGGCAAAAACCACACTAATATTAACCCATTCGCAGGTCCAAACTCTGATGAACGTACGTGACCTGTTCCTTAATCTTTTCAACAACTTCAAGGTTGTCACTCTAGAGTAATGCTATGCCGCGTCCACCTATTCAAGCCCGTCGGCTATCACAAAACCTTTCCGACGGCGTGCAAAATGGTGCCCAGGTGAGTTATCTGCATTTTTGACTAGTTATTGTTTTTACCTCTGTACTACTCCAGCACCGCCCAAGGCGGTTCATCTTCTCTCGTCGTCCTCCTATTGTCGAAGTTCCTACAGTACAAGACAGAGAGGTATGTATTTCTTTGCGTGTGTTCCGCGTTGCCGTGGTTTAATCATATCCGTCCATGCTTTGTATGCTGCTCGGCCGGCACAGAAATCACAGCAGCAAGCTCATGCTACCGCGCCAGGTGCAGCAAGCGTGCAGCCACGACCCCTTCCGTTGCGGACCCGTTTCATCCTTTTTCTCTGCTGTGCATCTCTCCCGCATGCAGATGGGCACTAACACTGCAGCATCTGGTTCTTTTGTAATTATTGTAATCTCTTTGTTCATCGACGAGCGTAAGTAGCTCGCAACCAAGTAGAGCATCTTGTCAATATCGTACCAGAACTATCAAGAACCATGAATTACCTTCCACGTTGCGTTCAGAAGTTCAGAAGTTTGGAACTGGTGGTTGATTCACCTCGTGCCCAGGCTTGCCAAAACAGTGCCCGAACACTTAACACCACGCTGGACCCATTGCCATATCCTCGAAGTTTTTTATCCAGTCTTTGCTGCCACCTTGCTCATTGTATACTTTTAGAGAGCCCTCTATAGAGGTACAGATATCATGTAAAAACGCGCCTCGAACTTTGAGTCCTTCGCTTGATCTGCTCTTCCAACCTTATCGTGTTCATCTCACGGCGAAAGTACTTCTGAAGGCTACGTCGCCTCGGCCCATATGATTCCATCTCACTACAACTTATCACCTCCCAGTGCAGGGCAAACTTGTGACTTGGGCGAACACCTCCAATGGCGCGTCGTCCGTACTTCCAACTTATGCTGCGTAAATTATCGGGCGTTCACCGAAGTTCAAGCTACAGCGTGATTGCCTGCAAAGACACCCAAAATAGACTATGTTTGATTTTGGAGCTCCTTGCAGTTGGCGTCGCTGCCTTCCAAATGTTGAAGTGAGAGTTTGACATTCTCACTTCAAACATTTAATCTCCCTTATGCGGTGCCCCCGCTATCTACTGCTGCTTATGCTCATTTCTTGGGGCTAGGCGTTCATTGGAGTCGTAACGTCGTCACCTTCCATCATCATCACAAAATATTTGAGGAGATCATGGCAGTTGATGTCGCTGTGTTTCGAGCAGATCACAGTGATGCTCTTCACTCCAGGCTCGTACCTCACCTTGGTTGGATGACACAACACCTACTGACCACGCACCCTTGATAGTTCTACACCATATCCTTCACCCCTCCTGGTGCAGTAGAAATGCACCACCACTGCCAAATAAGCGTCACTTGGGACTTGTTGGAGACCTACGCAGTCCCCCTGATATTGGGCTGTACCTGATGTTGGGCGTTCATCGAGATCGGGGCCGCAGTATGTCTTTCTGTGGAGTCATTTCCAGAGATCTTTGCAGTCGGTGTCGCTACGTATTACCAAATTATTCTTTATTCTCTAGGTTCGTACTTTATCTTGGCTATATGCGCAATACACGCACTGACTACGTACCCTTGATAGGTCTGCGCCATTCCTTTCACCCCTCCCTGCGCATGAGAAAGGCACACGAGGAGCATAGATTAGTCACGGGCTTCAACTTGAAGGAGTCCGCTCATCCATATTAGATATGCACAGTACTATTACAAATTTGAACTCAAGTTACTAGTCTTCCCGCCTCAGTGATCAGGATTGAACTTCTGACGAGCAAGATGTCTTCGTCTAATGATGAAGGGACTTGTGACAACGTCGAAAATGACATGTATAAATCGCAAAGAGGATGAGGTCAAAGACATTTCTCGACACAACAAGTCACTACATGTCTGGTAATCTCGATGTGATAGCAGAGCAACTCGCCAAGGTTAGATTCAGACATGATCCGAGAAACAGGCCATGGATGTTGGCACAAACCTCTGCGTGCTCAACACACCCTAACTCTAGAACTCTGTACAACAAACGAGATTAAAGACCCATTGAAATTCGTTGTGAGATGGTGTTTCTAGGGTAGCTTAGTACAAGTATTTAGCGGACTGTGGCACTGGCCTTACCAGACGTGCCAAAATGCAATATATCCAGGTACTATGTACTTGTCGCGGAGAGTTTGAAGCAGTCCACTTAACTTTAACAACGCCAGAACAGGCATTAAACGAAGCAAAGATATGAACCGAGATAGTGAAGCTTTGAAGAGCAATTCCTCCATTTGCTTGAAACGCCGCACCGCCAACTGTGAAGATATCCTCGCATGCAAAACGGCTCCAAGCAGGTGATGACGCTGCGCCTCCGATTTCAGGAAATACCACAAAGGAAAGGAACGGTTCTAGGAAAACATTAACAACAAGCATCCAAGAAATCAAAGGTACGGACTTAGAGGGTGAAGCTCTGAAAAGCAACCTTGCCATCTGCTTGAAACACAGTGCCGCCAACTGCGAGGATATCTTCATCAAAGATTCAAGCAGGTGATGATAATGATTTCGACTTCAGATGCTGTCAAAAGGAATGCCGATGTTTCTGGCAAAGTATTTGTAGCATCTGAACACTCATTCAGTTAACCAATGTACGGACCTAGAGACTGAAGTTTTGACATTGAATATGCAGCATAGTCAAAGAGTTTCACGGATTCGATACTGGAGGTTGAGAAGCACCCAGCCAGGGTAGCATCCATGGATATAGATAAGTGTTTGGACAACCGCCCTTGACATGTACGATCGCTCACCTATCACCCTGCCATGCCCTCTATACCAGTTAAAATGACATTGTTGAGATCGGAATGTTCCGTGTATGCTGAAGTTCGAACATAGGCCGGAAGAAACATGCGAGTGGAGGAGTGCGCGACGCTGTCGAATGATTGTTAGAGGTATAAATGTAGTCCATATCATGATGTATAAGAAGATGCACATAGTGCCGGTCGCAGATCTGAGCGCTTACTCTACACAGCGAGTTCATTGATGTAAAGCAATTGCGAGGATGACGTGTGTGACACAGCTTACAAACGGCATCAACGAACGACTGCCCAACTTTCTTAACCCCCAACCAGACGCACACTAATATTGATCTCTGGAATTGAGCGCTGGGCTCGTCTGAAAGGTACTTCCTGTGAGTGATGCTGTAGACAGTTAAGCTGACGACTTGCTTACCAGCGACTTCAGATACCCACAAAGATCTCTGGCGTATTCTCAAATTTCGTAGCACTTGCATACGTTACTCATCCTTTGTGTAAGGATTGAATCCTGTAAGCACGCTATGTCGTGAGCCATAGTCTGTGTGATTCTGACAAGTATTAAGTTGAAAGGAGATAATCCCTTGGACTCACCAGAAATCATTGCCGTTACCAGATAACCTGGTCTGATTACAAGATCCCGACAGACTTCTCTCATATACACGATCTGACGTAGTTGACCTCCGAGCATGGACCATGCCTTCCTCCACCAGTAAGACGCCAGCAATCATGCCACACCAGACAATACGAGGTCACACCAGCTGTATAAACGGTGTTGTACACTTGCCTGACGGACGATGCGTTATCACAAGTTCGTTGGACGGCTTGCTCCGACTATGGGACCTTGAGAGCGGTGCACAAATAGGCGAGGAATGGCAAGACAAGAATAACGTCGCAGTGTGCTCCATGGCATTGTCTCCAAATGGAAAGACAATTGCAAGTGGAAACGAAAGGGGCGACTCCAATGTGAGGTTGTGGGACATTGAAACGAGGAAGGTCATTTCAAAAATGATAGGACATACCAATGTTGTGTGTGCATTATGCTGGAGGGCAGATGGTGAGCGATTAGCAAGTGGATCCTGGGACGGAACAGCAAGAGTCTGGGATGTCGACAGCGGAAAAACTATCCTGACAATCCAAACCAAGCACAAATGGGTGAGGACGATGGTGTACTCGCCTGACTCATCGAAACTTGCAACAGGCGGAGAGGATAAGAATGTAAAAATCTGGGATGCAAAGACTGGCGAGCTTCTCAACACACTCAAACACAATCACTGGGTTTTCAGCTTGGCCTGGACTTCGGATGGGAAGAAGCTTATTTCCGGTTCGTATGGCCTGATTAGGATATTCGACAGTGTCACTTGGCAGGAGATCGCCATCCTTCAAGGTCACACTGGCTTGGTCTACATCGTTTCCTTGTCTCAGAACAACCGTCTCCTTGCAAGTTCATCACACGATAAAACAGCGCGTTTATGGAATCTCGATACCAATCTCCAAGTCGGACCACCCTCCAGCATGAAGATGTTTTGCGCTCCGCAGCCCTTTCCCCTGATGGAAAGGTGCTAGTCACTGGTTGCCAAAACAAAAACGCGTACACATGGGACATCCGCGCCATTCTCAAAAAAGCTGGGCTTGAAGACCTCCTATCTACTACTGATGTAAATCTCATGGTTCTTCGGTAAAAACCACACTAATATTAACCCACTTCCAGGTCCCAACTCGAAAATCGTTGATGAACGTACGTGATGTGTTCCTTGATCTTTTCAACCACTTTAAGGTTGTCACTCCAGAGCAATGCTACACGACATCCACCTATTCACGCCCGTCGAATACCACAAGACTTTTTCGATGGCGTGCAAAATGGTGCTCAGGTGAGTTATCTGCATTTTTGACCAGATATTGTTTTTACTTCTGTACTTTCAGTCCTCTGCAACACGCGGTACCCCACCTCGTTCCCCTGCACAATACCCTCCCAGTACTCGGGCACCCCTTCTCGAACTGCTGGTCGTCGCTCTTCTGCCACTCTCACCCTGATACCGATACCGATGGAGTATTTGAACTCCAGCAACGCCCAAGGCAGTCCATCTTCTCTCGCGGTCCTCGTATTGTCGATGTCTCTGCAGTACGGGACAAAAAAGTATGTTTTCCAGTGCGTTTATAATCGTCAGTGGTTCAACTGATTTACTGTCAGACGCTGTTTGTTGCTCGCCGGCCCAAAGGTGACAAGCCGAAACGGACACAGCAACAGCAAACTCAATCAGCATGGCCAAGGATCGTCCACGACACCGCCTGCTCCGGGTACTGGTACTGCTATACCAGGTGCAAGACCTACACATTCACGGCTCGTACGATTGTTGTCTCATCTCGTGCTTTTTCTTTGTTGCGCATCCCCTCAACACGCCGGTGGCAATGCACACCCGATGCAGCAGCAATCACAGACCCATGTCACATCGTCGCAAACACAGCACCAGCAAGGTCAATTGCAGGTTCAGGCATCATCGTCGCAGATTCAGCCTGCTGCCCCCTCCGCGCCTGCGACACCTACTGTTTTTGATGCTCATCCCACTGTGCCAGGTGCCGCCAGTGGGCAGCCACGTCCCCTCCCATTACGGACCCGTTTCGTTCTTTTTCTCTGCTGTGCATCTCTCCCGCATGTAGATGGGCATTAACACTTCAGCTTCTGGACACCTGTCTCATCTTTGCATTCAGTTCTTTTGTAATTATTGTTATCACTTTATTCACGCTGAGAGTGTATTTGATTTCCCAACCTCCTCGATCACGGATTGGTTTTGATGCTATCTATTTTAGTCTCAAGCAATTACTCGTACTGGTATTTGGATGGCTTAAAATATTTCATATGATGTAGCATTCATTTTGCTCAACATTTTTGTTCAAACCCTAATTAACAGATTCTAGATCTGTTTTCCCTGGATCGTGCAGGTTTGAAACCCGCCGGCAATGGGGTTTCCCCATGATCACACCTTGGGCATGAGCTCGTGGAGAGGTCCAGCCACCAGACTTATGGCCAAGCTGTTGACAGACTCGAAGTCTGCTCCTTCTGAATGGTGCAAGTTCGAAACCTGCCAATCATACTTTTTCTCTATGATCTGAATGCTGCGTATCATAGTACGACAGCAGTAATTTATCGAGCAACATCGAACTGCATGTGTCTTCAAATACTCAGTACATGTAGTGATATCTACTCTAACATAAAAGTTCGGAAAGGCTTAGCGGGAGCTGGAAGCTGACAAACTCGTTTGAAAGACGCGGGAACCACCTTGTGAGAACTGTAAAGCAGTTTATGTCTGGAACACGTTCAACCTCCAAAGGAGAAGGGGTGCTTACCAGTAGCTGCACTGGTACTTCCGGTCTCCAACATGATCGTATTGGATGTCTGCTGGTGGCATGCTTTTGCTTGAGGCACCAGCGTGAGCTTATTGGCGAGGAGGATGTGGTGGGTATGCCAACTTATGTCTTTTTCCACCGTGGGCATCAGCGGTGCGCTACGAGACAACATTGACACCACGAGATGGATGTCGAAAGGTTAGGAACACTTAGATATTTAAATTTTGCCTCGTCGCAAAAACGTCTACAAGTGTGGGCGAGAAGTATGGCCTGGGGAGCAGAGGAGCGAGAAAAGAGAGCATTTATCATGTTCTTCTCGTGGTACTGGCACAATTCTTCGCCTGTCGGGAAAGGGGCGATCAAAACTTCTGAGTCTCTGTAGCGTATCAGTGAATTCGGACGACCACCCTTGGCATGCATCGCTCACCCATCAGCTCGCCATACTTTCTCATACGCAATTAAAATGACATCTGGTGTATACTGAAGTTCAAACATTGACCAGAAGAGATGTACGGAGTGGAGAGGGAGCGCGGGACGCTGTGGAATGCCCATCAGAAGCATCAATTTTGTCCTTGCGTATAAGATGCACAGCATACAAGTAGCACTGGTCGCAAACCTATGTGCTTTGTCTACACAGCGATGACGAGGACAACGCATGGGATACAGCTTTAAAAACGGCATGAACGAACAACTCCCAAACTTCCTCAACTCCCAACCAAACACTCAGTGATCACTGGTAATTGCGGACTGGGCTCGTCTGAAAGGTGCTTCCCGTGAGTGATACTCTAGGAAGTTTAAATTAACGACTTTCTGACTAGCGATTTCAGATACATACAAAGATCTCTGGCGCATTCTCAAATTTCGCAGCACCTGCACACGTTATCTGTCCTAAGAGCATCCTATAAGCACCCTGTCTCGTAAGCCATGGCTTGTGTGATTCTAACAAGCATAAAATTGAAAGGAGATAGGCCCCTGGACTCACCAGAAATCACCGCCGTTACCGGATAACGTGGTCTGGTTCCAAGATCCTGGTAGACTTCTCTCTCGTATACACGATCTACCATAGTGGAGACTCCAAGCGCGGACCATGTCTTCCTCCACCAGTAAGATGCCAGCGATCACGCCACGCCAGACGATGAGAGGTCATACCAGCTGGATAAACGGTGTTGTGCACTTGCCTGGCGGACGACACATCATCACAGGTTCGTTCGACGGCTCACTCCGACTATGGGACCTAGAGAGTGGTGCACAGATAGGCGAGGATTGGCGGGACGGGGATAGCGCGGTGTGGTCCATGGCATTGTCCCCAAATGGGACGACAATTGCAAGCGGAAGCAATGATGGGAAAGTAAGGTTGTGGGACATCAAGGCGAGAGATGTCATTTCAAAATGGACAGGACACACCCATGTTGTGTGTGCGTTGTGCTGGAGTGCAGATGGTGAGCAATTGGCGAGTGGATCCTGGGATGGGATGGCAAGAGTCTGGGATGTCGACATCGGTGAAATTATCCTGACAATCAAAACCGGGCACAAATGGGTGTGGGCAGTGATGTACTCGCCTGACTCATTAAAACTTGCCACGGGCGGAGATGGGAAGTATGCAGTAAAAATCTGGGATGCAAGGACGGGCGAGCTTCTCAACACACTCAATCAAGATAACTGGGTTTTCAGCTTGGCATGGACGTCGGACGGCAAGAAGCTTATCTCTGGTTCGGTAGGCCCGATTAGGATATTCAACACTGCCACTTGGCAGCAGATCACCATTCTTGAAGGTCACACCCATCGTGTCTACGCCATCTCCTTATCTCAGAACAAGCGCCTCCTTGCAAGTGCATCGTTCGATGAAACAGCGCGTCTATGGAATCTCGACACCAATATCCCAGTTGGACCGCTCCTCCAGCACCAAGGTTATTTGTTCTCTGCAGCCCTTTCCCCTGATGGAAAGGTGCTAGTCACTGGTTGCCAAAACAAAAACACTTATACATGGAACGTTCATGTCATCCTCAGAAAAGCTGGGCTTGAAGACCTCCTATCTACTACTGATGTAAATCTCGTGGTTCTTCGGTAAAAACTACACTAATATTAACCCACTTCCAGGTCCCAACTCGAAAATCATTGATGAACGTACGTGACATATTCCTTAATCTTTTCAATCACTTCAAGGTTGTCGCTCTAGCGCAATGCTACACGATGTCCGTCTATTCAAGCCCGTCGAATACCACAACGCTTTTTCGACGGTGTGCAAAATGGTGCCCAGGTGAGTTGTCTGCATTTTTCACCAGTTTTTGTGCTTACATCTGTACCTTCAGTCCTCTGCAGCTTGCGGTACAAATCCTCATTATCCTGCACAACACCCTCGCAGTATTCGAGCACCCCTTCTCGAACACTTTTCGTCGCTCTTCCGCCACTCTCGCTCCGATACTGATGGATCAATTGAACTGCAGCAACGCTCAAGGTGGTTCATCTTCTCTCATCGGGGTCCTCGTATTGTCGAAGTTCCTGCAGTACAAGACAGAAAGGCATGTATTTCTTCCCATGCGTTTCACGTCGCCGTGGTTTCATCATTTTCGTCTAGGCTTTGTTTGTTGCTCGGCCGGCACAGCAAACACAGCAGCAAACCCAATCGCACGGCCAGGGATCATCCACGATACTGCCTTCTCCAGGTACTAATACTGCCACACAAGATGCAAGCCCTGCGCGTTCACAACTTGTACGATTGTTGTCTCATCTCGTGCTTTTTCTCTGCTGCGCATCCCCTGAGCATTCTGGTGGTAATGCACGGCATCAGGAAAACAACAGATCTCTTGTTTGTACTTAAGTAACTTATTGTGCCTTTCCGCGGCTTTTGACTCAACAAGCGAATCAAAGTAACCCTTTGAAAAGTGGGATGTATTTTGAAAATGCGGTTAAGACAAAAATACGCAAAAAGAGATGTCATTGTCCACTAAGATATAAAGCTCGAAAAACTTGTAAAGGAAATTAAAAAGCGATCTCAAAGGCATGGCGATCTGCGCAATTATTCACATAGTAAGCTCGGAAAGTCTCATAAGACTGATAATACTTGAGATCATAAGAAACAAACTGTGCACCATAGACTATTATAATGACACTATCGCCTGCACTTCAAGGTTGTCACTCTAGAGCAATGCTACGTGACATCCACCTATTCAAGCCTGTTGAATACCCACAAAAGTTCCGCAGAAGTAAATAACTCCCTATGCACCGAACTCCAACAATCATATTGCACAATTCTTGTACCAATTATGACGCATGCTAAGTGTGTTACTCCCGCGTGTTTCTCCGATCTCGCCATCGTGATCTTAGTAGTCAGCATCTTGTTCAATGAGCCCAAGGGCAGTTGCAGAGCGAGGCGTAATCGAACACTTGAAAGGTTTGGGGTGGCTTGGAGTGTGTTAGTTTAGACCAGTACCGGACGTGACAGATATGCGACTTACCTGATCGTACCCAATGGTAAGGGTTCAACCTCAGGGGTAATCTCAACACCATTCTCGACAACCTTTGAGATATCAAACACGGCCAAAGACATCACGATGGATATCCAAATGGAGGCATCAGCAAGGTGGAGACCTGTACATCAAAAGCAAGCAAATGTCACAATACTGTTAGCTAACTGGTGCGACCTGGACACACCTGGACAAATACTGGGGAGCAGAAAATTAGCATTCCGGTCAGAATCAGAACTGACTGTATGCATACCGTCTACCAAAGCCGAAACAGGCTGTGCGAGGGTCTGTTTCAGGTTCCTTTCCATCCTTAGCCAGGAAGCGTTCGGGATTGAATTGTGAGGGGTCAACATATGTCCGTGGATCGTTGAGCATGAACCTACCACAATCATGAAAATTACATTATGTTCATCATTTGAAGGGGAGTACTAACCAAACGTTAGGTATTACTAAGGAGCCTTTCGGAATATAGTACCCGTCATGGATATCGTCTTCAGTCACGCAGTGGGGGAAACCTGTCATTGGGATACCCGTGGTCAGATAGAAGTGTCATAAACGAGATCTAAATACCTGTAGGAATGACAATGTTCCAGCGGTGGACTTCCTTGACAAGCGCAGCAATATAGGGTAGGGAGTCGCGGTCGGCAAAGGTAGGAAGACGGTCAGGACCGACAGCCGCATCTATTTCAGCCTGAGCTTTCCTTTGCACATCAGGGAAAAGTGTCATAGCTAGAAAAAACGAGTAGATTGCAGAAACAGTCTGTGGAAATCGGTTTGGCACTCTCAGAAGATGTTGTAGGAAAGGACTAACTGTGTCAGAACCACCGCCGTACATGGAAATAGCAGACCATTTCACAGCGTGATCCTCTTCCGCAGACATATCACAGCCTTCTAGGAGATTCGAGGTGAAAGACATGGGGGCGGTGCCATCAGCCTGTAAAATTTAAACTTCAACATATCATTGCAAAGCTGCAAACAAGTCACCATCTGATCCTTGACGAACTTGTGGGGTGCAGAAACCATTTCTTCGAGGGCCTCATGCCATTCATGTGCTAGGCACTTGAAGCCAGCACCGGGGAACCACGTAGGGACATTTGCCACTGAAATAGTAAGGTCATCGGAAGCAAATGCAAACGGTGGAATAATATAGCTTACAGAATGGTAAAATATCAACCATGAAGGCACCGGGAGCTGTAGCCTGCGAGGCATTGGCTACAACGCGGTCTGCAAGGTCAATGAAGGGATCATTATTCTCCTTCACTTCGTAACCATGAGAGATGCGCAGAATGACAGCGCCAGCAGTACTATGGCAAAAATTCAAGATCATGTTATTGCGATGATAAATAATACATACTGTCGGATATACTCTTGCAGTTGGTCGGGTTTCGCAAGCACACGCTTTAGGAACCGGTGAGTCTCAACTTCCTCGACCACGTTGTATACGTCCATTCCAGCACGACTTCCGATGACCCGATGGAAGTTCCTGCGGTGCTGGCGAAAAAGGTCACCATAAGGAAGGAAAGGTAAAGAGTCCTTCCAGCCAACAAGTTCGCCCGCCATAGGAAGAACAGGACGGCCAGAGTACAAAATGCTTTTACTGTCTAGCATTTCCATCGCAGCCTTGGCAGAGTTTAACACAATGATGTGCCGACCCAGAACCTCGATATGCGCGATATCACCTGTAGAAAGATTTTTGAAATTGCATGATTTTGGGATAATGGAGTCACTTACCATACTTCTGACCCCACTCAGTAAATGTGAGCCAGGGCTTGATGCGAGGCATATCTAAAATATTGCCAATGAGAGGCCATCCCCGGGGACCAGGTGGATATGGTGCAGGATTCTTCCTGATGACCACTTGCTTTACCAGATAGACTCCGACACCTGTAAGGCATAGTAAATCCGGCCAAGTAACGTTGGTGATTGACAGCATGGTCTAGAGGATGAGCAACTTAATAACGGGGATGTAAAGCGAATTGATCAGATAAATGGACATCTTGTATTTAACCCATTTGAAAGACACGTCACACGAGAGTTCTGTCGGAAACTAGTGACTAGGAGTTCGCTGTACGTTGCCAAGAAGTACCCACTGGGGAAAAAGAGACCCTCACAGGCCCCTCCCTACCAACAGACGAGCGACGAACATGTACTGCCGAACACCCTAGGCATCGTACGGACGGGCATATACGACTCTTAGATTTTAAAAAATCATTTCGTCTTCTTCTGAGAGCTGGTCCCACTGCTGCACGTGTCACTGCAGAACCAATCTGCTTCAGGAGCATCAACACATTCAAAATGAAACTATGTATCGAAAACGCAATCAGCCGCGATGATAGAAGCATGTTGAAACAAGACAAGCCTGTATCCGTTCATTGCAGCTATCAAAATTGCATTAGACCATTTCTCCGGATTCCGGCCGTCGACGCCAACAAATTCAATTCATTTTGTGGGTCATCATATTGAGTGTCTATATTGAAAATGACATGATTCTTCACTTGAAGCGGCAAGCTGCCAGGGTGATGGTCAGACGAGGCAGAAGGTACTTACTATGTATATCACTCGCATCAAACAAACCTTTCGCGGACGCTTACAAAGCAATACAGCAGATGACGAGATGTGTGTCTGTGCTGATTCGGAGTCAGGCCCCAGGCATAGGTGCCACTGATAGACACGGTTAAATCGTGCGACATGCCAGGTAGACAACGCAGCGGACAATTGTTCATCCACCTCATCCATCGTCAATGATGCCAGACTGGATTCTGGAAATTGGATTCGGGACATTTCCCACCTCTTGAACCTTCGTCGCTGGGAACTTGTCGCTTAGTCACTGAGCCAGGTGCTTTGCATTAAACATTTACTATTTTCACGTCTAGTGCTAGTCGTGGAGTTACTGCCATGGCACGTACCCAAGTATGCGAGACAGCGAAGAGTCAATTTGCAAGTTCTCTGGGTACCTATATCAATCAATTTACTTTATGATATTTGTCTTACTCCTTCAAGTTGAACAGTGGCAGCACAGTTAGTGCTGTCGGTCCAGAACTACGGTTCTCCGTGGTCCGGTCCATGGTTCTCAGCCTGTAAGGGGTCTCTCAGACCCAGTTTCTATGTTACGGGAAACTAGTCTGAGAGACCCACCCTCCTACCGTCTAATCATATAGTTCATGCTCGCATTCCCTCGTGGATCTCCAGCACCTCCCTACGGGCCTCCATTAACCGTTTTCGAACCTCCCGGGCCAGCACCCCTCCTGACATGCGTCCAGCTTTCCCCTCTGACACCTCCAGCGCTGTCTATATTGGTCACCATCATCTTGTCGATGTGCCAATCCATTCAAGGCCACATCCTGTACCTCCAGCGCTTTCTCTCGTTCTTGTCCGTTCACCCTCCCGTCCCACATCAGGGTAGCGCCTGCGCCTCTCCTGTCACCACCACCATACTACCGCTATTGACATTTCTGCTGCCGCACCATCGGGCGATATAATCATTTAAACACTCCTACAACACCCTCCTGCATCGGATATGCCTAACTTCAGGAACTCACTCCCATAAACTCATACTCCCATACCTCGGGGCTGAATGTACAGCTTTTCTCCGGATTCAAACGAGCACCGGGACCGCTTCGAGGTGAGTTCAGTGAGTTTGTTCATTCACTGGTACATTTGGGACTTACTTGCGGTTCACGATACTACAGTTAGCTACTGTCGTTCTCGCCTGCACAACCATCCATATAATCTGGCAGACCTTATCCATTTGGCATGTTTATCCTGAACTCGTTGATTTATCTTAACTAGTCTTAGCCAAGTAGTTAACAGATTCCAGATCTATTCCTCCTAGATCGTGCAGGTTTGATACCCGCCAGCAATGGGGTTCCCCAATGATCACACCTTGGGTATGAGCTCGTGGAGAGATCTTCGAACGTCGACCACCAGACTGATGGCCAAGTTGTTAACAGATTCGAAGTCTGTTCCTCCTGGATGGTGCAAGTTCGAAACCTGCCAATCATACTTTTTCTCCGTGATCTGAGTGCTGCGTATCACAGTACAACAGCAGTAGTTTATTGGGAGCAACATCGAACTGCATGTGTCTTCAAATACTCAGTACATGTAGTGATACCTACTCTAACATAAAAGTTCGGAAGGACATAAAGCTTGGCGGGAGCTGGAAGCTGACGAACTCGTTTGTCCAGGACGTGAAGAGGCGGATACACCACCTTGTGAGAACTGTAAAGCAGCTTATGTCTGGAACACGTTCAACCTCCAAAGGAGAAGGGGGTCTTACCAGCAGGCTGCACTGGTACTTCCGTTCTACAACATGATCGTATTGGATGTCTCTGCTGGTGGCGTGCTGCTGCTTGAGGCACCAGCGTGGGCTTACTGGCGAGGAGGATGTAGTGGATATGCTAACTTATGCCTTTTTCCACTGTGGGTATTAGCGATGCGCTACGAGACAACACTAGCATCACGAGATGGATGTCGAAAGGTTAGCTTTTGCCTCGTATCGCAAAAACGTCCACAAAGGGAATCTTGCGTAGGCGATGAGTATGGTTCTGGGGAGCAGAGGTGCGAGAAAAGAGACAATTTATCATGTTCTTCATTCTAGACCCTTCGACGTGGCAAGTGGTGGTAGCAGAACAGTTGTTGCGTCCAGGCGGAGAACATGGATCAAACACTCAAAGGATGATGATGCGTGGGCCGACACCAGTGTACCATATACAACTCTCGCAGAAGAACCGATAAACATAAGGTTTGGTGGGGCATTCCCGCACGACGTACGTACGGATGGAAAACAGATACATAGTCAAATGCCACATGGAAGAAGGAAGATATTACTAGTCTTATATGATTGTCCTACCGGAATCCAAGGGCAACGAAATAAAGCATCGTGGTACTGGCACAATTCTTCGCCTGTCGAGAAAGGGGCGATCAAAATTTCTAAGTCTCTGTAGCGTATCGGTGAATTCGGACGACTACCCTTGGCATGCATCGCTCACCTATCAGCTTGCCTTATCTTCTCATACGCAACTAAAATGACATCTGGTGTATGCTGAAGTTCGAACATTGGCCGGAAGAAATGTACGGAGTGGAGAGGAAGCGCGGGATGCTGTCAAATGCTCATCAGAAGCATCAACTTAGTCCTTACGTATAAGAAGATGCACAGCACATAAGTACTAGTAGCGCTGGTTGAATTTGTGGGCTTCGTCCACAAAGAAATGAATGTGTGAATGTGTGAAGCGAACACAAGACACAGCTTTGAAAACTGCATGAACGAACGACTGCCAAATTTCCTCAACTCGCAACCCAACACTCATTGATCACCGGTGATTGTGGACTGGGCTCGTCTGAAAAGTGCTTCCTGTGAGTGATACTCAGGCTGTAAAAATTAACGACTTGCTGACCAGCGACTTCAGATACTTACAAAGATCTCTGGCGCATTCTCGAATTTTGCAGCACCTGCATCTGTTATCCGTCTTGTGAGTAAGGATTGAATCCTGTAAGCACACTGTATATGGCTTGTGTGGTTCTGACAAGCATCAAATTGAAAGGAGATAGGCCCTGGACTCACCAGGAATCATTGTCGTTACCAGGTAACCTGGTCTGATTCCAAGACTTCTCTCGTACACACGATCTGCCGTAGTTGACCTCCGAGCACGGACCATGCCTTCCTCCACCAGTAACACGCCAGCGATCACGCCAATCCAGACAATGCGAGGTCATACCCACTGGGTAAATAGTGTTGTGCACTTGCCTGACGGACGACGCATCATCACAGGTTCGTTGGACCGCTCACTCCGACTATGGGACCTAGAGAGCGGTGCACAGATAGGCGAGGAATGGCGGGATGGGAATAGCACAGTGTGGTCCATGGCATTGTCTCCAAATGGAAAGACAATCGCAAGCGGAAGTGGAATCGGTGATTACAGTGTGAGGTTATGGGACGTTGAGGCAAATAAGGTCATTTCAAAAAGGATAGGACACACCAATGTTGTGTGCGCATTATGCTGGAGAGCGGATGGTGAGCGATTAGCGAGTGGATCGTGGGATGGGACAGCAAGAGTCTGGGATGTCGACAGCGGCAAAACTATCCTGACAATTGAAACCGGGCAGCAATGGGTGAGGGCGATGGTGTACTCGCCTGACTCATTGAAACTTGCAACGGGCGGACACAAGGAGGAGGCTGTAAAAATCTGGGATGCAGAGACGGGTGAGCTTCTCAACACACTCAAACACGATTGGGCAGTTCGCAGTTTGGCCTGGACTTCGGACGGGAAGAAGCTTATCTCTGGTTCACATTGCCTAATTAGGATATTCGACACTGCCACTTGGCAGCAGTTGGCCATCCTTGAAGGTCACACAAGTGATGTCGACGCCATCTCGCTGTCTCGAAACAACCGCCTCCTTGCAAGTGTATCATGGGATAAAACAGCGCGTTTATGGAATCTCGACACCACCCTCCCAGTTGGACCACCCTTTCAGCACGAAGGTAGTTTGCGCTCCGCAGCCCTTTCCCCTGATGGAAAGGTGCTAGTCACTGGATGCGAAAACAAAAACGCGTACACATGGGACATTCACGCCATCCTCAAAGAATCTGGCCTTGAAGATCTCCTTCTGCCCATTCCTGATGTAAATCTCACAGTTCTTCAGTAAAAACTACCCTAATATCCCATTCCTAGGCTCCAACTCGAAAATCGTTGATGAATGTACGTGACGTGTTCCTTAATCTTTTCAGCCACTTCGAGGCTGTCACTCTAGAGTAATGCTACGCGACGTCCACCTATTCAAGCCCGTCAAATAGCACAAGGTTTTTTTGATGGCGTGCAAAGTGGTGCCCAGGTCGGTCGTCTGCATTTTTGACCAGTTCTTGTTCTTATCTCTCTACTTTCAGTCCTCTGCAGCACGTGTTCGGACACCCCTTCTCGAACGCTGGTCGTCCCTCTTCCACCACTTTCACTCCGATGCCGATGCCGATGGAGTACCCGAACTCCAGCAACGCCCAAGGCGGTCTATCTTCTCTCGAAGTCCTCCTATTGTCGAAGTTCCTACAGTACAAGACAGAAAGGTATGTATTTTTTCGCGTGCGTTTCACGTCGCCGTGGTTTGATCATTTCCGTCCAGGCTTTGTATGTTGCTCGGCCGGCACAGAAATTACAGCAGCAAGCTCAATCACACGGCCGGGGATCGTCCACAACACCGCCTTCTCCAGCTACTACTGCAAAACCTGCACACTCACGGCTCGTACGATTATTGTGTCATCTTGTGCTTTTTCTCTGCTGCGCATCCCCTCAACACGCCAGTGGCAATGCACACCCAACACAGCAGCAATCGCAAGGTTAAGTGCAGACTCATGGCACAACATTCCAACCACAGTACCAGTAAGGTTAATCACGGGCTCAGGCGTCAACATCGCAGACTCAGCCTGTCACCCCCTCCACGTCTGTGACACCTACTGCTATCGATGCTCATACTACCGCGCCAGGCGCAGCAAGCGAACAGCTACGCCCCCTTCCATTGCGCACCTGTATTGTTCTTTTTCTCTGCTGCACATCTCTCCCGCATGCAGATGGGCATTAACACTGCAGCTTCTGCACACCTATCTCATCTTTGCATCTGGTTCTTTTGTAGTTATTGTTATCGCTTTGTTCATCGACGAAGTAGCTCGTAATAAAGTAGAACATGCTGCCAACATCATACCAGAGCTGTCAAGAACCAGGAATTACCTTTGACGTTGCGCTCAGAAGTTCAGAAACTGGCAGTTGATTCACCTCACGCTCGGGTGGTGCCTGGGCACTTGACATAACGCTGGACCCGTTACTTAAATAGTATGTGTCCTCGATGCTTTTTATCCGGTTTTCGCTGCCACCTTTCTCACTGCATACTCTTAGAGAGCCTCAGATCTGTAGCAGCTATAGATCCAAGGCTGTTCAAGAGTATGTCTCAAACAATAACATCTCGAACTTCCGAGTCCTTCGCTTGATCCGCTTTCCCACCCAAGCCAAATCAATTGTGCTCGTCGAAGGGCACCAGAGCTTCTGAAGGCCACGTCGCCTTTGCCCATATACGACACCACCTGATCTAATTCGTTATTGGTGCAAGTATTTTTATTTCGATGAATTTTCGTCCTTCTCAATTCTGTTAAGTACTTTTTTACCACCTCCCAGTACAGGACAAAGTCAAATGTTGAGGTGAGAGTTTGACTTTAAATATTCTATCCCTCTTATGCGGCGCCCCCAACACCCGCTGCTGTTTATACTCATTCCTTGGGGCAGCACCTGATATCAGGCGTTATCAGAGTCGCAGTGGCATCACTTGCAGTGATAGCACATACTAGTTGAAGAGATCACTGAAGTTAATGCTGCTGCGTTTCGAGCAGGTCGTGAATGTACTTTTCACTCTGGGTTTGTACTTTACCTTGATTGGATGACACGCTAACCACATCACCTGGATCTTGATAGTTTTACGCCATGTCTTTCACCCTTCCCAGTGCAGGAGAAATACACCACCACTGCCAAATAGGCGTCATTGGGACTCATTGCAGGCCCACACAGATCCCCCGATATTGGGCACAACCTGAATGGTAACAGCTTTTGGTTGCACCTGATATCGGGCGTTCATCGGAGTCGCAACGTGTCACCTGCATCTTTCTCCATGGTGTCCTTTCTAGAGATTTTTGCAGTCGCTGTCGCTGTGTTTTGAGCAGATCGCCGAACTACTCTCCATTCTCTAGGTTCGTGCATTATCTTGGTTATGTGGCACAATACACATACTGACCACGTGCCCTTGACAGGTCTGCGCCATCTCTTTCACCCCTCCTTACGCATGAGAAAAAAGGCGCCCCCAAAAAACCGTTATCAGTCCCCTTGGGACTCATTGCACACGTACGCAGTACCCCCGATACCTGCTGCTACCCACAGTGCTCCTTTGGTTGTTGCGTCAGGGTTCCAAGCTTCTAGGTTCGTGCCTAGCCTAGGGTTTAAAATCGGAGTCGCAGCGTCACCACCTACTGTGGTCCACGTGTCTCACATGAAGATCCTGGTAGGTGGTGGCGCTGCGTTTCAAACAGATCAAAGAGTTGCTCGTCACTAGCACTCTACAGGTCCGTACCTTGACTCGGTCGTTCGGACACTGTTAAGGAACCCTCTGCGGGACATGGTTAACTTAGTACCTAGATATGATAATTGTGACAGGTCCCTGCAGTGCCTTAACAGTTCTCCATAGTATACTGATACTAAGCGCAGCCCTAAAAACACGTCCCTTCTCTCTTTGTTTTTCTGTCGCTCTCGTCGTCCTGCTTTCCCCTCCCACCTCGAGAGCCAGGCCGTCATTTCTGTCTCACAAATAGTCAAGCTATTCATTCTCATAAATGTAGGACAGGACACTTCGCCGATCGCGATTGTCTTTCCGAAGACATTGTAACCATGTCTATGCAAGAGATCACTTTGCAGTACGGACGTCAACATGTTAAGGTCCTGCGAACCCTTCGCTTATTTCGAGGTTGGACCTTAGATCATCCACTTGCTTGCCAAGGTTATATGGATGGTGATGGGACTTCATTTGGTGTTTTCCAGCCATGTCGGGGTGGGAAAGATCGTAAGTATACTGATGATTACGCGGCTGACAACTTGAAGCTTCTGAAGGGTCACCCTGTAACAGCTACCGGTGACGCTGCAGGGTGACCCTTCAAGTTGTCAGTCGTGTGATCATCAATATACTTACGACTTTTCCATTGGTAGCGAATCATTGGTTCGTGATGACAAATGGAAAAGTGCGATGCCGCAAGCTCGGCACAATGTCGTACAATTTTCATTAGTTCACCAAGTTCACAACTCTTGTTACAAGTTAACGAGATTTCAATGCTGTCCCATAAGTATTGTACGTTGGTGATCAGCAACCCATCCCTCGCTCTTTGATTTCGTCATTTTATCTGCGCAGTTTAATGTCGGGACTAGAAGAATCTCTCTATGCTCTTGACTGGAGTGACTACATAGGAAGTTCGTCAGCCTTGTTGGAAACGAATCATCGTGCTGAACTTTGTTGTTTTCCAGTTGTAATCATTACTATGACAATCTATGACTACGGTTGGTAACTCTCATGAACCTTGCGGTGCGGCTGAGCATAATATTATCTAGTGCTTCAGTTCGAGAAAGAGGTAACGAGGGAGGCCGTTTCATCGTCGTCGAGTACTCATGATCATATTGCCGCAGGTCACGTTTTTTTGGGTTAGAACTTAACCTCAACAATATCAAATGCAGAACTGACTGTTATGCAGGAAAGACAGTGGTCAGTGATGGCATATCTATACATTGTCGTGAGTTCCACCCTGTCAAAGTGCATCTTGGTTTCCCATGTTTGTTGCTATATCAGGTTCGATATTTTGGTATTGTCCTTGCAATGTGCGTCGCAGTGGTTGTGTCCTTCAGTTAGTATATTGTATGCTGACGCTGACTAGGCTTTTCGGCCTCTGTACGTGACATGACGCCAACTGAGTTGTCATTAGCTGACTAGCGCTAGGGGGAGGTCTACTTTATATGCCTGAAGCAGTGAGTGTATCGATTCTTTAGAGAGTTCTAGATTGACCCAGATTCAGTCGTACGTCAGAAGTTCGCTTGATAGTTCGGCCTGACCTGCTGCTGACCTCTTGTTTAGTTGTGAATATGTCGTATTCAACTGAAACTAGCTTTGCTCATCATGTGATTGAAATAGGTTATGGTACGCTTCTGTTCATGCAATGGGGTCTTTCTGGATACTTTTGCTTGGCAGAAGGTAAGTCATCCATACATTCTCGCACCTTTGCGCTTACAGATGTTGCATGTGCAGTCATTCTCATCTGGCGTCTTTATGTTCTATACAACCAATCCAAGCTCATACTTTATGTTCTACTGGGGTTCTTCGTACCTGTCGTCGTGCTCTATATAGGGGTGGATGCATTTTTATGGAGTCGACCCTCTGCGATGTCAGGTGAATTTGTATTTTGATTGAATTCTTTGCACGCTGACAGCGCTGATCCCTGGTTACACAGTGCAAGAAATAGTAATAACTGCAAATATGAAGTACTGCACGGCTTCCTTCCACATCGGGCCCATGCCTGCGATATATGCTTCCATCCCCATCATATGCTACGATATCTTCTTGGTTGTTCTTGCCATTGCCAGTTCTTGGGAAGCACCTGAAAGAACGAAAGGAACTTGAAATGAAGCCCAACACCTACGTGGTACTGATCGTCCGATACCATATCATATACTTTGTCCTGTAAGTTCCCCTTCATTTGTTGTGTTCTCTGAAAGCATTCGTTAAATCATCGTAGGAATTTGGCAAGTCAAATTGTCATGATCACGTTGTGGGCAAACATTTCGGTATGATCTCCTGTGATTCTAGAGAGATTTGCTCTAATGCAGGCATGCGCAGACGGTGGTGCGGTATCTCGTAATATTGTACTAAGGATACCGCGCCATTGATTATAGCGCCACGTCTTATCATCAGCATTTGGGATACGCATGCCAACGACAACTGCGTGCATGTCAGTACAACGTTCGAGGATTGTGTCTGTTGGACTTCGCCACCGAATTTGGAACAGCCCGAGATTGACTCCCATGGTGATGTTCCCAATTGAGGAAGGAGGTAGAGTGAGGTCCCGTAATTGTCCCTAACTAGCGTCGCCTTGATAACTATTCTCTATTAAATATTCACCAGCCTAGCAACTATGGATAGTAAGAAGAATTGGCCGAACGAAGATACTAAATGACTCACCTTGTATGGCCAATAGGAGAAATCCATATTGTCAGCTATTTTTTTACATCAGTCAAACTCCAGGCAATAGTGTGATTATTCATATTGATATTTTCGAGGTAGATAAGCACTGCCCAAGCTACCTAATAAGGTGGTCGGACAGGCAGGATCATCTCGAGTGCGCAACAGCCACCGGTGACGCAGGGTGACGCTTCAGTTGTCAGCCGTGTGATCATCGATATACTTGCAAGTTGCGACCTTTCCGCTGGTAGCGAATTATCGAGGACAATAATTCGTGACATCAAATGGGGGGTGCGGCGCCGCACGCTCGGCACGATGTCGTACAATTTTCATTAAGTTCACAGGACCCCAGGTTCACAAGTTCACAACCCTCACAAGTTAACGAGATGTCGATGTCCTTATAAGCATTGTACGTTGGTGATCAGCAGCCCATCTCTCACTCTTTGAGTTCGCCATTTGATCTGCACAGTTTCATGCCGAGACTAGAAGAATCTCTCTATGCTCTTGACTGGAATAATAACGTAGTCGGGTTCGTCAGCCTTGTTGGAAACGAATCATCGTGCTGAACTTCGTTGTTTTCCAGTTGCAATCATTACCCTGATATCCTATGAGTATAGTCAGTAGCTTTCATGAACCTTGCAGTGCGGCTGAGCATAATGCTATCTCCTAGTGCTTCAGTTCGAGAAAGAGGTAACGAGGGGGTTTGTTTCATTATTGTCAAGCACTCATGATTATATCGCAGGTCACATTTGTTTGGGTTAGAGCTCAACCCTAACGATACAAATATTCGGAGCTGACTGGTTATGCAGGAAAGGCAGTGGTCAGTGATGACATATCTATACCTTGTCGTGAGCTCCACCCTCCCAAAGTGCTTCATGGTTTCCGATTTTCTTGCTATGTCAGGTTCGATATTTTGGTATTGTCCTTATAATGTACGTCGCGATGGCTGTATCCTTCAGATGCTACATTGTATATTGACGCTGACGTCTAGGATTTGCGCCATCTGTACGTGACGTGATACCAACTGAGCCGTCATTAACTGACTAGCACTAGGGGGAGGTTTGTTTTATATACCTCAAGCAGTGAGTGAATCGATTCTTTCTTTAGAAAGTTCTTGGTTGACCCAGAGTTAGCCGTACGTCAGAAGTTCATTTTCACAGTAAGGCCTGACCTGTTGCTGACCCTTTATTTAGTTGTGAGTATATTGTATTCAACTGAAACTCGCTTTGCTCATTAACGAAATCGAAATAGGTTATGGTATGTTTCTGTTCATGAAATGGGGTTTTTCTGTATATCTTTGCTTGGCGGAAGGTAATCATATCCATATACTCTCGCACCTTTGCGCTTACCCATTTTGAATTTGCAGTCATTCTTATATGGCGTCTTTACGTCCTGTGCAACCAATCCAGGCTCATACTTTATATTCTACTGGGATTGTTCCTACCTATCGTTGCGCTTTATATAGGGATGGATATATTTTTATGGAGCCGACCCTCAGCGATCTCAGGTGACTTTCTATCTTGATTGAGTACTTTGCAAGCTGATGCCTAGTTGCATAGTGCAAGAAATAATAACTCCAAATATTAAGTACTGCACGGTCTTCCATCGCATCGGGCCCATGCCTGCGGTATATGCATCCATCCCCGTCATATGCTATGATATTTTATTGGTTGTTCTCGCCATCACCGTCCTCGGGAAGCACCTGAAAGAACGAAAGGAACTTAAAATGAAGCCTAACACCTACGTAGTAATGATCGTCCGATATCATGTCATATACTTTGTCCTGTAAGTTCCCCCTCGTTTGTTGTGTTCTCTGAAATCATTCATTGAACCACACTAGGAATTTGGCAAGTCAAATATTCATGGCGATATTGTGGGCCCACCTTCCGGTATGATCTCCTGTGACTCTAGAGAGGCCTGCTCTGACGCAGGCATGCAGACGGCGGTGCTGAATCTCGTACTATTGTTCAAGAATACCGCGCCACTGATTATCGCGCCACGTCTTATTATCAGCATCTGGGATACGCATGCCAACGACAACTGCGTACATGTCAGTACAACGTTCGAGGATTGTGTCTGTTGGACTTTGCCACCGGAATTGGGGCAGCCCGAGATCGACTCCCGCGTATGATGCTCCAAATATTGAGGAAGGAGGTAGATTGAGGTTCATACTTCCCCCTAGCTAGCGTACACCTCAAATACCTATTCACTTAAATGCTGCACCGCCATCTACAAGGTCTGCGGGGATAATATTAGCCTGTAATCTGTTATTTTCGTAGTCAACGCACCATCTCTGTCAACACTCTTGAGCACTATGTATCCGAGCCCCTATCGACTAATGGCCTCTGCTGTACTCTCAGGCTCGTCAGGATCCAGTGGAGGTAGGGCACGGGAGTAGAATCTACAGCCACGAGTGCAGGTGTTTCCAATCAACCAAAGGGAATGAAATTAGTCGATGAACAGTAATTCCAACAGCATGCGGCACACCATGATCGTAGCCCATGTCACTGCCTTCTTGCCCTCCTCAGTAGTTATACCTTCCTTTCCGCCCCAGCAGTCACCAATATTAGGACATCGTGCCTCACATGCAGTATGAAGACCTAGTCGCTGAAGTCCTTGATCGTGTTAAAAAATGCTCCCGAGGGTTTAGAAAGCTAGGCAGCCGAGGTCTGGAGTGGATGTATAAACATTATTTCCCGAGAAATGTCAATTTATGCACGCCCTTTGGTGTGAGCGGACATAACATCATGTTCGTTATTCAGCATCTTACAGGATCGCAGGTGCACGATGAGCATATTGGCGTGGCCTCGTTCCTCTGTCAGCCGACAAGAACTTCGCAGCCTGAGAGTCCAGTACTTTTCGGCGTAGGCAACACTTGACACACGAAAGTCAGATTTGGGTAACTTACATCGCGCAGACGACAGACAACAGGAGGGTGTTTCGTGAAAAACATAGAGCACCGTGGACTGTCTGCGGTGGATAAATAAACAATCATAGTCGTAAGTATGACCGGGAGAACGCTCACCTAGCCTACCTGCCCCGCGGGTGTTACTGGAAAACAAATGAGGGCAAGGCGATCATGCAAACAGCCGACCTAGCCCCTGTGATACTCTTCCAGTTAATGATAGAAAGTAGACAAATAACAAATCGATTTTCTCTTCCGCCTCCTGCACCCTGTGTCATTCAATATCACTTAAGAATACTTGAAATATACTCCAGTTAATAGTTAGTTAGAGTCGACGTGACCAAACGGAAACGTGTGTTTTGAATGGCGTATCTGTGAGCTACAAACTAGACCGACCGCCATGGTTTCGAGCGAATTGGTCCTTCTCCACGCTTCAGGAGTGATACCACCAGGTACAAGTGGCGTTCAACCTTTCTCTGATCGTGGAGTCAAATATGTTTCAATGCTACCCAGGGTGTAATGGACAATACCTAGTATTCTCTCTATGGATAGGCCACTTGACCAGATAAGTGAAGAGTTGACGATTAGACGAATGGAGTACCAAATATGAACCTGCTGCAAGATCATCGGACCATCGCGTTCAGGTAGGAGTTGCCAAGCTAGACGCAGACATCGAGGAAGAAGATCAATCAGAAGTACGTGGGAACACTTGAATATGATCAGCTGCGTGAGTAGAAAGAAGATATTTACCATGCCGAGTGACCCATCGCCGAAGATGGGCGATACGAGATGAGAGCGATACAAGAAGTGAAAATCAAGTATTTATGATGCTAATAACACAAAGTACACCTTGCGATTGAGTTTCTGCCTTGCTATAACACGATTTCGCCATGCGCAATAACCGTCCGCGATCTCAAAAGCCGCCACGGAGAGCAAGAACAAGGTGGAGTACTGATCCTGCGGAGATGTTGAACTCCTTAGCGGTCTTGTCATCCGGCCTGGATCATAGCCGACAATGATACGGTCAGTTTGCGTGGTCTGACGGAAATGAGGGCGATTACGCACATCTGTCTCCCACCGAAGATCAACCTTTGCTGCTGTGGTGGCACACCGGACTGCTCTTCAACCTTCTCTTTGATGCGAGTAATCTGTGTCCCCATATGATGGTTTGTGAGCTTGACAATGACGAATACGCTCTGTCATGGGCTAGATACCTTGTCATCGAGATCTATGTCCAACTCAATCTGTCCGTACATGACAGTTAGTCATGAACAGATCGCAAGAATTGGATTGGGCACCTCCTTGCCAGTGAGCGTCTAGCGGTCATCAGTGTAGCGAAACGGCTGTTGGGAGTGAGTTTGAATGCTCACCTTGACTTTGATGAGCATGGTCAAAGATACACGCCGTGAAACTACGCCCCCGCTTTACTCGATGGTAGTGTACGTGCCACAAATACTGAGAGTGCATGATTGGTGTTGTGTTGAAGTTCAAGCTCCGCGAACCCTCTTCGACCATCATACCCCCACGTAGGCGTCCGTTCATCGACATACAGCGAAGCGGCTCAGGTATGTTTGCAGGTTTCTTAAAGGTCAATATTGACTGTCCCAGGACGCAAAGCAAGATAATTGATACGAGCCACATATAAAGAGCTATTTGTCTCTACTTCTAACTAACGATAATCTAAATAAACGAATCATTAATGGTATAAAACGAGTGTGCTGCGTAGGTGGTAGTTGTCCTGTCGAAATTGTTGAATGCTCTAGTCCATGCGTTCCATCCAGTGCGGTAGTAGTTGGTATTCCTTTGCTAGTTGTTCGGTGTGGTATTGGTGCCCGTCCTTTTGGTGTGGTTGCATGAATCTTCGATGACCTTCAAGCCCCAAAAATCAAACTCCTATCCACAGATGCATCTCCCTCGTCACTGCTCTCCTCCTCCTCCTCGATCCCTTCCTCCGTCTTAGACCTCTCCTTCATATACTCATGCCCCACGAAATTCATCACGCTACCAACAACACATCAGCACATACCCAATACACAACGCAACAAAAAACCACTCACTAAATTGTCCCATCCGCGCACCCCACTACTACCTCCTCATGCGTGAGCTGCATCGACATCGGATTCTTCTCTGGCACCGCCAAGCCCGTAAACTTGGGCGGCAACGGACCTAGAAGACCTTTCACGCCCTCAGGCGTGGCATGAGCAAGCGCCGCCCATGCACCCGACAAAGGGATGATATTTGCATCTATATCAACGCTCGGCGTTGGGGACGAGAACATCGGATTTGCATGATCCGTTGTAGGCCCCGTGTCTTCATCGAGTGGACCATCAAGGACATCAACCTTGTCCTTGTCTTTATGCGTCGACATCAGAACCTGAGTACACGAAATGAACAAATGAGGACCAGGTTCAGTTGGGAAAATGACGGGACAGACGTACCCTTCGATCAGCCCCCGCTCGCGAACTAAACCTCGTAGCAGTAACCACCCTTCTCTTCCTAGGATCTACTGCCCCAACAGCAACATCAGGCGTCTCCACGAGCGCAACGAGCTTGGGAGGTGCAGTCAGAATTGCCGCCCGCCCGAACCGAATCGCAAACCCATCTGCACCCGCCGCACCCATAGGGGATAACGGTGCACCCATCGGGGACAGCGGAGTGCCAGATCGAGGAAGTAGGGAGAGCGGGGATGGTGATACACCTGAGTGCTGAGATGCGCTGAGATTGGAGGAGAGAGGCGTGGAAGGTGTCCCAAGCGAAAGTCGCGATTTGGGTAAGCCCGATGTACTCACCCCGAGTGCAGACTGTCTGCGCTGGGGAGTAGACATCTGCGTGGGCCGTATAAGGGATGAGACGGCGCGTGATCTCGGGTTAAGGGAAGAGGGTGTAGGTGAGGTAAGAGTCCTTCCAGTGAACGTAGGGCTCATCGTAGTCGTCTCGGCAGGGGTCTTCTCGTCTTCGCCTTCGGTCCATTGCAGATGCAAGATCACAGATTTAGTCGCACACTAATGAGAAGCAAATGAGGTACGCAGACCAAAAATAAGCACAACACTTACAGTCATCTGCGAGCCTTTAGCCGCGAACCACTGCAACATATTATTAGGCGCAGAGCCCACATTAAACAGCTTCGCATGCAACACAGGGTCGCTACCACCGAGTTCGCTGAGCTTGAACTGCGAGATCATTTCTCTCCTCTCTGTGTACCATCATCAAACCATCAGCAACAGAGTACAGAGGAACTCGACAGCAAAGAAACAAGAAACCCACTAATCGAGAAAACCCGAACGATGCCATCGATAGTCACGCCCACCACACGCTCTCCCTCCGCCTCTGTGCCCCCTTGGACGATCTGCACACCGATATTGATTGTTGTCTGCTGTCCAAACCTCACGATCTTCGTCCCGGCACGCCAATCCCAACACACGAGAGCCTTGTCAGCGCCTGCGCTGACAAGATTCTTGGAGGAAAGCGCAACGGCGCGGATACCATTGAGGTGTCCGGCAAGTTGTTGAAGAGGCGTGAATGTGACGGAGGAAAAAAGGTGAACACGGCTGTGGCGCATGATTTCAATTCGAGCATGAGATATACACAAATGGACGCACCCAACATCATGAAACCCAACGACGAAAACCTCTTCGGCACATGAGCTCCAAACACGCGTAATGCATTGTATCAAAAAATGACATACCTTCCTCCGCCAAGAAATCCACGCAGCTCACAGGCTTCTTCACCTGCAGGCACTTTTTCATCTCGCCGGTGTCGATGTCCCAGAAACGGATGGTTTCATCATAGGAACCTGAAATGAGGCGCTTGCCTGTAAGAGGGTCAGCGAAAGTCCATGCTTGGGGAGAGTAAAAGCAAAATGTAAAATGCAAGGGAAGGAGAAATGGGGGTAGATGGAGAGTAGTTGTGAATCAGAGTGGCTGGAGGAGCAAGACCTGCTTTTAAATACAGCCGCTGACCTTCAGCCTTCCTGGTCCACATTCTACGTCCACTAAGCATAGTCAAAAGGGTACGCGAGCACCGGAGGTGGGGCGGAATGGAGGGAGGGCAGCTGTGAATCGGAGTGGCTGGAGGAGCAGGACCTGCAATACAGCTGCTGACCTTCAGCCTCCCTGATTCACATTCTACGCCTCTTCATCATCAATACAGAAGCCTGCCCCATCCGGGGGGGTGCCGTCCACCTCCAAAATAACGACACCGAAAGCACCCAAAACACGCCCCTCACCTCTCAACAACAACGTCGTACAGAAATTTGTATGTCCATTCAAAAAGCGTATGCTCTGCGGAAGCGCATGCGCAAAATTAGACTCGCGGTGGTGGAGGGAGCGGTAGAGAGGGTACCTGCAATGCAATACAATGAAAGAATTAGTAAATGTAAGTGTTGAGGTCATGATGGAGAGGGATAACAGAGGCGAGTGGGAATGGGGACGAAAAAACGAAAAGGGAGGAAAGAGAACCCACCATCCCTCAGGCTTCGCCGGTGCCCTCACACGGACCGGATCATTGGCAGTTAAGCGCAGACAATGCCATCTCCACAATGTAGGATGACGAGTTGCAGTATACCATTTTTTTGAGACCTGTCGTGTCGTCAGTACCCATGCTTTCGACTAGTGCCTCAGGGAACAAGGGTTCCAAGCGGAATCAACATGTCCCAACATCCCACAAATTATCACAAAACACCAACAAAACACTCACCAGCCCAGCCTTAACAACCTCTTTCACGCTCAACTTGCTCAAGATTTGAAGGGCGATCCCAGGAGCAAGGAAACCGATGATATCGAATGAGCTTTTGAGGTATTTTTGGAGGAGGAGGATTTGGAGGGGGATGTCGCCTGGGAGGGTTGCTATTGGTGGTCGGAGGGAAAAGTGAGAAGTGGGGGGAAGAGAAGGGTTAATTAGCTGGCGATTCCTCTATGAAGATGTGCGGGACGTACATTCGAGTATGATCTGGATACTACATGATAGAGTGTAAGTGTCAGCGTCTTTACCAAAACGGGAGAGTAACAAAGGAAAGAGAGGCGAGGGAACAACTCCAGAGACTACCAAGTGATCTCGCCTCTGCATCGATCAACAGATACGACCTCCTTCCATCAACAAAAGAAACAGAAACCCAAACCATAAAAAGAAAGACTCACATCCTCCCCCGCCCCTCCCTCCCCAACCCCCTCATAGCCCTCCTAACATCCCTCTCATCAAGTTTCTTCATAGCATCTACCAAATCACCACCCTCTGCGGTCTCATCCCCATCCCCCCAACTAACCGCGTCCCAATACCCCCTCTTCCGTCCACCACATACACAATACTCGCCCCCCTCCAGTTGCAAAGACCCTTGGGCCTGAGACTGAGACTGAGAACGCAATTCTGCGAGTTGAGCTTGAAGATGATAAACCTGCGCCGCGCTACTTGCGTGCGCACGTTCGAGGAGACGCTTGTAGGCAAGGAGTTTGGAGGTATGGAGTGTACGGATTTGGGTGAGGGCTTGGTCGAGCTGTGGAGTTGAGTTAACTGGGTTTGTTAGAGAGGTGAGAGGTGGGGTGGGGTGGGTGGATGAAAGTGGGGTCTGCACAGTGATACAAACAAGAAAAAAATATGTGCATGTAGTGCGCGTCAGAAGGACGTGGGTACGCAACGACAATAAGACTGTACGCGATCCAATAATCGCAAAAGCACAGACAGAAAAAAGTAGAGACGAAGCACTAAAACGAAACGAACTCACCTCTTCATCACCTTCCCCATCCACATCCGTAATCATATCAAACGTCATCCCATCATCCTCATGATCCCAGATATCCTCCAGACCCGTGTCATCATTCAAATTGATCACGGCACCGTTCATGACGCGTCCGTTCACGCGTCTTGGACCTCCGATGATACTCCCGGTACCATCGCTGAAGACGCTCCCTACTCTAGTCCCGCCCATGGCGCTCGCAGTCACAGCTCTTTTTGAGGCGAGGGATTCGGACAGCAACGCGACGGGCTCTTTACCCATGAAGTTTGAGCCAGGAGAACGGACTTTTGGACTCGGAGAGTGCATATTTTTTGTTCCAGGGGACCGTGTCATATTGGATGTCCCTGATGGTGTGCGCTGTAGCTGGGTGCGAGCGAGAGGAGAGGACTTGGAAGGTGTGATGGATGAAGGTGTGTTTATTGAAGGGTTTGGTTTTGAGGGTGTGTTGCTTGAATGGGGCTTAGGCGCAGAAGACGGGGGTACAGTGGTAGGAGTACTCTCCATGGAGACAGTCCTGGTCATAGAAACTGTTTCACCGCTTCCAAATACTGATGCAGAATTGGAAGTAGCAGAGCTTGTGGTACGCACGCGGACTGACGCGGATGAAGGATTGTTCTTGTGCTTTGCGGGACTTGGAGATGTGAAGTTTATAGCAGGTTTGGGAGAGGCGAGGTTGACTGAAGCACGGTGTTGACGTGATGGAGTTAGGGCAGATGTTTCTGAAACGACGCGTGCTCGAGACGGGGTTGATGACACTGCGTCTCGATTTCCATTCGAGTCTGTAGTGCTGCTAGTGGAAGCATACAAAGAACGCGGGAAAGCACTTGGCGGACCTGTGCCAGAACGCTTCAAGAGCGTCGGCGTCGTGGAGAGCATGTTTGAGGTGGAATTCAAATTCGAAATTGGTTTAGTGGGCTTCACAGTCGTGCAACCGCTCGCATCACTTGTGATCGACAGTGCACGCGTCTTAGGGGAAATACGCGTAGTAGTTGAGTTTGATGTCGTGCGCGACAACGACAAACGTGAGCGGGTCGATGTCTCAGAGGGCGTCGGCATTCTAGTTCAGTGGCTTGTCACTATTGGGAGCAACCACAAAGTAACAAACCGCGTTCTTCCCACGTCCACGGTTCTAACTTCTGGCTCAAGGATTCAAGACTACTGGCAAATTTTATGTGCCAAGAATCAATTACTGGGTATAAGTTCTGAGCTCCATCGCAGTACTATTCTTTCCGTTCTTGTTATTGCAACTTGCATACAGTAAGACTTTTTACAGACCTACAACGACCATGCCACTCCCCAGAGTCGCTCCATTCCAATGGTGCCAAGTGATAGACTCGGACAGTATGACATTAGGGATGCAATAGCACCCGAAATTCATGCTGTAGATACCGGCTACTATATATCATCCACCGAAACTTGGCCTTAGGACCAGCGGGGCATTTCAGGCCTCGTGAACATGCAAAGATTGGGCGGCTGCAGGACGAGCTGATGTGGAATATCGAGGTTATCATTATGAGTACATAGTCTCGTTAACGTTCATTGCATCCACAAAAGTTCCGCGGAAGTAGATAATTTCTCCAAAAATCATATTGCACAACTTCTAGTATAACGTACAAATTACAACGCATACTAAATGTGTTATCCCCACATGTTTCTTCGGCCTCACCATCGTGAGCTTAGTAGTTAGCATCTTGTTCAATGAGCCTAAGGGCAGTCGCAGAGCGAGGCTTGATAGAGCACTTGAAAGGTTTGGGGTGGCTGGGAGTGTGTCAATCAAGACCAGCACCGGACGTGACAATATATGCGGCATACCTGATCGTACCTGGTGAGGGTTCAACACTAGGGGTGATCTCAATACCATTCTCGACAACCTTTGAAATATCAAACACGGCCAATGACATCACGGTGGATATCCAAATGGAGGCTTCAGCAAGGTGGATACCTGTACACCAAAAGCAAGCAAATGTCAGAATGCTGTGGATTAACTGATGCGAGTTGAATACACCTGGGCAAATACTGCGGAGCAGAAAATTAGCATTCCGATCAGATTCAGAACCAACTTATGCTTACCGTCTACCAAAGCCGAAGCAGGCTGTGCGAGGCTCTGTCTCAGGGTCCTTTCCATCCTTAGCCAAGAAGCGGTCAGGGTTGAATTGCGAGGGGTTAGTATACGTGCGTGGATCCTTGAGCATGAACCTGTCGCAATTAAGATCTTTACATTCTGTTCACCAACCGAAGGGAAGCACCAACCAAATGTTAGGTAGTACTATGGAGCCTTTTGGAATATAGTACCCATTATGGATATCGTCCTCAGTTACACGGTGGGGGAAACCTGTCATTGAGATACCCGTCGTCAAATAAATAATGTCATGAACGAGATCCGCATACCGGTGGGAACGACAACGTTCCAGCGGAGAACTTCTTTGACAAGCACCTCAGTATAAGGCAGGGAGTCGCGGTCGGCGAAGGTGGGAAGACGATCAGAACCGACAACCGCATCTATTTCAGCCTGAGCTTTCTTTTGCACATCAGGGAAAAGTGTCATAGCTAGAAAAAACGAGTTGATTGCAGAAACAGTCTGAGAAAATGGGCGTAGTACTTTCAGAACATCATGATTAGAAACATAAATATGTAGGGACCAACCGTGTCGGCGCCACCGCTGTACAGGGAAAAAGCAGACCATTTCACAGAGTGTTCCTCTTCCGCAGACACATCACGGCCTTCCAAGAGATTCGAGGTAAGAGACACAGGGGCAGTACCAGCAGCCTGCAAATTTTGAACTTCAATGCATGATCGTAAAACTGCAAAACTGTAAACTGGTCACCATCTGGTCCTTCACCAACTTGTGGGGTGCAGAAACCATCTCTTCGAGGGTCTCACGCCATTTACGTGCTATGCGCTTGAAGCCAGCACCGGGGAACCACACAGGAACCTTTGCCACTAGAATTTTCAGGTTATCGGAAGCCAACACAAACGTCAGAAGGATTTAGCCTACAGAATGGTAAAGTGTCAACCATATATGCTCCGGGAGATGCGGCCTGCGAGCCATTGATTATAACGCGGTCTGCAAGGTCAACGAAGGGATCGTTGTTCTCTTTCACTTCGTAACCATGAGAAATGCGCAAAATGATCGCGCCAGCAGTGCTATAGTAAAAATTCAAGCTCGTGTCATTTCGAGGATACACAAAACAAACTGTCGGACATGTTCCTGCAGTTGGTCGGGTTTCGCAAGCACACGCTTCAGGAATCGACGAGTCTCAACTTCCTCGACCACGTTGTATACGTCCACTGCAGCACGACTGCCGATGATCCGATGGAAGTTCTTGCGTTGCTGGCGAAAACGGTTACCATAAGGAAGGAAAGGCAAAGAGTCCTTCCAGCCAACAAGTTCGCCAGCCATAGGAAGAACAGGACGGTCAGAATACAAAGTGCTTTTACTGTCCATCATTTCCAATGCAGTCTTGGTAGAGTTCAGCACGATTATGTGCCGACCCAGAACCTCGATATGCGCGATATCACCTGTAGAAAGATTTTTGAAATTGCATGATTTTGGAATAATGGAGTCACTTACCATACTTCTGACCCCACTCAGTAAATGCGACCCAGGGCTTGATGCGAGGCATATCTAAAATATTGCCAATGAGAGGCCATCCCCGGGGACCAGGTGGATATGGTGCAGGATTCTTCTTGATAATTACCTGCTTTACCAGATAGACTCCGACACCAGTAAGGCATAGTAGGTCCAGCCAAGTAACATTGGGGATTGTCAACATGGTCTACTACTAGCAGACGATGAGCAACTCAAGAACGGGGATATAGAGCGAATCAATCGGATAAGTGGATATCTTGTATTTAACACATTAGAAGGACACGTCACACGAGAGTTCTGTTGGAAATTAGGGGTTCGCTGTGCGAACTTATGATCTGGCGGCCAATAGGTACCTGCTCGGGAAAAAGTGTACATGAGGCCATCTTATACCGGACGAGTGACGAACATGTACGACATTTAGATTTTAAAAAATCACTGTCTTCTTCTGAGAGTTGGTGCCACTGCTGCACATGTCACTGCAGAACCAATCTGCCTCAGCAAATCAACACATTCAAAATGAAACGGAATCAGCCACGGTGATAGAAGCATGTTGAAAAAAGACAAGCCTGTATCCATTGATTGCAGCTATCAAAGTCGCATTGAACCATTTCTCTGAATTCTGGCCGTCGACACCAATAAAATTCATCTCGTGGGTCGTGAGACTGAGTATCTACATTTGGAATGACATGATTCTTCACTTCAAGCGAGCTAAGGCGTGCTGGCGGGGTGATGGTTAGACGAGGTTTGGTGCGGAAGGTATGTCCTGACCATCACTCGCATCAGACACCTCGCACACGCAATACAGCAAATGACGAGATGTCTGTGCTGATTCGGAGTCAGGCATTATTAGTAGGTGCCAACATACCACCGATAGACACGGTTAGATTGTGCAACATAGTAGACAACGGACTCCAGCGGACAATTGTTCACCCACCTCATGGTCAATGATGCCAGACTGGAAATTGGATTTGGGGCATTTCCTGAGTGGGTACTTCTCACCTGCGACTCCCACCTAAGCTCCATACATTTAGAGGTACCTGTGAACCGGGTGTGCGCCTGTAGTTAGAAGGGGATTGAGTAATGCATGTAAGGCTTGGATGAATAATTGTTGGATAATGGTAAAACCTCCACTTGTGGGAATTGACGAAGTTTCGGAGGTGATGCATGATGAGTCACGCTGGGGCTCGGGAATGTCCGTGTGGTGCGCACGCCTTTCCAAAAGAAGAGATGTTTCAGACGATTGAGAGATAGAATGTATGGCGAAAGAAAATATGGAACCTAGCCAGAACCATATGGCCAAGGAAACACAGCCCATGGCCAGAACCCACGATAGGACTAGTCCTATGGTGTGCATCACTTAGGTGCCACCAATTGTGTGCTAATGTCCTGCTGTCTTGAAAAAACATCAGAATTTTAATTCCTCTTACAAAAATGTTCCTTTTGATGAGACAAACAAAACTGTAAGAGCGATTTTCAATCTGATCAAATTTGACAGAGATAAAAATTTTGTTGGCAGTCAGATTGGCCACTTGCTATCTACCCTACCTACAGTCAGTCAAAAAGTTGTGCTGCAGTCTCTGGAACCTGTCAGTGGGACTTGTACTTGGTCAAACTGAATTGCTGGACCTTCAGCTGTGCATCTTTTGTCCTGAGCCCTGACCAATAGGCATCCAACCACCTGTGAGTCTGATGCTCCCATAACTGGATGGTCTGCAATGAAACAGATGCCAATGCTCATGGCATATTGGCCTTCAACCCATTGAATGTGCAGTCACAGTGCTCATGAAGGTACCTTTTGACCTTTCCCCAGAAAAACTCAATAAAGTTCAGCTTGCAATGGAACTTTGGTAGGAATATGCAAAGATAATCAGCATTCTTGATGATCTCCTGAACAAGTGAATGTTGCTCCTGAAAGTCAGGCTGCAATTCCAATATGTGTTTGTTGCAGCAATGAGTAGCATCTGCCTTGCACTTTGATTTGCATTTGCCACACCAGTACTCGTACAAGCCATGTTCAGTCAGAACAGCCTTGACACCCTTTGGTTCACCAGGATGTTCCAGATGGTCAAGTGGGAATGACATTTCCTGCTCAACTCAAATGCCATCTTGGATAAACCACCCATTCTGCATGTTGGCCTGTTTCCACCCTGGATGAATATTCATGCAGCTGACAAGAAGAGCATCCTCAGCATATGCAGAATGTCCTTGAGAGTTGTCAATGAGAAATAGTGCTTGATATCTGGGACAGCGAGCACGCTCAAATGTGGGGATGATTTTCTCAGTAAGCTGAGAGTGAACAAATGAGATATTTTCATACAGGCACAGCAATTATGACCAACCTGAGTGCAGAAATTCTCACCGCACCAGTAGCCTTCATGGTTCTTGCCATATTCCATTGTTTCTCCTGCTTCAACCAAGTGACTGACCATGGAGGAGATGACATCACTTTGGTGAAGCCCTTGACCTGCTCGCTTTTTCCACAGATGGAATTCATCATCAAAAACCCAATACTGGCCAACTGCATCATTGCCTTGTGCTGTCATTTTATCATGTGTGCAGAGAACCAAATGACATTCAACATAATTTGAAGGATTGGCTGGCACTTCAGTATCAACATCACCAACAGTAAATTGAACCAATCTGTATTCACAGGCCTTCATAAATGGCAAGAACTGTTGCTGGCAATAGTGAATAACATCTGGACAGTTGTGCCCATCAAAATAAAGACCCTTCTGGTGTTTGAGGAATCAAAAACCTTTGCACCGAAGCCATCGACAAGCTGTGCTCAGTGAAATGCCTTGGCCAACCTTCAGATGGATATGGGGAATATTTCAAGCTCCATATACTTCTTCAGACCATGGGGCATCTCCTCCTCAACAAGTTTTTGTGCATATTTTGTGGCCTCAGCAGGGATAAGCCTATCTTGTGAGAGTTGAATGAACTTTTCTGGATTTATGACCCATTTGTTTGAGTGGACATATGTGCGCAGCTCAGTGGCAATGGTGGGATCACCAAGAAGGGAGTACACCTTTGCATGTTGACCTTGTAAAGATTCAGGGAGTCTGTGATCTGCCACCCACAGCCTGGTCCAGCTGCACACTTGGTGGCCACCCCAGTTTGCAGCAAATCCATGACTTTCTGCTGCCCTCTGTGACACATCAATGGAGAGACATTTCTTCTTGATGACCATTGTGAGGTAACTCTGGATTGAGCGTGCATGTTTTGCCTGCAACCCATTTGGACCTCCAACAAATGATGCTTTTTTCACCTTCAAAAGCTTTTCTATTGAAGCCAATGCCTTCTTCATCTCCTCAAGTCGAGTTTCCTTCACCAGCCTTCTCTGCTCATGGTAAGGCACATCAAGCTTGCACCATTTCAATGGTGGAACAGCTGGCTGATCATTTTGGCATGCAGCAAGACCACTACTATCACCATCACTATCATCACCATCAGATTCTGTCCCATCATTGGACTCATCAGAGAGGTAACACAATCCATGACTCGCAGCAGGTAGTAACTTGAAGTCAGGTACTAAGTTTGAATTCTGGGGCTGAAGAGATGGGGAGGGTGCATGACATCTTGGGTGTGCAAACATTTTGCACATCAGTGTAACTTGTGGATCATCTCTGATGAATAGTGAGTGACTCAGATATCATTCAATGTTCAAACTTCAAAACTCACAAAATTTTCCTCTTTTCATGGTACTCTGCAAGCTCTCTTGCAGCCTTATCATGCCTCCTCTTTGTTCAACCTGAGTGGCCATTATATGCAAGTGCCCTGTTCCATTCTGCCTTCTCCCATTCTACTGCTGTCTTCTTCTCAAACATGGGAACAGCCATTGGGTGATCATGAAGACTTTCAGCCTTGGCTCTGAGAGCAGCCAAGTTTTCTTCCAAATCATCACCCCCAAATTCACAAAGGCTTTCATCATCAGACCATTCACTCTCTGATGTATCTGGTTCATATTCCAAATCACTGCCTGAGTAATCTGCATTGACACCACCCAGGTATCCACAGTCAGACCCTGAGTCCTTGTCCAAATCAATTTCTATTGGGACATGTGTGGAATGTCACCACGTCAACGATGAACACTAACAAACAGACAATAATGTGGAAGAGTGTATGGTTGACAAGGTGGTAAGAAGATAAGATATGAGCGAGTATGCATTGAGCTATATATATGAGTAGACATGGATCAGTCCAAACATGGAACAAATAATATGCAGTGTCCAATCAGCACATAAGCTGTCATGTGGTAAGCACCAGGCTTACACCCTTTCCCACTATCCTTCAGACCATTCTTTCTCCCAAACATCCAGGGCTTTGCAATCCTCCAGCTCCCTCTGTGGTAGCCATTCATCATCTTCCTTGCCAAATCTGACCCATCAAACCAGATATTGTTTTCATCTGCCAACCTTGCATTTGTCAATGATCTTGTCTATGAAGTTCTCAAGTTGGCCATCCTCTGTCATGACAGGACCTGGTCATGGGTGTTTGTGAGAATGAAACAAGTTTGGGTCATTCACTTTGTAAGGCCATAACTGACTCGCATGGAATGTAGGGAAGATGTTAGGCGAGCTGGGAAGGTCAAGGGTGTATGTTGAGGTTTTGGTGTGAGCCCAAGATTGTGTAAGGTCTGTTGTATCTTGGCATAAACTTTGCTACATGTTTGTCTCCCTTTTGAATGTATTCCCTCTGGCAATGTTTTGTGGCGAGCAAGATGTGATCTCCAACTTGGAGGTTCAGGGCATAAGCACAGTGTTTGTTCACATTGGTCGCTTGCACTGCTTTTGCTACCAACAGATTGTCTTGTGCCTCCATGATGTCTTGTTCCAATCTTGACAGTGTGGTTCTCACTCTTTGATCTTCTGGCTCGTCCACCAATTGAGGGTCTGCCACAATGGGTGGTAACATGCATGGTGAGCACCCAAGATGCAGCTGAAAAGGGGAAAAGCCAGTGCTCATGTTGACTGTAATCTCAATATGAAAATGTACATGAGGCAGTGTGCATACCCAACCCTTATGGTTCCTGTTGACATAATAATGTAGGCATTGATTCACTGTCTTGTTCATTCATTCACTGGTGCCATCTGTTTCAGGGTGGTAAGCTGACAACATCTTTAATTTAATGCCAGTCAGTTTGTGTAAGGCATGCCAAAATCACAATCAGACACTATCTCTCTCAGCAGCCCATTCTCACAATACCAATGATCAAAGAACAAGGTGGTGAAGTGTTTGGCTGTAATGTTGTCTTTACAGGGCATGAGGCATACAGTGGCTCAAAAAACTGTCCGCATGTTTTGACATTTTTCACTATCTATGATATTGTGTGAGAACTCACAAATGGCTCAAAGACATGCTTATACCACATTGTAGTATGGCTTCAGGGCTTTCATTTGAACCCTACACCGTGGGAATCGGTGGAGATATGGTGGAGATACAAGGCTTATAAAATCATGACTCATGCGGACAGTTTTTTGAGCACATATTAAAACTATATAAATCATCATTTATGACACCATAACAATCATGCCACCATTAAATAAATTATAAAGTGGTGTCATTATGTCATTTTAAAACCATATCTAACTATACAAACCAAAAATTTCCATATGTCATGGTTATATTCACCATGAAAGCCACCCCCCCTGCTCAAAGGGATAATATCCTCTCTCTTTCCTATTCTGGCCTCTCTGCTTGTCAAATTTCCTCTAGAACTGGAGTATCCAAGTCCACTGTGGCCAAGTTCATCAAAGAAAGTCACACAGACAAGGAAAACTTCTGTGAAGGGCGTCCATCCAAGCTCACCTCTACTGATAGGAGGGCTATTATTCAACATATCACTACAGGAAAGGCTGATAATGCTGTCCAGGTCACCTATTACATCAATTCCACCATCACATTCCCTGTCTCTTCACACACTGTGAGAAACATTCTCAAGACAGCTCATCTCAGGTCAGTAACAAGGAAGAAATGGCTCTCCTCTCTATCACACATAAACAGAGATGACTAACCTTTGCCTTAGCCCATCAGAATTGGATTACATGGACTGGAAGCATGTTATATGATCATATAAGACCACAATAAATATGATTGGATCAGATGGCAAGGTATATATGTGAAAAAAGAAGGGTGCTAGTCCTCTCTGCATATGTGTGATAGAGAGGAGAGCCATTTCTTCCTTGTTACTGACCTGAGATGAGCTGTCTTGAGAATGTTTCTCACAGTGTGTGAAGAGACAGGGAATGTGATGGTGGAATTGATGTAATAGGTGACCTGGACAGCATTATCAGCCTTTCCTGTAGTGATATGTTGAATAATAGCCCTCCTATCAGTAGAGGTGAGCTTGGATGGACGCCCTTCACAGAAGTTTTCCTTGTCTGTGTGACTTTCTTTGATGAACTTGGCCACAGTGGACTTGGATACTCCAGTTCTAGAGGAAATTTGACAAGCAGAGAGGCCAGAATAGGAAAGAGAGAGGATATTATCCCTTTGAGCAGGGGGGGTGGCTTTCATGGTGAATATAACCATGACATATGGAAATTTTTGGTTTGTATAGTTAGATATGGTTTTAAAATGACATAATGACACCACTTTATAATTTATTTAATGGTGGCATGATTGTTATGGTGTCATAAATGATGATTTATATAGTTTTAATATGTGCTCAAAAAACTGTCCGCATGAGTCATGATTTTATAAGCCTTGTATCTCCACCATATCTCCACCGATTCCCACGGTGTAGGGCTCAAATGAAAGCCCTGAAGCCATACTACAATGTGGTATAAGCATGTCTTTGAGCCATTTGTGAGTTCTCACACAATATCATAGATAGTGAAAAATGTCAAAACATGCGGACAGTTTTTTGAGCCACTGTATGTCGGCATTCAGTTGGTCTGTCATTGACACAAGCATGTTATATCCGCCATTGTCTGGGAGCGGACTGATGAAATCTATGGCAACTGAGTCACCACATGTGTCCAGTATAGGCAATGGATGAAGTGGGCTGGCAGTAGCAGTCATCTTTGATTTGTTCCTCATGCATTGCAGGCAGGCAGGCAGGATGGGATGTACAATTCCACTAGGTCCTTACACATGTTTGGCCAGTAGTAAGATGCCCTTAGCAGGGTGTATGACTTATCCACACCAAAATGACCTGCAACATCATGTGTGGCATGAAACAATTGTTCTTGAAGGTTGTTGACTTGTGGAATCACTAGGCACCCAGCCACATAATACAACCTGTGTTCATCCTGAGAAAGTCCCAGTAAGAAACCTAGGAAATCATTCAGCCTCTTACACCATGGGTCCAGTGCATACCCATTTTTGATTCACTTTTCGACATTTTTATCTATTCCCAGCATCAACACAGCTGCACACTCCTGGATAGCAGATGTCATATCCATTCGTCATGAGAGAGTGTCTGCTGCGGTGTTCATTTTGCCCTTGATGTAGTGTATTTCAAGATCATACTGAGACATGTATTCTGCCCATCTTGCCTGTCATTGAGAGAGATCTCATTGGGTTGTGAAATTCTGTAATGTGCAATGGTCAGTATAGACATCGACATGTGTACCCAACAGATCTGATCTCCATTTCTTTAATACTTGCATGATTGCAAGGAGTTCTTTCTCATGGACCAGATAGTTGAGTTCAGCTCCTCGCAGTTGAGTTGAGTTAAACACCACTGGTCACACTGTTTTGCGCATTGGTCCCCATGACAACACTGCACCTGTTGCATAATCAGAAGCATCACAAGTTATGAAAACCCTATTTTCTCCTGGGTTATTGTGGTCTATAGTCATGAGGCACTGAGGGCTAATAACCAGACTCTTGATAGCTGTGAACACTTCTGCATATTCGCTTGTCCATTCAGGGAAGCTCAATTCTGCAGCCTTGGTCATCAGCATTGTCAGGATGCATGTGTACTTAGCTATGTCAGGCAAATGGTCTGATAGATATTGTACCATACCCAAGAAGGCATGAACATCTGATGCTTTATGTGGCTGTGGCCAATCCAGAACGTGTGTGACTTTTGACGTGTTGACTTCAATTCCCTGTGACAAAATGTGATGGCCCAGAAAGTTGATCTCCATGTTGAATAAGGACATTTTCCTCATTGAGCAGTAAAGATGAGTGTTCCTCAGCATCGACAGTACCTTGCACACGTTCTCTTCATGTTCTTCCAAGGTTTGAGACCAAATGATGATGTCATCCAGATATACATGGCATATCTTGCTGATGAGGTGTCTCAATGTGGTCATCATTTGTCACTGGTGTACTGCTGGCATGTTCCGTACCCCCATAGGCATGACTGTCCATTTGAACTTACCAAACAGTGTATGCACTGCCAGGTACTTCATGTTGGCTGGATGTACATGGGTCTGGAAGAACGTGTTAGTCATGTCTATTTTTCCGAAAAATTTGCCCTTAGCACAATCCTTCAGTATCTTGCTTGTTTGGTGATTGTCCAGTACTGCATTAAGGTTCAGATGTCAGAAATCGTTTACCCATCTTGGAAGGACATTCGGATCATGCTTTGGGATTATGAATGATGGTGATGACCATTCACTGTCAGAAGGACGCAGTCACCCACTATCCAGATGTGAGTCTAGTAATGTTTTCCAGGCCACTCAGTATTTCTTCGGGCAGTTGTAGGAATGTAGTTGAACTATTTTGTTAGCATCTTTTAGATTGATACAAAACAATACATCACTAGGCATTGTGTCATTGTGAGGAATGTCTGCAGGGAACCAATCTTCAAATTTGGTTTTCAACCTTCTGTTGTGCACCTTGAGCTGGTCTTGGTATATTAACTCATCTATGTGTGACTGTATTGCTGCTGCAATGTCCACGTCCTTGACCAGCTTGCATTCACCATCAACAATCATCTTTAGTTCTGGGAGTACACTTTTGAGTTCATTGATGACATCTTGCTTCATCCAAAACAGTTTAGGTCCTGTAGGCGAGATATGTTGCTTTGTCTGCAGTATTGATGCTTTTGGCTCTTGTAATAGATCTGTTAAGAACCATGTTGCTCAAGGGAGAGAGAGACTGACTCAGAGGGGCTTGGCCTCAGCTCATATGCTGTGCCCCTTACCTGAGTATGGGCCCTTCATTTCAGATAAGGTCTGATGATAGTCCGATGAAGTCTGGAGGACTTCTGGTGGCTGGCTACTCTGGTGGAGAGTACTAGAGGACTTCCAGAGGAGCGTGGGAGAGTTCCGGAGGAATGCAGGAAGTGCTCAGGAGAGTTCCCACTGTGAGGTAATACTTCTACAGGAAACAGGATGGAAGGATAGGAGGTCTGAAGGTCTGGAGGACAGGAGGACAGGAGGACAGGAGGATGGAGGACAGAAGGACAGGAGGATGGAGGATGGAGGACAGGAGGACAGGAGGACAGAGGACAGAAGGACAGGAGGAGATGGAGGACAGAAGGACAGGATGTCCAGAGGTACGAAGGACAGGATGTCCAGAGGTACGAAGGACAGGATGTCCAGAGGTACGAAGGACAGGATGTCCAGAGGTACGAAGGACAGGATGTCCAGAGGTACGAAGGACAGGATGTCCAGAGGTACGAAGGACAGGATGTCCAGAGGTACGAAGGACAGGATGTCCAGAGGTACGAAGGACAGGATGTCCAGAGGTACGAAGGACAGGATGTCCAGAGGTACGAAGGACAGGATGCCTGAAGGTACAGAGGGCAGGAGGATAGGACATCTGAGGGTTAGGAGGATGGAACGTCCAAAGGTATGAAGGGCAGAATGTCCAAAGGTATGGAGGGCAGAACGTCCAAAGGACAGGATGCCCAGAGGTACAAGGGACAGGAGGTCCAGAGGTCCAGAAGGAACAGGGGCTACATCAGACTTTGTCCAATGTAGAAACAAACAGAGGTAGACTACCCTAAGGTAGAGTTGGAGGGACAGGGATTGGACCTAAGTCCGGAAGGAGGGTAAGTGCCAGAAAGGCAGAGCTCTGGCCTAGGGAATCAATCCCTAGGCCTGATGAGTAGGACAGAACTTAGGTGAACCAAAGTCCAAGAGAGGATTGGGCAAGTCTAAGTTGATATTCAAACTAAGGAACTACAGGAGTATCTACAGGGGTTATATACTGAACAATATCTGAGGGGATCAATAAGCAAAGGAGCAAGGCTATGTATGAGCATGTGGAAACACATTAGTAAGTAAGATGGAACATAAGTAAATGAACTCGGAGATGAAGACTCATACAAGGATCAATAAGCAAGACAGAACAAGAGGTAACCGAAAGCCGGAAGGCAGAGAATGCCTAAATTGGGATAGGTGCAGGATATTGGACAGAGGGTGGGAATAGGTCTGGAGATCTGGGGATCCGGAAGACAAGGTAGATACAGGACTGGGATATGAGAAAGTGGATAGAGTCTGGAATCCGAGACAAGGTGAAGTCTGGATGTCTTGCTGGATGGAGTGTACATAGGGTGGATGGGACAGGGGGTTATGGTTCAGGCTAGCAGTGAAGATCCAATGGTCTGGAGCTCAGGGGTAAATCCAGAGCGTGGTTGATCCTGCTGAGGTGTGGAGCACACAGTGGAAGGGGATCTGGGAATGAGTTGGATATAAAGTGTAGTCCAGACATAGGCTCGGAAGGTGTGGGAGTATGATGGAACGTGGGTCTGGATTGTGGGATATGACAAGATCATAGTTAGTGTTCTTATCAATGCAGGTATGCAGCTCATGATCAATGACAATATGATTGTGCTTGAGAAAAGGACCACCAAGTAACAATGGTGTACACAGATTGGGTGTGACGATCACACATACACTTTGTGATGTATAAACCTGGTCAAGAGAAGTACATGAAACTTTAACATAATGTGAAAGGATAACAAAGTCTTTGTTTTGCAATAGTGTGAGCTTGATTGGCAAGGGTTTTTTCGAGTTTTCAGTGTCATAGGCCCAGCTTGTTAATGAGGTCTTCACCAATCAGAACTAAAGAAGAACCATGGTCAATAAGTGCATGCACGGAGACAGGAGAAGTGACTGCAGGTCTGTCAAGAAGACAATTCCAATGGAGATGGGGGGTCTGTAGTGGGGCCATGCACTCTTTGCCAGAGTCAGTATCATCACCTAGTACTGCTGACGGCATCACCACAGCAACCGTGTTGTTGTCTTCACCCTCAATGTCTACTGCTGCTACTACACCACCATTCTTCCTTGCCTTCTTTGTGGCCACCGTTGCTGCCATCAGAGCCTTGTAACTTGTGCCATCAGGAAAACCTTTCTGGCATGTGTCCAATGTATGCCCTGCAAACAGTTCATGGCACTTGAAGCACCCGTCATTATCGCGAAGCAGTTGTCATTCAACATCAGAGAGGGTGGGAAGATGAAGGAAGTTCTTATTGACCATCATTGATGAGCTGTTATTTCCTTTTTGCCCCAGGTGTATGTTCAGTGGGGTCTTCTTATCTGTCCCCAACCGAGCATGTTCAGCTCATAAGGCTGCATCTACTACTTCTTTTTATCATGCAAGGTAGCACAGATGCTTCTCATCCAGAAGGTGGACCTTCTTGATCCACTTACACAAGTCTTTTTCAGTGATACCTTCAGCATAATAATCAGCTGCAAGGTTGGTATTCATGTGGGATTCAAGGTGGGAGAGGAGGTTTTTGTCATCAAGGTGTGATGTCATGCCTCATAACCGCATATTCTGACTCTGGACTTCAATGGCCCACTCACTAAATGGGCACTGTGCTTGTACAGATGCTAGCATCTTGCGATGGACCACATCTACCCAGTCAGTTGGGAGCCAGTATGTCTGAATCTCCTTGACAAATTCTGCAAAGACGAGGGCATTGAACTTTGCTTGATTATTGAGGGTACCAGTCCTGTACAATGGGATCTTGCATGCCCCACACTATTTTCTTCACCCTTTCATTGTCTTTTACCTCTTTGTGCAGGAAGAATTCTGTACAACCATTTTCCCATGCACACAAGGCCTCAGGTGTGATCTGACCAGCAGTGAGGAAGGGCAGTTTGCTCGCTCAGGCTTGCTCTACATGTGCCACCTTCATTGTTGACATGTCTCATGGTGTGTTGTCTGACTCTGTTAACTCTGATACAGTGGATATATGTGTATGAGTTGGTGACAGTTGACATGTGGAATTCAGGAGTGGTTGTCCAACAGTGGCAGGATTAAGTGCAGTAAGTGCCTTATCATGACTTCATGTAATGATCATTGTGGGCAGGACAGTATGAGAATGGTGAGGCAGTTTGTCAGTAATAATCAGTGGGCTGATCTAAGCCAACACCTGGATGGCTGGTATGGTGGTAAAACAGCATGAGAGACAGGAATGACAACAGAAGACATAATATATATAGCTGTTAAGAACCATGTTGCTCAAGGGAGAGAGAGACTGACTCAGAGGGGCTTGGCCTCAGCTTGTACGCTGTGCCCCTTACCCGAGTATGTGCCCTTCATTTCATATGAGGTCCAATGATGGTCCGACAAAGTCCAGAGGACTTCCAGAGGAGCGCGGGAGAGTTCTGGAGGAACACAGGAAGTGCTCAGGAGAGTTCCCACTGCAAGGTAATACTTCTACAGGAAACAGGATGGAGGGATAGGAGGTCTGAAGGTCCGGAGGACAGGAGGACAGGAGGACAGGAGGACAGGAGGACAGGAGGACAGGAGGACAGGAGGACAGGAGGACAGGAGGACAGGAGGACAGGAGGACAGGAGGACAGGAGGACAGGAGGACAGGAGGACAGGAGGACAGGAGGACAGGAGGACAGGAGGACAGGAGGACAGGAGGACAGGAGGACAGGAGGGCAGGAGGACAGGAGGGCAGGAGGACAGGAGGACAGGAGGACAGGAGGACAGGAGGACAGGAGGACAGGAGGACAGGACAGGAGGACAGGAGGCAGGAGGACAGGAGGAGACAGGATGTCCAAAGGTGCAGAGGGCAGGATGTCCGAAGGTGCAGAGGGCAGGATGTCTGAAGGACAGGAGGATAGGATGTCCAAGGGTTAGGAGGACAGAACATCCGAAGGTACAGAGGGTGGAACATCCAAAGGAACAGGATGCCTGGAGGTATGAGGGACAGGAGGTCCGGAAGGAATAGGGGTTACATTGGACGAAGTCCGATGTAGAAACAAACAGAGGTAGACTACCCTAAGGTAGAGTCGGAGAGACAGGGATTGGACCTAAGTCCGGAAAGAGGGAAAGTGCTGGAAAGGTGGAGCTCCGGCCTAGGGAATCAATCCCTAGGCCTGATGGGTAGGACAGACTTAGGTGGACCAAAGTCCAAGAGAGGATTGGGCAAGTCTAAGTTGATATTCAAACTAAGGAACTACAGGAGTATCTACAGGGGTTATATACTGGAGAATATCTGAGGGGATCAATAAGCAAAGGAGCAGGGCTATGTACGAGCATGTGGAAACACATTAGTAAGTAAGATGGAACATAAGTAAATGAACTCAGAGATGAAGACTTGTACAAGGATCAATAAGCAAGACAGAAGAAGAGGTAACTGAAAGCCAGAAAGGTAGAGATGCCTAAATGGGGATAGGCACAGGATATTGGACAGAGGGTGGGAATAGGTCTGGAGATCTGGGGATCCGGAAGACAAGGTGGATACAGGACTGGAATACGAGAAGGTGGATATAGTCTGGAATCTGAGACGAGGTGAAGTCTGGATGTCTTGCTGGATGGAGTGTGCATAGGGTGGATGGGACAGGGGGGTATGGATCAGGCTAGCAGTGGAGATCTGATGGTCCGGAGCTCAGGGGTAAATCCAGAGCGTAGTCGATCCTGCTGAGGTGTGGAGCACAGTGGAAGGGGATCTGGGAATGAGCTGGATATGAAGTGGGGTCTGGATGTAGGCTCAGAAGGCGTGGGAATATGATGGAACATGGGTCTGGATTGTGGGATATGACAATAGCTATACGCTCAGCTGGACATTAAAAAAAAAGTGGAACATTGTCACATCGACGATGAACACTAACAAACAGACAATAACGTGGAAGAGTGTATGATTGACAAGGTGGTAAGAAGATAAGATACAAGTGAGTATGCGTCAAGCTATATATATGAGTAGACATGGATCAGTCCAAACACGGAACAAATAATATGTGGTGTCCAATCAGCACGTAAGCTGTCATGTGGTAAGTGCCAGGCTTACAATGTGCTGCACTGTATGATCCCACATCATGTGCACTTGAGCCTTCATGTTCAGCATCAATTATGGGCTATGTTCTGCTTGTGAATGAGATGGAGAATTGGGCTTAGTGGGCCAATGAGCTGCACGAGCCTGAGTAGCTTTGATATTGTTTTTTTTTTTTGGTCATTGTACCAGTGAAACATGGATTTTGAAAGGGCCAGTCACTCCATGTCATATGCAAATTATATTCTGTACTCAGATTGAAGCCTATGACAACAATATTGAAGCAGATTCTCCATCCTCTGCATTGATGTTGCAGCACACCATAGGGGTTACCATAATAGGCTAGAGGTTAGGGTTAGGGTTACAAACTTCGAGCCAATTTGGCCTCTGCACACAATTTGTGGTGCCTAAGTGATGTGCACCATAGCTGGTGCTTGTACAGGGTTGTACAAGCTCTACAGTCACACAAGGAAGTCCCTCCTTTACAGGTTTGTCACAAGGTCTCACAAGGTACACAAGCATTACAATCTGTGCCTTTGTACAGACAACACAGGCTATGTAGACAAGACATATTGTAAAGCTTATGTAGCTTGCTGTACACTACACAGGCTTGTAAGGGATGTATCAACTGTTCTGATTGTCACAAACTACACAATGATGAATGAGAGTATGCTAGATTATAAGATGACATTGACATCCTCCATATCACTGCCTCCCACATTGTCATCATCAAAATAACAGTCACCCATCCCAATCATAGCCCACTCCTCCAGCATCTCTTTAAGGTCCTTACCATGTTCAGGATTACCAATGAGGTTGTCTACTGACTCTTGCAATGAGTTGAAGTTGGCCCTACATTTATCTGTGGAGAGGTCAGGGACTTTGTCAGTGCTGGTCTCATGAAATCCAGTGATGACACCCTTTATCTGCTGACCCATCAGCGATGAAAAAAAATGGAAAAATTTCATGGTGTACCATCACAGCCACAAGAAGCAGCCCATTGACAGGTATTGAACATTGAAATTCTTCTGTGTTCTTGAGGGCCTTCTTGCTATTGCTGTAGTAGAATTCGAGGCAGCTATCCTTGAGAGCTTGTGAGACAAAATTCTTCTATCTGCCCTATAAAACTAATAGTAAGTGACCACCTTGGGAGGAGTAAAGAAGCAACAATACATCATATGAATCAGGAGTATGAAGATAATCACTGGTCTTTAGTAGCTTAGTGGCATTCACAGTGACACATTTTTGCATCTCCTTGCATGCCACAGTGCCCTTTGGGAAGATGCCATAGGATGTTTTCATGATGGATACAATGACTTTCTTCAGCTGTGTGCGGAATGTAAATAAGTCATCACAGAGCTGATGGTGAAATTATAAGCTCATTGTTCATCAATTAACAAAATTCTTACCAGCCATGCCATTTGTGTCTGGTACTGTGGAAAATAACCTAAAAACGAGATGAGGTTTGTGAAGGGGTTAGGCCATGTGAGGAATCTATTTACCATTATCCAATATAATCTTGTTCTTGTGGTATATTCACAATTCAATGTTGATGACTTCTTGGGCAAGTTGTAGTGCATCTCAATGCTCTGGAACAGGATGCATTAGAACAGCCTGTAAAAATGTTTGCCAAGCAGGTGGGTAGAAGCTGAGCCTTGTGGGGTCCTCTTGAGCTGTCCTGGTCTTTCATTTACTTCTGTATGAATCAGGTTTGTCAGGTGTAGCACTATGAGAGCATGAATGAACAGGTAATCTTGCATGATCTGACCAATAAGCAGGCTTTGACAAAGAGTGTCCTTGAGAGGAGAACCTGGAAGAGGTGCTTAGCTGAGATGGAGAGTGCCAATGAGGAGACTGCATGCAGGGGGGAGGATACTTAGATGCATATCTGCGAGGTGATACAGGATGCCAGACTGGAGACCTTGAACATGTGAGAGGAGAACACATGTGGGAGGAACACTTAGATGCATGTCTGCTCAGTGATGCAGAACACTGAACTGGAGACCTTGACTGTGTATAAGGAGAATGCATGTGAGAGGAAGCACACTCAGATGAGTGTCTACTCAGTGATGCAGAATGCTGAACTGGAGACCTTGAGCATATAGAAATGTTATGCAACAAGCACTCATGTCTGGAATGCCACACTAGAGCAGAAGACCCAGACACCACATGTTGAGGTGAGAGCTGATGAGGAGACTTGGAGCAGCCAGAAGCACATCTTCATTCAATAGGTTTTGCTTTCAATAGAAAACTTGGTGAAGGAGCCTTACGCCATCCATTCTTCACTTGATGATGCTCGAGCACATCAAAAACTTCCTAAAGAAAATATAATAAGGTGAATATCTAAGACAAAATTTAAAACACTTTCCTCTGTTTTGTCCTCAGCTTCATCATTAGAATCACCATCAAAGTCTTTCTCTGGAGTGTTGGACTGGTTATTAAAATCTTCATCATTACCTGGATTAAAATTGTCCAGACTAAAATTGTCAGGATTGAGATTGTCAGGATTAAGATCATCCTGAGTTCCATTTTCATGCTCATCACTTAAATTCCCTTCATGCTGGCCAAACATGGTGATATTGCTTGTGTCCTTTGGCATCTGTTGAACCCCATCCCTGCAGTGGGTACATGTGAAAACAGACAGACCAGATGGTAGCAGGAGACATACATTTGTTCATCATTGCTGTCAATTCTGCCCTGATCCCCATCATCATCACTGGTATCAGACTCTGCCACTTTACCTATAGCCTCCTCAAGAGTACAATTGCTGGACTGTGTTACCTTCTGGATGCTCTGACTGCTAGTGGATGCAGGCTTCTGAAACCCAAACCTGCCTGAAGAGAACATTTTGTGTGGGACTGGTCAGAGAGATGTGCCAGAGTGCTGGGCTTCTGAACTGACTTTATTGTTGGCTCCAACAGAACACTGAGTCTTAGTAGTAGCCTGGAAGAATATTAGCTTGCAACAGTTCATACTGAAACTTTGACTATGCACCATTGCATTTTTCTTCGATTTCTGGAGTTGGGAAGGAGCCATGGGATTGTCTTCTGCATCACTGATGTCAAGAGTGGTCTCTTTCCAAGTTTTCCTTGATGAAGCCACTAAAGTTTCACCAGTTTTTTGCAGCTGTGCTGTGTGCCCACCTTGGCCTTGAGTAGATCTTGCACTAGATTGAGTAGCCTCATTGACATTGTATGAATGCCTGGCATTCTTCCTTGGTGGCATCAAACAACAAGGAGAAAAAATTGAGGCTTGGTTGAACTTTCCTGTTGCTTCCCATTAGCACTAATAGTTATAGAGTGGTATTACATAAGCTGATATTTGTAAACTAATAGCATAAGCACTGTGTAAAAATACACAGCTCCAAATGTAATAAGCATGCGGGGTACAGCAAATTGACAACAATGAATAACATAACAAAAAACTTCAGGATTGTCACAAGGGCAAGTGAATACATAATTGTGAGGATGAGGATTGTGAGAATACAATACTAGTAGGTTTTAGAATGTTGAGAGTCCATAATGCCTCAAAGTGCCAGCACTCACAAAGAGCATTGCAGGACATGCATCAAAAGAAAGATCAGGATGCCTTCTCAGGACTGTTTTGTCTCTTTGCATTTATTTTGTTTGAAATGACAAGGTGACAAAGGTTCAGAAGGCCCTGTTAAGGGTGTCTGAGAAGAAACATCTAGTTGCTAGAATGAGGCAAAGGCTTGGAAGGCCCTGCTGAGGATATTGGAGGATGAGGGGCCAATGATGTACTAAGATGAGCAGAATGACAGGGTAATGGCTCAGATGGCCTGGGAGGAGGCTAAGCTGTGCAAGGCTGAGGATTCTGGGATACTGTTATAGAAGAACAAGGACTCTGGGGCCTTCCTGAGAAGGGCAGTTCTTCATCAAGAGATCACATATACTTATTGAGTACATTGAGGACTCCAGTGTGAGTCATCTCCACCTGGTTTTTGGGCACATTTGTGCAGTAAATTATGGAGCTCCATTCCTGGATGATGGGTCTGAATTCCATGAAGTATTCCAATGTCCTATTGACCAAGAATCTACCCTGCGTCAAGACCCTCATCTTTGTGAAACAAATTGTACTCAAAGCTAGATGGGTATCAACCTTGCCCAAAGCCTCATAGGTGCTTGCCCAAGGCAGAGCCAAGACCAGGTGGGTGCTAATTGCCCATGTGGCCCATCATACTTGGCAATGAATTTGAAAAAAATATAAAACAGTGACTTGAGGTCATTGCTGGGCTGGTGTGACAATCATGTTCAGGCTAGTGTGCTAGAACCCCATTCTGTGATCCCCAGCCAGTCCACATGTCTCCTACCCATCTCCGACATTTTCCTACTATCTTCACATCTCCGACACATCAGACCCGCTTGGAGATCCTGCGCACTCATCCTACCATGTCCAGTCCAGTCCTGCTTAACCCCACTGGTGCATAGTCAGTTATTTCCCATTACTGATTGAGTAGACAGTGTTATTACATGGATTCACACTGGCTGCAGTACCTCATGGCCTTTTACCTACATATTATTGGACCTGCATTTTTGCTACTGCTTTTGCCTATGGACTCTGGATTTTCATGTAGTTAGTTATATAGGGTTGGGCGACCAGAATTACAAGCACCACTTAGTAGGAGGGAGAAATCCCCAATACTGGTCACCCCATACCTGTCCTTAGAGTTACCCTTGCAATATACCTGTTTACCCACTCTCCTTGACCCAACATGATTGTCACTCATTCACTTGATCTTCCTTAACATCTCCAAGCTAGTCCTGATGCTTTCCCATCCTTTCCCTTACTCTCCTGCCATCTCCACACCTGCAGACCTGATTTCTCATGCATCAGACTTCATCCTATACCTTCAGACTTTTGACCCCTTGTGTATTACTGATTATTGAACTTGACTAGACAGCAGATCCCTCAGGTTGAACATTCTTGCTTGTAAGTGTAGCAGCTAGGCAGGATTAGTAGACATATATTGGCTAGGTATTTTAACAACTATCTAGCCAAGTTGTGTTATCCACACCAGTGTTCAATGAGTCCCATGTCAGCATTAATGTCTTGGCCACCCTCAATGCTGTTCACATGGTTCAGATGAGCATCCTGGTCTGTGACATTGGTATTGACCCCATGCAGGACTGAATCAAGCATAGCCTGAAGAATATGGATCAGAATGTAGGGCATGGTTCCCTGAAAGAACGAGATTAAGAGCTGCTAACCAGATTATATACTGAAACTTACTGTACCATGTGAATAAGTGCTACTTCTGCCTTCCACAAGGATTGAGGCATGATCAAAGTTGATAAAGTAGCCAATACCATTATGAATAACAAAGTTGTTGGGACTGAGGTCCCTGTGTAAGACTCACATCTTGATTATCATGCAATGAGCTGAAAATAATTAGTCAATGTGAACCAGCTCAATAAGAAGACTTACCAACTACAAAGGCACAAAAGGTGGTGAGCAGCTCCTGTCTAGAGCTGAATTTAGAGAGCAGTTGTCTGCAGGGAGACAAGAGAATACGATGATGGAATCTGTTGCAAAATGATGAGTCGTCCCAATTGTGTGTGTGATATTGACTGCGAATGCATGCTGTGCAGTCAGGCTCCCCATCATAATACACATCCCAATGGTCCCCGAGTTGGACAACATTGGGGATACCCTTGACCATCTCCAGGATGGTGGCTTCAAGCATCCTCTTCTCCATCACTCAACAGTCTTTTAAAGCATACTCCTTTCCACCCTTATTGATAACACGATAACAAACTGTCCCACAACAGAAGAGCCCATGGCTCTTCCACAGAACCTCCATGACAGAATATGTATTATTATGATTGTTATTCACCCAGCCCTTCACCCCATCTGCTAGATTTAAATGTGTCCCTATGCATGCAGCATTGCACATGTGAATGGTCAGATTGAAACCCATATGATAACTATCTAATCGTGTGAGGGTACCTAACATCTCTGTGAGTCATATAGGGCCAGTATTTTTGTGAATATGAAATGGATGTGATGTGATTAGACCAGAACAGTCAAAGTAATGTGCGCAAAGCTAATTTGCACAAATCAAAAAGCCAATGACAAATCAACACCACAGTTGTTCTCTCAGAATGAGGTAGGCTTTAGTCATAGAGCCCCAGAACACTGCTATGTCTCACTTTTTGGCTAGATCACTGGAGGTGTGCTCCACAAAGGATAGGACATCTGCCTATGTTTTCTTCGTGTCCTTTAGTGCAAAGTCAAAAGTACCAAGATCCCCTAGAGTCCAGGATGTTGAAGGGGAGGTGAGTTTTCAGTGTGTGACATAGATAATACTGGATGGTATAGAAGAGGTGTTGGAATTCTTTTTTAGTTGTAATGCGCTCCTGCCTGCATCTTTTCTTCAATCCAGGCTGATACTCTTGGGAGCCCCATGTTTCTTGTTCAGATTGGCCAGGGACCATGGATTCAAAAGAAGCCCCCATCACTGTACCCTCGACCTCTGTGTCATTAACATCTGTACCATCATCCTCTGGACAATTATCCTCTGCACTGTTGTCCTCTGATTCAGTAACAGGTGTTGCACTATGAGTATGCTTGGCTTGTTTCTTCCTGTGGTGAAATTTCCATTCACCTCTGGAGTATGCAGGTGGTCCAGTTTTGTCATATTGGATTGTTTTGATATCCTGTAACTAAAGAGTAGTTTTAGGAATGAGTTGATGGAATATGGAGTTGCACAATGGTATTCTAATGCCCTTCCCAGTGCCTTCATGAATCAGGTGATTTTTAAGCTCATGCTTGAGGAGAGCTTGTATGGTGTCTAAGGTGCATGCTCCAGAAGGGATACTGACAGAGCTGATCATTGCACATAGCAATAAATTGTCAATATCAGATTGCTGGGATAGCAGGGATGACTGCATGTTAGCAGTTTGTTGAGTAGTCACATTCAATGTTGGTCAAGCATGTTTCCACCACTTATTTGCCCATGTATTCCCTTATCTTAGATAGGCATATGTATCAGGATTATCGGAAAACATATCTGAGCACTGTATTTTACATGCTTATCTATCCTAGTGTGAAGCATAATACAGTGCATCATAAAGCTATTTGTTGAAGTACTTGTTTAAAAAAAATGATGAGAAATAATGCATGGAAGTCACCTTTGTCAACCGCACATCCACTACAGCCCCCAGCTCAGGTATTATACTAAGGAAAGCACATATTTGCCAGAGAGGAACAATGTCACCAACTAGAGTACCATCAGAATGCTTAGAACACCTTAATGTATGCATCCCAGTGACAGGATGAACTGTCCCAACCTTCAGGTTATGCACATAGCATAGGCACTGATCTTGCCAAGTGACATGAAAACCTCATTGGGCCATTGGGTGAGTGATAAGCTGGATCTCACAGACAGTGTGCCCTTCCAAGAAGTTGCACTTCAGCCAGCTTGATAGGGGTAGAAAAGGACTCACCATTTAATCCTGACTGAGGTCATTCATACTCTTTGTCAATGTTAATAAGCACAGCATATTGCCAGCCTTTCGGCCACTCAGGACACAGCAGAGAGGCATGCAAGGTCTGTGCTAGTAAGACAACACTAGAATTGTGAATGGAAACTTCCTGCAAGTGAACCATGTGCCAAACTTGAACATGGTCAAAAGGCAGAGTAGAAGGATGGTCAATCAGTGATCTTCTTGAAATCCTGACACCATGAATTGTATCTCTGTTTCTCACATCATGTTGCAAGAAGCATGAAAGAGCATGGTAGAGATCTGGTATGCTGAACTCATCTGTGATGTTGTCAATTTTCATTCCAGTGTGAGCTGGATCATAGTTGAGATGAATAGCAGTATTACCAGCAATAAATGTTCAAGGAGGATAGGGGCTAGGTCTGCAAGATATAGTAAGTGCCATCTTAGCTTTGCTGAAGTAGTTAGTGGTGATATAGGTGTGGTTGAACTCCTCTAAAAGCACAGTTCGTGAATCAGTAGAAAGTTCTTTGTGCTCATTGATGTCTTCATCATCTCCCTTGTCCTCAGATGATTTCTCAATACCTGGATCAAGAACATGACTCTTCAAAGTCATAGCAATTGCAAACTGCTGCAGCTTCTTTTGCTGATCCAAATGATGGCAAATCTGAGGGTCATAATCATTGTTATTAGTTCGTCGTGCAGGGTCCTTGATTTTGGACACATGTGTGTGTTCAGTGGCATTTGCAGACCTCTGGATGAGGGCCCAAACCTTACATGTGCTGGCAGTAATGCTCTGCATCAGCTCCAACTTAGGTATAAAAAACCAATTGTCAATTGGCTTTTTCATACCCATCTGTGTGCCCAATGTCATGATAGCATCCTTATTTGTATGAAAGGTCAAGAGGGATTTGTTGATTGATGCTAATAAATTCTTATCCAGAGAAGGGGATTGTGCCATGTAGCAGACATCCATAAGGGCACAAATCAACAAGGGGCTGCACCAACAGTAAGACCAACAATGTAATGTTGTATATTGTGGTGGACTCTGCCCATGACTTGCTTGAGTTGTGATATTCTGCCAGAGTAGTGATGATAGCCTGTGATTGACTGCAGAATTGAGAACTGAAAATCGAGTTCCTGCACTCCAACAGCCACAATACACCATTGGCAGTCATGGTCAAATAATTCCTTGTGCCAGTGATGCAGGGCCTCTGGAATCAGAAAGACTGAGGGACAGGCAGATGACCAATCTTGCCAGAAGGGCTTATCGACACCATTTAGATAGTATGCAGTGCATGCATCAAAATAACCTTCAAGGTCATTTGGATCAACTTGTATGTTGGCAAGCTGGTTGAGAGTGATAGAGTGTGTGCATTCAGGATGATGAAAGTTGTTGCCAAACTCCAGATATGACACCATCATGAATGGGGAGGTCTTTCCATGCACATATGCAAGCATACATGCCTCCAGGGTATCAACAATGTATGCTGCAAGGGGCATAAAGCAATGTCATATATGTCCAACAGGATCCAACATCATTATTCAAATTTGAGCCATGATCATCAAGGGCTTTTAGATGAAGGAAAGGCACTGGTGTATGAGGCAGTCTTTGAGAATACCACACATCCATTTATTAGGGTGTAGGTATTGCAGGATAGGGAGGAGTGCTATGAGCAGGAATGCCCTGGATGACAGTTTCATATGAGTATGCATGTGTATATTAGCGAGGCCAAGAAGAAGTGGATGAGCTACCCTTGCCCCAGTCATAGTTGTGATATTCACTTTGTCAGAGGAAAGAATAGTGCCAAGAATTGTAGCACCTCTGGGCACTTGACTCTGCAGGGCCTATGTGAGGCACCACACATTTTTGGGCTTGAGTATATGTACCTGGAACTCCCAAGCAGAGTCACCCATCAGCCATTCTGAATAAACATGTATAAGCCATGCTGCAGTTGTGTACACACAACAAGGGACAAAATCAAGCTTGTCATGGAAAAGAGGGTTGCTGAAGAGAGTCTCTAAGCATTCAACCAGATCCCTCCAGAAAAGTTGGATTGGGTTTTTTGTACGATAGAATGATTTGAGTATTTGACACTTCCAGCTCAGTCCCTTGGGTAACATCTCAGCTCAGCCTCACAACTCATTGGCGGTACTGAATGACAGGTTTAATTTATGGATCTGTTAAGCAACAACACAATCAGTAAGAGTGCAAGAAGGATAATAGGCCCCAGAATTGTGAGTTTATAATGCCTGAAAGTGCTAGCACTTGCAAAGACTCAAAGTACTTACCATTGGGAGCGCCAGAAATTCATTGATTGCAGCCATGCTAGGGGAAGAATGAAGAAGAAAATCAGCAACTTCCCATTCTTCTTTTGATGCAAATGGGTAGAATAAGTTGTCCTTTCTGTATTCTGCATACTCATCCACATCAAAAAGATCCAAGAATGTTAAGCCATCCTGAGAGTAACTTGTTCCAGCACCTTGGAACCACTCCTCCTTGCTCATGACCTCCTCTCCTTCCATCTCAAAGAAGTCTCTGTTGATGTCTGTATGGAGACCAGTATCAAAATGCAAAGACCTGTCGTGATGGCAGGCATCCAAATTTATGCTACTAAGACAGGGAGGATCTGGATCTGGGGATCACTGTGATAGTAGAACTGACTCCATAAACTGGGAGATGTTGACCATATCATGAATGGAACTATGACAAGATAACTGAGGTTGACTGAGGTGGCGAGTGATGCTGGATTCTTTGCTGGATATCTTGCCACATTTTGGACATGCTATTGACAATGACATAGTGAAATGATGGGTGACAAGTCATGCACCACTTATTACTATTGGCAATCTTTGCTCATACACTCATCATACTAGAATTTACATACATGATACATAGTATGGAGGATTCTGTAGCTTCTTCTCCTTGCAGTTCCATAGCTCTGTCTTTGTCTCACAGTTTTTCTTTTGCTTCCTCTACTCCTTGGTCCCCATGCTCATACAGGTGCTTCAACTGTCACCTTCAAAGACCCTATGATGTCCCATCATCTGAGCACTACACAGACAGTGTCTCTTCTCACAACAGGCGAAATCACTTATCTTCTCAACTGGGATCATGCTTTGTTAAGGAGGAACATAGCTCACCCAAAGGGCCAGTACTATTTGTGAGTTCATGTGCCATTGAGATCCTTATGTTCTGACCTTGATTGTTCTTATTCGTTACACCAAGGACTTCGACTTCCAACTGTTAAACCAAGCGGATAATCATGACAACTCTGACCTTGCACTTGAGGCAGCCAAAGCAAAATGCAGGGTTTGTCAAGCTCCAAAAAAGTTAGCAGATAGCATTCTGGAGCACCATATGCTACTTATTAGCCTCCATCACTGTCACATAGAAGCTGCAAACATGCATTTGTTGACAGCTAACCTCAATGTGGGATGCATGCACATTGAACAGAAGAGAAATGGTGTTGCAATGTTTATTGGCTCTACCACTGGCAGCAGAGTCAGGGTTGGCAGTGCAAGTATGGTGCACTAGTTTTTTTCTGAGTATGTATGTACTGAGAACTCTATAGCTAACTTGAGGGTCGAATCTGAGACTTGAATATATACTGTTTATAGTGTTTATTAAATGTCAATACATGCTTGTATAGCCTGTATGACCTGTAGCGCTTGTATCACCTGTACAATCTGTAGCACTTGTGGCCTTGTTTGCTCTTGTAGCCTTGTACCAAATTATCACCAAATATTGATTTGCTTGTGAAACCTTGTGGGGCCTGTGGGAACCTGTTCTTAGTGTGAGACCTGTGATGAAATTGGCAGTTTGCTGATGTGTGTTTTATTCATGAGCTTGCACATTTTATTTATGACTTCCTGCCTGTGTGTCCATGAAGAGCTTTGTCTGCACTGTGACACTGGCAATGACTCAACACCACATTTTTCACAAATATGATGAGTCCATCATGGATAAAGTCTAGCAGTACTAAACACAAGTAAAACTATGGCTCAAAAATTAACTTTTCGACTAGAAAGTGACAAGTTTCAGAAACAAAATGTTCAGTGTGATGAGACACAGTTCCTTGATCCAGGATCTTCAACATTGGTTCTTTGCAATCCTCATTAACCTGTCTGAATGTCAGTTCCTTGAAGCACTTGAGGGTATCATTATATGGTAGTGGATTCCTGCCATCAAGAAGGAACCAGCCCATTTCATTCCACAAAATAGCATGCCAATTCTCACTACATCAGTAAAATTACACGCCTCTTAATTTAACTTAATGAGCTTATTTTAATAGCTAAGACAAAATAAGACAGTCTTATGCTAATACAAGTGTCTCAATCAAAGCATCTGGTCTTGAGATGACACACAACTTAATAGCACTTAATTTTAGTAAAATAAGACAAATAAGCTCCAAGTTCAGCAAGACTAAAAAGATGCAATAAGAGGCAAATAAGTATGAACTGTGAAAGTAAGACATCAATAGACATAGTAAGAAGGATCAATCATTAATGGGTGAATATGGGTGGTTATGGCAAGGAGCCTGGAATGCAGTAGATAGTGGCAGCCAGTCCAAACAAGCAAATGTGGTATGGAATACTATACCCATCGTGAATGAACACATATTAAAGGTGAGAGTAAAGGAAACTTACCTTTAATGGAATGCAAACAGGTCAGCAAATCCATTGTCCTCATCAGGCACAACATCCTCGAGCTCCCAGTACTTCTTAGATACTTGGCATACTGCTGTGCCTCTTGCACTATGCTCACAAAGTCCTCATCAGGAAGCACTATGATGAGCTGCATGAATTTCTGGGTCATAGGCCCCCAGACAAGTTTGCTAAAGGTGAATTGCTCGCCCTTCTTGATGATGGGTGTCCAAATATCTGCATCACCTGTCTTTGTAGCTTTGGTGCATTTGCTGCAGGTTTCTGAAATGATTTTGAAGGTGATTTTCCCATCTATGACTAGCTGAAGAATACAGCACACCTGTGAGAATATAAAGAACACTAATACAACAGAAATAAAACATGACTCACTGCAGTGACAGCAAGGGTAAAGGTGGCCCATGCACCAATTGCTTTGGTGTCAAGATTAGGAATTCTGACATGGTTGTAGGTGAAATTGAGGTGGGATGCAAAGGTCTGGAGTGTGAAGGAGACCCTCCACATGCCTGTCCAAGCCTTTGAATGGATAATTAAAATTGATGTTAAATAGTAATGAATGATGCTACTTACCTTGGGAGTGAGCCCAGCATTATCCCTGAATATAAGCTGGTTTTGCTTCAGCATGGCTCATGAAAATTCCTTGTGAGCCTCTGGATCCAGGAAATCAGTGTCCTGTGCATAAAAAAATCAAAAAAAAAATGCTGTAAGAATAGAACAAGTGGCAATGCCAAACCCTCCATGCCATTCCATAAGGCATTGTTTGGCCTTCAAACTTCAGTAGACTCAAACAATATGAGAAAGATAGACTTACTACTTTCAAAACAGTGCCAGAACTGGAGATTTCATGCTCAATCCTATCCTTGTATATATGGTCCCAGATATCTTGCATGACATCCCTTGATTCATGGTCATCAGGGTCCCACAGCTCAACATCTCCACCAGCCCAGTGTGCAACTGTGAGTATGAATACCTGACACCAGGTGTTATTGTGCTGACAGCCATCCAGAAGATCATTGTTCTGGTACCAATGATTAGTGCTGCTGCCATCATGGTGAGATGTAACACTTGTGGTGTGTGATTCTGTCTTTGCTCATTTTGAAGCAGGTGCATGATTGCTATTGATACCAACATTGGTCTAAATTTTGCAAAAAAAAAAGTCAGACAGGTATGTATTGTGAAAAAGTGACAACTCACTGAAGTGGTGAGGTGTTTGGTGCCTTTTCCCACTACAGGCACAGAGGGTGCTTCATCCTCAGCCTCCTCAGTATCACCAAGCTCATAAAGTTCCATAGATAGATCCAACATGAGCTCAGAATGGCATGGAATCCTGGCAGTTGCCCTTGATGGTTGAGTACAAGGAGGAGGGGAAGACAATGATTCAGTCCTTGCCATTTGTTGGGATGGTGCACACACTGGGCATGAGGTATGCGGAGATGATAAGCTATTGTGTCATATGCCATTCTGGACTCTCAACTCTAAATCTGCTTCTCCAGATATCTGGATCCAAGATCTGGATCTCAAATGATCTGATCTATCTTTGTCTTCCTTCTGGAATCCAAACCCTATATCAGCACCCAACCCCATTTAGACTTCCCCTGTCTCTGGACTCCGGTTAACCATGTTTCCCTTCTGATTATTGATCCATTACATACATTTCATTTCCAGTGTTCATTATTTGTGATCTGTCCTACTTACTAATAGACTTTGCATATGCTTCGTACATAGCCTTTATGTTTGCTGACTGATTCCTATATGATACCTACAGTATATAAACCTCCTGTAACTCTTGGAAATACTCCAGTTCGAATATCATCTTAGTTCCTGCTCATTCCTGTGTCCTCCAGACTCGAGATAAGTCTCTTGTCATATTCTGAGTCTTAGGATTGCATCCTTGACTACATTTCCAACTCTACCTTAAAGGTAGTCTATCCTCTGTTAGTTTCTAGTCCAGACTTTGTCTGGATTAGTCTTATCCGCTTGCCCAGGTAACATCCAGATGTCCATCGGATTTATCTCACATTTCAGATCTGGACATCCATTGTCCGCCCTAGTCAAATCCTGGAAACTCCGGACAACTGTTCTAGCCCCCGGAAATTAAGGGCACATACTTGGGAAAGGGGCACAGCGTACAAGCTGAGGCCAAGCCCTTGTGATCCAACCCCCTTGAGCACGCAACCTTAACATATTGACTTTAACCACATCCTCAGGTAAGAGTGAGCATCATGTAAATGAAAAAAAAAAATATAGGACTTACTGAAGTCATGCATCTAGCACTATCACCAGCCTGAGTCTTTTTATTGGCATTGTAAGCAGCCTCATGCTCAAGTGAATCATTGTCATCCAGTAATGATTGGTCTGACTCTTTGACACTGTGTGCAGGAGTAGGGGGAAGACCAGGATTGGTGCTGGCTGAACTCTGATTTGTGATCTTTGACACAGCAGTTGATGTAGTAAGTGAGGAAACATGGATGTGTGTTGCTGTTTGAATGCTGTAAGAAACAGAAGGCCTGAGTAACTTGCTAGTTGCAAGTTTCTTGGCCTAATCCTTTGTCTTTCCAATGCCTGCATAGTTGTCCTTTTCCATACTGACATCAGCCATACTAAATTGATCAAGGATATCAAGGTGAAAGATAGTTGTTTCAGTCAGTAATAACATGGTAGTTGGGAACAATATTGACGCACACTCCTTTCTTCTTTTTCTGGTCACCTATTGACATAACACATGCCTCAACATCTCTCTGATTCTTCTTTTGATTGATGCCAGCTGCATTATCAATGAGGTGTGCGACCTGGACAGCTTTGCATTGTGCCATTTCTGCACACACTTCCTCCTTGGCTGTACCTCTGCAAGTTCCTCATTGCTGGACATAATGTGGTCAGTCTCAGCATCATTATGGTGAGCCTGTACTTCTTCAGGATTGCCCTCCACTGGCTGAATGTCATCTTCATCTACAGTATCCATCATTTCAACATCCTCCTCAGCTATACCAACCAGTTTCTTTACCTTCAACACAGGTCATACCTGAGGCCTTGGCCTTGGTGGATCCATTATGATTTTGAGGTTGTTCAAGGCCCTCTGATCCTCAATAGCAGCAATACACTCAGCATTATGCTAAGCTGCAGCTTCCTGTTCTTGCTGCTAGCGCTCAATGCAGTCATTGTCTTCCTGGATTTGATGAGCAGTATGTCTTTTCTGTTTTGTTTTGAGAACATTTTCACCAGGATGTTGATTTGCATTTTTAGGATGAGTGTTTGGCCGTGTCATTCTTGGAAAAGGCTTGGTTGTTGGTGGATGTAAAAATTTCACTGAGGGTAGGGAGGTTGAGAAGGACTTTGAAAGAGTTACATGTTGCTTGCACCTGTTCCATGTATGTAGTATATTATGATTCACTCTAGTCTGACAGGTTTGCTAATACTTGCTATTTTTTAGTCCTTTCAAGTTGCAAAGGTCTGCTCAACATGCCTGAAGACCACAATGTCCCTCAAACACAGCTCAAATGACAGGCATTTAGTGCCCAATGTATTCAGTGTCCATACCCTGGGTGCAAACACTGGTTGAAAAATACCACTGGGCTAAAATCCTACCAAAGTGTGATGCACAGCTATTCATTTACTCACTCTGGTCAAGCACTACATTCATGATGTGCTTCCATTCAAGAGGTTGAAGACAAAGAGGCCCCAAGACTCACAAAGGACAAGGAGCACTGGGAGTTCAGGCATAGACTTGTTCGAGACTACCATAAGGCACTGACCAGTAAGTACAATAATCCTGCTACAGGTGATAGTCATTTTCAATAGAAAATCACACCTACAGGTCGAATTTGTGATGAGAACAGCAACTTTCTCAATCCTGGCACTCCTCTCACACCATACACTATGAAAAGTCCTGGTGACTGGACTCCATACTGCAACCAGCTAGAATTTGAGGCTGCTGAGTTCCTGTACACCAAAAACCAGATGTCAGCCCACCAAATCAACAAGATCCTCTACTACTGGGGTATCACGCTTGCTGTCCATCATGACAATCCACCATTCACTGACCACAAAGACTTATATGACACTATTGATGCAACACCATTAGGTGACATTGCATGGCAAAGCTTCTCCCTCGAGTTCAGTGGTGAGAAACCTGCAGAAGACTGTCCACTTTGGATGCAATAGTCATATGATGTTTGGTTCTGGGACCCTCATGCCATTGTGCAGAACATGCTTGCCAATTCAGACTATGTAGGCCAAATTGATTATACATCATATCATGAATTTCAGGAGAAGGATGAGAAATGCCACTATAAAGACTTTATGTCAGGAGACTGGTCCTGGCTTCAATCAGTATGTACATATCCCTTACTCATATGATTTTGCACTAATGTTGATACAGGACAAAATCACACAAGACCTGCAAACACATGGTACAGCCTTTGTTCCCATCATCCTAGGTAGTGACAAGACAATGGTGTCTGTTTCCACAGGTCAAAATGACTACTATCCACTCTATATCTCAATTGGGAATTTTCACAACAATGTTTGGTGTGTGCATCACAATGCCTTGGTTCTGGTTGGATTTATGGCAATCCCCAAGAGTACATACTAGCTGTTTTTTTCATTCTTTACTTTGAAGCTTACTTTTTGCAGCAAACAAAAAGGTGTCAATGATCCTGCATTCTGCAAGTTCAAGAAGCAGATGTTTCACTCCTCACTCTCAAAAATCCTCACCAATCTCAAATCTGGAATGACAACTCTGGAAGTTACATGGTGTGGTGACTGCCACTATTGCTGTGTTATTTATGTTACAGTACCCTATTCTTTTTCTCACCATCACTGCAGACACCTTATGGCTGTACTTCTAACACTTCCTTTTCACCTTGCTGTTTCCTCATGATCTCTCTTATCTCTGACTCATACCTTGTTTTCCCATGAAACCTTTCTTTCTTAGTACTTGTTAACCTTCACCCAGCTGGTCTGTGCATGATTCCTTTACGTATATAAACCCTAGTTACTGCTTGTATTCTCTTTAACTTGAATCTACTTGGTTCTCCTTGATACTTGAACTCTAGCTCCTTGGGAAGGAGGCTAGCCATTGTCCCATTTGAACTCTAGATCCTGTGGGAGTCTAGATGATTGCTCCTGAGGGAGGCATTGACCTGACAAGGTCTTATCCTTAATTGACCCTGATCCTGATTCCTTTATTGGAACGACACTTTATCCAAGTTCATAACAATTTATGGACTGGGACCCTACATTGTAGACTATGAAGAGCAAGTGGTACTGGCAGGTATTGTCAAAAATTGGTGCAGAAGGTAAGATCTTCTTGTCTATCTCCACCTCATGTCAAGATGTCCATGAAACTTGACATCTGAATAGTGCAGTCTCCAAGTAATGACTATGTGGGCATGGTGTCTCATTCATTGGTGACATGTCTATGAAACTTGACATTTGAATAGTGTGGTCTCCTCCACTTTCATGTACATTGCTGTCATCTCCTTTATACATGGTCCCACTATTTACTTTGACAGATGTCTCGCATTTCCTACATGTCTTGATGATGGAGGTGTTTCTTGATCATGTGAGCATACTGATGCCCTTGTATATTCAGTTAGTTTTGGTGTACTCTGGGATGAGTAAGGTATTATTGGCAAGCTAGTGGTATGTCTTCCCTTGCATGTTAATCATGTATTGTGTCACTAGCCATTGCACTGCATAGCCCTTCACAAATGACTTTTCTCATGCCAACATCCACCAGCTCCTTGCTCCTGACTTGCTGCATCAACTAATTAAAGGCACATTCAAGGACCACCTGGTTGAATGGGTGGGTAAATATCTCAAACATGAGTATGGAAAAGCAGGAGCAGCAGAGATTATGGATGATATTGATAGAAGGTAATTGTGCTTTCTCCCATCTTCTTACAGTGAGAACTGACAACATACTAGAATTTCTGTTGTACCCTTGTTCCCTAGTCTATGGTGTTTTCCCCAAGGGTGTGGATTCTCACAATGGACAGGTGACAACTCAAAAGCATTAATGAAGGTAAGCCCCATGCTTGTATTATTTTGTGTACAATTATGCAACTATCTACTAGGTCTATCTTTCAGCAATCAAAGGCCATGTACCAGATGATGTAATTTGAGTGTTTTGAGCATTTCTGGAATTTTGCTACATTGTTCACACCAATATCATCACAGATGATACTCTCACAGAGCTCAGGGATGCCCTCAAGTGCTTCCATAGATACTGCATCATTTTCCAGACTATTGGTGTCCACTTTAACATTTCCCTGCTCTGACAACACTTCCTTGTTTACTATGAGATTCTCATCCAATTGTTTGGTGCCCCAAATGGGCTTTGTTCATCCATCACCAAATCCAAATATATCAAGGCAGTAAAGAAATCATGGCAACACTCAAGCAAGCACAAGGCACTCAGTCAGATGCTCCTTACCAATCAGTGCCTGGACAAAATTGCAGCAGCTGTTACAGTCAATGTATGCCCCTATTCATTTTTCTCTTACTCTTACACTGTATTACATCATGTGCCACTAGACTTATCTCTGGACTTGTCTTATCTCTGACTCACACTTGTATTATGCCACGATCACTATCGCTGTCACTAGGTGTCTATTCTTGTTATCTCTGACTCGTCCTTGATCTCCAGTGAGAATTGGACCTACTGGAATCAACCAAGGTGTACTGAAAAGGTGTTGCTAGATTTCCATAGTTGTTGGTAGCCAAATGAAACACACAGTACATTTTGTTACTACCTTAATCTACTAGGATGATCTGAGTTCACATTACTTTGCTGTACCTAGATTTCAGTAGATGAACTAATCATTCTCCTCTCACTGACCAGATATACTGAAAACTATGCATTTCAACAAGAGCAGGTACATGTGAAAACAATGCAATATGGATCCAAAAGAAACACGCTTCCCCTCCTGCTACCTGGCTGCACTCCTACTATACCAGCTAGTAGATACACCCACCCAACAACTTTGTGATGTTCATAGCATTGCAATGCGTCCACATCCCATCTGCAATCTACCAGAGGAGCAAGTTAGCATATAGAGTGTAAGATAATCTAGTACTCACCAATTGTGCACACTCTGCACCATATTTCTGACAGTATTTGTTAGCATCAAGTCAGTAATGTTTTTGAAAACATACCAATATCTGTTCAGCACTCAAGCAGTCCTGAATTCTGCAGAAGAGCCTGACAGATTTGTTTGCTTCAACCACCAATGTGCACAAAGGTTCCTGTCAAGCTGGTTAGAAATGTTTGAGTCGAGTTGGAATAAACACTAGAGCTAGGACATACCTGCCGTTCTTCATGTTACCTGGCCACATCTTCTTTACAATCATGGGTCCTGATGATGCCACAGGCTTCAGCTCACTGGAGCCCAAGTTTGATGCAGGTATGGCAGAGGGGATGGTAGTAGGAGGATCTGAGACAGCCATAGTAGAAACTGCCAAAATCATCATCAGAGTTGCATTACTATTCATGAATGCTGCACTATACAAAACAATCATCAGACACAGGAACCCAGTAGTAAAAAAGCATACAGAGGATTCTTCATAACAATCCTCGCTGTGTGCTTTGCATTGGGAATGGCATTGGGAATGGTAGAGTCAGGAATGGTAGAGTCAGGAATGGTATTGGGGATGGTACCTGGTGCAGTAGACATGCATGCTGCAGGAGAGTCATTGTCAGATGTGTTTGTGAATATGAGAGTAGCTTTATTGGATGAGTTTGCAACTGTGGGAATGCCATCATTGGATGCATTTGTACAGTGGCTCAAAAAACTGTCCACATGTTTTTGCATTTTTTACTATTTACAATATTGTGTGAGAATACATAAAGACCTCAGTGACTATCACACATAAACAGAGATGACTAACCTTTGCCTTAGCCCATCAGAATTGGATTACATGGACTGGAAGCATGTTATATGATCATATAAGACCACAATAAATAGGATTGGGTCAGATGGCAAGGTATATATGTGAAAAAAGAAGGGTGCTAGTCCTCTCTGCATATGTGTGATAGAGAGGAGAGCCATTTCTTCCTTGTTACTGACCTGAGATGAGCTGTCTTGAGAATGTTTCTCACAGTGTGTGAAGAGACAGGGAATGTGATGGTGGAATTGATGTAATAGGTGACCTGGACAGCATTATCAGCCTTTCCTGTAGTGATATGTTGAATAATAGCCCTCCTATCAGTAGAGGTGAGCTTGGATGGATGCCCTTCACAGAAGTTTTCCTTGTCTGTGTGACTTTCTTTGATGAACTTGGCCACAGTGGACTTGGATACTCCAGTTCTAGAGGAAATTTGACAAGCAGAGAGGCCAGAATAGGAAAGAGAGAGAATATTATCCCTTTGAGCAGGGGGGGTGGCTTTCATGGTGAATATAACCATGACATATGGAAATTTTTGGTTTGTATAGTTAGATATGGTTTTAAAATGACATAATGACACCACTTTATAATTTATTTAATGGTGGCATGATTGTTATGGTGTCATAAATGATGATTTATATAGTTTTAATATGTGCTCAAAAAACTGTCCATATGAGTCATGATTTTGTAAGCCTTGTATCTCCACCATATCTCCTCTGATTCTCACGATGTGGTGCTCAATCCAAAGCCCTGAAGCAGCACCACAATATGGTATCAGCATGTCACTGAGGTCTTTATGTATTCTCACACAATATTGTAAATAGTAAAAAATGCAAAAACATGTGGACAGTTTTTTGAGCCACTGTAAGTATAGAAATGTCCTTGGATATGTTCATGCTAATGGAAGTGTTGGAGCTGGAAGTGTTTGTGGTAGTGGATGGGTCTGTGTCTGATGTGCTTGTGCTTGCAGGATATTCAGAGGGCATGGATGCAGTGGTATCATGGGGGGATGAAGTTGATGTCTCATAGTCTATCAAGTTGCCACTGATAGTGGGTGACAATACAATGCTGCCATCAGAGTCATCAGAGTCATCAGAGTTGCCAACCCTGAGCCTCTTCATGGCATGTTCAGAATCATCATTGGAGATTTTTACTTTCAACAACTTGCGTTTCTTGCATGACAAATTGTCCAATTTAGCCTCCAATTGAATCCCCTTAGAGTCAGTCAAATATGACTGCTTCCAAGACAAATAATGTGCCATAGCCAATGTGTTAATCTTCCAATAGTGTTTGCAGAATCCCACCTCAGGATGTGCCTTCACCATCTCTGCAATGAACTCATTCTTAACAGCAGAGCTCGCTGAAGGTTCAACAACTCTGCTGGGCTGCAGAGCTAAAGAAAGACAGAGGGCTCTCACCCTGGGGTGAGAGGAAGGCCTACTGACTCTCTAGATGTTGGTCGAAGTGCACCAGGCAATATGTTCGACCCTTAAGGGAAGCAAAGAAAGCAAGATCCACTGGGTGATGCCAGATCAACTCTGGTGAAGTGCGCTGAAAGCATGTGCATGGGAATGTCGAGCGCGTAGGTGCGCGAAGCGTGGGAATAGGGTGCACACAATGCGCAAATGTGTAAAAGACTGGTAGAAGGCATGAAGGCGTGAACTAAGACTGAAGATGAAGAGACTGAGCTGAGGACTAGGGCGACGACTCTGATAGATGCTAACTCATGATGGATTCTAACTGCTAGATGACTACTGGATGGTGGCTGCTATATTCTGTGGTGGTGGTAGGTGTCTCCCAACTTCCTAGGCCACAGGTAAGCTGTGCCTAGGTGCGCTCCCAGGGCTTGGAAGCAAATAGGGAGTGCTCTAAGTATGTAAGTAAGGGTCCATGACGAAATAATGTCATACTAATACTAAATATGGCCTGATAATGAGAATAAACAAGAAAGGACTCACTAGGGAACTGGTTGGATGATGGATGGATGCTCTGGGATGCTGCGCAACAAAGTGCGACCAAGCATGGGAAGAGTGTGCTAAGCGCATGCATGGGAATGCGTCGCATAGTGCAGGAAAGTGTCGCGCCTCTGGCACATTTCACAGGAAAGTTATAAATAGTGAGATGCACACTATACCAATTGTCATGAGTCGCAATATGGGCGATATATGCCTGGAGGAATCTCATTCCCTACATCGCACCCCCCCAAGTGACAGGTGCAATGTGATGTGACTTGAAGCCATGCCAGATTGCCCACATTGCCTGCCCAATGGCAGCAACATGATCTTCTGATAGTAGATGACTGTTGTGAATGAGAAATAGCGACTAGGCTTGTTAGAAACTAGCGCTACTTATCCAAATAGGCGCAAGTGTAGTATTCGACCCAAGAGGACTGCTAATGAAGCAACTCCCTACTAATATGCAAGGGGAGCGATAGCACGAAGGACTAATAACCTATAGTGACCTAAGACCAAAAAACCAATGAGTAGTGCTATAGCGATCAGCAACTAGCAACAAGCAGGTTCCAACAAGAGAAACGTGCATATAAGTGAGAGGCGCTATGCAAGTTGTTTTATGCGATGTCCAACTAGCGACAGTGAGAAGAAATCAAAGGGAGCAAAAGTGAGGAGTAAGGTAAGACAGTGCAAGTGGAATGCCCGATAGCAACTAGATTATAGCTCAACTACCGATAGCGATCCCGACGTTGTGAAAGTCAAACTTAAGAGGGAACTTTAGCAACATGCACTTAAAGCAAGTCAAGTGACATGTGATCAAAGAGATTGGCAAGAGCGGAATTGATTGCACTAAAACTAGGATATAGCGACTAAAGTGACTCCTACACCAGCAAAGGTATGGGGAAGGGAAGTACTGTACTGTATGTAGGATGGGTCATTTTATCATACTGCATAGGGGTTCAGGATTGCATAGGCGAGTATAGTAGCAACACTGGTGAGGACATGATGTAGCAACAGGTAATAAAACATGCAGCACTGTGGAACACGAGGACACATGTAATAAGACCTGTGACTGATGAGTAGTGACATTTAAGGAAAAATAACGCACCAGCGGAGGTAGGTGGACATAGGCAGGACATGGGAGGACAGAATACCTAGGCGTTGGACTGGGTAGCGCACTATGGGAGAAAAGTGGTTCCAAAGCAGATAGCTTGGGAGCTGAATAGTGCTGGTTACTAGCGCCTTACTCTTTTCCTCTGGACAAGGCAAAATATGCCTATGACACTCATACATGCCTAGCGCTGGTATGATTGTCACACCAGTCCTAGGAATCCGCCCTCCCATGTCCTATCCATGTCCACCTATCTCCGCTGGTGCATTATTTTTCCCAAATGTCATTGCTAAATGAGCTGCAGGTCTTATTACACGACTACTCATGTTCTGCAGTGCATGATGTTTTATTACCTATAGACTCATTGCGCACTCACTAACTATGCTACAATTCTCACCTATGCATTCCGGACATTCACACACTGTGATATAAACGACTGCAGTACATATGAATGAGTAGTTCCCTTTCCCCCAGACTCAGCTCTATAAGAGAGTCATTCTCATGTTATTTTTGTAGACTTTGCGCTATCCATCTATTTTGCTCTTTCTTGACAATCCTGCGCAATTCGACCGCTCTGAAGTTCCGTACTGCTAGGATCATACCCTTAAAGCTCTTGCAAGAATACCCGACCCGCGACTGGTAGTTTAGCACTGTTCTTCACTCGTGCTATATCCCTTGCTACTGGCCACTCCATAGAGCACGGCTGATTTTGTGCGCATTACATCTGCCACACTGGCATCTGACATCCAATATGTTCACATGTATCTTCTAACAGTTCATCTTGCTCCTGTGATATTAACATCGGTCAATTTTTGCCTGCACTCACAGTCAATTCTTTGGTATAGGAATTCAGAGGTATACATACAGTCCGTGTTTAAGTTTCTTAGGCCAATATAGGTTATAACTCCTTCACTCACTTACTTCCCTCGCACATAATTGAAGGAAGTGCTTCAATAGCAGTCCTCTCAGGCCAATCAATTAAACTCGCACCTCTTAGGATAAGTAGTGCTAGTTGCTAACAGCCTAGTACCTATTTCTTCTTCACACCGCTATCTGAGTGCTGATGTCGAGGATGCTCCAGATGCTCTTGCATGGTGGTACAAACACCATGGATCATACCCACACCTCTCATGAATGGGACTGGATTATTTAACTATCCCTGGTATGTTTTTATTTTCACTCGTGTTACCTACTATGCTATGTCACTAACAAAGTTGCAGCTACCTCAGTCAATGTCGAACAGCTCTTCAGCCATGGCCATCTTTTGCTCTTGCATGTTCAGTCACACCTTTCCACATAATCAACATGTGCACTGCTCTGTCTTGGATTCTGGAGCAAGCTTAACCTCATGAAGAGCGAGGATGTCGTGAATGTGAGTATGTTGCCTGATCTGAAAGCAGAGGAAGAGGTGGACCTGGAGGATGGGTGGGATCAAATTATCATCAAGTAGCTAGTTATTTTCTGTCATAGATTACTATGAATTTCACAGGAGACCCATGGGTATACCCTTGACAGGTGGTACCCAGGGTCTCATTACTCATACCCATCAAAAAACCCATACCCGCAGTGAGGGTCTGGGTATATCTTGGAGTATGGGTGGGGTATGGCCTCTGGTACCCCAGGGTTTACCTGTGCAGATCCCTAACTGGGACTGCAACTACTCTTCACTGCTTCACTGCTTCATACTGCTACTGCTTTGCTGCTTCATTAATTTGCTGCTGCTATTGCTTCTGAAACTCCTCTTTAGTGTCTTTTTTCAACTTTTTCTATACTTAATCTACTTGTCACTTGAAATGCCATGTTTTGCAGTCATTTTTCTCTCAAAAAGTGTGATTAAGTCACAAACAAGTAGAAAATAAGTAAAATAAGTGTTATTACTTGCTGCTACTTTTGCTAGCACTTGCACTACTTACAAAGGCAAAATCATTGAAAAAAGGCCAAAATAAGAGTGGAAAAAGGTCCAGTCAAGAGGATGCATCTGCTTTTTCAACTTAAAATTGCTTGTGGCAAGTGGGTGTTGCAGTTCTTGCGCATGGCTTATCTGCACCTTTTTGGGAAGTTAACCAGTGACAAGTTACCAAAAAGGCAGTTCAAGAAATATGTGAATTTACTGATGACTGGTCACACATATCCATGTGCCCTTGTTCAATGGTTTCATCGGATTGCAGAGGAGCGAGACAAGCTCACAGGCATGTGGATGGTGGTGCCATCTCTCAATGAGGATGGCTCTCATGACTTGTCAATTATCCATATTGACAGTATTATCTGTGGTGCTCACCTACTCCCAATATTCAGTACTCAGTTTGTGCCTCAGGGCCTTCAATTTCATGATTCTCTAGATGCCTACCAAGGATTCTATGTTAATCATTTTATTGACCATCATGCTTTCAAGTTGGTGTCTTAATGTATTTCTTACTTACAAAGTGCTTTGAATTTAGGGTCTGTATGGACAGCGAAATAAAACAGAAAAAGAAAAAGAAAAAAGAAAATCGTCAGTCATGTGACACTATCACATGACCACCTGGGAAATCTCAGGTACATATTAGATATATCAAAGTGTACATAGCACTTATCGATTGACATGATGGAATCTGACATAGGATCTGCAGGATCTGGATGGTCCCTCCGCTCCCAAGGCTCTGTAGACACCCCAGAGACCACACAAACCTCCAATGCCAATGTCTCTAACTGTTGGCAAGAATTTGAAGAGACTGCTTTACTTGATCATCTCACTGCTGAGCTTTCTACCTCTGGTGATGGCTTGAACTTCCCCAAGCATGTGTGGAAGAGCGCATCTGAGTATGTAAATTCAGTCCCTGCTCCCTCTGGGTCCAAGACACACTCCAACAAACTACCTGGGTCCTGCAAGAGCAAATGGGGGAACCTTAAGGGCGCATTTCTCCAAGTTCAGTTTATTAAGAGCACTTCTGGTCTTACATGGAGTGATGCAGATGGAGTAGGGGTGTCACCTGAGAACCAGAGTGTATGGAATGAACTTGTGAGGGTGAGTATGCTGTGGTCTACTTGTGATCAGTCCTGATATTTTTTTTCAAGAGCTGCCCTGCAGCAAAGCCCTTTGCCAACAAAGGCTTCATTCACTTTGCTGCCATTGATGAAATGATGTGCAATATGAAGGGGAAGAACAAAGCCAAAGGAGCATTCATTCTTCGCAGAAAGAAGGTGCCTGCCTCCAGCTCTTCTATGCTTCCTCCACCCATTCCTTCATCCAGTCATGCCATGCTTCCTGAAACTGGGAATGCACTCGATCTTTCCTCTCTATCTACCTCTGCGGACAATATACTATTAACTGCTGGTTCTCCTTCCAACAGCTTGCCGGTTCCTACTCCCACCTCTCCCTACTCATTCATCACCTCTACCAACCCCTCTGTGATGACCAGTGCCAGCCATAGCAGCAATAAGTGCAAACATAGCGCTCTTGGCCATGACACCAGTGAAACTTCTCAGAAGAAGCCATGCACTCCATCTGCTAGCGTGCAGGCCCAACAGGAGGGGAGTGCTGCAATGTCAAAGCTCATTGACGTTGTAGGAGACTTGAGCAAGACATTCACTGAAAGCTCACACATGCCCCCATTTCCACACCACTCACCAAACCCCAATGCTACCTCTCATTTGGCGCAAGCCATTGACATCATTCGTCATGACCCAGGGTTGTCAGCAGAGGACATTCTAGACATGGTTGATCACTTCTCACGTGCTGAAAATGAGGCCAGTGCGGTCGCATATGTTGCTCTGAGTGACGCTCAACTTAGGTCCATGTGGATATTGAGGAGGCTCAAGGAGCTCCATGCCACATCCAAGTAGTGTCTATACTCCCTCAAATAATTAGATAGTTTGTAGTACACTTGCATGTCCTCCCTTGTTGCGCTCCCAAATATTGATTCATTTGATTCATTCATTGAGTACAAAGTAAACTATTGTTGACCAGGCACAGGTAGACCACAACGTACATGTTCTGCACAATAATCCTCCCACATTTCAGCAGTGATTTCCTCCCAACATTGCTCTGCTCTTTGCCGTTCTGCTCTATCAGCAGGGCCTTCAGCCAACTCTCCAACATCACCTCCATCACCTCCAAAGACCTCCAAATCGTCATTGATATCAAATACAGCTGGGTCATATCTATGAATAAATTTATGTAATGCGCAAAGCACTGCAGGTATACGTGCTTGGACTTCCATTCCATACTCTGGGGGCAATTGTAGAATGCACCACTGGCGCTTCATGACCCCAAAAATATGTTTGATGATATTGTGTAGACAAGCATGGTGATGGTTGAAGAGTTCTTTGGGAGTTTGAGGGCTACATAGGTACCTAATTAGAAAGAAATCACAGAGAGAGAGAATGAAAACTCATGAGACGTCTGCTTGCCGCCATTCCTTCAGGTGATAGCATACACCCCAGTATGGGACCAACAGAGCATCACAGGACCCGAAGCCCACGTCTGCAAGCAGATACAGCCCTCCTGGGATTTGTAGGTCATTTTGGCATGCGTCGTGCCAAAGCGATGCATCCGCAACTGATCTGTCCCACCCACAAAGTGAATAGATGAATAAGAAGTTGAAGTCGCAGATGAAGAGACAGTTTTGTGACAGGTAGCCTTTCCAGCTATGCATGGTATCATGATCTTCGTCTGCTGAGAATACCTGAATATGGGTACCATCAACAGTGCCAATACAGTTGTGAAAGAAGCGGTAGTGCGGGTCATTGTATATGGTCGAAGAGACAGGTGTTTCACCGGTGGGGAACTTGACTTGGGTATTGTAGAATTCAGTTTCAGAAAAAAAAACAAGCAAGCACCTGAAGTATCTGATACAACATCAGATATCACAATAAAATGAATCATAGGAGAATTACCTTGAAATTGTATCAGGTGAATGCTGGAATCATTCGCCAAGATGGCAAGTTGAAAGTCCTGTAACGCAGGTGTACAGGAATATAGCAAGTTGTTCCTCCACAGATACACCATTGCGAGAATGTGTAAAACCATTGGTCTTGGGAACTTGCACCAATGCTTCAAACACCTCTAGGCTGACACCAAGATTATTTTTGATGTAGTCTGGGTGGCCTGTAAGGAGTTCACAGACCCATGCATAGCCTGACAATGCTGATGTGTGATATGGGATGTGGGGGGAAGGAGATAAGAATAAAAGTTGATACATGTACACTAATTGGGACACTACACATGTTACAATAAAAACCAGGTGGCGTCTGCGTGTCTCCTCACGCTGCCAGAGGTCGAATAAAACATGCTGGTAAGGATACATCGTTGTTATCACTGCACTGCCAGCGCTGGTGAGAATCTAGGGTTTCCAGGTGGTCATGTGATAGTGTCACATGACCGACGTTTTTCTTTTTTCTTTTTCTTTTTCTGTTTTATTTCGCTGTCCGTACAGACCCTTAACATTATCTTGAAATCACTTTTCGGCTCTTAAGTTATCTGAGTGTCTTAGTCAACTTGGAGCTAAGACACTCAAGTCGTGTTCCAAGTCAAAACAAGAACTTGGATGTCTTAGTGGACTTGGGCACCAAACCAAGTAGAATAAGTTCTGAATAAGTTAAATTAAGATGCGTGTAATTTTACTGATGTGAGGAGTTACAAAAGATTCATTGACAATATTGCAGAACCCCAGGAGTGATAGTATCCACCATTTGATCATGAATATTAGATCACGTCTAACGGTAAACATTTTCCGACTCTGGTCTGAAATCTTTAATGCAAAGATAGCCTTGTAAAAATCAATAATTTGTCCCCAAATTTGACTGTGTCTCAAGTGTGATGGCCTGTCCACAAAAAATCTGCGGAAGAAAACGAATCCCTGTACACCGAACTCTAACAATCATATTGCACAACTCCTCGTAACGTACAAATTATGACGCACGGTGTGATTCCCGCGTGTTCCTCCGATCTCACTATCATGAACTTAGTAATTAGCCTCTTGTTCAATGAGCCCAAGAGCAGTTGCAGAACGAGGCTTGATAGAACACTTGAAGGGTTTGGGGTGGCTTGGAGTGTGTTAATCCAGACAAGCGCCGGACGTGACAATATATGCGACATACCTGATTGTACCTGGTGAGGGTTCAACATTGGGGGTGATCTCAATACCATTCTCGACAACCTTTGAAATATCAAACACGGCCAATGACATCACAGTGGATATCCAAATGGAAGCTTCAGCAAGGTGGATACCTGTACACCAAAAGCAAGTAAATATCAGAATGCTGTGGGTTAACTGATGCGAGTTGAATACACCTGGGCAAATACTGCGGAGCAGAAAATTAGCATTCCGATCAGATTCAGAACCAACTTGTGCTTACCGTCTACCAAAGCCGAAGCACATTGTGCGAGGCTCTGTCTCAGGGTCCTTTCCATCCTTAGCCAAGAAGCGTTCAGGATTGAATTGCGAGGGGTTAGCATATGTCCGTGGATCGTTGAGCATGAACCTGTTGCAATTCAGAGCATTGCATTTTGTTCATCAGTCGAAGGGTAGTACTAACCAAATGTTAGGCATTACTAAGGAGCCTTTTGGAATATAGTACCCGTCGTGGATATCATCTTCAGTCACACAGTGGAGGAAACCTGTCATTGAGATACCCGTCGTCAAATAGTAGTAGTGTCATAAACAAGATTCTAATACCTGTAGGAGTGATAACGCTCCAGCGGAGGACTTCTTTGACAAGTGCATCGGTATAGGGGAGGGAGTCTCGGTCGGTGAAGGTGGGAAGACGGTCAGGACCGACAACCGCATCGATTTCAGCCTGAGCTTTCTTCTGCACATCAGGAAAAAGTGTCATAGCTAGAAAAAGCGAATATATTGCAGAAACAGTCTGAGGAAATAAGTTTGGTACTCTTAGAATATGTCGATTAAAGGATGTAGGGATGGACTGACCGTGTCAGAACCACCGCTGTATAGGGAAAAAGCAGACCATTTCACAGCGTGGTCCTCTTCCGCAGACATATCACGGCCTTCTAGGAGATTCGAGGTGAAAGACATGGAGGCGGCGCCATCAGCCTGTAAAATTTAAACTTAACATATGGTCGCAAAACTGTAAACAAGTCACCATCTGATCCTTCACGGACTTGTGGGGTGCAGACACCATCTCTTCGAGGGTTTCACGCCATTTACGTGATATGCGCTTGAAGCTAGCACCGGGGAACCACGCAGGGACCTTTGCCACTGGAATAGTAAGGTCATTGGAAGCAAACGCAAACGGCGGAATAATGTAGCTTACAGAATGGTAAAATATCGACCATAAAGGCACCGGGAGCCGTGGCCTGCGATACATTGGCTAGAACGCAGTTTGCAAGGTCAACGAAGGGATCATTATTCTCTTTCACTTCGTAACCATGAGAGATGCGCAAAATAATCGCGCCAGCAGTGCTACAGTAAAAAGTCAGGATCGTGTCATTTCGAGGATATACAGTACATACTGTCGGACATGTTCCTGCAGTTGGTCGGGTTTCGCAAGCACACGCTTCAGGAATCGACGAGTCTCAACTCCTCGACCACGTTGTATACGTTCACTGCGGCACGACTACCGATAACGCGATGTAAGTTCTTGCGTTGCTGGCGAAAACTATCACCATAAGGAAGGAAAGCCATGGAGTCCTTCCAGCCAACAAGTTCGCCAGCCATGGGAACAACAGGACGGTCAGAATACAAAGTGCTTTTACTGTCCATCATCTCCAATGCAGTCTTGGAAGAGTTTAACACAAACATGTGCCGACCCAGAACCTCGATATGCGTGATATCACCTATAGATGAGACTTTCGAAAATGCATGATTTTGGAAAAAAGGAAGGCATTCACCATACTTCTGACCCCACTCAGTAAATGTGAGCCAGGGCTTGATGCGAGGCATATCTAAAATATTGTCAATGAGAGGCCATCCCCGGGGACCAGGTGGATATGGTGCAGGATTCTTCTTGACGTTCACCTGCTTTACCAGATAGATTCCGACACCAGTAAGACATAGTAGGTCCAACCAAGTAACATTGGGGATTGTCAACATGGTCTACTAATAGCAGATGACGAGCAACTCAAGAACTGGGATGAAGAGCGAATTGATCAGATAAGTGGATATTTTGTACTTAAGATATTGGAAGGACACGTAGCACGAGAATTCTGTCGGAAACTAGGGGTTCACTGTGCGAACTTATGACCTGGCGGCCAAGACGTACCTGCTCGGGAAAAAGTGTACATGAGGCCACCTTATACCGGACGAGCGGCGAACATGTATTGCCGAACATCTGAGGCATCGTACAGACGAACATATATGACTTTTAGATTTAAAAAAATCATTTCGTCTTCTTCTGAGAGCTGGTGCCACTGTTGCACATGACACTGCAGAAGCAATCTGCCTCAGGAGCACCAAGCGAACCAACACATTCAAAATGAAACTATCGAAAACGGAATCAGCTGCGGTGATAGAAGCATGTTGAAACAAGGCAAGCCTGTATCCATTGCTTGCAGCCATCAAAGCTGCATTGGACCATTTCTCCGGATTCCGGCCGTCGACATCAACAAAATTCATCTTGTAGGTCATCACGCTGAATGTCTGCATTTGGAATGATATGATTCTCCACTTGAAGCAGCGAGCTAAGGCGTGCTGCCGTGGTGATGATCAGACGAGGTTTTGGTGCAGAAGGTACTAATGTCTTGACCATCCGCATCAACCTTTCACGGACGCTTACAAAGCAATCCAGCAGATGACGAGATGTGCTGACTCGGAGTCAGGCATTAGTAGGTGCCAACATACCACCGATAGACTGTGCGACATGGTGGACAACGGAGCGGACAATTGTTCATCCACCCTCATCGTGAATAATGCCAGACTGGAAATTGGATTTGGGGCATTTCCCGAGCGGGTACCTCTTGGATCTTGCTTCGTTTTTTTTTTCGTTGGGAACTTGTCGCTCAGTCACTAGGGCAAGTGCTTGCATTAACAAATTACTGTTTTCACGGCTAGTGCTGGTCCTGGAGTTACTGACATGGCACATACCCGAGTATGCGAGACAGCGAAGAGTCAATTTCACCAGTAAATATTCCTTGGCATAACTTTTTTCGAAAATTAAATCTTATTTTTGACCACTGGTATACTGCGGGCAATTGCCAGTATCCGCCCAAAGTTCGAACGTACTCAAGTATGTGGCGGAGGAATTACATCCATGTCCTAACGGAGCCATCCCGTGACCCGGAGACAAGCGTTTTTCCGTCCGCAGTCCAAGCCAAGCATTGCACCGAGCCTGTGTGTCCCTTGAGAGTTGCGACAAGCTTGCCTGACTTTGCGTGTAAAAGCAGAGTGAAATCCCACGAGTCGGGGATGGGTGCTGGCATCGTTACTGATAGGTAATAATAATTTGATGCTGCATCCTCGTCTTACCCGCTGAGCAAAGCAAAGACTCACGATTACATAAATTTCATCGAATGTAGAAAGACACAACACTGTCAGTGCTGTCACGACGGGATGCCACACTATACGCCCACGGGACTCCTGAGCCAGGACCCCTGGCACTCTCGACCTGATCTGTCCTGCTAGAGCGCCCCACTCCAATGGACGTTTAAGGGAGTGACGCGAACGTGGCAGAGCAGTACAAATCCCTGTAGAACGGGCATACGCTCCTTTCCATCAAACATATTGAAATACACGCTCCATTTCCTGGGCGAGGGACACGGAGAGCGAGCGAGCGCGTGCAGTGGTATTTACAATGTGCGGCCCTGCAGCGGTGGTTGACCACGATGACGGGATGAGGGCTGGGGTAAGATATCTCTGCAGAGGATGCAGGAAAGTGGGATAGAGACAGGAGAGCTGGGGAAAATATTGGAGGGATTGCTCTGGTAGCTTTGATATGAATCAAACGATCAGTCTTGCTACGATTGCAAATTTGCAATGAAGGATTCCAGATCCTCGACAAACGATGGTGTGATAAACTTTAGTTTCGCTCGCCGTGGACTTGTATCGGTCTTCTTGTATGGAAGTGAACTACACCAACCCGACGAATAACAACTCGATTTTTAGCTCTGGGGTTCGACTTGAAATGAATTTGGTCATCTTCGACAGAAGCCACTCACTTTCACGTCGACAACAATACTAGTGCAAACACGCAGTCCTAATGAGTACTTCATCTTAATACCGGCTAATATATATCATCCACCGAAGCTTCAACCTTAGCCTCAGGACCAGTAGGGCATTTCAGGCCTTGTGAACATGTAAAGATTGGCGGCTGCAGGACGAGCTGATGTGGAATATCGAAATTTACATTATGAGTACATGGTCTCGTGAACGTTCAGTGCGTCCACAAAACTTCCGCTGAAGCAAATGATTCCCTGTGCGAACTCAAAGAATCATATTGAACAACTCCTGAGTGTAACAACAAATTACAACACATGCCAAGTGTGTTATCCCCGGTGTTTCTCCCGGTCTCGCCATCGTGAACTTAGTAGTTAACGTCTTGTTCAATGAGCTCAAGGGCAGTTGCACAGCGAGGCTTGATAGAGCACTTAAAGGGCTTGGGGTGGCTTGGAGTGTGTTAATCCAGGGCTGTACGTGACAAGTGTGACATACCTCGCTGAACCTGGTAATGAATCAACCTCAGGTGTGATCTCAACGCCACGCTCGACAACCTTTGAGATGTCAAATACGGCCAGTGACATTGCAGTGGATATCCAGATGGAGGCGTCAGCGAGGTGGAGGCCTGTCAATGAAAAGTTAGCGGCTCAGAGATTTGTCTGTCAATTGACATGAGTCGGGCACACCTGGGCAAATACTATGGAGTAGCAAGTTAGCATTCCGCTCAAAACCCACTGTATATATGCTTACCGTCTACCGAATCCGAAGCAGACTGTGCGAGGCTCCATCTCGGGTTCTTTTCCATCTTTAGCCAAGAAGCGTTCAGGGTTGAATTGCGAGGGGTTAGCATATGTCCGTGGATCGTTGAGCATGAACCTGTCGTAATTAAGAGCATTACATTCTGTTCATCATTCGAAGGGTAGTACCAACCAAATGTTAGGCATTACTAAGGAGCCTTTTGGAATATAGTACCCGTCATGGATATCGTCCTCAGTCACACAGTGGGGGAAACCTGTCATTGAGATACCCGTCGTCAAATAGTAGTAGTGTCGTAAACGAGATCACAATACCTGTAGGGGTGACAACGTTCCAGCGGAGGACTTCTTTGACAAGTGCATCGGTATAGGGGAGGGAGTCTCGGTCGGTGAAGGTGGGAAGACGGTCAGGACCGACAACCGCATCGATTTCAGCCTGAGCTTTCTTCTGCACATCAGGAAAAAGTGTCATAGCTAGAAAAAGCGAATATATTGCAGAAACAGTCTGAGGAAATAAGTTTGGTACTCTTAGAATATGTCGATTAAAGGATGTAGGGATGGACTGACCGTGTCAGAACCACCGCTGTATAGGGAAAAAGCAGACCATTTCACAGCGTGATCCTCTTCCGCAGACATATCACGGCCTTCTAGGAGATTCGAGGTGAAAGACATGGAGGCGGCGCCATCAGCCTGTAAAATTTAAACTTAACATATGGTCGCAAAACTGTAAACAAGTCACCATCTGATCCTTCACGGACTTGTGGGGTGCAGACACCATCTCTTCGAGGGTCTCACGCCATTTACGTGCTATGCGCTTGAAGCCAGCACCAGGGAACCACGCAGGGACCTTTACCACTGAAATAGTAAGGTCATTGAGGCAAACGCTAACGTCAGAATAACATAGCTTACAGGATGGTAAAATATCAACCATAAAGGCACCGGGAGCTGTGGCCTGCGATACATTGGCTAGAGCGCGGTTTGCAAGGTCAACGAAGGGATCATTGTTCTCTTTCACTTCGTAACCATGAGAAATGCGCAAAATGATCGCGCCAGCAGTACTATAGTAAAAATTCAAGATCATGTCATTTCGAGGATACATAATACATACTGTCGGACATGCTCTTCCAGTTGGTCGGGTTTCGCAAGCACACGCTTCAGGAATCGACGAGTTTCAACCTCCTCGATCTCGTTGTATACGCCCACTGCGGCGCGACTGCCGATGACGCGATGGAAATTCCTGCGGTACCGGCGAAAACGGTCACCGTATGGGAGAAAAGGCAAAGAGTCCTTCCAGCCAACAAGTTCGCCAGCCATAGGAAGAATAGGACGGTCAGAGTACAAAGTACTTTTACCGTCCATCATTTCCATTGCTGTCTTGACAGAGTTTAGTACAATGATATGCCGACCCAACACCTCGATATGCGTGATATTACCTGCAGAAAGGACTTTTGAAAATGCATGATTTAGGAAAAAGGGTGGCACCCACCATACTTCTGACCCCACTCAGTAAATGTGAGCCAGGGCTTGATGCCAGGCATATCTAAAATGTTGCCAATGAGAGGCCGCCCCCGGGGACCAGGTGGATATGGTGCAGGATTCTTTTTGATGATCACCTGCTTTACCAGATAGACTCCGACACCAGTAAGGGCCGTAAGGTATAGTAGGTCCAGCCAAGTAATGTTAGTGATTGTCAACATGGTCAACTACTAGTAAAGGATGAGGATCCCGAAAACAAGGATGTAAAGCAAATGATCAGATAAGAGGAGGACATCTCCTATTTAAATCAAAATGAACCTACAAGCAACACATTGGAAGGAAACGAGTAGCGGCCACCGGCCCCTGTGCCAACTCGGTCCGAGCCTTGTTCAAAGTTCCGACAACGTAATATTTTGTATGTCCTGTCACTGGCTCTCTATAGCCACATTACATCCATGCGCTTCTAGAGCTCTGAGGAATCCCACACCGTCCTCGGGCCAATACCCTACAAAATAACCGACATGATCTCGGATGCAGCAAGACCGGCGCTCAATATTCATAAAGACATGAGTCACTGTTAATAGCAGAACGCCCCATCGTAGGCAGACCCCGAATGCATTCAGAAAACACCTCGCTAGTCAGTGTACTAAATAGCCTGCGAACTAAATCTCAACGCACAGATTAACTGATTTTGGTCACATAATGGATCCAGTGGCGCAGTGGCTGAGTCCTACCAGTGCTAGGAAAACTTCCTCTCCATCGGAACTGTTGAAATACGCGCTCCTTTGTTATTTCCTGGGTGAGGGACACGGAGAGCGAGTGGACGCGTGCAGTAGTATTTGCAATGTGCGGTCCTGCGGAGCCAGTCGACGAAGGGTTGGGGTAGATATCTCCGTAGAGGATCCGGGAAAGGGGGACAGACGGGAGAGCTGGGGAAAAGTTTGGAGCGGAGGAGGGATTGCTCTGGGAGCTTTGATATGAACCCATAACTAGAAAAATCAGTTTTGTTACGGATACGGCAGGGGTTCAATTCACAAAACTTCTGCATTCAATCACGTTCCTTCTTATGGCAAGCTCCGTGTGTGGTTTCAATGTGAGATGTATCGATGAGGGACACTGGCTGCCAAATTGAAAGTCTGTCCAATGAAACCAGGTGCTCGACAGAGGATGGTGTAATAAACTTTGGTTTCTCTCACTGTGCGCCAGCATCGCTCCTATCATACCCCAGAACACGCCGCATCATACTCTGCTCTGATTCACCACCATCAGCAAAAATATGGGGGAGCTCGTTGTCATATTTGTTGGCTATTGTTCGGAGGGAAAGAATGAGGGCTTTGATAAAGGCGCCTTCTGTAATGCTGGGGGGTGCTCGGATGCGGAGAAGAGAGGGAACAAAAGAGAGAGACAGCGTGATTGACTGTTGAAATCTTGGGAGTGAAGATAGTAGTCGGAGTAGAATACATGAGAGACCGAACCATAGGAAGTGAGGGTATTAGTGCGCTGGACGGGTGGGATCCGCTATGTCGTGGACTTGGAATGGTTTATCTCCTTGGGCAGCGGTCTAATTCAGGCTTTCAGCAGTACTTGTGAGGCTGGTCTGATCAGCGTTGACGCGTCTGCCGTTGTCGCGCACGACGTCAAACATGCACTTCCCTCAAAACGTATGCGCTCTCGCTTCCAGAGTGGTGTGAGCGGATATGCAACTGCCAAGTCCACCAATTCGAGTCGATATTGTTTTGTACAAATCATCAATCATCCTTCCCACGTTCAAGTGCGTTAACTTGACACAAACAACTGAGATTGTATTTCATGGCACTATGGCCGAGTGGTTAAGGCGAGAGATTCGAACCACAGATATCTCTTACGGTTCCCGTGCGCAGGTTCAAATCCTGCTGGTGTCGCTTTTTGTTCTTGCAACCCCGTCAAGCCTTTTTTCTTGGTATTCCTGAATCTTGGAAGTTGGTACCCAGCATCTCCTATGCCTTGAGTAGAGAAAGTATTGTTGACCATGATACTCAGGCTGGTGAATATTTTGTATTCATGACCAACGCTTACTCTGACCTCGAGCAAGCCTGCCAACCGCATGGCACTTAGACTGCTTTTAGGACATGGTGTCCAATAGCCCTAACGGTTGCCATGTTCCATGTAGTTGTGGTACCGCGTCTACTCTAAGTTGGACCCGAAGGTCCCCAAGTTGCCATGCAGATTTTGCCTTTGGACACTGCAGCAGTTTGGGACGAAGGTGATATCTGGTGATACGCACTGTGACTTCTACAAGGTGGGCCGTACGACTATCCGAATATGACTGTAGCGGGCTCATCGCTTCAGGATGAAATGTAGGCATTGATCACATTGGCCATGTGGTTTTGATTCTTATGCCGTTCTACTAGTGAGTGTCGATCTTTAGTTTGGAATTCACTACCTGACTCTACTACTAGTAGTACCTTTCAAACATTCGATGCAACCATATTTTCACTTCACTGCCTGTCTATACTATCGTTCTGGGAGGCGAGCCGTCTTCATTGGTGAGATCCTGGTAGGGGCCGCCTGTGTCTTTCTCAACTTCGTCTTAGCATTCGTCAGTGCAAGAAGCGCTCTTTCCCTCAGCTCTATGTCCGGAGTAAAAAAGGTTTGAAGTATCCACTGTGCAGACCAAGAAAGTTCTGGTTCTATATGCCAAAGGACCCCTACTCGTCTGTAGTCGTCTTCATCCCCTACCGGTTTTACAATTCTTTAGCAGACTTTCGGACGGTTACGATTATTGCCATTTTTGTAGTTAACGCCTACTTCGGCATGAACATCTACACACTAACGAGTGCTTTTCTTATGCTGACTTGATAACGCTGAATGGCGATTCTTTTAGCTGGACCCCCATCACTTGGGTCGCCGTCGTCAGCTCATCCTGTCATAATCCTGATTCATTCGTTCACTCTAGTCTCTAATCCACGACTTCTGTTCTTTTACAGATGAATTTGCAGCGAGGTATAGATCCTCTTCGGCAAATTAACGTTTGGGGCGGCTTTCAATTTGTTGGCCGCGGTAACCCTCTTCGCCTCTTCGAGGAGTGCCTAGTGGTCTTTCCAGTCCTTCTTGTGTATAGCAGTACCAGGCCCCAGACACAGATTCATTAGAGTGATTTCACTGTGCGTTGAATGAAAGAATTACGTCACAAGCTCAACGTTGCTCGTCACACACGATCCACAACACAATGACACCCCAAACATATGCTCCCCGTTAACTTGCAATATCTGCAGCTGATTGTGTATAGGTCGACGTAAGATCATTGTTGAAATGTATGGAGTGCTTGATCTAGCAAAACACGCATATCTTGCTGTGAGAAGGCTGTTGACGCACTCATCGGCGGTGGTGTTCTTCGAAGATAGTCAGATAGTCCTCGCTGGTACATGGACTTGCGAATTTTGAACGTGCAGAAAGGAACATCGGCAGGATGGTCGTGGAAGGGTCGCATGGACCAGGTGACTCATGTCCGATAAGGAATGATTCATCGATACTGGAAGTCTGGGAATATTACCACCCAGTGATCGTTCTAGGCCTTGCAGCCCTCATGGCGAAACTCCGTGCGTCACTAACACTACTAGATGTATATTCTGTCCAGCAGGTCCACGGACTGCACAGAATGAAGGACTATTGGCATGACCGGCGTTTATGAGAAAAGGGTAGTAATTCTGGGAGAATTGAGGTGTGAATCGTGATCCATGCTGTTGCAGCGTGGTGTGGAGCTAACAAGGACCCTAGATAAGTGCTTACCTGAACTGGGTTATGGGCAGAGATCCTTCAACTCAACGATTATCCACAACGCAAGCTCCTTGTAAACATCAAATGTTGGGCAATATTTCTCTCCGTCGCGGTGTAGGTCGAGGCGACCTGTCATACGATACATATGCAGCATTGAATGCATATCTCATTGCGAGAGAGCGCGTGATACCAGCGCAGATAACGCAAGGGCAACCCAGTGGACCAACACGGACGATGCGAGGGCATACAAAATCGGTGGATGCAGCCGCGTTCTTTGGGGACGGCCGACGGGTAGTCACTGGTTCATGGGACCATACCCTGCAAATATGGGACGTTCAGGAAGGAATATCGATAGGAGGGTCATTCAAGGGGCACGAAAACCGGGTACTATCCGTTGCCGTGTCCCCAGATGACGGACGAGTTGCGAGCAGTGGAGTAGATAAAACCATCATCGTCTGGGACGTCGAGAGTAAGCAGAAGGTATTCCAAGGTCCGCTAGCGGAGCACACAGACTGGGTTTGGTCGGTGTGCTTTTCACCCGATGGCAAAATGCTCGCCAGCGGTTCGAGTGACTGCACTGTGATTATATGGAATGCGGAGACTGGCACTGTCCTCTCAACACTAGTGCTTCCCCCTTCCAATGTGGTGTTGAGTGTCGCATTCAGCCCAGATGGGCTAAAATTAGCTTCCGGATCGTCGGACTGTACCATTCGAGTTTGGCGAACCGACAACACCGAGCTTCTTCTCAAAATCACTGCTCACCAACATTGGGTCCGTAGTGTTGTGTGGGCGCCTGATGGCAGGCAACTTGTTTCCGCATCATACGACAACACAATCAAGTTCTGGAACTCGTCTAACGGAGATCCGATCAGTCAACCTTGCACTGGTCACACTAACTATATTTCCTCGCTGGCCATTTCTTTTGATGGCTCCTTCATTGCCACCGCTTCGGACGACAAAACTGTGCGGCTGTGGAGCACAAAGACACTCCAGCCCATAGGACAGGCACTCAAACATACTGCCAAGGTGAACTGTGTCGCAATTTCTCCCAACGGAGAACTGCTTGTTAGTGGAGGTGATAACGGAAAGATGCTGCTCTGGTCTCTCAAGAACATATTGCTTGAGCCAGACAAGGTGGATGAAATTATAACAGAGGATGAAGAAACACAGCGGCTCCGGCTCCTGTTTCACGCTGGCATGGAGGTGTGCTTTTACTGTTGTTTCGGTCTGTCTATTCATTCACGCCATTCTCCATAGCTACCGGTATGCAACCAGACTCAGGGCAACAATGACGAGCCCACTGTCAATCTCGACAGTCCAAGTAACCATCCTTCGGGGACTGACGAAGCCTCTGGCGGTGATGGCCAACAGTCATTACTTGATGTGAGTTGTTTCCCTTCGATCTTGTCAGGCAATGTGAGCTTACTTCATACAGAACCTTACGATAGTCCGCAATGCATCCGTT